TTATTTAAATGTATTATCTCTCTCTTAGTTCTACATTATACACTACTTTAAATTCCGTGTCTGGAGCAATCAGCAATGTATTTTCTTAAAAATAATCATTGCTTTTAAGTCATAGTTTTAAACCCCTGTTGTTGCACCCTGCCTCACGCCTATGCTTGCAGAGGATAAATGTTTATGCATCGTTTTGATCATTGCTTCCAGGACCTCAGACTGAATGAACAAACAAAGTAGGAGCCCTTAAAAGGCCGGGGTCAGTTTCATCCAAACTCTCAGAGCCTCTCACAGAAAGAAAACTTCAACAAACTTTACAGAAGTATCTTATTCGATCTCCTTCTGTGGTTTACTGGTTGTGAATTGGCACAAACCCTCTGAGGATAGAGCTATTAAAACAGCCAATGAAGTCTTGTTTACTTCAGCATCATTTTCCTTTTTTGTCCCACCGCTTCTATCGGAACAAAGTGGTGAGAAACTCTTCTGCTCCTCATTGGGTTCACACGTTCCCAAAGCAGGGCGATACCCGGCAGAAGAGGTACAAAAGAAGCAACCAACCATTATCAGCATTTGATTACACGTCGGTGCCAGTGTGTGATGTTGGAAAACAGAGCTAGTATTTGAATGTGCTCTTTGTTATTTTGTTCATAACGAGGGTCTCTATTTTTAGACTGCTTTACTCACACAAATATTGGACCAATGGGAATCTTGAGGAATGTCATGTGGAAGGCAGAATGGGAGCCATGATTTAGTACATCATTGAGAAAAATTGTGCTGGGAAAACATTTGCTTCCAGGAGTTTTTCCACTGCAAATAAACATTAAGAGATTTCTAAAGGCTTTAGGTTGTTGTTTATGTGATTGTAACACACCAAAGCAATAAGATACGAGAGGCTGTACTTTATCGTCCAATAATGTAACAGCTTGGGGGTGTTGTTGGGCCTGACGCAGAGCGGAGGGCCGGCAACCCTTGAACGCTGCCCACACGGCAATGATCACACGGTCGCACAAAATCTAACCTGCTACTTTGAGTGCGCAGAGATATGGAACGTTACTTTATCGCCCAATAGTGTGACTCACTCTCAACCAATCAGAACACTGGATTTCATCTACCCGTATTATAACAAGCTAAATATGCACTTCATATGCAGTTTTAAAGATTTAAGTAAATTTGTTCAATAAATATAATCATTCAATTCAATTTGTTTTATTTTGTATAGCCCAAAATCGCAAATTACAAATACAGTCTGTACACATACAACATCGTCTGTCCCGAAACCCTGATATCGGCACAGGAAAAACTATCTAACTCTAAATATCTATTGATTGATATGAAATTCATGGTCATGCATTGTCCCTAGTGGATGAATCCGAAAACACAGGCTGATTGATGAGCCACTGTCTTTCCCTCATGGCGCCACCTCAAGGTCGAGGTCAGTTTGAAGTGAGTTGTGTCAACAATAAAGAAATTTGCTCACTTTTCTCAGTCTTTATTCATTACATCAACTGGAACCAAATGTTGTGCTTTTTGCAGAGATTGATAAATCCTCAGAACGCGATCACTTGACCGAACAACAGCTTGTCAGCAATGTAATTGTATGCACGTTAGTGAGCTGATGTGGAGACACCTCTGGGATTTTGCAGAGCCGAAAGGAGCTACTAGCATGGCTGAACCACCGCTGCGAGCACGCGTTCTGGATTCGTGGATGACGCGTTAATATCCGCCGTACTTTGCCGGTCTGAAGCTGACAGACAAGTCAGCTGCGGGCGAATTTAGGGGGAAAAAGTATTGTGACTTCGTCAACCACTAACATGTTCGTCTCGTCTCGTCTCGTTAACGAAAGTTAGAATAGATTTAGTCATAGTTTTTATTTTTTAAGATCGTTTTCGTCACGTCTTAGTCTCGTCTTGGATAAAAGGTTCGTTAACGAAAAACTTTCGTCATAGTTTTCATTGACGAAATTAACACTGCATGTGACATGTAGTTTATAAAAAATGCATCACTTTCTATAACAAAAGGATTGTAAATGTTAAAGTATAACTCTTAACTTAACTTAAAACCTATTTATACTGTGTAATTTCATACAAAAAACCTTCAGATCCTTCAGAATGCTGGACCCAAGTAATCTATGTAACTTGCAGTAAGCACTAAGTGCGCACAAATACTCTTTGATGAAGAACACTCATCATCCATATGGATATACTTATCCCGGAATGGCAACAAAACAAAACTTTGTCATCCCATCCCATCCCATCACGGATTATGGTTTACACCGCAAAAACACTGATTGACACAATTGTATTTGATCATTGGGCAGTGAATTGTCAGCACACTTTTCCCAGAGAGGATGTGCGTCAGAAAGGAGATAGAAAAGCCACCACTGACTAATGTGAGGATCTGAAGGCAGTGAAGCTGTTTGAGTGCTCCAGTCCACATTGGTTCACTACACACCGTCTCCTAGATTCCTCATCATGTCTCACACTTGGGGTTTCGCCTCCCTTTGGGGCAGAATTAAGTCCCCGGGGAACCACGCAGGAGTCACTGTGGCGGTTCTAATGCCAAGTAAAAAAAAAAGACTAGAAGTCCCAACCAAATAAAACAGAGATGAGGATATATTACTTATTACTAAGAAAAGCATTATGTGAAAAATGAGCAGTCAAAAAAAAAAACTAACCCATGGCTGAACCACAACTTTTAGGTAAGAAAACATTGAGTAAATTTCAATAAATTCAGACTACATTTCAAATGCTATCTTTAGATTGATGGCTTTAGTAAAGCCTCTACAGCCTCTTTTCATTTCTCTAAATCTTACCAAATGATTACGTTGAACAAACAGGCCATAACAACATCAGCCACACCTGGTGTGGCTGATGTGCAAGACCAGAGAAATATCCCAAATTATATCATTTGGACTGGAAAGAAATGTCGTAATGGTGACCAAGATCCTGCCTGCAACTCATGTCGGGAGCAAATGAACTACAGTGCATTAAGTTCCTGCTCCAACTTCCCAAACCCCACTGACAAAATTCTCAATAATTCACCGATTCACTTTATTATGTGCAAATCCTCAACAACGTGTAATCAACTCAGTGACTGTTTTCATCACCTTGCTGGTCAGCTAGTCACCAAATTCTGAGAGTGAGTGAGAGCTTTCCAGACCTCATTGTAATGTATCTTCTGCAAACCATGATCACTCATACTGCACGTCATGGAAATCTATCCCATGGTTGTTGAGGCAATTTCCGAAAAAAAAGTATATTAACCTGATGGGGTTTAGCAATCTGGACCGATAAAGTGAAAATTAAGTAAGATTGAAATATATGCCCGGGTCACTTATAGATTGTCAATTCATAACCCATTTAAAAATTAATTTATAGTCAAATTATGTGGCCTCAATGACAACGGGTGCAGAATAAAAAGTCCCCTGAAGTCAGTAGGATTTATCTTCTGATGAAAATGTTGAATGTCAGAGAAAAAAATGTATAGAAATGAATTTCCTTACCTCTTTTTTCATCCTATAGCCCTCTTGCAAAATATAATGTGCATTATTTAGTATCCCTATGATTCCTGTGGTGTGCTGAAGCTCACGCAGTCCAAAATGCTGGAAGGCGAACTACAGGGAATTTGGACAAAGTGGCACAGACAAAGCGGGAAGGGTAATCAGGAGCCGGGAAAATCAATGCTCAGGTCACACAATCGTATATAGCAAACCAGGCAAGTCAAAGCTTTCCCAATGAACTCTTACTTTATACATTAATAATAACAGAAAGAGCTAACTTTCTGTCAGAGAGATAACAGAAAACCAAACCAAAGATGAAATGCTGCAGAAATGCTTGAAAAGCATTACAGTGCTATACCATCCTTCTCTTTGAGCTCAATACTCTCTACATAGGCAGGGGATCAATACAGCTGCAGCTGGGTACTCTTCTATGTACAAAGGAGATGCTTGTCTCCAGATCACTAGAGACATTTACTTCCATGTTCTTTAAGTTTTGTAGATAGTTGAAAGTATTTGGGAGTCTATTCACATTCGATGAATTTCTTGTGATGGACCTTCAATGATAATTGACTTAATAATTAGAAAATGTGTTTTCACACTCAAAAGACTTTGATGGGAATAACAAAAAACAAATAGAACTATAAAGCTACCTTTGAGTCCTGTGAGACACAGTTGCTGTACAATCAATAGAATATTTTGTGGAAAGCACATTTAAGAACAAGAACGTTGGAAAGTTTCTTTCTGTGAGGAGTTTTGGGATTTAACTCAAACTGAACATATGCCTCCTATCGAAGCCCTGGAGGTTGCATAATGATGAGTGCTTACAAGGTTTCTCTGGTTGTCTCTCTTCTTTCCACTTCCAATGTATCTGCCGCTTTCTCAAGGTTTTAAACAATGGAACATTTATTAGTTGCATGTATTCAGTGATCTAATCAACCTCGGTCACAAACATCTGTAAAGGGACAAATAAAGAGCCACGGCCCAAAGCTTGAAATGCGAAATAAGTTTCTATCTTTCTTCTAAAGTTTAGTCCACCATAAACTAAAGCCATATTGGCAGATTACGTATGTGGTCCTTGAGTAAAAGAGCTTTAATTTATGGTTCCACTTCCCTCGGCATGAAGCAGAGCTAGTTTATTAATATGGTTAGAGACGTTCTTCCAAAGATAACGGACAAATCTTGGGTGGCCTGGGTCAACATTTAACCCATTATAATGACGTACAGTACCGGTCCAAAGTTTGGACACGCTCTATCATAGAAAGGCATGAGAAAATATGTCCAAACCTTTGACTGTACATATTTAGCTTCACGAGCTCGTCAAACTAGATTTAATAAAGTTGTGGGATTATACATGTTTTTTCTCAATGTACAGTATGTACTACCATGACTCTTGCCGTTCAATAGTTCATGATTATATTATATCCTGTGTCCTGTTACTAGATGAGAACTATCCACTGTAGTAAACAATCATGTACTCAGTGGACACATCTTTTACTGGAAGAGACTCAGGTGTTGTGGCATAGTCATACTTTATTTTCAAATTCTGCAAAACAATATAGAGCCCATCCCACACCTGTATAAAAATAACTTTACAATACAATACACAATAGCATTATACACATTGCCTTATTAAAAAGATTTAAATACTAGAAAAGCAATAGGATTGAGGTAGAATAAAGAAATAAAGATTAGTTGTTTTCTTGGTAAAAAATAACAATTCGTAATGGTACAAATGGACCCAAATGTCCTACACGACAAATTGGACTGTTTCATCAGTTTTCATGTCAGATACTTACTATACTGAATTATTTTTTGTTTTTACTTTGTTTTGTTTTTAAATAATGAGAAATGTAGTCAAACGGTGCCTCGGCCCAGGATAGTGATCCAGATCACAGGTGTCTGTAGCACAAGTTGTTACAAATGAATAAAGTGGAGTCTGATGATGATCTTTAACGCATTCACGCGCATGGGCTAGTGTTGACAAATCAGCTCACTCTCACCTTAAATATGACGCAATCATCTGAGAGGACGAGGGGACAAATTTAGCATTTTCATAAGTTTTACAAGAGAGATGAAGAAACGAGGAAAGCCCTAAGCGATAGTAGATAGATAGTCTGTGAATGTTATCTTATATATATACAATATTGCCACCATTCTGAGGAGCCATCCTCCGCTGCAAAGTACTACATTGAACCAAGCAATGTAACACAATGAAATGAAACAACCGATGAACAACCTGCTACTGCCTGTATACACTCCCTATTACCTCCCTATTACCTGCCTATTTCCTCCCCTTCTGTGTCTTCTTGACGAGTTCTGTTCTACCTAGCCGACAAAGCCTCTTAACTTATACTTAACTTATAAATACAACTTTGAACTTTGATTTGGTTTCACAGGCCAAATCCTCAGGAGCAAAACGTTAAGAATATATGGGTGAGCAGAAAAGGGCGATAAAATGAAATATGAAATCAGAATAGACACTAAAATGTTAATATATGGTACTCCATTTTTAAAACAAACAAAATATCATATATTCTGTACATGGTGATTAAATACATTGTGATCAATATACATTCCTGTGTAAGAAAACATATTTCAATTTGTAAAAGGAGCATCCATGTAAACATAATACTTTCCCTAAAACATGTCCGAATTGAAGCTTCCAGCGCCAACTGGTCATGATATATAAAAACATTCTGTATTCACGGATTAAGAGACTATGTAGAAATATCCATATCTGAAGTAAAAAATAAAAAAAATATCAAAAGTTCCTTCAACATAATCAACAACAACTTTAACTGGATGGGTATTTTTTACAAACAGAGAGGGAATCTGCTGGGACTTTCTGTTTCCACTGAAGGCAGGAGACAGATGGTAACAGCTATGGTTTCCAACCTGCGGGCACGTCCGGCTCTTCAAGAGAAGCTGAGGTGACTCTGTTGGTCTCTGGAATTCTGATCAGAAGTCTCACTCCCTCACAGCAAAAACTCGGAAGGAGTTTCCCTCCATGTTGCTCCTCCTGCAAACCGTCAAAACAGAAAAACATGTCACATTCGGTAACCACAAGAAGAGATTCAACATGGGGAACTCCAGCATTTGGTTATGTAACTACCATAAAGTCGTGGTTCTGGGAAATAGAAGGAATTTAGACAAGATAGAGCCAAAACATATTAAGGATTTAATGATTTCACTATTACTAGGTGTCGCTATTAGCACTGATCATGAAACAGTTTTTTTTAAATGTCATTGCACTGAAAGGGACATAAATTATGCATATAACCTAATTTAAATAGCCAAGGAGCACAAGACGTTATTTCTTTGGCAGCGCTGTTTGGGGTGAATTTCACTTTCTGGGATGCTTTGGTAATTTATTTTAGTCCCATTTGTGCAGGTTTAGTTTAGTGCACAGGTTACGCAACCCTTAAGCCCCCCCCCCTAAAACTACAGACAATATTATATAGTTCACGGTCATAGTGCATGTGACTATAAAATTGTAGAATTACCTTGGGAGTCAAAAAAAAACATTGCATTTGCTTGCGTGATAACTGGAAGTCTGCTTTTTACTTTCGTCCAACTACTTTCTGTAGCCCAGTCAGATAAAAGGTGCACGCTCTTATTGTTCACAGCACCATTGTAAATGGCATGCTGGCAGTGTGATGACTTTATAACTAGTTCACTGGTGGTGAGACCTTGAAGCGCTGCCATGATCAATAATCATGATAGGCCTCTGCAAATGGTATCATATCACAGATAATTACCCTTAAAGGAAATCACCGACTAAGTGGCGTACAGCGTTTCCATCCTCGAGTAATCAGATAGGGTGTGATTACTTCCCCAGCAACAGAGTGCAAACCGGCCACCCTGCCATGATGTTGGCACATGACTCGGACTCTCCCAGCCGTTTATTGACCTCCTATCCCGGTGCCCTGATTTGGGCTTTCGCAGTTATGCATTCGATTGCATGGCAGTCCGTCTTGGATTGTTTTGGCCACTCAGCACTTTGCACACTCACTTGAAATGCCTGAGTAAAGTAAGCAAAGATCCCATGTGTGGCCCGTCCACACACCAAACCACACTATTACTCCTTCAACCCCACGTGCCAGCAGGACGGCCCTCACGGGCTTCCGTGCTGAGCGCAGTCCACTGAAGCCAGCCACAGCCATTAGAGTGATGTTACAAACATGGTGTGCGTGCAGGGAACCCACTACAGGCAGTATTACATGATACATGAATTAAGGTATTTTGTAGCAACAAAAAAAAGCACCTTTCTCCGGCTTTTTATATACGTTCTTGTCATAGACACATGTTTCATTCAGTTGTTATGTTGATAGTATCCTATAAAGCACACTCCTATGAGTCAAGTGTTAAAGGCTGAGCTGACTCAGATTAAATAAACCTGGTGTTGAGTCCATTGAAGGCTGTTTATCATAGTTAGCTAGCCAGCAACACAGTCAGCATCAGCAACATCTGTTTAGGTGTTTGTGTTCTACATCAGAATTTGGCATCACACATCTGCCGCTCGCTACAATTGATTAGGCGAAAACTTAAATGAATTGGTATTCGGATGTCATTAAAAGTCAGGCTGAATGTGCCCCATTACAGAACATTTATTAAAATCCCATAAACGCCCTGTTGGGAAATGCAACTGCCCAGCCTAACAGGTGTTTTCAATCTATCCTAATTAGACTTATTCTCATGACTCTGTGGTCGTGTGCAGACTTGACTCTCCTGTTAGCTTCAACATTTGGACTTCGGTGCAGTCAGTTTGCTGACCTTGCGTAAATCCAAGAATAATTCTGTTTGAGAAATCTTGCTATTGGTTTAAGAAAATATAATGCCATTATTCTGGGATCCTAACCATTAAATAAAACATACTAATGACCCATACGAGAATGCTTAAGTGAAACATGTGTAAAGTGCTTGCACATGTGTTATTAGCAATAACAAATTCTCACACTTCTTGGCTTTACTTTCTTCACAACTAAGGAGGCTTTGCAAGGTCACAGCTGTCAAATGTTTTTTGTTTTTTGTAGAAGTGGCAGCTTCTACACACTAGAAACAACTAAACGCTGACTGAGAGGTTTGTCTTTGTACCTTTTGCTTTTGTTTCATAATCTTCATCTAGGAAAGACAATTACATGAAAAGCAATTCAACAAAAAGGTAGTCGTACCTCTCAGACTGGATGCCATTCTTCAGGACTCCAGCATAGTTCTTTCTCTTGTCCAGTGGCAGAACGTCCACAAAACCGCCTTCTGCCTTGATTGCCCCTGCATGGATTGCTGCTTTGCAAATACTGGAGCTCTGGAAGGATAAGGTGAGGAAAATTTAGTTTTACAGTCAGCACAACAGACTCTAAGCTCTTATCAACAGTCCGGAGCAGAATGGTTCATTTTTTGTCCAAACACACATCCCACTGTTCATGTAGCCCTACAAGACGTCTCACCATATGGTTTATGTCTCATTTCCAACCAACATCCAGCGTCTACACCACTGTAGAAACACATTTGGGCGCATGAGATTGAAACCTTTCTTGGAAACATTTTCTATGTGCAGTATTTGGGGAACTGTTGAAAGATTAAAAATCTCTGGGGAAAGGTGATCTCTGTCCAGGATATTATCGCAGGTCGGTTTCCAGGATTATACCCCATGTAACACTATATCCACCTCATCTGATTCTGCAAACTAATAAACAATCCACAGGAGTGACGTATATCCTACAAACTGTTAAAAAAAGACAATGACTAATCTTCTCTGATAATGATTCAGGTGACTTTGGAGGAATGATGTACACCAGCTTCACTGAACTATTTCTACTCGGACACTCAACCCGAAAAACACTCTGAGTGGTGGCAGTTTCTTGCCTCACCTTGACTACCATTCTCTATTGAGCCACAAATACTGTGTTGTAATAGATTTCCTTCCCAGCCTAAAACAATCCTTGAAATACACTGCAGATACTGATTTACTATTGATAAATAAATGACTAAAAACTAATGCATTATTCATGATCATGGTAAAACGTGCAAATCCAGAACAGTGTTTAACTTACATCTGTGTAGATATTGTTTCCAATTACAGGCGACCAATAGGAAGGCTGAGTCTTGCAGTTGGATGGACAGAAGATCCTGAGAAACAAATTGGATATAAATTTGCAGCCACAGATAAGGGTCACTTCACCTCCTATTTAGCAAAGTTATGAATTGTTCATCTCACATTGTAAAAAAAAGTTGTAAGGAGAAAGAAGGATATCACACACAATTGCCCCCAGCAGAAGTAACTGTAAAAGCAGAACCTTTCATTGGCTTATCACATGCATTGGAGAATGATAAGAGGGTTGATGGCACCTTGGACAACGGGAGTTGGGCTTCGTGAAAGGGCAGATCTCAGCCACTGTGGTGTAGCAGTCAGCAGTCATCTCTGTCACACAGAAAGAAAAGAAAAAACACTTGATATACATCATATATCTGCAGCTTGACTGTGTTATAAATGCACTCGTGACTCAAAGCTCTTCTTAAAATTGTGCCTGACTCACCTTCCACTTTGGCCACCACAAAGGCATTACCGGGTTTATATTTACTGTAAGATAATGACAGTGGTTAGGAAATTTCACAAGCAAATGGTTCCAAGCCAATTCTGTTACTGCACAAGATGTGAATCATCTTGAGTGAGTCTAAATAAGCAAATGTAATGCAAAAGTAGCTTATTTCCAACATCTACCTGGAGGATTCAATGCCATTCTTAGTGGATCTGACAAAGAATGGAAACTTCTCCTTCCTTGTTGTGTCAACCACTCCTCCGTTGTTGTCAATGACACCAAAATGAATAGCAGCACGGCAAATACTTGATTGCTGAAACCATTTAGAAAAAAAACCCAATCTCAAATAACAGTATAAATTGTTGCATAATGCAAGATGTTTGTTTCAGGTAGGACATACTCACCACATCGTAGAAGACAGTTCCCCAAACTTTCCCTTTCTTATTCAGACAATTGGCAGGACACGTGTATCTGCAAAGTCAGAAAATGAGTAGAAGAGTGAATTCAAATTGCATGTTTATAATACATCAAAATATGAGAGACATATTTTGCGCACGTCCGGTAAATAAGCTGACCTGTTGCAGGTAGCGCCTCTGCACTTGTCTCGCAGTCGAGTCTCACACTTGATTTGTTGAGCTGCAAGAATACCGTTATGAATTAGTAAAGAAATACATAAACAACGTTTATGGGTTAACTTCAATAATTATAGCAACTACCAAGAAATGTGTTGCTGGGAGTCTTTGAAGACCCTGGTGCGTTGGGCTTAGGAGCCGAGGGTTTGGATGACGGTTTTTTGGGAGGAGCCGGTTTGGGTCTGGGAGCCGGTTTGGCGGTGGTACGAGGAGGCAGTGGAACCTGAGGCTTCTCCACCTCGTTCATGTCCTCCGTCTCTGAGCGCTGGGAGTCTTCAGGATGGACAAACGGAGGTTGATGACATGTTTAATGTTAACACCTCTGAACTGAAACCACGTGGGTTGGCTCACCTTTGAAGCACTGGTTATTCTTACACCCTCCCCCATAGCTGGGAGGGCACTGGGAACAAGGGCGGCCGTGCTGGTATGGAGCCTCGCCGATCCAGTTGCCCCTGTGGAAGTGAACAGCGGAGCGCTTGAGTGAGGCAGAAACACTGCAAATAGTCAATAATCCCACAAACTAAATAAACCACTTGTTGTCTTTCAGGCGACTCGTTCCTGTAGCTCGTTGGAAAGCAATCACCTTCTCTGCTCTCGCTTTTCTCTCTACATGCTACGTTACTATTCATCTTCTATGAATCTGGAGGAACTTGTTAAACAAATGTATCAGACAACTAGTGCTCCATATCTTTATGCAGTTATATTAAGGGTACATGCTATAACAATCGTCACCACTGTAAGGAGGAAGAATTTAAACACTGGAACACAAATTAGAAAAGCAAGCTTACTTTGGGGAATAGTTACACACAAGGTAAACAGCGTTCTCCCATGTTTCTCCCCACACGTTCATACTTGGACACGTGTGCACAGCACAGCCCACTCGGGTAGTGGTTGCCCAGACCAGCTGTAAAGACGGAAATGAAATAAATAGTCAAAGTTAGGATGATCAGACGTAGCAGAATAAACGGAGCTTGCCATCGGTCATTTAATGACCAACGATTAATGGGGACTTCCACGAGTGCTTGGTGTGTTATTCTGCCCCAATTAGATTGCCGTTGGATGGATAAATAAAGCTTTTATTGTCATTTTAGTCATTTTTCAGTCTTCACGGGTTTCCAAGTACCAATAAATCTGAATCGTGAATAGTGTGGGCGCCTGAAGCTTTAAGGCCCCGGGGTGAAATACTCGGCCCGCCACTGCAGTTCTTAATATCTTAACTTAATATCTTAACAGAAGTCAGCCTAGGCATAAAACTGTCTACGGTCAAATTAAATGCCACATTAAACAGCAGGCAGCCGCAAGGGTGTGTAACTCCTTCTCTCTGTCCTCCCAAACTCTGAAACATGTACGTTCTCCCTGCTCAGGAATGTTCATTTTTTCCCGCGTACAGTTAGCGGCCCCTGGAAGCAGTGAGTCAGCACACATCCTGGCTGGTGCTGACTCGGCACGAGTGCTGGCAGTTAAACTCGTGCTGCACCCTCTAATTCCAGACAGTCCAGCAATTCCCCTCGGCTCGGAGGTAGTAGTATGGCCGCCTGAACTGCAGGTACGTCAGAAGCAAGGAGATAATGCTCAGATTTGGCATCGTCTTCTATCTGCAGCATCTCGCAAAGAATCCAGGTCAAGCAGTAAGTGATGTCTGGTGTTCCCGAAAATAACAACCAGATGGTCATCCGGTTTCAGGGTGGGGCGAAGGGAGGAGTCTGGATGTTTCTGTAAAGTCATTCCAGGAGCTACAAAGTAAAGTCTGGGGGAAGAGGTGGCCAGCTCGCCCATTTTTGATTAATTTTCCCCTGTTTTTTTTTGTTTTTTTATTGATTTCTTCATTTTTCTCTCCAAATCTTCTCTCGGGCCATTGCTTGTGATTTTCGGTTTTCTATATAAATTAATATATACATGCATGTCATTTAATCCCTCCACAACTTGGCTCATAAATACTCATATATATCCTACCGGGTGCACACCACATGTTGTATCCAAGCAACACCTTTCAAGCGGCATATGTTCCATATTACGGATAAAAGAAGGCACATGATAAAATACACTTGATACTAAACAGACTTGATCGTAAATATAGCAGATATCAGCAGAAAAATATATTTCACCGTAAAATAAACACCTAGTAGATGCCAACTTTTCAGCTTCCCGGCATCAATTTGAGAGTAAAATAACTGTTTACGGCCAAATCAGACAAAACAAAAACAAAACAACAAATCACATGAACTTCCAGCAACATTCATTTCTTACCATTGACCGATGATCTGGCAAAAGTTTCTCACCAAAACCATAATTTTACAAGTTTGCATTTTAACAGGTGGTGTTACAATTTACCTGGGCCCAACATTATCTGTGCTGAATAGAGCTTGAACACATCGCAGTGTAACTCAATACTGGAACTGGATGGTGGAGCAAAGAACAACGCTCACCTGGGTGTAATGGGTGCACATAGGCCCTGAGCAGCGTTCTGGACACCAGGGGTTGCACTCCTGCGGGTAGGGATAGGTGTAGTCTTTGACTTCATCATACCAGGCCTGGACATGGACAGCAGGAGAGCGGTATCTGTAGGAAACAAGTGCGCGCACACACACGTATACACACACACACACACACACACGCAGACAAACAGTAGGCTCAGTCACAAGCCGTCCAGGTACCAGAGGCAAAAGGGAAATATCTAAGGGAGCTGCCAGGTGCTTTGGCTAGACTTTAGAACCTCACTGCAGAATCCCTGCGCTTCCTCCTCCTCCCTCCAGGCCGCAAATGATAAGTCTGAATTTGAAATGGCACACAGGAAAGAAATCTGTTCCCACTCCTCAACAGGGGAAATCAAATCAGTTGAGTATATGAGAAAATAAGGATCAGAGCAAGCGGACTGTAAACACAGCTCCGCGGGCCAACAAATCGGTTCATGCTCTCGTTATAAACATCTCTTTTTACGGTATTGAAAAGTGCTGAGCCCCTAAATGAGAGAGCAGAGGGGGAGTGGGAAACAAAAAAACTTCACATCAGTGTTTGCTGGCACAAGAAGAAAGGAAGGGGATAGCGACGGGGAGGGGAAAGGCCTGTGAGAATGGGAGCAGATTCCTGCAAGGGCACCTGCTGCGATGGACATGCACAGATGTCTACTGTGTGTGGTGTCTGCTGAGACACAGACTCTCATCACACAGACGTCAGGAGGAGCATCATCCAAGCTTCACACACAACACTCCACCAATATCTCTTCAAAGGATCCGCACTCATGACTGCAGTTTACAGGAAACCACTCGCACCACTGACATTTCAGATCAGACCGATAGTTATTGAAAAAGTCAATGGAAAATAGTGTGACCTGTTGATTATGTGACGGAACAACTCTAAACAATAATATCACAATAGTCCACACAACTTGGTAAGGCTATTTATGAAGAAACGGGTGCTGTCAGCATGGATGTATTAAAAACACAGATGCTAAGCAGGTGTTATGTTCACCATGTTCTCCATTCTAATGTCACCTTCTGCAGAAGAACTGCAGAGGACCTGGACATTAATCTACTCATTTACCACTTATTACACGTTTTATAAGGAATAGACAACATTTAGCATTTGCAACAATACAAATTAAAAAGCAGATGAAGCAGTCATTAGGACCTGGATTTTATAAATGTGTGTAACTTGTACAATCTGTACAAACCATCAGTAAATGAGTCACTAAATTAAAATGAGCCTGTAGCTTGAATTTGTAAACCCTTATCAGAAAGTGGTACAGATACATTTGCACCCTTGAAAGACACCTATAGCTGACATCTTACCTTCCCCAGTGAACGGCCAGGTTTTGTCCAATAGACACGAGAAGGTCCTCGGGTCCGTGGTCCCAATGACACTGCTCTGCCCAATGAGTGGCAGACCGCTCTAACTCATCATCCCAAACCTGCACATAAAGCAAAGCACACTTTCTGACAAGGAATTCACTTCTTTTAGACGCCAACGGGAAGACTTCACCTGCTGCATCTGCTGCAATATGAAGCATTAAACACCCACATCTTGTTTAGTAGATAGCTAACAACAGCTCCAAGGCCTTACGCTCCCACACTTCCTTCCTTACCGGTGAGCGGAAACTGAGCGGTATACAAATACAATATCAACCTTTGTCGGAGACATTTGAGCCGGGTGGCTGGCGCCTGGACCTGGTCCACTACAAACCTCCAGCAATCACAGCTGAATTATCCACATTTCCACATTGTGTTATTTTACAGCGGTGGAGAGCAGGGTGGAAAGCGGAGACGCCACCTGACTCTCTCGGTGGATGGGGCGCTGTGGAGGGGAGGGAAGGACTGCAAACAGCGAGGCCCCTCAAAGCACATCTCTTCAGTAAATTTCCAGCCTCTTGGTGGTCGCTAGAACATGCACACGCAGACACCACCGTAACCCCAAACACCCATTCACTAACACAAACACACGCCGCCTGTTCGCTGGAATTTGAGAGAGCGCCGGGCCGAGTCGGTCCTCAGACACTTTCCTTCCCCGCTATAACCGCACTGCTTCTCCCGACTGCATGGACCTCTGGTGTGTCTCAGCAATAATCTGTCTCCTAGTCTACTCAAAGATGTGCCACGTTGACCCGGGATTTTCCCTTTCTAGCTAAATTCTGGCTGTTTTCCTTTGACCCAGCCCCCCCGCTCTCTCCCCTTTCTTCTCCAAAGCCTGAGCTGCTTGCAGGTTGGACAGAGCCGGTCTTATTATCCTCCTTGTAAAAGAGCAGCCCAGCAGGCTGGTAACAGCTTGCCATCATGACTGCATGTTTCCAGTAGAGAGCAAAGGGTGTTTTTTTTTTTTTTATTACAGCAATACTGCTTTCCAGGGCAGAAATTAAACTACCAACTATTATCTCAGCCCGGTTTTTAGAGGTTGCAGACACCTCCAATTTAAGGTATTTGTGCTTAGACGTATTTCCCCCATCCTTAAGAGTAACAGCGCAGTAGGTCATGTTCTCACCATGTACTCCATGTTGGAGGCGGTGGGGTAAACGGAGCCCCTCAGCTTGTTGTGCATCAGGAGGATCTCCTCCCGGTCCGACCAGCGGATGGCACGTCGGGTCCGGTTGACGGCTGTGTCGCTGGCGCCGCCCTGGTTGGCCGCCTCCTCGTAGCGGCTCAGCGGCTGCCTGAGCTCATTGGAGTCGGGCAGGAAGAGGGAAGCTGAGTCTCTGACGCACAGCAGCAGGAGGGAGAGGAGAGGGATCCAGGTCATGGCAGCGCAGGTCATTCTGACACTTCAGCTGTCTGGGTTGAACTTTCAGAACGTAGTAGACAGGCCGACTATGTGCAAAGTCCCAGACACAACCTGCAGAGAGGAAATATTTAATGAGTGTTTGCCTGCTGTTAGAGTCCACAAACCAGAGTAGAGATGTCTAAACTAATCTAAGAGTATTTCTCTATAAGCAAGTTGTGGCTGAGATAAAATACTGGATAATTCTTCATTCCTTCAGTTGCGTTGTGTCATCTTGTAACTTCTTGAGAAACGTTGCATTTTGAGCTATTGCCAGGAACTTTGTTGAATCAGATGCAACACGTAGTGCTTCCCTTCCACTTTGTCATTCCGAGAATGACCCTCTGATGAGTCACGTAAAATCCAATGCATATTGAACAGCTTCATTTATTTTCCCATGCACACCAAATTAACATAAACTGTACCACAATTAAGGAACCAGTTAGCTTCTGAATCCAAAAGATAAATTCTCTGTTGAAATTAATTTGAGCAATCAGAACTCTGTTCACTAAATTTTCACTGCCTGATTTGCATTGTTAAAGTCATTTAACTGCAACTTTATGCACAATAATATGGCTTTAATACCTGTTATAGATGCATTTTAAGCTTCGTCAGTTAGTCTAACTCTGACCTTGGGCTCAGCTGTGGGGCAAGACACTGAGGAGGGACACCTGAGCTCAGGGTGATATACACCTCCACACTGCTGAACCACAGAACAATGCATTCCATACACTTCGGGGGGGGGGGGGGCTATTCTGTAACTGACCGTAACTGGCGTACGAGATCAGAGCTTAAACAAACATCACAAAGTTGCGTAAAGAGAGAGACGAAGTCCTTCAGTGTGATCAGAGAAGAATCGAAAGAACAAACAAAGCTCTAGTTCGCACTGGGTTGCTCTGTCTTCCTCCATGTCCTTCACCTCTCTCCATCTGGCTGTAAAGGGGGCCTGAGGTCTGGCTCCGGCTGTGTCAACATGCTGTGCCAGCTCTGGGCACTGAGCGCCAGCGGGCAGCTCAGGCACCACACCCTTCTCCTCTCCCCACGCACCCCTTTTCACACCGAAGCTTCGGCAGCTTCTCTGTCTGCGGCCTCCTCGTGGCTCCCAGGAATGTTAGCGGAGTGACAGTCGCAGCATGGGACTCATGCACACGTGCACACATGCATGCGTATCCACAACTGAGCCCTCTCTGAGCTGAAGAGGGACTGACCTCCTCTCGGCCTCACAGGGATGGACGTAAACACATGTCAAAATATCATTGGTGAATTTCAATATTTTCACTAAACTAAACTAAATTAAAAGACACTAGAGGACTTATTCGTTTCCAGTGGCTGCGCCCAAGAACTCTAAAGAGTTGAAAACCAACATCAAATGTTCCATCGTTTTCCATTGACATTTGCTTAGTGAAGCTGCAGCCTCGCAATGAATGGCATATTGTCAGAGTCCATATTGTACCACTGAATGATTTCATTCATTTGGAAATGAAAACGGATAAACGTTTAGCTTCATTTACGAGTAGTGTTTCATTGGTAGCTGCAGGTTATATCATATTCCAAACAGAGATATAGGTGCAACTCACTTAATAATCCAGGCCTATCAACAAAATCATCCCCGCTCTACCTCAGCATTGCTGTAACCCAAGCCACAATGAATTGCATTAAATATGCGTCTCATAATGCTCACCTCTGTCTTTTCCTCCAGCAGCCGGTAGAATGTTTCGAAGCGGTTGCTGTGTTATTCCCTTGTGAGAGCACGGCGGCTGCTGCTCGCTGGCGGTGTTCCTGAAGCACACCGGGGCCGTGTGTATGCCGAGCCGCTCACACTGCCTTATATAGAGAAGGAGACCCCTCAGGACCAGAGGGAGGAAGCAAAAAAAAAAAGATGACTCCCTCTCCTAACTCCCCCACTCGCCTCACAGCCTCCCCCGGAGTCAGCTATGTTCTTGGCAGAGGGCGTGCAGTGCTCGCACGCTGACGAGCAGCCCCAACGTTAAGAGGAAAACTGCATGCATCTTAAATCAGCGAGCTGTCAGAAAGAGTCAGCGGCCGGGCCTTTGGATCATCCCTCGTGGAGTCACCTTGGGGTGACAGTTACTTGCCAGATATGTATGTTTACGTGCAGCTTTACGGACAGCCTTCAAACTGACTGCAGACTAAACTGGGCCGCGGGGAGAAGCAAAGTCACCCAAACTCAGTAAAAACAATAGATATCGGTCTAAAATATGAGCACGCTATTTAATGGCCACCAATTATAACGGCTAAATAAGTTTCTCTCCTGCTTGTAGATTAGTTAACAGCCAAAAACTTTAGGCCTGTGAAATGTCCACTTGCATGTGGTAGAAAATGTACTAATAAATGTTAATGTTATTGTCTGTAGAAGTGGACATTTGAAGCTTATACTGAAGTGTCTTAAACTTGAATTATTTCTAATGGCCACCAGGGAGCGACTCAATGAGAAGTTTGACTGGAGGTCTATGAGAAATTATCACCTCAGTCAACATTGTAAACACAGCTTTGCGATCTCAATCGCTTAGTTCGATTCTTCTTTGTTCATTTTGTAAATGATTCGGCCTTTTAGGAGTAGAAAGCTTTAGTGAGTGGAATCGCCTTGTGATTGACATGTGGCTCCGTGGGCCTGTGGCTTGTCTGGTCTGCCAGTTGGTCGTCATCTTCGAACGTTTTCAGTGAAATGAAAATACATTTCAACTATCTGACGTCTTGTTCTGTTCTGTGTAAGTGACCCTGTGGGTATAGTGTGTTTATAAGAAAGCCATTAAGTGTCCCTTTTCAAAGTCTCCACAGTAACTTGGTGCCTTGGCAACAAAAACCACTTAGTAAGATTTAGGGGAAGTGAGCAGGTATCACTTTACTTTGTAGTGACTCGTATCCTGCGGCCTTTACTCTATTTGTGTAGGACAAAAACACGGCTCCCCTGCAGGAGGTTCTGTGTTTATATGAAACAAAGAAAGCCTAAGGACTGAATAAAGCTACATTTTGGCGAGAAAAAAGTGACGACTTCAGATACATGAAGATGCGAATTCGGAGCACGGGCCTATCTGTCGCCACGCGATGGCTGAGTGCAAAAGGACCTGCAGATCGGCTGCCAAGGCAGCGTCACCGTCAGCTATAGCGACAGAAGATCACATGATCGAACACGTGACCACACAGAGGGAGCTGCTCTGCTCAGGTGGAAAGTTCTCTGCAATAAATCGCTCCACGGCTCATAGTTGTTCGATTAACAATAGTTTCCGCAGTCTGGTAACCAAGAAACGGTTATTTCCTGCTTATAACAAGTTTGGAAAATATTAGTGAAAGATGTATTTATAAAGTAACTTGTAAAAAATCTTCATTTAAACAGGCCTTATTTGAAAGTGGGACAAACATTTGATTATTTACAGGATCAAATATTGTTACTATTTGATACAGTCCAACAAGCAGGTGTCATGTAACTAGATTGTCTTGTTTTGGGAGACGTTTTAACAGGTTTTCACAGCAAAGTTGTTTTTTTGAGTTGGCTGCAGTCAAACAAAAACCCATCCGGACGTAGGAAAGGAGAGCGCGATACATTTACAGACATTCCATAGACGTGTCACTCGTTGTAGGTTTGCTAATCAAGTCAAATCAGCTTTTGTAGTTGTTATGGAGCAAAGCGCGTCGTCCATCATCCTTTCAACAAACCAAAATGAAAACAGATGCGCCAACGGACAATTAAAGACAAATCTTTATTTCACTAAAACCATTTTCTCTTTGGCATTGTGATGGACCTACTCAGATAATTTATAAATAGGGACATTTTGATGTAGAAAATTGATATTAGGTCCCTTCCAGATGTCTAATGCAGACCAGACGACAGCTTATCCAACACTGGCTGCAGCTACCTTTTAAAGATTGATCCAAACATGAACACATCCAGATGGAAGAATTAAAGCGCTTCAACTAAGTTCTTTTTTGTGCATCAACACTTAATTATACTAATTAATACCATTCAGGATACGACATTTAAATGGAACACAGGAATCGGTTTGTGTTCTTGTTTACATTATGACAGAATCCAGGTTTCTGATCACCTGGTTGTACGCTGATTATTTCAAATCTCAAGTCAACTTAATTCTGGACTGACAGTTACTTCAATATTTGAGGATGAACAGTTTGGTTTGTGGCTCTCTGAACCTTAAAAAAACTCAACATACTCTGCATTGCTGCAGTCTAATTACGTGCCTTTATTTCAGCGCGTTGATCAGCTTAACGTCATTTTACTAAGATACGTTTAGACTTTCCAATTACCAGCAAAATATGATTTTATTGCAGGATAATAATATTTACAAAGTGCTATATGACATTTGTGATTTGAAGAACTGTAAATTTAACTTTCACCCAGTTAAGCAGGACCGTCCACAAATAACTTTAAATGATACAAATATGACATTGAACTCAATGTCACTCAACTTTTATAATATCTTGTTTAAGCTACCTAGTAAATCTGTGACCAGGGACATGTCAAAGACTTCTATGGAAGATGTCTCGAGCTGGGTTGTTCGATACTGAGCAACACCTCATGACAAACGTTTGTAAGTGTCTTATGGTTGACTGTATTCATATATTCAAGGGACATGCGTTTTTATTCAGAAGTGTTATTCATTTCTCAGCTGCATCAACAGTAATACATCATTTGCCTCTGGAAAAATGGAAACTTGCAGCATGAGAGGGGGATTACACAACTTAAACATCCGTAGTCGTGTACCGTCTGGTGTGATTTAATCTTGATCAGGTGGGACATCAGGTTTGGTTTTAGCTCCCTCCGCAGGGAGGGGGGACGGGGGTGGGGGACCCTGACAAAAATAGTTGCACAAACATAAACCCGGGAGCTGGCTGGTCGGACAAACTCAGCCGGCCCCGTTTACTGTCCTCAGAAACTAGAGTGCAAGTGGACCCCTGCACAAGAAAAAACTAAAATAAGATGCAGAGGGGAAAAAATGGGCTGAATGAGAAGACCCCATGGTGACAGAGGCTGATAATAAACACCAACTAGCAGGAGGATACAAAGAACAAGAGGTGGAAAGTCAGGCTAGTTTAATGGCAGTGAGAATGCTGTGTAAACAAACTTGCATACTATTGCTTTGGTGGTTGGTAACGTATTGAACGGAGAACTGGCACCAAGGAGTCCAATGGCAGGCATTCCAGCTTCAAGGTCACGTGTCACCCGGAAACAAGTCTCTGCAAAACAGCAGTCTGCTGCACATGCTTCAATTTGATCCATCAGTTAAATGATGTAAATGGATACTTTAGAGAAAAGACATCTTTGTGATGCTGCTTTATGCCCTTTCAATACTGAGATCAGTCAACTTACTGGATTGTATTGAAAAATGTATATGGATTTTCAAAAAACCATTGAAGTCTTAAAAAGGCCTGTAGGGAGAAGAACGCACAAGTTAGGCTGGAGGACAATTGAGAGTATAGGTGGTCTTGTAGTTTCCTTCTGAGGAAAATACTACACTTGATTGTAAGTTTGAGAGTAAAGCCACATTTTAGTGGACGACCGAGCTGTAGAGGAGGGAATAAATACCAAAGAGCAGAAAAACCTTACATAGCCAATTTTTCAATGATGGGTTCTGCTTCCCATTAAAAGCAAAGCGAGCAGGGTGGACAGCGAGGCAGGCAGCTGCACCACAGCAGTACTACAAATACTACAGAGAACATGTTGACATGCAGGGACAAGAGACCAATTAGCAGCGTGTGGTAGACCAAGACTCCGTGGATCCTTTAGTCGTTTTGGTTTATTGTGCACATTGTTCTGCAGACCAGTCCAGAGTGTAGAGAACGGAGCAGTTTTCATTATTTAGGGTATTATAAGAAAGCCTGTTTTTTTTTGTTTTTTTCAACTGCACTTCATAAGTAAACTGCTTTTTTGCACAATCCTTTATTTGAACAATTAACAAAATAGAATGCTTAGAGGATTAAAATTAAGAGACTAGAGATTTTTTTTTTTTTTGGTCAATATCCCAACATTTCTCAGCAGACAATAGTGTTAGGAGCACTCACTGAAAAGAGAAACATTAATGAAGCATTTCAACAGCACATTTCCAGACTTGAGATAAAACTGTACAACAGAAAGCTCAAAAGGTGTCCGTTCAAAGTCCCAAATCCAAAACATTCCCAAAAGAAAATGAAAATCAACATCACAATTAGTGAAGCTGCGACTCCAAAGCCAGCAGCACAAGTGAAACGGTAAAATCAGAAAACGCCTCGCCGGTACGAGCGGCACGCCTGCGTCTCTGGTGTGGAAGGAATCACTGACGGTCGGATGGAGAAGGCAAAATAAAAGTTGAAATACACATTGAAGGCAGTGGCGTCAATATCAATGCAGTCCTTTGGTTTACATGGGGAAAGGTTTCTGACTTTGAAACAGACGAGGAAAACCATGCGCCACACAATGCTGCTTTGGACTACACGGTCTGGAAAATAATGGGTGTGGAATTAAGTAAATTTGCAAAATGTCCGACGAAGACAGAATTTAATCTTTGTTATTAAAAGTACTGGAAGAGTTATAATTCGACTTAAATACTTAGTAATAGCTCTGCTATTGAGGATTTATATTTTGCACTTTTCAATATGGAGGCAGCAAAAATGTGGGACATCCATCTATCTTGTGGACAACGTTTTATTAACTACCTGTGAGGAAATACTTGAGCGGATTATATATTAAAGTGTTAATACTAGATACCGACACTGGTGGTGGGAATGAGATGGGTCTTGAAGGGGAAAAAAAATCAATTGTTAAAAGAAATGACAAAATAAGGAAATAAATATCAAGCGAAGAACTAGCTCAATTTTATTCGTTGTGCTTTAGCCTGTGTAATTTTTTTTTTTTCAAACACCAATTCAAATGCAAGCATATTTTTCAGAAAGGAGCGAGAGCATGGGGACATCCAATAAATGACAAAAAAAAAAAAAAAAAAACATCTTTAGTAACTCAAACTAAACTCATCAAAATCTATGAGTGATCCCAAAAAAAGGAAGAAACACAAATCAACATCTTTTAACAAAAGCAAACACCATTTCCTTTTGTGCACGTCTGAGGTTTCATACAGAGCTTCGCACGGATCGAGTCCCACTTCCCCTCGACACGCAGTTTCCCCTCGGCGGCGAAGAGGGAAGGCTGAGCCACAACAGAGTAAATACAGAGGTGTGTCGGGTACATTCCCCCAAATCTTCACAAACATTAGATTTGCTGTTGGTGCCTGATGAGGGGGAGACTTGTACACCGAGTGGAAAAAACATTACACGTTGAACCTAAGGCAGCCCCCGCTTTCTGCTGAGATTGGGGGGTAAGAGGGGTGGTGTGGCTCAAAACTACACAGATAAGCCACCGGTACACAGTTGGAACCTTTGGACAACAGAAAGAACGGATAGAGAAGGAAAATGTACAAAGTAAACAAGGGCAGGTTTTGCAATGTCTTGATTGGTTGGCAAATCTACCGTGCAATAACTGAGTCTAAAAAAATAGCTTCGTCCTTCAGAATCCAAACAAGTTTTCAGTCAGATTTGATATTTGTCTTGGTTTTTTTATATTTCATTTGCAAAATACTCATTTGCCTGTCATAATGTGATCAATCAGTTTATACTCTATGCACAGATGCTCATTTGTTATTAAAGTCTAAAGCGCATATATATATATATATTTTTTAGTCTTTCTAGATCTAACCCCACATACCATAACGAGGACCTCTCAAACAAGGGAGTTGTTCAGTTCTCACGGTACTCTTTTCTCCTGTTGATGGCTCAAGTTGTACCTAGATTTAAAAGCATCGTAAAAGTGAGGATATGGATGAGGAGGAGATTGTGGTGGCGGCGAAGACGACAATCCGGCCGTGGGAGGAGACTCGTGATAATGCTGGTGCTGGGCCTTTTCAATGCACTAGGGCAAATTTATTAGGCTTTTAAACTGCTGCAAATTCCGGCAAACAGTCCTTCACTAAAAGGCAAAACACTGATATTTCTAGGTCATTTCCTTAAAAACGTTATTCAAACAAGAGAAGTCACCCCGGCGGTCCACTTGCAGGCTGTGCTAGATGGTTCTTCCTGTGTGCGAGTCCTCCGTTTGCCGACGGAGCCGAGCTGTGGGCTCAGTCAGAGGAGAGCCTCAGGTCCTGACCCGTGAACCCCAAACCCCCCCTCGGTCTATTCAACAGTCCTTTCCTCGCTGCTTTAAAAGTAAAAACAAAAAAGACAAAACGAAAAAACAGCAGTGGTGCACAGAGAAGAGAGCGCAGTCACAGGGGAATCTTTGTGAATGCAGCCAGTTTCTCTTCCTCCTCCAAAAAAAAAAAAAAAAAAAAAAAAAACCATGGGGAAAAAAGGTGTTGGAAAAGCTGGTTCTCAGGAAAGCGGGACGGGAGGGAAGAAGAGGAAAATCTTGCAAAGAGAACAAGTTGGGCAGTGTTCCTGTTCGTTAGTTTTATGTGTGTTTCTGTCATGTGTCCATTTGCTGTCCTGTCAACGAGTGCATTTAGAGCATGTATGTTTTGTGTGCGTTTGTGAATATATCTGGGTGATCTTGCGTGTAGGTCGGGATGTGCGTGCGTGTGTGTCTACAGCAGGTCGACGCGGCGGTAGTACAGCAGGTAGGCGGTGCGCTCTGCAGTCTGCTTCATCACCTGGTACTGGGGGATGACCTTCACCGCCTGGTCGTCGATGCGCAGCCAGCCGTTAAGACCGATGTGGAAGACGTCCGTGGTGTAATGACCACCTGTCGCACTGTTCCCATGGTGATAGACAACTGGTTAAGAGGGAGAGACAGGGGGAAAGAATAAGGACGAGAGAAATGGGAGACAGTTTATCTAAAAGGCATCATTACTAAGAATGTTTGATCTAGCGCATGTAAAGAAAACTCACTTACTACACGTATTCTTTTAATTACGAAATTACAGTTGTCCTGCCCAAGTTTACTTAAAGCTCAGAGGGCTTTAGCACCCTTTTGAGGGGAAGCAAAGCTCCTTGACTAGTAAAAGTCAAACAACAGGTCTCTTTATCCATGAAAACAAGTGCATTACGGGGTTTTGCTTATTTAAAAGGCTCACTGATGGTAAATATCTGATACACTGATAATTAATAGACTAGGAGGGAAATAACTCGATGATAATTATCATCATTGTTGTTTTGGGCCGCATCATGTTCACAAGTCCAACAATGACAAAGTTGTTGCAAAAACAACATCACAAGCAGAAGTAAAAAGTAAATAAACAACAAAACGCAAACACACCTGCAAAGAGCCTGTAAGTTCTTTGGCCTTTCACAACTTTGCTCCTTACTCCAGAGGACAAGAGATCTAGAAAGAAAACAATACAAACAAACTTGATTCATTAGGAAGAGCCGCTTAGACCTGGAAGCCGTAAAGTCTTAATGTAAAAAGTCATATTCAGGCATGAAAACGGGTCAAGGGTGAAAAAGGTGAGAAGGATATTAACCCTCTAGGGGTTTTCAAGTGGGGTTTTTTCACCCAGGGATCATTTTTTGCATAGCGACGAGGGGGGGATGGGAATTGACAACTAATAGGGGACAAGTCATTAAATACCCGTCATGCATTATATTGCATTGCAATGTAATGTGTGCTGGTCAACTAATCTAAAATTAATTTTAGACAAATTTTTGCGTAGTTTAGAGTGACAAATCGTACCAGCGTACTTTGAAGTCAAAATGCGTATCAGGTTGGCAGGTCTGCTTATTGATAGAACGGTGGACCACTTTACCTTCTGCCTCGTCAGTCCCCTCACCTCAAAATCTACCTTCTCAAAAACGTTAGCGTTAGCTAATCATTTTCCACCGGAGCTTTAGCTTGATGACTCAACTCATCAAGCTGTAGCTAACGTTAGCTAAGTCTATGTCAATAAAGCTCCTGGGTAAATTAACTTTGATATACCAGAAAACATTACAATGATTGAAACCATCACTCACCCTGTTCGCAGTTCACTGAATATGAAAAACTCATAGAATCTACACGATTCACGTAGGTCACCTATTTTGGTTTGAAAACGGCGAATTTCACCGAAAGGTGACGGATTTTCATGCCCGATAGTATAACAGGGATAAAAATATGTAAAAACGTATTTTGTAATCAGTTGTTGTAGAAAACGGTGAAAAGTGGTGTACAACTTCTCCGCAACACTGCTTTCGATTTATTCGGAACCCGATCCCTTCAAAAGAGCGCACTGCCATCAAAGTCTTGTGCAACTTGTGTACGGCCTGAAGTTGGGAGGTTTCATAAATCACTACCACAAGACTCCACTTAAGGGACAAAACGGTCTACTTGAATATCAAAGACTATTCTTTCTCAGGAAAAAACTGAGTGGAAATTTTAACAACATTTGTGGTTAATTTGGCAGAATCATCGGGGTTGGAGTTCTTGTGACTGGACATTCAGTCTTGTCTTCCTGTCTCGTCTTACAGTGGGGCTTTCGCGATAAGCCCACATCAACAAAAAAAGAATCTACTTTTGGTTGACATTGTCGGCTGTAAGCAGCCATCATTTGTGGTCAGTGCAGGCAACTTTGGTCATCAACGCCTATTCCTATTTTAGGAAGGCTGAGGCCTGCTGATGCACTGTGAGTGGGAGAGGACTTCATACCTTTGCTGATTTCCAGATCAACGGGATAATCAATGTTCTTGATTAGTTTCTGGCAGCCTCCCGTCTTTTCAAAAACAAATCTCTTGAGATGGAGCACCAGTACGGGGGGCAGCTCCTCCAGAGTCACTCTCCGACTGATCTCGATCTAAAGACCGAAAGAGATGCAATGTTGAAGATTTTAAAAACATTTAAAAAAAATAACGGGCCACAAGGGTTATTTGGAAGTGTAGCTTTAAGAAAAGTGGTGAAGTTGTTGGAAACAGCTTGCCGGGATCATGAATCATTTGGTTTTGAGTAGAGCTGGGCTGTAAATCACAGTTAACTGCCTCCAAACTGAAAGCCACAGAAAAATCGGTTTGTCTGCTACATAAACACACATATGCCCATCGCAGCGTCGAGCAGATGCTCCCTGCCTCTGTCGCTCCAACAAAATGTTCTCAGTTAATGTTTTCTTCCATAGTTGGGGAGTCTTATTCTGAGACATGGAGTAACTTTTGTGAGGAAAATCACAGCTTTAATATAGATTGATGCTTTTTAGGAAATTCACAAAATAATATTCAATACTAGAATTCAAAAATAAGGGGCATATTATCTTTTCCATTGTGAATTAGTTAACAGCATTGGATTCTTATTCAGACGGTCCTCTGTATTCATACCTCCTGCTTGGTTTTAGAGGTGTATCCCTGGACCGACTCTCGGGCCACTAAGGTCTCTAAAGCCTCCTGGACAGTGCGGATCTTCTCTGACTGGATGTCCAGCTGCAGGGTGAAGAAAGGCTGCAGAGTGGCCGACTCTTTAGAGTTCTGTTGATACACCACCGATCTGAAAGAAAAAAAAACAAAATAACACCGGTTATGAGAGCAGGTTTGTGCAATTTTTATTTTATGGCTCTTGGTTTTATACAAAACTATAAAATTATTGTATTAGTAGCTCCTCAAATGACGCACCTTTATGAATGATTCTGAGCACAACATCTAAGAATCAATAAAATCCAAATCCAAAATCCTGTCTGCTAAAAACTCAACATCATTTTTAAAACTGAAACAGTGATTCAGAAACCAAATACACGGGTTATAATGACTAGGCTGCGTGGGCGTATGTAAACATACACTCCCGTGCTCCGTGTTTCTCTGGCTGAGACCATTTGGGAGAAAATAAACCTTTAAGGCACTGCGGGAGAAGCGCTGACCGGGACCATGCCAGACCAGAACCTCAGAGCGTGTTATTTAGGCGGCTGCAGGTTCTTTCCAGTTTGTCTGGTTAAGACCTTTGTCTGTGAACGTGTACCCCACGTCTCGCTGTCGAGACGCGGGACGACAATCGGCCCACGGTGGAGGTTATTCTGGAGGACGGCGGTGCTGGAGGCTGGAGCAGGACGCTGGCAGGAGCGATTTGTGATGCCGCCGCGAACAAGAGGACAATTATTTCTGAGGTTTGTGTATTGACTGGGAAGAGGAGGACGATAACGCTTTCTGGACTACGAGCACAGAATAGTACAATGAAAACATATGGGAATTATTTTTGTCAGCGCATACTTTAGTTTTAACATAGTGAACGGCTGTCTGTCTCTAAGGCTTCGGTCCCTCGCTGCTTTCTGTCATCTACTGTAGTAACAAACTGCGATAGGACACTAAGAAGCCATTTAAATGCTCATAAAGTCAATATTGAAAAGGTGGATAGCAATTAATTTGATAGCAAAACCTTCCGGAATCATGAGGTATTTTTTCACAAAATAAATGTTCCACTTCTATTCTTGCCTCTTGTGAAAAAAGGCACAAGCGACAGTGTGAATAAAAGCGCAAACTTTCTGTGCCACGCCTAGGAAGGGAGACAGTCATTATTAACACAGCTCCCATGGTAACGTGGACACATTAAACACAACACTCCAATATATGTATGTTACATCTTAAAACAATACGACGTATTTACAAAGCACTTGCATTGAAAGAATTAATAAAAGCTCAGTTACACTGAAACTACGGAGATACTAACTGACCCTTTTCTCCTGCAACCAGATTTCTCACTAGATTCAGCTGGTGGAATACGGAGACGTGTACGCGCTTTTGTTTTGGCTCACCTCTCGTCTTCATGTTGACGAGCGGTTACAAAATGAATCACATCTTCCCATAAAACAGGACTTTTCTAACGAACAAACAATGTGTCTCTTGCACATCTATCGTAAGCCTCGGAGTTTCCTCTTACGACTTTACTGGGAAAATGGAATTAGCAGAAGCACGCAGCGCTTTGTGAACCCACGAGGGCAACATTAAAACAACCCTCTACTTCACCAGCCAACATAATGTCTTTCTTTACACAGGGCTCATTATTTCACCTTCACATAAAAATGTCTCACTGAAACACATCGTCACGGCGCTCTGTCAACGTACCTGATGTGCCCACCAAATATGTCAGTGATGGGTGTGCGGACAAAGTCCGCTTGGCGAGTGATGGAAGTCTTATTTCTGGGTCCAACTTGTTCCCACTCGTCCTCACTACCTTCTTCCTCCTTATCGACAACATCTTCCTCCACAGCTGGCTGAGACTCCGGCCCGTTGGGTGTAGGAGCTTCGGGTAGAAAACAAGAATGAAAATACACTTTAAAACCTTTTTCAAACCACAATGAAGTATGAAAAATGAACTCTTCCCCTTGTATTGGGGATGAGTTTACAAGATGGAGGAAATTCAATTAAACTTTAACTGATCGGACTAGATGAAAATGGAAGCTTTACTATAAAACTTTAATAAAGCTGGATTTTGGATTTGTGTGATGTAGGGTGCATATTTAATGTTCACACCTGTTCTAATCATAAATCTGCATCTTTATCATTTCAATACATTGGTGTTCGTGGAGTTTTCCTTTTCTATTTTATTGAAAAACAAGTAGCACACAATTTCACAAACTTGATAGATCCTTCCGCCACTTTGTTGTAGTTATGTTCATGCATTAAGTAAAGCATTTATCTTTAAAACACACACAATGTGCAAGATTCAAATCAACAAGATCAGTATTCATCCCATTTTGCTGATGAAATGTACATGCAAGAGATGCTTACTCTCTTGTGGCGAGATTAGTTTTTTCAAAGCCAGCATCTCCTCGTGCAGTCCGTTGAGAGTGAAGCCAAGATACTCCTCCGCATCCTCTTGTCGACCCTACGAGTGCAGCAAACAGGAAATCAGCAGCAATTAAAACCCTTCCAAGAACGCTTAATGCACAATAAAACGCTGCCGTGCACAAATGTATTGCAAACAAGACATTCACTGAACAGACAGTGAGGCAGATTTTAGAAGGGACACAGAGATCTCATCTTGTACATTTAATGAGGCTTCCACGCATCCTGCGTGTTTGTCATTTTAGCCATTAAAACTGAGTCAGAATTGACTCGGCATGTTTAAGGCATGAAATGAGTTAGCAAATTCTGAGTGAGTGAAAACGTATATAACAAACAGAAAAAGGACATTTCCTTCAAGCACCGCATGTTCTGGAAGAAGCTTATTCAAAAGAATGTGATAATTAAAAGATCCTCTTGACTCATCCGTGTGCAGGAAGGATGTTTTCAACCAGACGCAGCACATTTTACCTTCTCAGACAGACTGGACTTGATCAGAGTGAGGAGTCTATAAATGTAGGTTGGTTCAAAGGAAACACCAGGCCGAATGTCTTTCATGGCCTTTTCACCAACAGCTGCGGACACAAAACAGTTATTACACACAGTGAAGCAAACAAAAAGCAAAAACCACGGCCTTTAAAATGGCTCCGTTGCATCTCACCTTGCTGCTTGGCTTTCGATGGCACAGGCATGTTGTTGAACTCGTTCACCAGCCGAACGCTGTCACACAAACACAGAAGTGAGGGTGAGGTCTTGAGCAGAACAGACTTTGGAAATTTGCACTTAGCGGAAAGGCTCCTTACAAGTTGTCCATCATGGGTGTGGAGGTGCAGGGTCTCTGCGTTTCATTATGCAGAGGAATGGACTTCAACATGTGGTACATGGGAGGGCACGCAATCAGGGCCTGTAGGGTCTGAGTGGCCAGAGTCAGGGCGGAAATAAGCGCAGCGGGAAATATTTTACAAAAATAAGCCACAGTGGACCATCATCGAAACATTTGAGTTGCAAGAGCAGCGGAGTGAAAGGATACAGCGTTGATGTAGCACCAGTTTCCCTTGTTGATCAGTCCTCTCGGCTGCAAAGACACTGGTTTATGTATCAACTTCACATTTTCAATAAGTTCTGGGGATTCAAACAGACACAATGTTCTTAAACAGGCCACCCACATCAGCATTGTTGTCAATGGCATTAACACATATGATGGTTAATAATAAAGTTAGGAGCACACAGTTTTCACATCGCAAATGTTTCTCCTTCCATTCTGGTCTCTTGTGACAACAGCACGAGAAACCATCTGAATAAAGGCAAGAAGTTGCTTTACCACGCCTAGGAAGGGAGGCTGTCACCGACACACAGCTCCCATGGTAACGTGGACACCGCTCAACAGAATTAACACAAACATTAAGCATCCAATGACAAACATTTATGACAACGAATAGTGTGTTCAATTTTTGCCATTAAACTTATTTTAAAGTGTAGCCTAGAGATTAACACTAGCGCAGAATAAACACTCAAATTAACGCACTCAAATGAACACCACTAAAACAGTTTCCATTTGCTGGTTTAAAGTCTTACTATGTTGAACCAAAAGGGGAAAGAAAAAGGTGGGATTTGGGTAAACGGACACTAATGAGCTCCATACTTTCAGAGAACCACAAACATGTAAATACAGGCAATATAAATCAGGTTTATCTAAACAGACAAATCTCAAATACTGCAGTACCCTTTAACATCATGCTCCACAGGGACAAAAGAAGTCATTAGAAAAACAGCATGAAGAGGCACAGAAAAATAGGTCATGTCTTGTTCTTCAATGGTAACGTGACTGTAGTCACCTGTATAATCACTTCACCTGCTCCTCCACAGGAAGCAGAACCACCATCTTTCAGCCTCACCAAATGACCAGATGTTTTTTCACTTGAACTGAATGTTTAAGCTGCAGTCTTAGTGTGTGTCTGTGTTGTGTTATTGTAGTAAAGTAACATGATCTCACCATTTGAGTTTAACGTCTAAGTGGCCAAATTGTAATCACCTTCTAAGGTTTAGCAATTTATGACTGCAGTGAACCACATGTCAGTGTCAAAACTGCATAAAAATGTCCAACAATCACCTCAACGGGGCTTAAAATATCATTTGAGTTTCAGAATGACACTGAATAAAGACACAAAACGTGTGTGTCTAAAGGAAGAAGCCTCTCGAAGAAAACTGAATGTTCTGATCTAAAAACAGAGCATGCTATAGCATTCCCGTGTCCCAGAGACTTGTAATTAGTGTAATGAGATCAAATGGGTAACAAATGTGACCAATGAACCTGACAGCTATTGTGGATAAAGTAGCACCATCTAGTGTTCTGTCTGTGAACTGCTTTAACATGCGCAACACGCCAAATGCATTGCCCTGTGGTAAGGAGTGGTTGAGCCATTCATATTCAAATATAGACATAGTAAAATGCGCAGCAGAAGTTTGGTCACTTACCATCTAAATACCAAATGTTTAAAACATGAACCAAGAAGAAGGGATGGTATAATTGACTCAATATTGCCATCAAGTGGAGGGGGAGAGGCAAACATCAAACCGGTATGTTGGGTCTTTTTTATGTAATACAAAACATGTTCACATAATACCTGCAAGTTTAGGGGCCATTGGATCCTCTGAAACGTGGACAGGGCCGTCTTTGTACTCCCCAAATTTCTCAGGCTGCTCTGGTGTAGCGAGGGATGGAGGCACCACCTCCACAACCTGCTTTACCTCCACAAAGGCCTGAGGGCCCCCAGGCAGAGGCTTGGAGTTGTGGAAGAGGCTAGCCCAAGATTTGGGGGGGTTTGCAGCAGGTGCAGCTGGAATCACAGGCGAGGGGGCCTGCTCAGACGCCGCCGACTGGGCAGCAGAGTCTGGGGAGGCCCGCTGAGCCTGCTCCCCGCCCTCGCAGTCCCCCTGGTGTTCCTCTGCACCAACGGCGGCGTCTGGCTCTGCTAGCCGATTGGCCACCCCACTGTCCGCAAACTCGCTCTCCTCCAGTTCAGTAGTCGTGATGCAAGTGGCGACAGAGGGCGCGGCCACGGCGGCTGAAGGAGGAAGAGGGGATTTGGAGGGCGGGCTGTGTGGAGTATCTGAAAGTTCGGGGCTCTGGGGAGCCAAAAGATCTGGCTGCTGATCTGCAGTCCTCGGCCCCTCTGTCGTCTCTCTGCTTTGAGAGGAGGATGAAGAGCAGGAAGTTGCATTGTTGCCGTCCGATAAAGAGGCAGCTCCACTTGTGAAGTCCAAAGAAGAGTCATCAGGGCTATCACAAGTCCTCTGATTGGCAGTGGCTGTAGGGGCAAACTTGGCTGCCGCGACGGGAGCTGCCGGTGCGGCCGTGGAGACCGGTCCGGGTGTCGAGAGTTCTCCCCCCGGCGATGCCTTGCCGTCCACATCTTCAGCCCCGTGGTGGGGGCCGCCCATCGCATGTCCGTTCACCAGGGCCCCCATAGGCGTCCCGTCCGCCGCGCTGCTGCTGCTGTTGCCAGTAAATGGATCCAGGTAGTTGTAATAACCCGGCGGACGCTTTTTCTTTTTCTTCCTCTCTCGCTGCCCCAAGCTGCCAGGGAGTCCGTCCATATCCTGGCAGGACTGATTGTCCAGGGCCGAGGCCTCCATGTCAGGACCATCCAGTGAGTTGAAGTGGGCCCCATCGGGGACATCGTCCTCTTGGGGAGATGACGGTTGGGCCTTCTGTGCAGACTGGCAGCCCAGGATGAATTCTGGAGCTTGGGGGTTGAGGGTGCTCGACACCTTGAACAAAGGATCGTTCAGCCCAACAGGCTTGGAATCCATCACCTCGTCAACGCCAAACTCAATGCGCTGATAGTCTTCTGCGGCAGATAACATTGCAATCAGTTAGAAACAAAAAGGGGTTGCATTTCAAATACGGCCTCAATATGAAAATCATGTTGCATTTTACGCTCTGCTGAAGAGTTGGTTTTACACCCTCGAGCCACACGATCAGACATTCCAATAGAATTAAACAAATCCTGCTGGACCGGTCTTTAGCCCAAACAACTATTGTTGGGTCTATTCTCAACCACATTCCATCTGCGCTTACGGGGATCCCAGGAGTCGAGAAATGGGTGATTCAACAGGTGCACTGAGGCAGAGGGGGTAATATGATCTTGGGTATTGTCAGTCATCCTAATCCAGACTTGCTAAACTGAGACAAGTGTAAGTGTATAATCGGCACAGACTTTATAAGCATTTGTTTTCATGTGCCATTAGTATATTTTGGTATTCATTTAAGATGCAAGTGTTTTGTGTAATCAGATCTAATCATATGGTTGGCGGTTAACTAATCCGTTCATGTATCGAAAAATGTAAATGTTTAATATTCAAACTAGGTGGTTGTCATTCTACGTTCCTATAGTGGGCTACTATGCAGTTCTTGCCAATTCTAAAAGAGCAACTTCTCGTGTGGCATTTTGTACTGTTGCATCAAGCCTTCATAAAAAAAGGACGTGAATGAGCATTTGTAGATCAGCCAATAGTAACGCCATGTTTCTACATCGGATTGGGACTCTGAAAACATTCATGTTCTCTCTCTCAGATCACTTGAATGACAGTATACCAAAACGTTATTACGGAATATTGCCCAATGACGCCAAATATAAACTGATATTTGGGTGCGGTCATCGAGATTCAGTTAATAATATAGATTAAATTGAAAATAGTTTGCACAGCATTCTGGAAGACAGCAACAGGCTCACTGTACACATTCATACATGGCAATACCCACCTTCAACACAATTTAAGTGTAAATAAGATTTTTCAGATTCATCATCATTAGTCCCCAATCATTTCTTTTGGGGTTAGTTATTTATTTTATTGCTAATGGAGCAATTCATCTCAGGGGATGCAAATGTATTTGTCCTCAGTTGTGTTTTCATGTAATGAAGTTGGAATGAGAATAACTGGTTTTCTTAAGTGAAACATATTTATTGTATAGCAATATAGTTTGTCTTTTAAAAAATATGTGGTACTTTTCAAAATGTTATGCAAGTACTTAAAATGTAAGTAAATAATACACAAATAAACACAACATAATTGTTAAGTTATAATGTGTTGCATAGCAGCTTAAATAGTTAATTATGCAGAGGCGCAGAGTGGAAGAAGGTGAACACATAGGAAACATTTGTTAGTCCAAATCAGGAAAAATCATCCAAGTTGCTTTAACAGTGAAAGAGCTGATCGGTCCCCCAAACTGTAAACCCGATGGGTTGCAGGGGTTGACAGTAGTGGTGTAACGGCTCCCCCCCCAACACTTTAACCTTATGATGTGACACAATGGGGTCTAACCCACGACGGTGGACGCCAACGGCCAACAGAGGTCACATTATGATGCCTTCAGGCTCTGGTGAGTAATTAGGACCATTGGGCAGAAGTCATTACAATGTAAAATGTAGTTTTGGTAGAAATAAAAAATAAAAAGTAGAATAACTAGTATAGTGCAAATCCTTTATTTGGCGGATGTGGATTATCAGGGATCTCTAAAAAATATGATTAGCTCCCCTTTTCATTTTGTATTGATCTGATCTGTGACGTGATCGGAGTTTTATGATCCGTTGCACCACCAGTTAACTGGGTATGAACACAGCAGTTACGTTCTCTACTGAAATTAGAAGGCTCTGTTAGTGTTACTGAAACCACACTTCAAAACGCGTTCAGCAATAAAAACCATAACAACGAGAGTCTAAATACGTACACGCATGTTAGGGATCACATCAAACCATCCCTACGCCCGTAGTAAATCAGAAATGTTGTTAAATCATATGAAAGTTCAATGGGATTTTAAGTCAACTTGGAGCCCTGCAGTGGTGAAAATGCATTATATGCAAGAGAAGATAAAAGATACTTTGTAGCATCTTGAGCATGCAAAGCTCTACAGATCATACCAACAGGCAAGAGAAAGAATACAGGCGCAAGGTTTAGAAAGCCACCAGTTTTTGAAACCTGGATTTTGAGTTTTACAGCAAACGTACAACAGCTAGTCAAGCCACAGGGTGTCGGACTCCTCAACTCACCGCAAACCTGCAGTCCCATTGACTCCATAAAATAAGGTACAGCGGGAGTGCAGTAAGTTCCTAAATAATCAATACAAATCAAGGTAAGGCAAGTGTCATGTGCAAACGGGTATCAAAGACAGGTGGCTGCTCTTACATATTTAATTTGGGGGCTTGAAATTTAATGAATGAAAATGGTTAATGGGATACGAAATTCATTCTAAACAATATATGATGAATTTACAAATAAATTTAAAGTATATGATGAAAAACATTAAAAGCTGCTCCCTGTCCAGCTTGGGCTTCAATATTACATTCATTTTGGACCTGCTCTGAAAAACTGATGACAAGTACAAACATTTAAATAGCCTTTTGATTCCAATAAAAGTTCAGGAGGAAAAAGTGAATTATCTAACAATCAAGTGTGCATGAAATTTACATACCAGAAGACTGACTGACGCAAGGAACTTTGTCATTGAACGGCGGAAGCTGTGTGGAGGCAAGAAAATAAAGTAGTTAACAAAACAAACCTAATAAAAAATGTAAAATGACATGCAGCATTTAAAAACAAGTTTCTGCCCCACCTGCTTCAAAAAGGTACAGGATTAGCGTTTGAATGATATCTCCCATGAACTCTGTTGCTGCCCGACTAAAGAGATCTCGCTGACTATTAGAGGCCACCACATATTGCAGGAAAAGGCCAAACGTCACTCACGTAATATTGATCAAATAGTGTAGAAATAAATTCTTACCTCAACATAACATCGCGGAGTCAGGAAAAACTGATTGATCTCATCAGGGCTGAATTCCCCGAAGATGTACTGTGGGAAGGAATCAATATAACCGTTAGATTGAAAAGGGAAATGTGGTAAAAAACTTTTCCTGCTGTGATCTTGAAACAGGTATTGAATTGTCTGAAAGACCATATAACAGTTCACACAAAGAAAGAATATATCCATAGTGATGGAATTGATATCTAGGCACAAGGCTGACACCGGTAAAGTACAACATGAAGTGCTGAGTCATGCAGCGTTATGCATAAAACATGTACAAAGAGTTCAAACTGGATTGTGGGACCTTCTGCTCAAAGTAGATTTTTGTCAACATAGATCTCTCTGATCCTCAAACCAAGCAGAGACGGTGTAGGCACAGGTGTGGCTTCTTGTACATTTATGACAAAATAAAACAAACTACGCTTCTTAGAAGACATTGAAGGGCTTTTGATTCTGTCTGCTGGAAATAATTGTCAATAGCTGTCAATAATTCCATGAGGAGTCACCAGAATTGGTGACCGATTGCGTGCACACTGAGCAGAGCGAGATATCACAAAACTACTTAGTATCAGTGTTTCCCCCGGCTTTATGACTTGGGGGTGGGGGGTTGGGGGGGGCAGCAGTCGGGCAAATGGCCGACAGGCAGAGTGCCACATGAGCGCGTAACTACTGTGCACGCCCCCCCCACAACCCCCCTATAATGGTTGAGGAAACACGAGTATTGTATGTCTGCAGAGATAACATGCTTTCTCACTACAATCAGCTTCAGACCACTTGCACAACAGTAACATCTGACTTAAAAAAGTAGATTTGCTTAAACATAAAAGTTTTAGAAGCACTTTTAACTTTGTGTACACACATGGGCGTCACAATTCCATGTGGAAATTAGCAGAGCTGCGATTGTCAAACCTGTGCACGGCCAGACACAAAGCCACCGCTCAGCAGCCGTGCCGTTAATCCCCGCCGTGTCATCCACGGTGGGACGTCAATGGAGGGGCCCAAAGAAAAAAAAAGTGCAGCTCAGGCAAATGAAACAAACGAGGCGCGAGGCCCCGCACTGCTGAAGCGGCACTACGAGCGACAAACAGCCAGCCGCAATCCAGCGACCTCGGGACGGCCAACGCAATCACAAGAGAAAGAATGTCCCGCTGCTCCTCTCTGCAGGCGCGCCGCACGTACCAAACTAAGCTTACCTTGCCGATTGTTTGGACCGAGGATTACAAATTAGCCATCGGTATGATTTTAACAGTACTGCACCAACACACAACAGTGTTAGAGGAAGGTCCCTTCACAAAGAGCAGGGCTGGGATGGTATTAGAATATGCTATTTAAAATAAGCGTTTCTACCCCTTAATGTCCCAAAAGTTTAAAATACAACAATGCAGAGGAGATGATAGATTCTGATTTATCAGTGAACGTTACAACTCTAAATAACACCTACGGATTCAGATGACTCAAAAGCAGTCAAACAGAAACACATGAGACTGACTCAAAGAAAAAGACACTGGCATCTGCAATACGAATCCTGACAACGACCCAAACAGACGCTTTCTCCATGACCGGGAGCACAAAGCTCTGACCTGTTCCTCTACCAACCCAAAAACACACACAGGGTGTTTAAAAAAAAAAAACATTCGAATAACCAATAAATCATTCTTGACACTTGATGGCATAAACCACTTATTCTCTAGTGCACCTCGGTCATAATTATCCGTGACAAGTATACTACTCTCCTCGTCATCTTAAATAGAAAGCTTTAGTTATTAATACATTAATAACTTGGCCAAGCATTAAAAAATGCTGCATCGCTACTACAAATGAGGTCAGACCAGGTTTCAATGAGTCTCCTGAGCACGCCCATGCCTACATATCGGCGCGATGTAGTAATAGGACGACATATGATTACACGCCATGAAAGAGTGTGACGGTGGAAGAAAGGAATCCTTGTGATTTACACTGCTGGGAAACGGGTTCTGTCGAACGAAAGCAACAGCTCACTACTCGCTATTCAACAAATTGGTAACTTTTGTTTGATATAAGTTTGCGATGAGCCGTGACAAAACCATTTAATCCATGTAAATAGATCGAGTTATTGTGAACACTTGAAAACCTGCTAGACTTGAGTGAAGATTTTGGAACGACAATGACAACTCCGCCCTCTGCTGCCCCTCCCCGCCGAGGCGAATTACCCTGAGAACTCAAAACTACTAGTTAGACTAAATTAATCCTTTTTCAACCCAACTGAATATCTCTAGTTCGGGACAGTTGATCAGAGAAAACAATACATTTGACGGCCATAGACGCCGACTTCTGTGGCTTTTTTAACTGAGAATTTATGGAGCTTTTATTTAACAAATGAATTGGTAGATCAAATCGCTACACCTTAGTTGCACACCAACATATGTACCCAATATCCAGTAAAATTTTTACCTTTAACGGTCATGCTAACAAACCTGCTGAAGGAAATAATATGTTGACATTTAACATGTGACATCACTCCCAGATTTGTGCTTGGTGGAACATGAGGCTGAAGTAAGCAGGGAAAAAAAAAAAAAGGAAGATGTCGCAATAACAGTTCAAAGTTGCAAAATCACAGAGTCACACGTGGCCATTGTGTGACATTACAACGATGACAGCGGAGGGAGTTTTCTCTAAGCATTGAGATTTAATGTGAGGAAACGTTGCATGAATTCATTATTGCAAGTCTTAATTGAACCTAGTCTGAGACGTGAACATGTAATAAACCACTGCCTTGTGCGGTGATCATTCAGCTGCACCACCTGTTCATCACCTCGTCTTTAACTTGGATTTGGTGTCTCGATATTGGATCTAATCTTTGGGATGTGAATTCATTACACTTGTCCGTTTTAATCTCCCACAGAACAAATGTGACTGCAGCTCTTAACAAGGGAAAGTTTGTGATTTAACTTTTTTTTTTAATAACACTGGAAAAGCAGTTGCCAATTAGGGCAACCCGACCAAACCAAATAGTTGACACGGGTCCAAAACTTGTAGTCCGAGGATAATGGTCAACTGTTAATGAGGTCTGTCAACACTTTAGTCTGTTCAAAAAAACGTCATATATATAACTAATACCACATCATGCTATTTATTCCATGCCCTTTAAGCAACGTATGAGGAGGGTCAGCTCAATATCACCAGGAACGTTTAGGACGTTGACCTCACTGGCCAAAGACCTTACAAGAGCTGACAGCTGCTTTTTGAAAAAGAGGCTGAAACTCCTGAAGCTTCCAGAGAGCCAATAGAAACACTTCCTCGCAGAGACCAGGAAGAAGCGTGAAAGCATGGGAAGGTTTCCTTTTCTGGCCTTCTGCGTCCTCCGTCCTAATGCTCGTTCCTGCCTTTCTGTTTGATTTCCGTCTTAAATCTCAGTGCGTCGATGTGGCCTCAAGTCGAAATTAAATTAAGTTATTATAGAAGAAACTTAAGACCTGAAGTTGTCTACATGCTTCGCTTTACAAACGGGCCTCCCCCTCTTCCTCCTCCTCCTCCCCGACCCACGAGAGCTGGCGTTTAATCCCACAGAAATAACCACAAAACCTGCCGCGTTCTTCACAATCCAAATGTCACGAGGACTCGCACGTGCGAGTATGCGCGGGTCTTATTTTTAAAAAATATATATTTTGCATACGAGATAAATCTCCGTCCATCAACGAGGCCCCGCGCCGTCGCATTTGAGCTAACAAGCTAGCGGACCATCTGTGCAGAGCCGCTTAGCTCCGCTAAAAGCCAAGCGGGACGTGCTTCAAGCGGCCAACAACTGCGCCCAAACGCAACGAAACCCCGGTAAAACCCGGTTGTTTGACTCGTCCGTGACTGCTCGACCCAAGAACCGCGGTGACTTGTGCGCTCGGGGGGGAGGTGGTGGTGGTGGTGGTGGTGGTAAAAAGGCCTGTCGGAGCTGGTGGGCCATGCAGACACGCAGCAGTTTTTTTTGCCCGTGTCGCTTTTCACCCCGGGAAACAGCACATGTCACCCGGGATAACGTCGCGCTGTGGTGCCGCTGGCGTCGCGGGGAGCGCACGCACGAGTCTTCTGGCTAAACGCGGCCGACGTGACCTTAAAACCGGCGGCAGACGGCGCCGCTGTCCCCTTTGAATGGGGGAAGCGAAAGGCCTGTTAGCTAACGTTACCATGCTGGTGGTGTTTCAATGAGGCTTAGAGGGGGGTTGGTTGAGGGAGGAGGGGGGGGGGCATTAGCAAGCACTTTTCAGCTCTTGCATTTTCAATGACACACACGGCTAGCAAGATGTTTTTTTAATTATCCCTGGCACCTGACCGAAATACCGCGCTAGTAAAATAATGTTCTTGGTCAGAACGTTGTCGAACCGAGGGGCGGTCGCGAGTGTGTAAATAACGTTGCACGGCGTGCAGCGGGACTTGTTTGGCAGGCTAACGTTAGCCAGCTAGCTTGACTACCTGGTTGCTGTAAGAAGCCATGCTCCCGGTGAGATATTCTCTCCTCCGCTGACAAGATGAAAAGTCTCCCGGGATGGTGTTGCAGGTTTGTAACGGCGGTTACAAAGAGTCTCCTACATCGACGTCATTGCCATTTTCCCGACGTTGTCCTGGCAGTCCTAGGCTTCGATCCATGCAATGCATCAGCACTTCATGCTGCTCGCCTTGCCGTCACCGCCATTTCTGTGTAGCCTCGTCCTCGCTTGCTAGCCAGCGGAGCGCACGGTGGCTTGTAGTGAGCGGCGCGAGCGCAAGGAGTAGCGACAAAGACTTCCGGTGGTGGCTTGCTCCCGGATTTCACAATAAAGTTCATAATCTCAGCCGATTGATAATCCCCTTCAGTGACACTTTCTGAGCCCTTGACCTCCGTAGTGTATGTGCAAATACACAAATCAGAACGTCTGTACAGTCACCTAAAGAAAAAATGTTCACTTAATCCGAATTGGGTTTATTCGTTTTCAGATCCAGGCAATTTGCTTTGGCATATATAACATAAAATAAAAGCAAGTGTTTCAAAGATAAAAGAAGAATAAAGGAAAAAAATAATGAATATATTAAAATATGATGAAAAATCCAAGGATAAAGTATGCACAATACATTATAGAACGATGTGGTTTTCAGAAAGGTTAAACGTTTTTTTTTCATTTATATTTTTATTATACAATGAAATATGATTTTGTTTGGTAGCCCTAAATCAGCCAGTAGCAATCTTCAAAAAACGTCACAAGTAATATTGTTACTATTGTGCAAGATTGTCCAAGAAAATTGTAAAAGTTCAAAGTACCAGGTATAAAAAAACAGAAGAAAGACATGGAAAAACTCCAAAAGATGTGTGTTCATGATTCACATGCAGACATGCGAATAAGTATGTGTAACATCTTCAGAGCAAATCTTGAGTTTGGCACCAAGTGAAATTCAGCACAACTCTATCAACTATCATTAATAAACCATATTCTTAAATCAAATTTGACAGTTGACCCAGAGATTTTCATGGGCCTCTAAAGTCCTTAGACCTCGGGTCAGTTGCCTATATTTACTGAAAACCCAATATGGCTGCTAAAGAAACATCAAAAACAACTGTGGCCATATTCCGTGTGGCTCTATTCAGTTGTTGTTTATTAGGATATCCTATATTCTTTACATTAACTTCAGTGTTCCTAATGTAAAGTTAACTTCAAAAAGACATTTATTTTGAAATGTGCTGATGCTTAGGCGGAAATGCTGAAAGTAACGTGGTGGAATATTACCACGAACTTAATCAATGAAGCGTGACCACATGCGCCGTGGCGTTCACGTCCGGTTTGGGGGATGAATCGCAAAATGTTATTTTTTGTGAGTTAAGTGACTGAACCCTACGTGTTATTATAAACGTTCGGGTGTTAAGGGAGCACTAGTGAAGCTGTAATACTTGGGTCGAACTGAAAATGTAGTTGTTTGTTTTAATCTGTCATAAACAACATATAATGAACTAGTACAAATGTTTACATCCACCACTATAGGCAACTATAACTCGGTAGAAAGAAGCCTAAAAGCATTAGAAAGACATCCGAATATTCCCTATGTAATATCATTTTCACCTCAAATCAACCCTGGAGCAGTGGGCGTGGCACCGCACAGGTGAGCGGCCGGAGGAGGAAACCTCAAACACAGGAAGCAGAGAGAAGTGGGCTGGTCACTGTTTTCTTGGCACTAACGACAATACGAGTACATTGTGTGCGGTGTCCAAAAGGTAGGCACTATCGGTCATTTTGTACACGTTTTATTCACAAGCCTTCAACAAATTACTTTAAATGAAAACGTGAACTCGAAACGCGGATGAACTTCGCGAAGGGAAAATAAGTCGTTAATGAGTCATTACTTGCGGGCCTCTCTCAAGAACGCTCGCTCGCTCGCGGAGTCATTCATTTCCATTTAAATGCTCATTCCTGCTGCCAAGCTGTCCACAACGTCAGCTACACAGACACAAGGCAACAAGCACCCCGGTGTACGTGCGCGCCTGTAATGTGATTCATGTCCACGATCTTCTTTTGAAGGCGCAGGCGAAGATGCCAGAGAGGGTCAGACCCCACCAGAAGAGTAGAGTGTACAATGACTACCCGAGCAGGGCCAGAGACCACTACCCTCACGATGGAGACCCCCAACCCTACGGTGGCAGGGATCGCAAGCACGAGCCGAGAGACGCGGAGAGAGGCTCTGCTGGTGACAGGAGGGTCAAACAAAACAGACAGAGGGACATGACAACTGCCTCTCGCCAGGAGCCCGGTTACAGAGACCAGGACCCTGAAGGACCCTCGAGACCGTAAGGGGCTGCATACTTTCTATTCACAAGCCCCCCACACTCAGTGTCATGTTCTGTCCACTCACTTTCACCATCTGTTGCCGGGCCATTAATGTAAAAAGGACGTGTTTGACATGTAGAATTAATTCTGTGGTGTTGTCCTTGCAGGTCCGGAGAGACTTCGATCTATCGCTCTGAAGTGGAGCCTTATGAGCAACAACACAGACGGGCTCTTTACAATCTCAGATACATCTTAACCAGCCGAGGCAAGTGTATCTATTCTTGTATTTGAGTTCTTGTGTGAGATGTTGGTCACAACCAAATTGCATTCTCAATAGCGATGTACTGATTTTCTTATTAAACATGTCAACAAAAGTTGGCATTGATTGAGACCAGCAACCATTCTGTCTTTTTGCTTTGGAACCAAATGGCAAATATTTTTGTCGATCCATAAACGGGCTCATCGTTGCAGCTCACTCTCCCCGTGCTGCTATAAATTCATGTCAGCGTTGTATTTCTCCTGCGTCTCTCAAGGTCTCTGCCAGCTCATGGAGCTGTTTGTGAATCTGCTCGTGGTCATCTGTGCCGGAGTGCCGTACAGCAACAACGGGGGCTACCGCGACCTGGCCAGCCTCGGTGGAATCTACTACTATCACTTTGGCGGCGCCAATGCCTTCACGGGGGCCGACGCAGACCGGGTGAAGGACCTCGACCGACAGTTCCATCAGCTCAAGAGACCTCCGTATGTCTTCACCATGGCCTGCGGCGGCGTTTTAATGATCTACGCTTGTGCAATGCTCGCCTTGGGGCTTTTCAGGGTCACTTACCGCTGGCCCCCCGTGCTGCTCGGCGAGGCCCTGCTGAACCTCCTGATCGGCCTGGGCTACATCCCTGCGCTGGCCTTCCTCTTCATCAAGCTGCAGGAAACCTACAGCGACGCAATCTGCACGGAGAGAGAGCAGATGTACAAAAGCAAAGGACACAAGGGCTTCGAATGCCAGTTCCACGGCGCGGACATCGCAGTCGGCCTCTTCGGGGTGCTGGGGGTGTTTGTTTTCGTCTTCGGGGCAGTGTTAGCTGTCAGAGCGTTCAGGGCAGTGCGAGAGCTAAAGAAACAAAGGCCCGACGAGGACGACAATTTCTAAGACGTCTCTCTGTGACATTTGAACAAAAGTGGAATTGATCAGAAGTCCATGTGACATGACAACGTGGGAGATTTGTCATATAAGGTGTTATTTTTTGTACTAGTTGAATCTTTTTAATACTTAAGAAGTTTCTTGCCTTGAGTTTTTTTTAGAATATTTTTTATTTCTACTACTTTTCCAGTTTACATGCTTTTGTTCGGTCTGTCACATCTTCTATAAACCACTCTAATATCAAGTATTAATCATAATAAGTAATAAAAAGCCCTGGGATTAAAAGGCAGCCTGAGAAAAAGTTTGATTGCCAGAAATACTCACAGGTAATGTTGATAAGCCCTTTGTAAAACACAAACACAAGCAAAAACACCAGACATTTTCCTTACTCAAGAAGAAGTGTGATACGTCACCCATTTCCAGTCCATTGGGCTTCCATAGATCTAGATCTCTTTTCAGGTAAAATAATGTGTTTTGGATTGAAATCATTGTACATTCCTAAAATCTGAGTGGATCTCAGCCTGTGGAAATGTAATCCTGCCAGTTGGCTCTTGATGCAGAGGATTGCTGTGAAGGACCAAATCAACAATTTATCAAAACCAAATGTCTCTAGCTCTTGAATGGAGAATATCCACATAATAGTTCCTAATGTGTTTTTTGCATTAAAAGCAGAAGAATGCAGAAAGTTTTCTCTGCTAAGTTACGGCGACGACTTTTACAGTTACAGTTGTCATTCTGAGCTTCACCAGTAGATGGAACTTTTACTTACATACTGCAACTGCCCTTAAATAATGCACACCATTGCATTCAATTGGGACATACCACTTCCTCATAACAGTGCATATTTTACTTTGATCCATTGGCTCACATATTTGCTGAGCAGAAGATTGTGGATCCGAATATCCAGGAAAGCACGCTGGCTTGCATCCTATGAAATGTGACTGGACTAAGTGGGACATGCTGGTATTTTATACGTACAACCTTGGACATTCTCTGTATTGGGACATACTGGCTTTTTTCAGACACACCTAATAGCACGGTAGAATGGATATTGGAAGCAAGAGAACGGGCTTAATTGTAGGAGAAAACGTCAAACATATTACATTATGATGAAATAAAATTGGAGATATGTTTATCATACACAGTCATTTTGATGATATTTATTGGCATGAAATCATCATAAAATCCGGTAAGCAAGACGGACACGGCGAATTCACAGTAAAAAGTTTTATTGCTACTTGGCTTAAAGTTAATTTAAAAACAGCGTGTCTGCTCAAAACTAATGATAGCAGCAGTTCAAAGAAAAATAACAACCGTCCTCCACTCAAAGTTTTAGGGGACGACAAGTCTGTCTGATATCAGCAAAAGTCCCCATGGTTGGACCTGTTCCTAAATAATACACCTTTTGATTAATAATCTTAATTAAAATTAATCAGTAATCTGCAGGATCAAATAAGAACTTCAAAATATTAGATATGCTCCTTTTTGTACAAATAAATTATGTTTTATATGTGGTCAATGCTTTTATGTTTGGATTTATATTCAGGTCATGCTTTCAACATTAAATACAACTTTAATTAGTACCTTCAAAAAAAGTACCACTATGAGAGACAGTTTTAACTGGAAATCACTTTAGATTCTGTAGAGAGGGAAATGTAAATTTGCATGAAATAAGGAAGTACAAAAATAAACACCAGTTTCTTGGCATCAAGAAAAAAATATTCAAGCATTTCTAGAAAACAATATACAATACAGAAAGGAACCGTGAGATTAAACAATGGCTACTTTGGTCACATGTTAAAGAACTGGATCTTGGCTCCGTTTCATTCCCAATAAACTCAATCCATTATTCACACAGGCATGCACACACTTACTGAAGCTTCATTTCACAACACAGACATTTTGCGATGTCGTACAGGGAGCTTGTCAAGTTGTGCAGAAAACGATACTTTCCAGTTAAGAATTTAATCAGCAACTTGACCACTGTTGCCTACTGAAATGCCCGTACTCTAGATTTTGGTGCTCAAAAGAGAAGGGGAACCTTTCCCCACTGGACCCCCTCCACTAAATAGTTATAAAGGAATATTTGAAGCCAATGCACTGTAGCGCGTGCTCCCTCGGCCTGTATCTATGCACACAGTCTGCATGTGTACATGCAGACAGACGGATCTATGTTCAAAAATACTTCAGGTTAGAAACAGTTTATAGGACAGGACAGTGGGTGAATATATGGTGTGTACCAGTCGACAGACAGAATTAATTAACTACTAGAAAAAAAAGGGCAGAGGTGATTTTGAATAGCAGTGAAAGTTGCAGTTCAAATGAAATACAAAATACAAGTAGGGACATACTCAGTAAATGAAAAAGAGCAATACACAATACACCTTGCAAACACAATCCCATATCACACACATCATACATAAAACAGTCATTATTCATTTTCAGACATATTGAGAATAATTAGGATCCTTGTAGTTTTAGGGAATGAAAATGAAGCTCTGATATACATGAATATGTATGTATTTAACACTTTGCATATTTGTATAAGCCATTTCCCACAATTTAGTTTCAAACCTTGTGGAAAGTTAAATTTCCAGTATTATTCACAACCATGATCGGTCTTTCAGCCTTTCTAGCTGCACGTGTAGTTCGTGTCCATGTTTCAGGGCCGTCGGTCCAGACGCCCGACACCTCGTGTCAGTCTGACATCTCAGACACCTCACAGTCCGTAAATCAGTAAAGTGAATGGGAAGCAATTGCTTAGCCGCATTACTAATTATGGTTTGTTATTCTAAATTTTAGAAAAAGAAAAACAAAAAAGTTATTTGGCATCAGTGTCTAAATTCTAAATGACGACAGCAACACCGGCTGCTTGATGTGGATTGTGGTGGACTAATGCTTACGTTGGATGTAATTATAATGGAGAGGTTCCAAAAAAACATTTCCTCGTACGCCAGATGTGGAGGAATCAATTGGCACATTGTTTCAAGCAAAAAATCAATCGTGTGTTATAAATAACTTGTATCCTGCCAGGGGAGGACGAGGAGGGGCAAATTCATCTCGAGAGAATAAGAGTAAAGTAGGTAAATAGTGTTAGTGGGAGTATGTTGAAAACGTATATAGTGCCCTTTGTGGTACGGATGTGTAAAATGTAAATATTATTTAGTAAAATCTGGATGTTATTGAAAGCTGCGCTTCAATAAAATAGGGAATGTTCGTCCTATTGAAACCCGCCATGAAGTGAATGTGAATTGTCTGGTTGGTGAACTGTCACCGTAAGTAAGCACGGTTTGTGTTAGCTATGTAATCATGGACAAGAGGTGATATGTTCGACTGAGGGAAGCCCCAATAATAAAAGCACACTATGTTGAAAAATAGCTCATATATTAAACTGAAATATATATTACTCTGAAAATCACTATTCTATATGTACAAAGTGCTTTTTAATTGTGAGACAATATAAGAAAGGATTCAGACTCACACATCAATTAAGGCTTCATGATTGACTTACCACTCATTCCCTTGGAGCAACGAAAGGGCCGAGGGGGGGCTGCTCTCACAAACCACACAAAGAACATGGGTGGAATGAAACAACGCGCTTCTCCTTTCAAAAATACTGAGAAGTGTTTACTTTAAGGCTAAAAGGGAAACACTAAAAAAAAAAAGGTGCAGCTATGCAACAAATGTAGATTGGCAGAACTGCACCACTACCGACTTGGAGTGGTTACCAAGAATATTCATGAAATGTGTCAGCTTTGGCCTTCTTAAAACACAGCAGCCCCGGCAGAGCTGCTTTCTCTTTTGGCACAAGGTGGGAAGGTTCAAGAACGGGCAAACTGAGGCGGCCAGGGCTCCCGCATACTGACCTGATGAGTCAAATATATAACGTAGGTTGGTTTTTTTAAACTTTCAACTCAGATAAATATTATTCATCTTTCAAATATTAGAAAAAAAATGGAGATGATCATGAAGTGACAATATTACCGGCTCACTTATTGTGACTTAATATAGGTAAAATGCCTAATTTACTTGTAGTAACGTTGTGAACCTGTGCATTATATTGCTGCAATGATAATCATTATTATTGTATCAACTGTGTGATCCGAAAAGTATTGACCCCTGATCAGGAAATGGCACATATGCAATACTTGGAAGCAAAGAAAATGGTTTCTTTGTCCCTAATGTCTGCGCTTCCTTCAATCAAACTTTGTGGGATCTTTTAAAAACACACCTGGTTTTGGTTCTCGTTGTAATTCAATGTAATGGGCCATCTAGATGTGCGGGCAGCGCAGTACAGAGCAAAGTAGAAAGAAATGTTTGCCAATATGTAAAAATAATGTCTCCGAGGACATGGACAGATGTTTACATGTTTAACAGAGCAGCAGCCCCTTAAATCTAAAAACGGAATACCAGTGGACATATCTTAAAGTACATATTAATACTGCTTTCATCCTTCATCGGTTATGAAAAAATGAAATAAGAAATGATCTCCAAACATCCTGGAGTCCACTAATCTGGAACCATAAAACTAAGCTTGAATTCCTCTACGCAGTTTTAAAGGAGACCATTTCATCGTGCACCGTCACAGGGGCTTTTGAACTCCACAACACCTCCGCTCTGTACAGTTGAATGACTTTTAAATCATTTTTGACAGCTATTCAAAATGGATTGTTCTGAACAGTGACACGTTTCAATCTTGGTGTCAGCAGCTCAAGGACGCCACGTCAGTCGGCTTCTAGTTGCAGAGTGTGCACTATATTGTCTAGAATTCATTAATCCTATATAGACAAGTCTATACATATTGTGTGGGAATGTTAAAAATAAAACCCAACCATAAAGTGTCTGTCTATGCAAATGCAGTTATTTTGTCTTCACATGTGCCTTACAAGCATTTACACCGTCTGATTTCCATTATAAGCCACAGGAAGAGGAGCAGAGCAGAAGCTGTGCCAGTGCAGGTCTTTTGGAAACACCGTCCCTCCTCCGAAATGAACGAACGAGCTCACATCCCCAAACACAGCTTTGGTGTGGGAGAGCTTTAGGCTGAGTCGTCTGCAGTAGGCACTTTTTCAAGTTTCAGTCACAGGACTTCTCTTCAGGACCACGGAGCCCTCTGAGAGGAGCTTTGAGCTCACTGAACACAATCTCTCCTTCACACCCTCCAGATTGCTTGCTTTCCAAGTAAAGGGAAATGTTGCTGACATGTTTTAAACACGTGAGGTATCCCGTCTCAAGTCAGGCTTGTTTTGGTCAATGATATGATAATGACTTTTTTTATGAACTGGGATTTTGGTTGCTCCAAATATCTTCGATACTCAGAGATCTTTTTTTTCTCCCTGTAGCCTCACCTGAATGGCAACTTGAATTGGAATATCTCCGATGTGTATGTGAAAAATCTCCACTTCTTCCCCCTGGAATGGCACCATCACAGAATTCCAGCCAAATGACGCTGTGCTACCTTCTCTCCCACCCCCCACAGCACTCTCCCTCTAGAGGGCGGTATCGTAGACTTCGTGCTGTAGAAGGGGCACCGGTCCTGGACCTGGGACCAGGTGAGAAGGAAATGCAGGCGGCTGTGAATGGTCCCACACGGAGTCTTTACAGGAAGGGGGTATGGATGCTAAAGGGGCCACAGGGAGGGCCGAGACTAGAGGGCTCTGGCCTCTCAGCTGCTCCCTGACCTCCTGCTCCAAACTGGGAGGCACAATGAGCTGGTCCTCGGGGTCCTGTTGTGCTGGGGCAGTGAAGTAGCCGGATTTCTTCTTCGGAGCCTCCAGTGCCACCTCGATGAGGTTGTGACTGTCCTCGGGGGCCACCACAGAGCCGTTGGACAGTTTCTTCCCAAACAGGCTGGATGTGGAAGGAGACTTTTTGAGGTCTGCAATCTCTCTCCCGCACACGGCCAGAAGGCAGCCGTTTGTGGCAGAAACCACCACGCTGTTCTGTCTTCGCATTTTGCCATTGGGATAGTCAGAGCCTCGCTTTTTGAGCTCCAAGTCTTTGGAGCTTTCAGGGGCCCCCGAGCGTAGTTGGAAAGCACAACAGTGAATGTCAACCTCCACTTCCAACTTGCTGCCATTGGAGATAACGCCCTCGAGTGGAGCTTCGTCGTCACTGTCCAAGCCGTTGTCGGAGTGGTTGCTTGAGAAAGTGGTGCAGGACGGCTGCCGCTGGAATAGACCCAGATGGGTTCCTGCCCCAACTGCGCCCGGCACCATGATGCCACACAGTGTAGTGGCAGGGTGAAGGCTACAGCGCCGCTCCGGGCGCGATGCCAGCACAGACGACGGGTGCTCGTCCGGAGCGGTGGACCCGGCCTCGCCGCCCACCTCGGAGGTTGATGCCTCACCGTTGCACTCGGAGACGATGCCGCAGTTGGACGACGGGGCGACTGGGTCAGTGGGCCCCGGGGTCACAGTAGCGATGGGAGGGGGACACCGTGGTTCGGTGGAGGGGACCGGTGGCTCACAGGTACAGCTGTCCTCAACGATATGCAGGGATACCACCGCAGCCTCGATGTTGTCCTTGCAACCGTAACTCTGAGCGAGTGAGCACAGCTTCTTGGCGGCGGCGCGAGGATCCCGCACGGCCTGCACAGTGCACACGGCCTCCTGGTACGAGACCCGTTCAAACAGCGCTCGATTCCCCAGGATCAAGAACTCATCCTTGGTACAGAGAGGCTCAGTGTGCACCCAGGGCTTTGGAAGCACCCAGGGAGACAGATAAGAGCAGCCCAGCAGGCGAGAGCAGCATGTCACTCCACTCACCTTGTTATCCTGTAATACACAAGAGCCATCAGGGTCGTAGATGCACTCATAGCTTCATAAAGTAAACACCTCTGAATATGAAGCTGCACACACTGGATCACAAGTTCCACATAACGGTTATGGTGTAGAAACAGGAAGCAAACATACTTAGAAGCTGTGCATTACCTCGGTAATAATGGCTTTACTGAGCTTAACCCTCTCCATCTCCTCGGTGGAGTTCTCCAAGCTGTAGACCTTAGAGAGAGGTACAGGTCGCCCGTCCCGGCACAAAACTGCCTGGCAGGTGCCCACATTGGCCACGGTGAGGCTGAAGTAGCTTCCTGGATCTGAAGGCTCATGGTGAATATAACACAGCAAGGCAGAAGCACCCAGTTTCTGGCCAGCCATTCCTAGTTTCCTGTGCAATACAAAAACAGAGAGCGCTGCTTAGAAACATCTGTGAGTCGTGGGTGACAGCCTACAAATTTGGAAAAAAATCCCTTACCTGTGTGAGGTGAGGAAAGTGTTGCACATATACACACTGTCAATACTGGAGTGCTGCAGTTCCTCGCATAGCACATCTCCCATGGTGCATTGCAGCAGCCGAGGTACTTCCTCATTGCGGTCGCCGTCAAAGATGCCATAACATGCTTCCACACCGTCTCCAAACCGGTCCACGGCCAGTACAGACACACACAACCTGTCCCCGAAAAATAGATCCACAGATGACTCGGCGCCTACCAGAGGTAAACAAAGTGTACATTGCAGAATGCAGAGCTGCAGCTCCGGGGTCAACGGGTGACAGCTGATAAAAGATGCTGCCGTATGGGTCCCCGTGCTCCCCATTGTGACCCCGGAGGAGGAGCCTCTTGACACTGATGCACTTAACATTGTTACAGATATTAAATCCAATTGATGTGTTAGGCTCCAGCTACAATATTAACTCCTTGGGAGACACTTGCTCAGTGCTCGTACAGCAACATCTAAACAGACAGTTTACCCGATGCGGCAAAATGAGATCAAAGAAGGTCACAAAGAGATGTTGACGACACGACGGCCATTGTGTCATTTAATCTACTTGCAAATCCCAACTGAAATAGATGATGTCTGCAGTCATCGGAAAGTAGGGGCTTTACTTTTGAAAACAAACAAAGGAAAGACACAAACAAAAAGCAGTGCTCACTTGTTTCTTTGGCCGCTCATTTCAGAGTAACCGTGGTTCCATGGAGTGGATCCACTCTGTGAGTCTCCCACTGACGTGGTGGATTTCTGGTCTAATTTCAAGGTGGTGATGTGACTAAAAATGAAGAAATACAGTTAAATGCTCCATTTCCTTAGACAGTTATGTTACATGTTGCGTGTATTCATTCTTCTTCACATGTAACAATGAACTGGTCTGGCTTTTATTCCTCACCTGAAGAGATTGAGGGTTTTGTGTTCCAGCATCAGGCTGCTGTTGCCCGTCAGGTCCAGCTCTTGCAGAGTGGAAGGCAGCGAGTCTGGCAGCTGGATCTCCGTCAGCTCGTTACAGCTGAGATCTACAAGCTGCAAACGTACACGTTAACCACGAGCTGACACGGCCGAGCATCATAATACACACGCTGCAAGTAAAACCAGAGAAAGTCTGACCTTGATCTCAGGGAGGTTGAGGATCTCTGGAAAGACAGTGATGTGGTTGGAGTGTGCAATGAGGGTGTGCAGTCTCTTACAGCTGGACACAGTGGAGGGGATGGCCTTTAGCTTGTTGCCACTTAGATTGAGCTCCTCCAGCATTTCCAGCTTACTCAGTTTACTGAAGTCACACAAACAAAGACAGTGAAGAAAAAATCAAATTAATCCACACAAGTAGAATGGAAACGATCATCAACACTGATGGCAGTGACAGCCAAAGTCACACACCTGGCCGGGAAGGAGAGCAGCTGGTTGTAGGCGATATGAAGGACCCGCAGGTTCTGATGTCCAACCAACAGAGCTCCGCAGTTCTCCTTCAGGTGGTTGGCCGTCAGGTAGAGCTCTTGGAGCGTGCTGAGGCTCTCCTCGGATGGGCTGCTGGGAGGAATGCTGTCCAGGGCATTGGCTGACACATTTAAGTATTTTAGGCTGTGACCGAAGACAAGAAAACATTAGTTAAAGAAAAAGGGAAAAAAAAACTGGTTGCAGCGATTCAACATAGATTATACACAAGTGCAGTCTAATTCACGGTGGATTTGAAGCTGATGCTACAGTTTGAACAGCTTCATTCACTTCACATACAGTTCCTAAAGTGCTGGACTAACCTTTCAGGCATCTCTATACATTTTCATTATCCACAAATCCACTACATTCAGGAAAAATTCCACCTGGAACATTTTCCTGCTTGCTATGGCAACGCGAATAATAAAAATGAACCAATGACACACGGACTGTGCTGCAGATTGCGGAAATGTAACAAAGCCAACCAACTATAAACTCGCCTAATTGTTTACCAGCTGTTTTATGTGAGGAAGACTGATCTCATTGTATGGACAAGGTAGATTTTAAATTCCCACCAAGTATTGATTAATATACTGTTGAACCTGCACCAAGAGGAGGAACCATAGTTTGAGGTCCACATTTTTTCATGTAATTGATGCTGTTAAATCACTGTCAAACCTATCACATACTCAACGGTAATAAAACTTGTCCTTCGGGAAAATTACGGGCTGAACCTTGTCACGCTGATATCTCTGCAGCCAACAAACACTACAAAAGCGTTGGCACCTCATTGGCCTTGTGGACGTGTTATTTATCACCCTAGTTTCCGTAGCCATATATTGTTTCCATCAGTCCTGATATAACTGCTTCCCCTTTGCCAAATGTGCAGCTCTTAGAAGACATATCAGGAAAACCCATCAATCGCGAAGCAGGCGCTGCCATTACGTCTCAGTATTAGAGACAGTAAAGTACATTAGGGCATTTGAACTGCTAATGGGTGTTAAGTGATTTACCACACAGGAAATCGGATGGAAAATTAAGCTCCAGTTACGTTTTGGAATGCTCCATTGCGTTTCCCCACAAAGCAATGAGCTGTGATGCAATAAGTGTCAAACTCAACCAAACACAGGCAGGTAGACATTTCAATGCAGAGGAACAAGTTGCTAAAAGACTCAACTAAGAAACAGAAATATTGCAGAGGACATATTTAAAGAGCAAACAGGACGAGTTGTATGGATGAGCGCGTTGCCAGACTTACTTTAAGGCCTTGTAGAACAGACTCTCAGGGAGCTCGGCTAGCTTGTTGTGCTGGAGGTCCAGGGCTTCCAGAGGGATGTGGTCAAGTAGGTCAGGCACTCTCTGCAAACAGTTGTTCCCCGCCAGCAGCTTTCTCAAACTCAAGCTGTTGAGCAGTCTGTTGGAGGCCAGAAGAGACATTAGAGAGCCAGATTAGAACGAGGGGGGGGGAAAAACTGACCAATAAAAAAAGCAACGCATTAAAGAACGTTGTCTGCCGGTGCAGACTCGACTGCTAGCTAATCCACCAATGACCTATTCAGCTTGGCTGCCTAAAGAGACAAGCTCTGCTGATTTCTATTCTCTCCTGAAACATCACAGAAGAGGAATATTATCTCATTTGCAAAAGCTTTTCTGAAGTCGTATTCAAATGCAAATGCCTGTGTTGAGTATTTTTAGCTGGCAAGCACTTAAGGAAGGCCATATTCCACAGTTGCAACCAAAAGGCACAGATACTGTCTCACACAAGAAGATTGATACCAGCTTTCATTTGGGCCTCATCCTTTGCATGAGCTTATAAGTACAACACATTTAAATACAAAAATACAAATGCAACAATACTTAAACAGCATGACAATGTGTACAGTGACACCTGATTTTATAAATCAGAATATTACGCAACATTAAAAGATGAAATGAAAAGGTTGAGGATAGGTGACAGAATCGGGTCAGTCACCTGGACGGGAGCTCAGACAGGAGGTTGTGCGTAACGTCCAGCATCTCAATTTTTCTGCAATCACACACCCAGTCCGGAAGGTACTCCAAAAGGTTCCTGTCTCAACACACACACAGTCACACACATAGAAAGACACACAAATACTCAAACTGAGCAGTTGTCATTTTGCTTTGACTAGCCCAGAAAAGTAAAGCGCTTTGAATCTGTGATAAACAGGATGCCAATGTAATATCCTCCAGTGTTGCTCAAGCATGCAAATGATTTCTATCTGCATTTTAATACAAAATATATCCCTGCAGTCAGTACTTGAAATTGACTAGAAAAAAAAAACATTTTGCAAAGGTTTCTTACACTGGTAGATGGTTTGAAAGCACAATATAGGTTATTTATAACCCCAGACAAGCGGTAAGGTTTACTTTGTAAACACCCAGCAGGGTATGGAGATGCATTAGATAAATCAAGTAGACTAAAATGTTATGTACCTTCAAGATAGTATGTTTACCTCTTCAATTTTCAAATTTCCAAGTATCTAAATAGGCAAAAGCTTGTTTAGCATCTTTGCCTGTACATGCAAGCTTCCACTGGTTGTTTTTGTGTTTGTGAAGCACTGGTAATCCAGTTCTATAACACTTTGCACATAAGGAGCACTAAGATAAATCTACTATTTTAAGACATAAGGGTTTCTCTTCAAAGAGCACATCCATCCATTTCTTCTCCCAGCCAGAACTCACTGTGATAGGTCCAAGGATGTCAGCTGGTTAGGGACTGGATAGATGTTGACTGTTGGAAGTCCTGTGAGCAGACAAAAGCAGCAATCAGCGGCTAAACATCCGTCCCGTTCACATGTGTGTTTGTTAGATGGATGCGTCACAGGGGAGACAGTCGCGAGCACACAAACAGCCGGGAGAGGCAATAATAGCCGCTGGTTGGCGCTCTGTTTGACTCACGGTTGCTGCTGGCGTGAAGCATGCGCAGTGTGAAACCGCTGAGTGTGAGTGTTCCGAGCTGGTTGCGCTGGCAGTGCAGAGTCTCCAGGTTGCAGACGGAGCTCAGGTCCAAGGAGTCCAAACAATTGTCCCGTAAATCCAGCTGGGTCACCTGGCTCACTGCCTCTAGACTCTCACTTTTCACGCAATGCAGCCTGTTCAATCTGCGTTTAGGAAGGAGCACAAGAGGGTTTAGATTAAATGAAATGCTCAAATTGCATACTTTGTTAAATTAAAATAGTACTAGAAGGGTATTGAGCATTATTGCGAAATTTGCTGGCACATTTTCCAAATATTCCCACAGTGGCAATTCTATTTCATAGTAAGAGATTATTAGCTTTTATTACTGGAATAAAGTATTGACAAATATATGGAAATTGATGATCGTAGTAAGCATGCATCCTCAAGATGTCGCAGTCCAGAATGTATTACTTCAGTTTTCCCTTTGGCCAGAAAAAGAGAGCAAAGTCTTCTAATATTTGAGGTCAATTGATTTGATTTTAAAATTAAAGACCAAACACATTTTAGACATTTGAATCCCATGGTTAAAATAAAAAATATAGCATTGGCCTCCAAGATATTGTGTTTGTTGGAGGACACACTGGAAAAAATCTTTTGTCTCTCCTTTTCCCTGAGATTTAACTTCTAGAATTCTTGTTGGTCAGACTTTGAAAACCTACCTTTAAAAATAAGTAGGCAACAAAAAGTGAAGGAATTCTGAGTTCAAGACTGTAATTTAAGGATCTATGTTAAGATGCGGACTCTCCCTGACCCCATTCATCCTCTTAATAACAATTCCTCATTGACGAGAGCTGCCCGCCCTGCTAAGTCACCACACATCAAATGCATTCTGCCAGCGCCAAACCGCAATCCAACTCTCAAGTGGAAATTCTTAGCTCGCTGTGGGTGGAGCAGTGGTAACTGGTTTGACCCTCAGACCTGTATTAAAAATCAATGCGTAGAGCTATTACCCACCACAAAGGTCCCCTTAAGCAAGATTCCTAGACCCCCACTGCCTTGTGCAGCTTGTTCAAGTGGCCCCCATAGTAGGTTTGGCGTTAGCCGTCTACGCCAAATGAAGAAGAAGAAAAAAGCAGAACTCAATTTAAATGAAACTCAAGTGACCTTGTTTTTTGGGGGTTCCAAAATAATGAAAGAAGGGCTGAAAGAGACTAAGGAAGTAGAGCGGATGAGGGCTGTGTATTGTCTGGCTGGCCTCTCACCGGAGGTCGATGTTTTTCAGGTGGCTCATTCTGGCCAGAGTACACAACTCCAGACTCTCCACTGTGTTCCCAGCCATGGCCAGCTTGTCCACTGCACTCAGCCTCTCCAGCACAGCGGGGATGTGAGAGAAGTTGTTAAAGGAAAGCCCCAGGCTGTTGAGCTGGGACAGGCCCCCCAGATCTTCGGGCAGGGAGCTGAGATGGTTTCCATCCAAAGACAGTATCTGCAGGCTTTAAGAAAGAGGAGAAAAACTGTTGTGTTTCACTTCAAAGAGTCGTCTAGACATCTGCGTGTAGGAGTTGTTTACTGAGCTGCGTTCTACATCATAGCAGGCAGGATTTATCTCTTTTGACCTCATCTAATTGCATATCAAAATACTTTAATGTAATGCAATTCACTGAACCCATCGGAACCCCAAGCCAAGTGTTAGGAGAACTTCATGTGCACAAAATAGTGCAAACAACAACGTTTGATATTACAGAGAGTCAATAATCTTGTGATGAATGATTTCTTAGTTCTGATTAAATATTGATGATACCCCACACTGCTTGAGGGCAATTCAAACCAATTACAAAATTTAAATGCTCCCTAAAATACCTGAAATGTTCTGATGGACTACACATGTTATACGGAGGACAGAGGGACAAGTCAAACAATGAATTATCCTTACCCTTTGTGCCCACTGTGAGGCATGTTGTTACTGTAGCAATGGTTTCTTGCTTCTTAATACAAAAGGTATTGTCTCCTTTAAGGTAACCTAAATTGCAATGCATGCAGGATTTTATTGTTTCGGTTGTCTTTGGGATTTACTTTTTATATAAATGAATTGGGGTACTTTTTATGTACTGCAACAACATACTGTGGTTCAAAAAGAATGTTGTGTGTACTGTTTGTTCATTCATTTCCTAACTATTCTATTAATGTTCTGCATATGTGAACGTGTGTGGATGTGTCCCACCTTTGAAGGTTGCCGATCTGCACAGGGACTGTTAGGAGACTGTTACAGGAGAGGTTGAGTTCAGTCAGGGTGAGGATCTCACACACACATTCGGGGAACACACCCAACCGGTTGTGAGACAAGTTCAGGCTCTTCAGCTGTGAAAACCTGAAGAAAGAGAAAACCGCATGAAGGCCTTTACATTCCGTATTCATTGTGAAATGTCAGTTAACAGATGTGCTAGAAGAAGTGACTGAAGACCCAACGTAGTGTGATGAACCTGGATGTGTCTGCATCACGTGTCTGACATCTCTTTAATATCATCGAGCGCTCTTTCAGTACCATAAAAAAAGAGTGCACTTGCATTTATTCATAGAAAGAAAAAGCCCAAACTTTGGTTTAAACAAAGAGGGAAATAAGCTAGTTTTGCTGGTTGTTGCGTTTCAAACAGATGTAGTTAGCAAGAATTGTGATTGAAAAGAAAAAGATATGTGGTTTACGTTTACATTTAGATGAAACTTTTATATTATTTAACAACTTTGTGCTACTGCCAAACAATATCCTTGGAAAAGTTATTGCATGAATTTACATGAATTTTTCTCACTCTCTCTCATTTCTCCATATGATAATGCTAAATGTACCAAAACTGGGCAGGATTCTAGAACGTGCGGCATTTTACAAACGGCGGCCCATATGAAAATCCCCCTTTTGTGCATTAGTATTACTGTGTGTGATCTTACCAGATTTAGATCAGCCAGTCATACAATGTCTACGTCATTTAATTAAGATTGTTTGAAATGTGCGTGTGTTCATTCAAATACGACATCAGCTGGCTCTTTCAAATAGAAAATACCTCCTAGGCATCCATTCTGCGGTGTGCGTGAGTTAACATTGCAACCACGGCAAAGAGACTGTGCTGTGATGAACGAGGTGGTGAAACAGTAAATTAACTGATGACAGAGCACAGGGTCAATAGATTAGAGAATTTAAATCAAAGCAGACTCATTCTGCTGCCAGGCCGTGGTCCCGGTTAAAAAAAAATGGTCTTCTCCATCCATGTTGGTATAAAATAGTTGAGGTTAAGAATATGTGATTACTTGGGCAGGTTGAGCAGACCCCCGGGCCCCTGAAGGCTCATGAAGTTGTGCCTCAGGTTGAGGTGGGTGATGTCCTGACTGTAAAAGAGATATTCAGGCACTACTTCCAGACTGTAGCACGACAGGTCCACCAGGCTGACTGTCTGAGACACCACCTGTAAACACACACACACACACACACACACACAAGAAAGCGTTAAGAAAGGAAACTTTAAATGCTTTGAGTAAGTACCACTATTTCAGGTGTTGCATGTCAGCATTGTATATTCCATTATCTTCATGCAATGGGACCAGATTTTGGTAACAGAAGCATTCCGTTTGCTGTTTATAGTCTAAAGAGTATTGATGAATAATGTGGAGATCCAAAGATGCAGAACTCAGTGAACAATCTGGGAACCCACCAGCTTCTGTCTGACCATTCTTTCACTTTTCATTGGTTCAAAATGAGCTTGTAAACTGGTTACTTGTAAAACGACCCGGTTTCAAACGTCGTGTCTCCACTACAACTTGTACAGTCTTGTACCGCAAGTGGTTTAACATCATAACATTAAACATCAGACAGCGGCTCCATTTAAAGCGTTAAACCGACGAGCCGGAACAATGGACAGTGGAAGCAACTACATTCGCCTAGATTATACAAGCAGCCAGCTGCCGGACCAAGACACTACTTCAAACAGAAAATGCCCCAGTTTCCAGTTCAGTGAACTTTATCCTCCAGAGAAACAAAGTCATCATGAATGAAAAGAGAAATAGAACAACTCTTTAGTGCAGTTACAGTCTGAATTGTGTTGTAAAAAAGTACACAGGGCTGCCAGTTTAAGTACACCTAAAACAAGTGTAATACAACAGTTCTGAATGTCATCTTCATGTTGGTTATAATGTCTTTGCTGAAACCGGTTTGGACATTTCTAAAGGTCATTTTTTGGAATTTATTGAGTTGTTTTGGTTCCTTTCAAATTCCAGTACCAAGATTGACTAGTTTCCTCGAAACATGAATGAAAGGCACACAACGTCCTCACAAGTAGCAACACTAACGTGTGCGCGTATCAAGTAGTGATTGAATGCACTTGCGTGTGTGATTACGTACTTATTCCAGTTCCTATCGCTGTCCACACTCACTAGGGTTACAGTGCAGTTACACAGCTTTCTCTCACATTTTCTTTTCAGCCAGGCGTCATTGCAGACTTCCCATTAGTGCTCGTGCAGTCCAGTCTGACGACAGTCTCCATTAACTACAGAGCTGCACACTGTGCAGCAACCCAGAAAATGGGACTGCTGCTCAGCAGAGCGTGACATCACGTCAACGCTTTCAGAGAGGACAAAAGCAAAACGGCTACCAGATCACTACTCATCTGCCAGCCACATTAAAAAATAAAAAAAACACTTGAAAATAGTAATTAAATGATGGGAGAGTAGAGAGATGGACAGAGATTCGCAGAGAAGAATTAAAGAGGAAAATAAAACAGTTCTGATGTTGAACATGAGTTATTAAACATTGTGGCTGTGAAACATTACAAAGCTGCGTGAATGAGGAACAGGACAAGGGAAGGAGACACTTGTGTTGGAAGGGAACTAAACCACATAGTGTGAAGCGTATTTTTTAACCATGGTGGGTGTCCTTCTTTCTGGGTGGATGATTATTATCACAATAAATATTATTCACAATGAATTAACTCCACACACACACGCGGATTTGTAGTAAGGGCGACACTTTAAATGCAGTTTTTACATTAGCAAGTAATTAATGGATTACAATTAGTAGTGGTGAAAAGAGGACAAATATTGCAAAATTACAATTCAACAATTTAATATGATAATAATTTCAATGCATAGTTACATAATACTAGTATTACAAGTTTTCATAGCAGTCTTCAGACACTTTGTTGATTTAAGAAAAACTCTTTGAGCAGTGACTGTCTTCATCACACACATTGGCCGTCATCCCTGGTCTCCATAGCAACCTGTTGTTTAAGTCTCAGGCTCAATGCTATGCCAGTAATCCATACCACCGGGGTAGAGACAGATCCTGGATTTAGCATCAATCTGCAACTAATTGGAATTTTTTTCTGCTGGCTTTCTCTTTCCATGGCTGATTGCATACTGGCTTTGACTCAGAGGAGGATCTCACAGGGGCCGGTCAGCTCCAGGAAGGAGCTGCTTCACAGCAGCCGTTATTTGAATATTAGAGACAAAGCAAGCTGGGCAGAACAGGAGGATCAGCTGTGAAGATGTGGCAAGATTCTCTTAAAGACCCACCGCATATAAAATAAATACAAAAATGGGTTTGGGCCAATTAGCGTCCTCTGACCCATAATGAGGGGAATAAGAGTGTTCATGTTAAGAAAACCCAATCGAAGTTCCCTCTAAAATAAGGATAAACTACGTGAATAGTGGTTAGAAGTATTCTGTTCAATCAATGGCAGACACCGCTGAGAGGCTGCTTCTGTGGAGCAAATCAAACGCACTCAGAGAGGCGGTTTCTGATTGAACAACTCAACAGGCGGAAAACAACTGCAGTCCCAACAGCTAATCTGGGATTTAAGTAGGACCCCAGTGGAACAAACAGGAAACAAACTGATGCTGCGTCAAATCACCGGGGAGACACATATTGTGTCCTGCACGCACACAGTAACACACAAGCTTTTTTTTCCTGGCTTACTTTTGATGCCTGCCGATGCCACCGCTGGTAGTCTGCCAGTGCGTCAAAGTTGACAAAGTATGTCTGGGCCTGAGATCCGGCTGAGCTGAACATCAGACAGTGCTGCCTCCGCTTCACCTCCTCCACCTCAATACAAAGACAATACACAGATACGATGAGGAGGAACACTGGGAGAGAAAACACAAACGGGGAACGATGATTATAAATACGCATTATTGCCTCCATAATGACAAAACAGTATTTTATACCCGTCTAGTATTTATCTTACTGTTCTTCCACAATGTAATAGCTAGAAAATTTCAGTTGTTATGTGGAGAGAGACAGAGAGGAAAATATTGATTGACAGTGTCTGCGTTACAGATGTTTCCGACTGGATATCAGCATACAAATGTAAGGTCCATCGTTTCCTCCATTATCATTCCATTATTAAGTGAAAATGTTGCCCTTCTTCAACAGGAAATGGGGAGAGTAGCAGCTACAAACTACCGAGGGCCCTGCTTTGTTGGATTTTAGAGATTTTATGGCAGGTTGTATATCATAATAACAAGCTTACTATATTACTTATTGACCCACCTGCCCAAACCTGGGAAATATCAAAGCAGCGTTGGGAGCAAGTTAATAATTTACAGAAACATTGGGTGCAAGAGTCCACCGTCTCTCTGTTGCATTCTCAAACACAAACACATTGCAGGACTGTCCGCTCGTCCATTGGCACAAGGGGAAAGGTTTTCACCCCTCCAGCTTATCTGATCTCTCAACACTGAACTCTCACCTTTCCCCCCACAAGGGGCAGGATGTGCATCTTCCCGGTCAGGCTGTCTTTGACGGAGGCCACAATTAGACAGGTGCCGCAGAGGATGACCTGCCGCTCGGCCCACTTGTGCAGCTGCGACTTGCCCTTCCGGACGTTGAATATTCCTTTCAGCAGTGTCCTCTCCTGCTGGTCTGCATTCACGGGAGGCTCTGAAGGGAAGAGCCCACCCACAGATGTTAGTGAAGATCCACAGACATCCATCTAATGCACAAAACCCCCCGAGGCTCCGTTCCTAAACAAATTCAGAAAATGAAGAGCAAATGTTTTGCAGTTCACCGAGGAATAAGAACTTCGAGAAAATGAAGTAATAAAGATATCCATAGAACGTCAGTATGATATCACCTATATGTTAGCATCTGTTTAGCTTAATAATTCCAGGGATTTATCGGTCATCACCGCTTCAGATGGACACTGCCCCATGATCTCATCTACTGCACATCTGGAAAGATTTCACCGCGTGATAATACGCTTCGATGTCGTAATTAACGGGAAAGAAAGTTTCCTCATTAAACTCCTCTATAGACACAAACGTCTGCTGTGACCGGACCCAACCCAAAACCTTTGTTTGGAATTACGAAGGAAGGGTTGAGTTTCATACTATTCCAAATGAATAAAGACCCTTTCTGTCATAATTAGTCACACGATGCTCAGTGAGAAAGAGACTGAGACATTCAGGTAACGGAAGGTAAGTAAGCACTACAGGGTGTTCATTCACATGACCAAGCAGACGGTTTGTTACAGAACCATCTCAGAAACTTTGAGAAGAAGAAATGTCCAAAAGCCACAGTGTCTAAATGGAAAAGGATCATAGTTCTTCTCTTTTTCCTCTTTTATAGGATTTCTGCTCCCTCGCTTTATAGATCCATTTTGGCTCTGTGAAATCAACACGCTATATCAAAACATCAGACCTAAAGTCAGGTAAATCATCCAGGTCTCCTGTACATGTTGCATGAATAATTGATCGACCTCTTCCTCCTTTGTCTCTCTCACTCTTAGTCATATTGATGAATGAGTCAGGGTTTTGTCACATTGAATTTCACTCGTTTCAATTCAATTACGGCAAACTTGCACGGCAGGCAGCTTTAGCGGGCCGACGCTGGAGGACACGTCACACAGCAGTGTTGTTGTCTCTGCCAAGCTTCAAGTACATTCAGCTTAATAGCAGGTCAAATAAGCAAAGAGGAGCCGCTGCCTCGGCCTCTTGTCCTCTGTTGTTACATTTTTCTCAAGCCAGCTTATCTTGCCTTCCACTCAGAAGCTCTCATTGGCAACCTGCTGTCTTTCTCTCATTCTGTCGCACTCGCTCCTTTCCTTTGACTTTTGCAAGGGCATACAAGTGAAGTGAAAGGTTGCTTGTACTTTTACCGGAGAAACTGATAATGAACAACCCAACTGCTTCTGAAGACAAATTGGCCGGCTGGCAGATCAATAGGTGTGACTGGTCCTCGGGAGTCTCCTCACTCAAAGAAAACCAATTAAGAGACACAAACCCTCACAGAGTCAGTGATGGGCGGTATGGACCCACATGAAAGGGGGGAAACGTTGCACATGGAACAGGATAATAAACCACAGTAATTTTTTGCACTGACTTTTTTCTCCACTTTTCCCAACACTGACGCTGGAGTCTTTTGTTGGAAGTTTTTCTATTCCTCCAAAAGGAAGATACATCCAGAAAGAATATTTTGAAATTGGTAGTAGATCTCTAATGTATTGCCTTGGTAATAGTATTGAAACATTTAAAATGAAAAATGATAGTATGGAGACAAGAAATTGCTTGATGCTAGACACAAATCCCTTCTCTGTGTGCCAAATACAAAAAAGTCAGAAGCAGTTTGGATGACGATTCCAAAGTGTCTTTGAATACAGGTGACGTCCACCAGCTATAATCTTCTGTATCTTCATCCATATTAAAACCCCACTACATTTTTAGGGATTTGTGTGACGCAGGTTATTTTACGTAGACTAATATGAGGCGGATCATTACGTTTTTATGCACACAGCTGACGAGATCAGCCAGCTCAATGGATTGACAGACGACATATCTGCAACTATAAATATAATGTCAGATATTTATAAAGCTGAAATATTTGCGCTTGCTCCTCCAGTTCTTTTGCTTTTTATACTATAAATGTTAAATAAGGAAAATACTACCTCTTTTAAATTTGTTTTCTGTGAATGCAAAGAGTGAGAAATACTCACATAATATACATATAAAAGATGCTCACTTCAATTTTAGGGTATGAGCATACAGCATGAACAAGGCGACTTTAAAACTTGGATATCAATACAACCACCCATCTGAAAGTCATTGGCCTATATTAAGTCCTTTGGTAAAGAGCCGTCTTTTGAAACAAACACACACGCTATCCTGATATCTGTGGGGCTGTTCGTTGCTAGGGAAACAGGTTGTTCACTAAATCAAAGTCCAATCCGAGTTGGTAAAGCTGTGGAGACGCCGCGGAGACGCTGCCTCCACTACACTCGTCATCAACGTTTCCTAGGAACTATACTGGGTTAGAAAGGAATATGTCAAACTGAGGCAATTTGTCAAAACAGCTCCTTGCAAAAGAATCAAACTGGGCTTACCAGGTTTTCCGATCTGTTGGTAGAACTATGAACTGCTATACTAATAATATTACATGCATTAAGGATTTGAAAAAATATTATGAATAACTTGATCCAAGAAAGAAAGTAGTTTTTCATGTCAGAAATGATTTGAATGAATATTTATCTAGTTCATCTTAGAAAATGTTTTCAGAAGTTTCTAAAAGAGTAGCAATGTAAAAAACTGTTGATTAGCTGATTGCAGCATACATAATGTATGTCGGTATTAAAGTAAATGTTGGCCCCACACTGACTTCAATCAAAGTATTCACTCTCTTTTAAACCTCTTGAGGCTAAAAGCCTCAAGAGGTCTTTGCATTTAAAATGATACATTATTGAAGGAGGGTAAGGGAATATTAATTTAGCCTCTAAACAGGTCAAGTGTCCATTGTTTCTATTTTAATGTCAATCACAAACATCATTGTGCCAATTCTCATGACTGAACGGTTTTAATCACATGACATCAGGCCACTCGGTTGAACACAATACTCTCTGTATCCCACATGTTTTTTGTGTTGCTCAAGATTGCATAGATTACGTTAACATTCAGCAGGGGGTCAGCGGAGGCGGAAACAGCGCCTGATTTGACTCAGAACAGCAAGCTCCTCTTGGCAGCAATTTCTATTACAACCCACCACCCAGATGCCAGCTTTAGGTGGTCTGTGCGTGTCCACCTCAAGAAAAACATCTTATTTAAACGTCCCAGCACTGTGAACAACACGGATGGGAGATGAGCGGCTGAACGCTGCTTCTGAACGGTCTGTTAAAACAGATCTTTGTTAGTGGACATTTCTATTTAGCTGGTATGAGCGATTTGAAAACTAACCATGGAGTCTTGGATGGGAGACAGTCTGCCAGTTTAAAATGATAAAGAGGAAATCCTTGGGAGAGAAACTGCGCTGCATCTCAGGAACAGCATGTTACGAGGAGCTGTCGGGAAACAGCAGAGAGCTTCGCAGAGGTCTGTTGCTCGGGGCAAATCTGCGGGAACCCAGATCTCAACAGAGTTTCATTTTCCTCTTAAATATCTGCTGCTTCTCCACTTTCTGGCCCTGTGAACCAATTACCGGTATGTCTGCCTTCATACCATAAAATGAAGAGGCAACATTGGTTGGTTATCCATTAGGATTATAGCTTCCCTGTTCCTGCAGGACAGGATTTTCACGACTGAGTGATTAAACCAATGGACCTCAGAGAGTCCATGTCATCACAGTTTACGATATCCACATTCTTCATTTAGGCACAATTTTCATTTGTAAATCCGCACCAGCAAAATCAATAAGTGCTAATAATATGCTTTTGCTCTGGTTGTACAGCAGCCTCAGGTCTCTCATCTGAAAGATGGGAGCCAAAGATCACAGAGGCAGAGGTGGATCAGGCATCAGGGGAGCTTACAGCAGGCCTACTCTGTCCTGCAGCTGCATGGGCCGACAAAGACCACCGCTGGCCCTCAGGTCTCTGCAATTGTTTTCACAATGAGCCTTTTTTCATTAAGTCAGCATTTAGAAATATTTACTCCCCGGCCCCTGTTTGTTTTCATCACATCTGTGCACCACAAGCCGGGGTGTGTGCGTCTGTTAGCTTCTTGAACAAATAAAAAAGGACCGTGAAGTTTGATAAGTGACTTGCTGCACTGCACTTTGAACACTTGAGATAAAATAAGGCCATAAAACAGACAAATGCGCAGGACGCAAGGACGAGCTGATCTATGAAGCTGCTTTCAGGCTGGAAACCAGGAGCGTCGACCCTCAAAGGGTGTTAAGTGCACCACACCGGTTAGCTTTGTAGTCTTCAATGATGGACCACGGCTTCCTTCATCTGCTTAGTCAGATCATTACCCCTGACACCCAACAGCCCAGAGACAAGCAATCACCTGGGAGAGTGATCTCAGCACAAGGCAGTTGTTGTGTGTTTCAACAATGCATCACAGCACCACCTACAATACCACTGTGGGTGGCAATGAGACACCGGGGTAAACTTGTGCCGCCAGCCAGAAACTGAAATCTACTGGGGAAGCTGTGTGACTGGAAAGCTCCTGAACACCAGCATGGGGAGGGTGGGGGAAACACACTGAGTCAATTCAGCACAACCACAACATCCTGCAGTTACTTCTCACCACCTTCGCCGGTTCCAAGAGCAGAAAATGACCAAAATGAAGTTGTGCCCTCAGCCTCGGCAGTGCGTCGAGAGAGCCAAAGTACCGCGCGTGCTTGGTCTCTGGTCCTCTTTTTCCCATGAGTCAACAAAAGGAGGCAGGAAGTCTCCGAGGGGCCTGGCCAGACTCTGACCAATGTGGCCTGACTACCGATGGCAGCCAGAATCCGACCAGTTCTCATGTTGGCAAAGGGGGGCAAAAAGCAGCAACACTTCAAATAGACAAATAGGGACTAAGACGAAGACTGAGGTCCCAATGAGACAAATAAACACACCTCAGTTCTACTAACCAGGCCGTAGAACAAAGAGAACGTTGTATTCATTTTACAGATCCCAGCTGAACTCAATACTGGTGGTAAAATTCTTGTTAAGATGAAGGGGGTGGGAAGTCTTGTGTTTTTACCTCTGTGTTGAACGGAGCCTCGGCACAGTCTTTGACCTCACGTTAGACTTATTAGGTCTTGTTTTGTTAAAAGCAAAAAATCAGCCTCTGCGGGCTCTTGATTTGGAATGCGTGAGTGTAGAAATGGAGCCCAGGGGAAGGGGGAGAAGAAACAGGCCACAAACTACAAAGAAGTTCAGGATTCAAATGTCCCACTTTCAGACTGTGTATCAAAAATGTCTCAGAACCCTCAGAATTCAATTTAAATAGATAATGGGGCCTTTCTGTGTGGAGTTTGCATGCAACCCCCTAAAATATTCGCCATATCTTTAGAGTCAGGTTTTTAAATTCTCCTCATGAATCGGCCAACCAGAGAATTTGAATAGAAAGCGGTAGAGATTTGTGTTTCGCTTGTATTCTCGTTCAGCGTGGCAGCTTTAAATGTCAGTGCAGGGTTCGGGTTGTGTCCTTTATGTGGGAGGATTCACATGTGAGCGCTTTAGACGCTGTGGTTTTGCTCGCCGCTCCTCTGGCACAGCGGCGTGTGAGCCGGTTCAAACCCCAAACATAAGGAGTTCCGCTGACTCGACATAAAACAGCAGTCGGTTGATCAAGCGGAGAAAACAGATCACGGAACGTTCAAACCCATTCGCCCTCGATGGTAAATCCCGTAATTACTGAAACGTATCATTAGACCGACGCAGTCTGCGGCTTTATGTGAGCCGTATTGAGACCCAAAGAGTCGCATCCTTTCTGCCGCTGCATTCATATTTCACCCTGACACGAGGACCCCGAGTCACCGTGCTCCTGGGGTCATGGGAGCGCGCCGACAGCCGTCAGGTGAAAGGCAGCCCACGTGGGGATGGACAATCACCGCGGGATGAAGGATGGTCGGCCGCTTATCACGAGGCCATGATTGGTGAGGGTTCGTGTCATCCCGGCTTCAGAAAGACATCACTCTCAAGGAGGCCCCAAATAACAACTGGCTTCACTTTGTCCTTGCTGAAAGCACACGCACGCACACTCATGCACCCACACCGTCAAATAAAATGATAAAAAGCGGACAGGATGAACTAAATGTTTGACCGGCTGCAGCGTGTTTTTAGTCCCTGTGGTAAGTTTCCCTGCTGCTGAGCAGCAGCAGATTATGGGGGGAGATTGGGGAGGACGGCCCCCGTGGGTCAGTCGGCTTCTCACCACTGTAGAAACGGATCAAACAGCTGAGGTCTGAGTTGGCGGCTTCTTGCTGCACTCGCACAGGCTCTGCGTAGCCCATAGCCGCCAGGTAGTCGTACAGCATCTGGAGCGGGCGCTCGGTGGGGTCCAGCCGCCTACAGGGGAAAAGGAAAATAGACAGCTGGTATGACAACGGCCGCCACTGAGGGGTTAAGGTTAAAGTTAAGGTGGATCAGATATTCTCCTTGAAAAACAGCAGATTGTTTTTTGATAAGATAGAATGTGTTTGCGTGAACCGACAGTGGTTGATTGACATATTCTTTCACTTTCAGTTTGTGGTAATAATTCCCAGCACGGCTCCACTAAACATCTATCTGAATGGAGGTCTAATCAGTCCAACTATTTGGGAATGGGTGTGCAGGATGTGTGAATTTCCTCGGGGTGTGTTTTACATCTAATTTGCTGGCATGAGATGTGATGCCTCAGCGATCATAGATCATTTAGCAAGGTTTCTTCTTACCATACAGACCGAGTGTGGAAAGAATGGGCTTGTTGTTTACAAAAGAAGTTTCCAACTGTGTAAACCTTTTAACTCGCTGTCGTCCTTTTACCACATTGACAGCTGCATGTCAATGAATCAGACCATGATGGCGCAAAGCTCAAAAGTCAACGATCAAAAACACAATTTTCATGGGTAGACATGAGTTTCTTAATGGCCGTTTTCATATACAACCAAAACATCCTCCATCAGCCGTTTTCTATTGAACACGTTCATAACGGCGGTGATTACGAGATGAAATGAGTGATTTCTCTGCAGGGCGGCTGGCCTCACTTGACATTTTAGAGTGAAGAGCTCATTGTTTTGGGGTATCAAGCCGCTAACTGATAAAGAGAATTCTGATGATACGCACGGGAGCCTCCCTCTGGAAGTGTTCCCGGCATGACAACCTGGAAGGAAACTCCGGGCATACCCACAACACGTCGGAAGGATTACATATATCATCTGTCATGGGAGCACTTACGGATCCCAAAGGATCCGCCTGTTGCTGCGAAAAATAACACTGGGCTGCTCTGCTCACCTTGCTCAGTGTGACCCTGACCGCCAGCGGCTCAGAGGGACGAATGTTCCTAATCAACTCTATCGTCAGTACATTTTTTCCAAAAAGGGAGTTTGTCCCTCTCAAAATACAATGTTCCCTGAGCAGGAAAAAAAACAGACCATTCCTATAAGCCGCACATTACAACAACGATTGTATCAGTGCTATGAACAGCGTTATAGGTCTTAGATGTTCTTTTGTACATCTATTATAAATCTCAGTAATAATAACTACTGGACTTGTTTGGATTTGTCACAACATTGAATACACCACAGACCATTGTGCTCTGAGCTATATAGCCAAACTATTTATTGTTTTACACTTTCTAACATCTCCACATAGGTTTTCCCAGAAAACCAAATTCCTCCCTGGTCACAGATCAGTGAACCAGCTTTCTATCCTTTAACACATAATCAAACGGTCGTTGGCTATTTACGTCTTCATACGTCTTGTGTAGCTGAAAGAGGCGTGCCGTCATGTCCCCTGAGGGTCTCCTGAGCGAGGGGCTGTGGGAGTATGTAGGAACTGCTGCACGTCCTCAGTGCTGCTGTTTACAGACTTTAAGTCGAGCTTAATTAAGGTCGGTTTCCACGGGCAGGACATCGCGTTTTTTTCAATATGATATAAATAGGAAAAACACATATGAAATGTACAGTGCTTGTGATTGCTATTTTTCATCATAGCCATTTACGCTTTTTATTTGTGCATCTGATGCGAGAGATTCCATTTTAACTTAAACAGCTGTGTAGACCAGCTGTACAACATCGGGTTTTCACTGGCACTATATGGTTGTGTAACTGCAACACAAATGATCTTTCTAAGCTTTAAGTCAGTTTGTATTTCTTTTCTCCGCCCTGGAACCTGATGCTGCATTAAGCTGTGAGCAGTCACATGCTTCAAAGTACCCAGCAGCAGCATATCGACTAGATCCAAGGAAGACACGGATGAAGGACTGCAGATGGTGGACGCGTGGTCCTGCCAGGACTCATGACCAGGGAGGGCAAAAGCATTCAAACTACAGTTGGCCTCTGACTACCTTTTAGGATACATTTGCAAAATGGCTGAAATGACTAAGTACCACTTCACTTTGGAGACTTGTGTGTGTATTTTACCTGACCAGGTCTCCGTGCAGCTGAACATAGAGTCCATGTCCGTCCCTCTGAGCGCACAGTTCCTCCACTGTGGTGGTGGTGGAGCAGAGCACCAACTGCAGGTCTGTTTGGGGGGTGGAGGAGGCTTGTGGACCAGATGCAGGTGGCTGGGGGTCCACTGTCCCCCCATACAGACACACACAGCCCCGCTGGGTGTCCCCCTTTAGCCAGTCCCGCTCTCTTGATCCAAATCTGTTTTTTCTCGTCACGCAGCCACGACTCCCGTTCCTCTTCATGTTACGCTGTAGACGTGAAGGGAGTCATTTTAGCACAAGTTGATCAGATCAATTAAGGATTTCTCAACTGTTGTTGAGTCAGAGCCTCAACTGCATCCTCAGAGACAATACAGATGATGTCCCAATTCTTTACACCATTTTTAAATTATATTTTATTGGTTAATGAAAAGGTCATCAATGTTTCTTCAATTAGGTTTAACGGAGTTCAGTGAACTGCAACCACGTTTCCTGATATTGGGTACGATGCTCCGAGAGACACGGGGACGTTGCTGCGCACCGCTCGATCTGCACACAACCGAAATGAGAACTGTGCCGAGGAATTGAAGGTGACACTGCTGGAGAGCGGTGCGGTTTTATTCGTGGTGGTGAACGCGCAACCCCTTCCTCCCACACTGCAATCAATGCTCTGTAATCAATATTCTGGCACCATCAAGTACGCAGCAAGTAATTCCAGCGAACACACTTGCAATTGTTTTCCTTTGTCGACTCAAGTCTGCATCTGCTGAGCAGCATCATTCTGTTCATTCAATTACCTTTCTGGCCGAGGATGGACTCTTAGACTGCAGTGGTATCAGGAACTAGAATACGGTGTTGTTGTCCGTTCTTGCCCTAATCACTGATGATGTCAGCCGGATGTGCATCAGCCTGATGCTGTGTTTGTTTGCTAAAACGGCTGCAACATCAACTGCTCTTAAAAGACCCCCGTTCGCAGGCACAACGAAGGAATACACCATATCAAGATGTCAACATTCATACTCTGCAAATACACACAAACAGAGACTCGCTAACTCACACGCATTACACAGTTTGTCAAGGACACAGTTTGACTCGAAAGTATCCAGTCTGGGGACTCACGGACGTCCTCAATATCGTTTGAAAAGGTCGCCTCATACAGCTGTGATGTTCTGCAAGCTGCTGCTGCGTAGAGGAGGTGCACCTTAAGATCAATCATAGTGTGTCTATGGAAAATATCCAAACATCAGTCGTGGAGAAAAAAAAAAAGGTCTGCTGTACCGCCAGTTGTGGGGGAGGCAGCTTGATACTTTACTGGATAGCTGAGACCAAGAAGGAGAGTTTCAAAGTTGATCCACCCTCCAAAACGCACACACACATACATAATGATGCAACAAATCATTGCATACAGTTTTCATTTGTCAACCAGATCAACACTTGAAAGCTCTGACTTATTTCACCAAACTATGACAACAATACAAATTCAGACGGGTCAACAGAGTTTTTTCTACTCAGAAGATGCTGTAAGGTTTGTAGCTGTAGTGACATCTTGACTGTAAAAGCAGGAGAGCCTTTTAAAATAGCGTTAGATTGATTTATGATTATTAATAACAATATTATTTATCTTTAAACTAATTGATCAATACCTTGAAATCTTTTCTGAAATTTGGTGTTGAATAGAAAATGTATTCAGTTAGAAATTAAAAAAAAAATGTTTTGCCACTTTCCTGATAGTGACCAATCGATCCATGGATGTTTTTTTTAATAATAACAACGTTGTAAAATACCTTCTAAAAGGCCAATACATTAGAAACGTAAGACTTTCACTCCTTGAATAAGACTGGTATGATCCCATAAGTTACAGAGGAAATGATCTGAATGGTAATAGCAGCTGGTTTCAATTCCACACCTGTTGAAAGAACCTGTGACCACAGCGTAAGAGGAGGCTGTGATACTCTTTCCTCATCAGCTTCTGGGTGCGTCTGAGTGAAGCAGTGGAAAACCTCAATGATCAACTCAGTTAACTACATTACCGAGCAGCTCCCAGGTGAGCAAGTGTCACTGTGAAGCAACGCTGCACCGAATAGGATCATGCATTACCAGTAAACTTCTTACTTTTTACCAACACAACTGATGTGTAATGCCTGCACATTCATTGCATAGCACAGCTTATGCGTACGCTTGTCGTTGCTTTGTGAGCATCGACGTGAGGGAGGTAGATGTCGTTACACAGCGTGTGTCATGCCTAAAATGTCACAGAAGAAGCGTTGAGCAGCGGGCCTTCCTGCAGGCGCTCAAACAGCGTGCGGGTGTATTAGTTGGTTGTGGTGCATTCCTCACTGAGTGGCATTCATGCACAGATCAATCACCAACTAGATAATGCCAATCACTGGGTATCACAGCCATTACATAATATCACAACGGATGCGTTCTCATGCACTTTGCCCTGTTTGAATCACGAACTGCAAGAAATAAAAATTTTTAAAAAAACATTCGCCATGTAGCACAACGCACAGACGCACATTTGCTCCAGTCGCTGTTTTGAAATCACCTCCTGCATGAAAACAAAAATACCTCCGCTGGCTATGACTCGCCTTTAGCACGCGGATCCCCGTCGCAGCGTGAGATCCGGGACCACTGCGGCTGCCGCGTCCCGCGGTCGGATTGAGCCCCGCTCGGTGCGCCACCGCGTCCGGCTGCCTGTCGATGCAAGCCCCGTCATCTCCGACATCACCTCCTTTCTGTTTGGCGCTGGCCGCTGCGTTGTTGTCCTCGTCCTCCATCGCCATGAATGATCGCCGTTACCAGCGACGGGAACCAAGGAGGGCCGTCCCGGCGCGCGCCTGGCGAATTCCCACAGAGAGGCGCGGACGCATCGCGCGTCGGCGCAGCGACGCCATGTCCACACGGGGTGTGAGAGTTGCTGTCAGATGGGCCCGCCGGAGAGGCGATCAATAAACATGAAAGGGGCGGGTTTAGGGTATTTATTATGCATCGGCCCCGGCTCACGTGTGACGCGAGAGGCGGATCACGTTAAGCACAAGGCGAAGACCACTTTTGATGGAGGAGGAATGATAAATCACGATGTGCCCTTGGAGGGCGTGTTTTGGGTTACTCGCTAACCTATTGGGTTATGTGGATTATATTTATATTTGATTAAAACGTACAAGGCTATTCAGTTACAACTTCCTTAAGATCGATTATTCACATGTTGTATCATCATTAGGATCCCTTTCGGTGGCGTTTTATCTCATCTTAGTTAAGAGCTGACGTTGTGGTTTATGTATTTTTAGTTCTATTCATCAGGTGCATTGATAGTTTACCTTATGTTCTGTTAAATAGCTGTGGCGCATCAGGGATAAATACAATTATTTAAATGGTCATATAAAGTCACCAGTTAAATATTTCAACTCCTTAACAACGGGTGCCTCGTAAATACAGAGCTAACAGAACAGAATTTAAACAGTTTTATAAACTTTTATATCCTTTAAAATGATTGCATCACGCTACGCTTAGTGGCAATTATGAGAAGAGCCCGAATCACTTCAATTAACCTGAGAAAACATGCATTCCATATTCCATTTTATGTAAACATTTAAGGACGTAATATTAGGATGTTTTATAAAAGCAGCTACATATGTGCTCATATCTTTTATTTTTATGTATATTTATAATAATCCCTAAAACATTTGTAATGGTGACCTGTGACAACTGTTCCACCACATCCCCAAAACAAGAAAACAAACTAGATTTTTATTTGACTTTTTATTTGCTTGATCATTTTCTCCAACCCAAAGACAAGAATATACACAGCATAAATTGAAAATATCCCATTTAATAGTTTAAAACTTCTCATCTTTAATCATCATTTCATCCCTTCAGTCTGACATTCACGTTCACCTTGAGGAACTGAAATTCAGTTCAACATGGTAAACTTGACCGGAAAAGGTGAGCCTCGTGCCGCCACCCTCCCCCAACCAATCCGACTGTGGTTCAGGAGTCAGGAGAGGCCTTGGGGTTACAAACAGATTTCAAAAATACAATGGATATATTTTAGATCCAACAGGGAACATGAACATGGGTGGCAATTCAGATGCTCTTCCAAGCCCTTGCACACACTGAATTCAGCTAGACAAATTAAATCAAATAAAATAAAAAAAAATCAATTATGCAAATCTAATTAATCCAAATGATGGATGTGCACTTTCATCACTCGAAAAAAAAACTATTGTGAGCACTATCTGAACAACTTCCTAAAAAGGTACACATTAGTACTGACCCATGACAGTGGTGTGACAGATTTTGATTGAACTTTTCTTGCATTTCAAAAAGGAGTATCAGGTCAATAGTAGAAATAAACCTATTTACACTGGTTTTCACATGCAGCTCAGAAGCTGAGAAATTACTTTACAGCCCGAATTATGTCCTGCCTAGATAAGACATGTTGCACGCCATCACGCTCTTCCAAGCATGTTTTTTTTCTTTCCGTCTCTCTCTCTCTCTCACACACACACACACACACACACACACACACACACACACACACACACACACACACACACACACACACACACACACACTTCCCTTCTTCCTTTAAGTTACAATGTCCAAAGCGCTGATGTTGGCTTCATTTCCAACATTTAGAACAGCATGAATTTGCGATTCGTGGAAAGAACTGATCACATCTAATAAAGGTACATACAGTTTGAATAAGACAAAAGAAACAGGAATTGATGAATGCAACTTGTTTCCCGTCAGCCTTCCATTTTGCACAGCTCCCTCTAGTGGTCATTATCAGGTATCACAGGCTGGTCCCAGGTGTGTTTTGGGGCAGTGAAGCAGCAATCCATGATGAGAAAACAGAAAAGAATGCCTTCCTTCACCGTATCATGCCATGTTAAGTAGAATTTTAAACAATAAGGGTACGGATCTGTTTGTCGTGATTTGTTACAGCCCCTTCTTTTGTATCAGTGACTACAAAGAGAAGCTGTGCCATGCAGAGGCAAATAAAGTCAATGATAAGGGACAAAAAGTAAAGACAGCCTACCAGCTCTAAACAAAACTATTTCAATTCAGACCTACTGACCCTAACGGCAAGGTGAAAATCTGTGCTTGCTTGAGACACAATGCTTTTGGGGAAAGGTGGTAAATGCCAGCCAAAAAAAAAAAAAAAAAAGAAAGAAAGAAAGGTAACCAGGCAACCGTGACAGCCAACATGCCAAGACCACAGGGCATCATTTCAAGAATAAATTTGAAGGCTGAAATGAGTTTAACAGATCAAATGGTGAAAGAGGGCAGAAAGCAAAACCAAAATGGGGCCAGAAGGAAAACCTGCTCCTCTTGGAAGGAGGGCACGGGTACAATGAGCAGATAAAGCAAGGCGCCACTTCTGCTGCGGTGCAGCACTGTGCTTAGGTTTTCTCAGTAGTTCAGTTCATCATTCAGACAACACCCAAAAGGAACCCCGACCAGTAGCCTACCATCTTTGTAGAAGTAAAGACGACACATCCATAGTGAATGAAGTAGGGTCAATGGTAAATCCAATGCAGCTCGATTGCATCCTTTTCGGGTTCTTTTTTTGTACATATGTATGCAATTATACCTCCTAGCTAATCTTTTAAGTCTTCACTTGGGTTTTATTTAATTTGACCAGCTTTTGTTTGTTTTACAACTATATACAATGTACAGTCAGCAGATCATATATCTTTTACAATGCGTGAGTGATGATACAAGGAAGTCTTTATAGACTGATGTTCACTAGATCTATTTAGACAATATACATTGTGAATAATTGGACTTTAGAAAATGGTATCTAAAAAATGATGAACGATAGTACAAGAGACAAAATTGTAAAAGCCCTCAATATATACAGAAAAAGCCAATACAGCATTTGCCAACAGAAAAAAAAGTTAACTGCAATAATTTTCTCCATATACACATAGGATAGCTCAAAAATATTTCCAAAGCAAATAGTCTCTCCGATTTGGTCACATAAGTTAGAAGACCGTGAAGCATAGTGAAAAGAAGAATACAGCCTGATTGGATCTCAACGCAGCATCGCGGCGCTGCTGAGCTTAAGTAAAGCGATGGAAAACTAGCCGTCAGTTTCTCTCATGCAGACGCTCCCCCGCCATTGCAATTTACGACTAAGCAGAGCCGTCAATAAACTAACAGAACAACAGAGTTTGAGGTATTAAGGCCACCGTCCGACAGCGTGGTCAGAATTCTGATTTGAACGCGGGAGCCGAGAAATCAAAAAACGACAGCCAAAAGGCTCCGGCCCAGTACCTCACATCGAACACACCTGCTGACAGGGTGCGTTGGTATATTTCACTTCAGTGTGACATTCATACTGTTTTAAACTGTTGAAACCTCGTAGCCAGCCTCTGAGAGGTCTATTATCTGCCTTATTAAGAGATTTCCATATTTTAGGACTTTTGACTCCAGGTAGGAAATCCAGGTAGGCCATGATTAGTGGATAACTGATTATTAACTTGTGAGAAATAGAAGTCGGGAAGGTTGTTATTACATGAAGTGATTTACAGCTTCAGATCTGTCAAGGTAATTTCCTTCAGATACAGAAAACCCATCAGTACACAAGCAGACTTACAAACGAAGCTCATACAGAACTCAATAGTTCAGCGGCTTTTATCCAGCCAGGTCAGAAAGGCACATCACTTTGAGATCAGGCATAAATAATTAAGTCAAATTACTGCAGAAATAAAAACAAACTTTCACAAAAACAGTGCCAATAAGATGAGGATCCCCATCAAAGAGACAGCAATAAGAAAGAAGACTTCAATGTGGGGGGTGGGGCATTCAGTGCATGTAACTACATTCATAACAGGCTTCATTTACATTTATGTGCATGGGGACTCAACTAGTTCAACTAGGTTAAACAAATCGGAAATGTATCTAATTTGCAAGCCGGGCTGACGACACAGATGCAGGTAAAGTTTAAGTTCCAACACAGATGCAATGAACTTCTCTTGATATAAATGTCTGGCCTGGATTTCTTCGTAATGCACCTCCCCAACTGAAAGTAGGCAATTAACAGTTGTGTTTATTATACAGATCTAAAAACCACCATGAGATGATTTCAGGAGAGCTGTGTGGGGAAGTTTGGGCATGTTATCTGAAAGCAGCCACAGGGGATCCAACTGGGCATTTTGGATGTTCTGATGCTTTTATCATTGTGTCAAAACAAAAAGTAGGCTACGTCCTATTCAAGCATTGCATTAAAAGCCCTTCAACCGGAACCGGAAATTCACCCTTGCTTGGGCGACTGTGATCCTATAAACATGCTTTAAGGAAATTCATGTAATTCAAAATCAATACAGCTATTTGACAAGTTATATCACCCACATGTGTGGAGGGTCCAAAAAATGTCTTAGCCAGAACTTTTCAACTGCACTAAATAGACCTTTCAAAGCATTTTCTCCTGCCATCATCGGACTAAAGGCTCATAAAAAATCTGAATGCAAAGCCAATTATAAATATCAATGGAGCAAAGTGTTTTTTAGCTTAATTATAAATTCAAATAAGACTAGGGTTGCCGCAGTGCTCATAGTGGGCCACACGTCTCCTCTGCAGAGACGTGTGCCACGGGGGGGATCTGCGTATGTGTGTGTAATCATGATGCTGAGCGAGGGTCTATGTGGAAAATAGTTCTACTACACAAAAAAACAAAAACAATGGTAACCAAAACGAAAAAAAGAAAGTTCATCGATTGATACGTTTCCCCAATTACTCTGGTGATGTCAATAGTCAAAAGGGTCTTCTTAACATCTGTATTTTTCTCCTGTGATGGATGCTCTGCTTCCCATGCAACTGGAGGGCGGCGGGCTGCAGTGACGTCAAAGGGGGATCCGTAGGAAGAAAGCAGGGCGGGGAAAGGAAAATCGTTCTCATAGTTCTCTCGGTCGGGGGCTTTTAGGAGCAACAGAAGCAGCTCATCACTGCCAGGACTGAGGCGGGAAGTTATTAACCTCAGCCAGGTCTTGCACAGGCGAGCCTTTGAGGGTGTACGTCAGCTTGATCCTCATTCGAAGCTGTTGCTGAAATGTTGTGAGGATGATCATGTTTATAAGAAAAGAAACTCGTGCACGTCATTTGAGACTGTACAGGTCTAAAATATCTGCATTGTGTGCTTTAAAAAAAAAAAAAGAATGAAAACACAATTTGTGAAGGACAAACTCACCTTCTGTGGGTTGAGGACTCTGATGACCTGCGTGACAGTTCCCTGGTTGAGTGCTGGGACCACGTTACTGCTCGGGGAGAGGAGCTGCAGCTGGAATGTCTGACCAACAGATACAGAAACATCATTGGCATTGTATGCGAATAAATCTGTAGTTCGGCACTAAACAGAAAGTCACATTGTAACCCTACACAGAAAACTCCAAAACCATGAATTAAAACTTCAAAACACAGGCACTTTATTATCTGCGCTGGATTAGGCCTGCTTACCTTTGGTACTGCAGCCTGAAAAACAAAGTCCGTCATATCTGCCTCTGTTGAGTTGGAAGCATGGATGGTGATGACGGCGACGTTTGGATTGGGATTAGCTCTCTCAAACGTGAAGTCTATTTTCAGTCCATTCTTGTTGTATGCAGTCATGGGAGGAATAGCTGTACAGAGATTTCAGAGGACAAAAAACAAATCAAAAGAATTAGATCTCATTCCAAATGTATCATGGAGATCCAGGTTCAGAAAAAGGTGCTTCGATATATGTAATAAAAACATCACAAATGGGGGATGGTTAAAGGGGAGTAACAAACTCTCACCTGCAGCTGCAATGTCATTAAAGAGGGGCTGTGAGGAGAGGCCGTCCAGGAGGAAAGAGGGTTGGGATGTGGCCACAGAGGGAGCAGGGGTAGGGACGCCTGGAAAGAGGCGACAGCAACACACAAGGGCTCTACTACAGGAAAACTGTACAGTGTCAGCAGCGCGTCACTGCCCAACAGCAACAGGTTGGGCATCACGTTCACGCGGGAAGCAAACACGAGTCTATTCCAGGTACGAGAGAGCGTCCTACCGCTTAGCGAGAGGTCACCCAGCAGATCGAGCAGCTCTCCTCCAGCGGAGGCCGGCTTGGTGGGCACGGTGGTCTGGATTACTGGCACCACGTCGTTACCACCGAGCAGGTCTAATAGATCGTTAGCCTGGGGAACAAGGACGACACGTGAACATGGTGAAATGCCTTCAATAACTATGCATACATTGTAATAAAAACAACTATCAGGCTTGCCCCCTCTTGGTTATTCAACAATGTTATTTTCGGTCTTTGATCAATCTTTTTGTGCGGCGGAACGACTCATTACAAAGAAATGTATGAGCACTTCTCTACCAAATCTACAAGAGGTGCTTTTGTGTGATTTATCATAGACTGAAAAATCTTTTGTGGTCGATTAAATGTCTCATTATCCATTCGAAATTCTGTCCACTGCTTATGTAGTGGCCCAAATCAATACTTGCATGACCTTAAATTTGTTAGCAACCAAGTAACAAGAAGTGCTCCCACCTGGTTGGCTGGCTGGCTCACAGGCGGTGGGTGTTTTGAATCCACAACAGAGGGCTCCGTCTCTCCATTGGTCTGTACGATCTCCGTGGGGCCATTAGAAGCACTTTTCTCCATAATGGGCATTCGCTCTAGGAGAGCCGGCCTAAAGTCAGTAAACAGGAGAGCATTAAGGAGGGAGAAAAGCAAAAACCACCTGATCCACAAACGGGTGCAACGGGGTTGTGATTATTTGATAGAGCGTAAAGCGGTTTCACCTCATGTGGTCGTATTTCTTGAAAAGCGCATTGTACTCCACCGCCCTTTGCTGAAGCTCCACGTCGATGCTGCTGCCGTATATCGAAACCACCTTCTTGATTCGGCTGGAACAGAGTTTTACATTTTATAAGTTAGAAAAGTGACGTGACTTTCTTTAACTTAGCTCCCAAATGATTGTTATGCTTCAAAGTAAGTGCTGAATGCAACGGGCCATTGCTCACTTTACACCGCTGAAGCGAGTAGACAGCTTCATGATGGCAGTCAGGGAATAACCTCGAGTCACAGCTGCAGACAAGTTGGACACCAGGAGGCCTTCCAGCACGTCCAGAACTTCATCCTCAGTCACCTTTGGCCAAAAAGGAAGAATACAACCCCTGATGAGCTGGTGTTTCGATTTCTCTCGATTCTCTCTAGAACGATTCGGTCTCGATTCAGAAAAGTTAATAATCGGAATTTTAAAAATGAAATTAGTTCGCCTGTTGCAACATTCTGTTCGCCCGCGGCAGAACGCAACAGAAAACTCCTCTCTGGCCTGCTGATGCTCTGCTATACAAGCATGCTCACTAAGCGCACTAAACGCACATGTTTGAATGTTTATAAACAAAGTTGAAACGTATGGCGGCAGATCACTGTCAAAATTCGAGAGCGCAAATCAGGTTGATGCGCGCGCGTAAATCAAACATTCGCGAGCAAAAGTTTGTCTTGCGCAAGATATTTGCTCGCTCGCGGAGCGTGATTTCCTCGCTCGCGAGGTTAGTCTCTGCTCGCGGCCAAAGGTGTTTGACGCGCTCGCTGTTGTTCTTTTTGACAGTAAGGGGGCGGAGCCAGTCACCATGGTCTCTACACCTGATTGGTTACAAACCGCGTCTTTGGATTGGCTGGAGTGATGCATTCACACAACTATAGAAGCCCATTTTCACACTAATGTAAGGGGATAGAAAGTCGAAATTATGAGATAAAACGTTGTCAAAAAACAAAAGCCCCCCTTCGGTAATCGTAGTGGACCGTAGATGACAACCAGCTACAACCATCATTTACCATCATTAGCGGCACATTAAGAGCAATGCGTCCAGCTCGCAGACCGGTCCGTCAGTCTGAATCTGTGAATATCTAATAACTTTACCGAACTATGGAGGAGCCTGCGCATATCTTACCTCATTATTTCGATTTTCCAAAAAGTCGATCCGTATTGAAAGTTGGCAAGATATTCACAGATTTGGACTTTTTTTCCGGTATTTTACAAATACGGACCGGTCTGAGACTTTAATTTAAAAGAAAAATGAATCTGTTTTAATATTTTTTTACATAGGCTACTTCCATATTGTGTTGAAATGCAAGCTGCATTGGTTCTTGCATTGTTGATAGAAAATCATTTTCGTGACAAAGATTTTTTTTCTCTTATAAAAAATTAGAGAAGGTAATTAATCTGTTGATTTTCTTTAATTATCAAATAAAGTAGGAAGGGATTAGCAACCTCTGGGTAGCAAACTCAGATTTGAGAAAGTTTAGAAAATCGAGATGCATCGAAAATTGTTTTAGAATCGATAATCGGTTTAGAATCGAATCGTTGACCTCTGAATCGGAATCAAATTGAATCGTGAGGTGCCAAGAGATTCCCAACCCTATCTTCCACGTGTACCTGGATGGGCTCCTCCTCTTCACATTGTCCAGATACCAGCAGGTCCCCGTACTCCCCTATGCACCAGGATGCCACCTGCACTAGAGGTTGCTACACAACACAGCGACACAAAGGGTCAACTTTGGTGCATTCTTAAGCTGGTGCGAAGGTGTGCGTCAAAGGCGGAGGCATCCAAGATCCAGAGCAGAACTGCGCCTACCTGTGAGATGTCGTCCAGCAGTGCTTTGTAGAGCCTCTGGACGGTGTAGGCGTGCATCTCCACACTGTTTGTGATGAGCTGGATGAGGTTGGGAACAGAATCGTCTCGCACGTAGCTCCCTGCCTGTGAGGATCAGCAGAGATGTCCATCACAAAGACAGGCGAGTGTCACGTATTCCTCTCCCCCTCCCCCCAGGAATATTATCAGAGTTGGAAGATCGTTCAAAGTTCTCCATGTAACAATAATGAAAAAATTAACAGTTAAAGAATTAATTCCACCCTACCATCAAAGACATTAGAGGCACTGAAGGGCAATGTAATATACATACCGTCGTCAGGACTCTCATAATGGTGTCTATGTGCCATCTTTTCGAAGGGGCATACCTGCAACATGACACATGGATTAGTCCAAGCACACGACTGAAGACAAATCCTTAAGTTCTAACTTCTATAGACACGAGACAAATGCTGTCAGAGTGTAAATGGCATCATCATGGTCTGTCGGACGATGGATCACTCATTTTATCATCATTCAGCACATCAGTGTCTACGATGGTGCCGCAAAATAACGTTTAGATAATTAATGCAGATGGTTACTACTCAGGTTCAAGCAAGCTGAACCTTTAAGTGCCAAGAAAGAAAAATATATAGCTAAAAGTCTTTACAAGCGCGCACGTGATAGTCACACAGGACGTGTATCCAGCCATGCCAAAGCATTTGAGCACATGTGTGATGTGTAGTAAAGTCAGTGCCATACTTCTCTGCAGCTAGAAAGACTCCTGATGCACAGTCTGCCTTGAATTCCGGGTCACAGGAGTCCAGGAAGTAGAGCAGCTCTTTCATCATGCCTCTAATGTTGTTGCCGTTCACCAGGGCAAAGCTCAGTTCCATCGCACGTCTACGCGACAATGAAAAGCAGATAAAAGGTCAGAAACAATGAGACTACCTAGTAAGAAACTTGGGGTGTTTTACAGTAAGTACAGTTGTACATTAAAAGTGATGTACTGTTGGCTTAGGGGAACCGCTATATTTCAAATACATCTTCACTGCTTCATCTAGCCGTCAGCTCTTTCTATGGGGGAACTGAACTAAAAGTAAACTATCTACAGTTCCTTGTAAGCCAAAAAACAGTGTGGCCATAAAATGTATAAATATCTTTGTTTTTATTCAGACACATATTCAAGCACATATCATAACATAGCTATGCCTTTAGGTAATGTGTGAACTTGTGAACCACCTCTTGATAGACACATCCAGGTCTTTTAAACAATCCACAATGGTGCTCCGATGCCTCTGCACTGCATTGTGGTCCGTCTGTACAGTCTTTAGTAGGGATGTCAATGCCACGTATCTGGAATGGCGAGGTCAAACAAAAGATATAATAACGAACAACAGCATTCCTGATGACTTAATGGTGCAAGGAGAAGCACAATGAGCAAATTGCTTACCTGATATTTTTGTCATTGTTTAAAAGGAAGCGACCAAGTATGTTAATGGCCAAAACCTGGAAAATAAAAGACATTGAGCCACAACGAAATAACAAAAACAAAGATTTTCTTTATTTCAAATTGACTCACCCTCAGTCCGCTTTCAGACTTGATGTCCATTATGGTCAGTACGGTCTCGTAGAGAATTGCGTTGCCTACATTTTTACTCGTCTCTGTGTTCGTTGCAACCTGCAAGTACAAATGGCTAAAATTTATCCAAATAACACCTTTGGCGTAGAAAAAAAAAAAAAAAAAGAAGGATCCCGTTTATTCCTTACCTGTGCAAGAATGTCATTCATTGCTTCACTGGAGTCATCATCACTCTTGCCTAGAATGCGCAGTAGTCTCAATATCCGCACCTAAGGAGAGAAACAGTTCAGTACCGTCTGTTCGCTGGACTTGTGTGACGCACCTTATCGATTATCATCCTACTCATTGCTTGTATGTTGTCGTTTTGACACAATTAATTCAATACTTCACTGGTTTGTGATTCTGACTGTTAACTCCATGTAAATAAAAATGTATGTACACAGACGTTAAGGAAGTTTAGCGTGCAGCGGCTTTAAACACGCTCGTTCTGGTAGATATGTTTGGCGTCCAGTTGACTCGCAACGAGAAAGGAGATTTACCTGCAGGAAAGGGTCGCTTATGCCGGACACGTCATGTTCAGGAGAGTATCCAGACATGATTAGGTTCTTCAAGATTCTCACCAACTGAGGGACCAGCTACAAAAAGACCAACAACAGAACAGAAAAGGAGACGTGTCATAGTATTTTGAGTAGATCTTATAAATGTTCCATTTCTTTCGCATTTGAATAACGTTCTTAATAAACCGTTAAAGTTAGTAATTTGTCATCGACAGTGGCAGCCAGACAAACTCATACCAAACGCAAAAGGGTTGGGATTTTTTTCTCATTGAGGTAAAGCAATATATTTTAATGGGGCTGAATAGTTGTAAAATCAAAACTGTACAACTATATTGGGTTAGAACATCTGGCTTTGAGAAAATAATCAAATCACCATACGCACTTCTGTAACCTCTGAAAGACACGCAATACAAATAATATTTCAATCAACGGCTAATGAAAACTTAAATTGTAACCATAAATAAACAGCCTGCAGTCCTATTCAGCCTTAAATTTAGCAGATAAGGCATCATTAACCTCTTTACATCATTGTTGGAATGTGTTCAGCCTAAAAACTAAAAAACAGACTTGGATGTTGTTAGAAGGCCTATTAAACTTAGTTTCAGGCCAGATCATTTCACAGAATAAATAAAAACATATCCTCTCGATATAGCAATGCCAGGCTCGGGTACCAAGACCCCAAAAGCACCGGCCAACAGTGACACGCACAGTGGAAGTCAACAGTTCCCAGTGACAACCGCTTTGGCCGTCACGTGAACACACCCACCAACTGCTCTTAAATTAAAGTGTGATCAAATGAGTTATACATTCAGCAAAAATAACACAACAATAGTGAGAAATGTGTCTGACAAATGGACCATAAGAATAATTCATAGTTTTTAAAAACACTGACATCGTAATGATCACAGTACAAATTAAAAATCATAAAATCACAACATTAAGTCTGAGGTGAGTGTGACGAGTGATTACTATTTACAGCATGCACCAGCTATGAGATCAGAATGTACTCTTACCTTCTCATTCTAACAATGCAGGAATTGTAACAAAGACAAATGACAGAAAAAATATGAGGTAGATGTTAGGGAGGGGAAACTGGAAATCTTTCCTTTTCAGAGAGCTTAAAATAATGTTTCGATCGTGAGCATGAGGGGGGGGGGGGGGGGCGCTTCTGGCACAGTTTTACACCTAGAGAAGAAGAGGTACAGCAGTTGAAATTCACGAGGAAAAGACAGTGGAAGGAGATAAAAAGGTTGAGACATACTTTGAATGTAGAGCAAACCTGTCGCGCATGTTTGTCTAAGCTTATCGATTCCTAAAGGAAGTGTGCAAGCTAAACGAGAATGAAATGTGACGTGAGCTTAAAAGAAATGATTAAGATCCTAGTATGGGGGAAAGAGTGAGTTTTTACCTTTCTGAAGTGGGCCAGCATGTCGGGACTTCTTTCACACATCTCAGTGAGGAGGACAACAGATGTGTGGAGAACACCTGGAAATACAAAGTAAAGGCAAAGTTCATATTTGGAGACGAGTGTGTTCTCTACCTTATACATTTGTCGCAGGGATTTCAGATAATAACTCAAATAACGCCAAAAGGACTTTAGAAGTGGCCGCAACTACTTATGATACAAATGACAGAATAAAAATCAATTCACGAGGGCCAGTTAAGAGGTTGACTGCGGATTTACACACATTACAAACAAGCACCAATACGCGGGCTGTGCTCTCGTCTCCAAAGCCAGATGTCCAATAATACGATGTACTAGGATACATATGATTAATCGCTCAGATTATACGACAGTACATTCCCTTCCTTGGGACTTGATCTGAATGTTGAAACCTAATCATCTAAGTGACTGCAGCGGCGGAGAGCTTTGTGCTACACAACATTCTCATAAACATATTAAATTATGTTTCTGTTCATATCGGTTGCTGTCCAGTCAAGTTGCTTTTTGACACTTTCCAAGTAATCAATTCTATAATTGTTCTTTTTACATGTAGGATAATATATTCATATCATTGATTAGGTTGATTTGTTTCCAGTGTTAAGTTCGGCGACGAAAGAACTATGACGAAAAATTTGTTAACGAACCTTTTTTCCATGACTAAGACGTGACGAAAACGATCTTAAAAAATAAAAACTATGACTAAATCTATTCTAAGTTTCATTAACGAGACGAACATGTTGGTGGTTGACTAAGTTACGATACTTTTTCCCCCTAAATTCGCACGCAGCTAACAGACAAAGTACGGCGGTTATTAACGCGTCATGACGACGTCATCCACGAACCCAGAACCCACGCTCGCAGAACCCACGCTCTGAAACAGCCGCGCTGTTTCAGAGAAACATGAAACGTTTAACAGACTGTCGGACCTTTCTGCTCTGTTCTCTGGCGACGGCAGGCAGCGTTTCCTCGGCTGGATGAGACGGTCCGTCACAAACACGTCTAACGTAATAAACTCATTGCAGGTTCTGAAGCCAAGAATAAAATGTATTGCACCGATTGTAGGACGTTAAGGGGTCTCTTTTGTTGGGACAGTGGAAACAATAAAGGAACATGAAGTTTCCGATGTCAAAAGCATTGCAAGTAAACAGACAAAGACAACAAAGTGTTGAGTTTAGATCCCTGGTCCTCATGAAGTTGTTACACCTTTGCTAATTTGTTAAATTGCCTTGCAAAAAAATGCTTTGCTATTTGTTAAAATCCAAATCCGTTCATGTAATGATTTTTCACATGTCATTTATATCAGCTCACACAAACACTTCAACCATTTGTTCTTGGCCCGGCTTCTCCGTCACATTTTACAACCCATTGTGGCCCGCGAGTCAAAACGTTTGCCGACCCCTGCTATAGACTTGTCCTAGGAGGGACATCTAATGGACAACCAAGTACTGCAAGCTAGACTATTATGCAGTTATAGACACAACACAGGGGGTCCCTGGGCCTAAATGTGACTAAAACTAATGTGATTTTTCATCTAGAGAGTAAGACTGAATCAAAAGTAGCTGCCAAAATTAACACTGTTTCTTTAAATATACATACATGGTCTCGTTACAACATGTATGATAAGTTAATTGTTTGGACAAAAAAATAAATCAACAAAAACAGCAAAACAAAAAATAATTTTCCAATTGTTTTTATCCAAAGTAATCACTGGCACGTTGCCACACAGTGACAAAGAGGATCAAGTTATTTAAAGCCTTCTCCTGGGACACACTGCATCTCTCCTAAGTGGGGGACCCATAAGACTCAGCGTTAATGACAGTCGTCTCACTGAGCCAAGTGGCAGGAAATAGGAGGACGTCAGCATTGATGAGGAGAGCGCACTTCACACTCACCGTGGTTCTTCTCACTCAGCAGGTTTTTTGTGGCTGGGAGGAACATTTCCATAAGTTCTGGAACCTTCCTGATGACATGGACTGCACACAACGCTGCCTGTCAACAAATATTTGGACATAGCGTTGTAACAACAATGTCCCAATGAGGACAATAATTCACTTTCATTCTTGAACAGTCAACCACAGTTTTGAAAAAGTATTGATATAAACATGCTCACTTTTTTCCTCAAGTAGGAGTTTGATGTTTTGAGCAGCTTCTCTACTTCTCCAGCAAGGTCACGACACATTTCTGAGGAACCCATGCAACCCAAAGTGCACAAGGCCAGGCCCTGGACGTATTGTGTGCTGTGATTCAAGTCACTGTGTCGGGAAAACAGAGCGGAATGAGTCACGGACACGCAAATATCATTTTGGGGAGGATGTTCCCGTAGCAGCTATGGTAGATTTCTGGTATCCAAATTGCCAACTCGGAGTTTCTTGAAAGTCCACATCCACTGATGTTCATGCCTCCACTTACTTCTTAATGCAATTTGTCATTAGTAGGTGGACGTCCTGCCTCTCGTCCAACAGCAGCATAGCTCCCAAATAACCTATTCGTTTATCGGTGAACTTCTGGGACGCAATCAGCTTCAGGCACTCCAGCTGGAAAACAAGTCCCCAAGGGTGTGATATTTGGAACCATAATATCAATGGAAGTATACAAATAAAAACGCTTCCTCTATTAACCAGTAAACACCCAATCACCAAACATACCTGCCCAAAGTGTGCCGGGTAGCCCAACATGTGCATATAAAGTAACTTTGCCACATTTCTGCAACGGTATGTGTTGTCTTCCTCTCTGAAGGACGAGCGTATAGCAGCACACTCTTTCTGGATCATCTCACGCTCCTCTGCCTGGGTCCGTGCCGTCCGGATCGTCCGGATCAGCTCCCGCAGTCTGATCGGAGCTGGCATTCTCTAGAAGACATTAAGACATTAAACAGATTAGGACTCATTGCCTCAGAGTGGACTCAAGGCTAAACTAGAACAAACAAGCAGATCTTCTGATGAGAATTTGAGGATTAATGAAAATGTGTCAAACTGCAGCATATTATCACGGAGAAGCATAAAGTAGCAAGTCTTGTAGTCAGTGCATGTAAACACATTCGCTGGTTTCCTGCATATAAAATGCAGAAAGTCAAACTAATAAAATAAAAATGCTTATATTTTGTTTTGTTTTGTTTAGAAAAGCATTTAGTTCTTCTCAGAAAACCATAGGCAAAATATATGACGAACAATCAGATGGATAAATATTGCTTTTAGAACATGTGCCATGTGTGAGTGGAAGGGAGAACGACAGGTGAAATTACATTCCCCAGCGGAGAAGCTTGTGAGAGCCAACACGCATTAAGCCACAGGAAGATGTTTAAATATTCATGAGTACATGCTTAGCACAGAGAATAAATGATCTTGTAATGATATGTAGAAACACACAAAAATTACCATTAACAAAAAACTGAACAAAGTGTGACTGTGCTTACTTCCTCTTTAAAAACTGTCAGGGTGTTTGCATGAATCATGAGTCATGGCGGTTGTATTTTTATGTTTTTCTCACAGATTATAAATAATAACATTGGGAGAGTAGTTTCTTCAATAAAAATGGGAGTGTAGCGTCATTCAGATCCTCTCTGGAATGTTTCACAACCTCTGTAGTCATGTCTCACCTGTAAATGTACTCGCAGACATCAATGCCGACCCCTCAACTCTTAGAGCTACATTTTGTCTCCCATCTCATGGAGCCTTCATCTAGTAGCAGCATGCAGTACATAATTGAGCTGTTACAGCAACAGAAATTATGGTAATTGCTTGTCGAGCAAATCCATTTCCTCCATCTAACTACTGCTGAAGTGGGCCTTTGGTAGACTGCAACATAAAAAGCCATTAGGACGGCGCAAAAAACCTGCGTGTCAAACTAGTGAACGGGATTATTCTGACACAAAACGTGTCTCACAAACCATGACATTCCTTGATTAGAAGTTCATAAACTCTCGATTTTCTTATCTAGGATAAACGGAGTTCAGTGATCACAAACATGTCAGACAACCAAATAGATTCTGCTTTTCCCGGAGACAGATAGCAATTCTACTGACACGGGCTTCCTTTATGCAATTATGCATCATCACATTTGTCGTGTAGTTGGGCACGTAGTTCCTCTGCCTGGACGGCATGCGAAGCATCAGAGAAACAATTTCAAAGGGGAGATCTATTAGCCTGATGATTTCTCCCTTGAGATTTATTTTAATGGAAGAGAAACATCAAAGACAGCTCTGGAAACAGTTTCTATGTTGCCTTGGAGATGTTGCTGTCATTGTTCCCACTAGAGCCTGGCCATAAGACGTATGGAGATCTTACTGGGTCCTGAGCCGGCTGACTCCAGCTCCTGTGCCCGCATGACACCTGCTCCGAAAAGTTATCGATGAAGCTGACTGAAGAATAAACTTTAAATCAACCTAACATCAACCCTAGACGTACCCTCGTTGAAATACATTGCTCCTCCAGACTTTTTTTTTTTAGACCTGTGTACTGTGGGGGCTGAAATATTTCCATCTGAAATGGAAAAGCACAACATCCACCTACAATTTCTTGTTGATAACTTCACTGCAGAGAATGAATTACCACTTGGTGCTATGCCAGTCGACTGAGGGACATAAGGATCCAGACTTGTAGGGAATGAGAGCGTCCTTTGTTGTGCAGGGAGGAGAGGGGGGTGTAGAGAATCTAGGAATTCACTGGGATCATAGAGGGATGGGGAGGGTGGCGAGGCCACACTTTAATAAAGCCACAGATCCAGTCTTAACGCTGCTTAAATCACCTGCGCTGAATGGTCTTTGAGTTGGGCTCCAAAATTCATTACCCCCTTTGCCTTATAATCAAATGTTTGCACATTACAGAGGGCAAACAGCCTCTACTGACAGCTAGTTACAGGAACAGTTCCTCATTCTTTGAGTTGCTGTACAACTGCACATTCTTCTACAATCAGATGACGCGTCATATCGTTGTCCATTGTTACCATTAGTGTCGTGCTGGTACTAATTCTTTGAGGTGGAACACGGAATTTACTTTAAAAGACGAGACTTGAAAAGGAGGGTTCGAGCACATTGTAGCTGGATCAGAAAGACCATAGGACGGGAAGCCGTCTCAGGTTCCCTCACCAAGGTCAACGTTACTCTACCTCATTACAAAAAGAAACCAGTTCTGCTGTATAGCCATATTACAGATTAAGGTGGTGATCACACAAACCAATAATTAGAGCCCAGGCGGACAAAACAGCTCAAGTGTATGTGGGGATATCTGGCCCGAGCCGAGGACAATGAGAAAAGGGTGCAGGTCCACGCCCTGCGCCAAGACGTTGAAGGAAGAAATTAAAACACCCTGACAGACAAATACCTGTGTAGCCACATTCTAAGAACGTATATCAGGGTGACCTTTAAATTACTTCCAATCATTAACAAGCTGACTAACACCAAGCGTTATTTATCCGTGCAAATATCATGAACAGATCTCCGGGGGCACTTTGCATGTCCTATGTTCACAACAAGCCGGCGCTCTCACGAGAGTTGGAGAACAAGCCCAGATTAGCTTGCAGAGCCTGACAACAGGCATAAAGCAAAAGGCATGACACACCTCCCTTGTACCACGGGGGAGCAGTCAATATGAAGTCTGAGGCATCATAATAGAGGTATTAGGAGATGAAACACAGTTTTACATTTGACCGTTGAATAACAAGGGGACGTGTGTAAGCGAAAGCTCAATATTCACCGCTGACTTGTTTTGCAGGAGAACTATACAAAAAGAGTATCAGGCCGATGCAAGTTGAGGGAAAATAGAGACACCATTAGGGAAAATCCCTACTCAATAAGACAAGCTGTAACCTTCACTTTTACACTTTACAGCTGTGCACATGGAGATTGAAATAAAATACTTATTGCGCATACAAGCAGAACGGGGAAACGCAGACAAGACGATGTTGGACAAACGTCTTTTGTAGAGGAAGAGACATGTTATTGAATATGATGCGTAGTGTTTCACGGCTCACCCAAACAGACTTGAACCCAACTATGATAATGTGTAGAGGCATTGTTCAAAAGTCGGCCCGGCTGCTGTTTGATGTGTAAATATCGGGTAGTTTTGGAATACCACACTTACAGGCACCTCCCCCTTTCCTCCTCGGGCCGAGGTCCACTTGTATGAGACAGCCCGGATCCAACACTGAGCGCGAGACCAACAGATAGGCAGTCAGATTTGAATGTCTGAACCATCAGAAGCTCTACTGTTGCTCAAAATATCTCAAACTAAAGACACCCGAGGCATCGTACTTCAACTCCAAAGTAGTACTGGAAACTTTCAAGATAGAGGCTAGAAGAAGTTAATTATTTGGATGTTGGGTTGCAAACGAGCCTTCAGGGAAATCTTGAAAAGCAGCAATGGTGAGAAACTACTAAACCAATACTTCCTCCACCACTGAGTGAGTGGTCAGGGAGTAAAGGCACACATCAAACATCAAGGAACATGCAAACATCAAGGAACTACAGCCACTATAGTAGTAAAAGTCCATCCATCCAAGGAATGATACTGAAACGCATTATCAAAAAAGATAATTGCAAACAGATCAAATAATGAAAAGAACTAGTCTTTTGTTGATACTTCTGAAAAAAATCAGGGGTCAAACTAATTCAGAGTGCAGCTTGTAGACACCGGCCAAGCCTAATGGGAATAGTTGCTAATAAACCTCTCCTTAATTCACCACCTATACAAAAAGTATAATGCCACAAAAAATAAGTCACGACATCACTGGGTTGGCAAAGCTGAAGCATAACTTTCAATTAAGGTCATAGCTGTCTTTTTAAAAGCTTAATGCCAATAACTATAACACATTGAGTTATTCAACAGCCAATGAACGATGCGGGATATTAGTTAAACATTAGGTTATTAGACAACTGCATCCCATTCAGAATGTGGTTAATACTACTTGCATATTTAAAATGGAACTTTTTTTTTAAATCTTGGGAAGTTACGAAAAAAGGGATAGGACAAAAATATATTAGGAGTCAGCCGAAACTCTACGTCAATCTCATTTGATCAGTACAGCTGACTTACACACGTTGTTTAAACGTAAACTCGCTTTCCTCGGACGACCTATGACCTTTCTTAAACGAAGTGTATCTTATTGTTAGTCTTATTAAAAGAAGCTGTCCACACCAAATAAACACGCATGATACTGGAGGAACAAGGTGTCCACGCTATGATGGGAACATCCACTCGCTTTGTTGCAATGTTAACAATGTGTCTAATTCAGGAAAGCCTAATACTATTTTACTTCCAAAGCCTTTGATGCAAAACGTCATAAGCGTGACGTTACCTGGCTAACAAAAATCACACATAGCAAAAGTAAGCTAACGCAGAGCTAACCCTAGTAGACCGACGTCGGTGTTTTCAGTGAAAGGGCGACATGTTAGTTTGACACGACAGCGGTAGCTTCACCTTGGCTGACAAGTCGCTGCGTGAGGCTCGATATCAAACAGAATTCGACGATGTATTAACTCGAACTGAACCGACAGCCTCGGCACGACACCTGCATCTGATCCCCATTGATCGGGACGTGATGCAGTTAAGGCCTCCTTGAAGCATTTTGAATGATCCAAGCTAGCGAGGTCTGCTGAGGCGTTAGCCAGCTACCTGACCAACTCGCTGCTCTGCAATTCGGTTACAACACAATCGGAACTAAAACAAATGTAAAAAGCCGACGGCTGAGAAGCTAACCCGTTAGCTGCCCGGGAAGGTGTAAAACAAAAAAAGTTGGTGGTACGAGTTGTCACGATTATGTTTCGGTCTCAATAGACAGCCACGCCGTCCAAGTGGCCGTTGGGCTTCACACCCCTAGCCCAGCAGGTAGTTAGCGAGGCTACAGCTGTGGAGACTACCCGGACCGTGCTAGCTAACTTAGCTGCTGACAGGCGCAACCCCGGTGCACTCGGGGCTGCGACTTCCTATGCAGCGCCGCACGGAGAGTTGTCACCGCAGACACCGACGAACCGCGGGTGATACTTCGCTCGCAGAGCCCTTTTCGGACATTTCTTCCGAGATATTATTCCCGGGGACACACTTACCAGCCGTAATGATGCCAGAAAATGACTGGAATCGTCTCTATTAGCAATGGAGGGAGGAACACAGCAGACATGCAAAATGGTGGCTACTCCAGCCTCAGCACATCTACCGCATGCGGAGGGTTACACTGACACGGCACAGCGGTCCACGAAAAAAGAAGCGCGGACCGACCGACGCACAGAAGTTTATCCTCACCGGACAGCAGCGCTAGCGGATAGCAGAGGACGTCTTCACCCCGTGGACACCCGGAAACTCCCACCTGATATGCCAGTGTTGACTGAACGCCATGGGTAATGGATCAGTTGTGTACTCGTGATTATAGGAGGTGTGACGCTGCGCCGTGAATCGTTGTTGTTGACATTCGCTGTCTAGCTAACATCAGTGAGCTCGTTCTCCTCCATCGTTCTCTGGATTTATCCTAACGGTCTCGTTATGTTTAACCAGCTATCTTGCGATGGAGTTAATGACATTTATTACGTGAGAATATTTAATATAACAAATTTCGCGTAACGTGGCTTTCAGTTTGAGCATTAATGTAGAATGTCTGTCGTCCGCTCCTCAAACGCCGCACACGTCAAGAGGTGGCTTATTTTCTTTCTTTCAAAACCAGCGGAAGAATATATATTTTTTACCGCTGTCAATGTCGTGCTGCGGTCCGTTTACTCGTGGCAGCCAGTGATGACGACTACATGAAGTGTTTTGACTTCAGCAGCTCGGTGCGCTGCAGCGCCACCTGGTGTTCGTGCTGTGCAAGAAACGCGTCTCCACATCGCTGTTGATTCTGTTTATTTGTCTTTTCTAAGTCAAATATTGTCAATGTAGCGCCGTTTTCCAATGTATTCTGATCGCAGAAGATCATATGGGAATAACACTATGTATATATTTTGTCAAGCCTCAAGATTCAAGCAACACTATTGTCAATCTAACTGTGTACTAAAGGGTGTATGAATCACCTCTATGCTATGGTTTGTACAAGTGCACACCCATTGAGTCACTTTGTCATATGTTGTCTTATCATCTGGGTGAACAAATAACCCTCTACTCTATTATTTTTACTCAGCAAGAATATGAAGTGACCAAATAACTTAAAATCTGAACACAACACAACATATTCTCAATCATCCTGAATCCACCTATATACCTATAGCCTGATGGTTTTAAATGGATGAGGCCAGGTTTTGGTTGTCTATCTCTGTCAAATTACTATCTCTGTCAAAAACCTCTTTCAATGTTGTCCTCTAACTTATGCTAGATAATTTGTGGAACATAAATATCATCCTCTAAGAGACTTATAATTCAGTAATGCCTCTCTCCTTGGAGAAGATGCTTTGTTTTGTTTTGAAGCTATGACAGGATTTTAAAGAGGATAGTATTTGTTTGTCTGTAGTTGGCATGGAAATGAAGCAGCTGACTCTTTAGCTGTTGTGGATTTGGAATTAACTTTTGGCCTTGAAAATAGTTGTTTTATAAAACTTCTAGAAATGCATTTCACAAATAAAATGATTTCAATAATAATCAAATTTCATATATTTGATTAAAATATATCCAAATGTTTAGTACATAATATAGGTTTAATGTTAAAATATCGTATTGCTCTCAAATCTAAGCTGTCTTATTTATAAAAGAAGATAAAATATACAGTCTGATACATTTTTAATTCATATTTCCAACACTTTCATATTCGTTTCATCCATTAAACCAGGGGTCTTCAACGTTTTTCAGGCCAAGGACCCCCAAACTGATGGCGAGATGGAGCAGGAACCCCCTATTCTTCAGAGTTTCGTCCGCCATCTTTTATTTTTGAGCTTTGCGCTTTTACGTGAGCATAAACGCGATCTGATTGGCTGGTGCCTGGGCTGTCGTATCAGCATCAAAGGAGCTGTGAGTGAACCAGTGCCCAGCTTGAGAGAGCTGCTGTGGGAAGCTGGATGTGTGTTTTGCGGACTGAATGATAACGTATTCTCCACTAATTTATCCGTTCTCTACAATATGTTGGATTTATGTTAATGTGTAACAATAAAGAAGACAATAAATACGATTCTGAAGACATTTCAATTTGTGGAAAAAAAATTGTCTTATCAACCAAAAATTTCGCGACCCCCCTGCAGTACCTCCGCGGACCCCCTGTTGAAGACCTCTGCATTAAACTGTTGAGGTGTGGACATCCTGTGGGGTTCATTAACAGCGTCGTTTCTTTCTCCCCCATGACGTGTACGCACCGTGGTGAGCGTGATGAACTCGTCGTCCGCGCATATCCCACAATGCAGTTCGGCGCAGCTTCGCCGCCTTTGCGTTTAGAGATCAGCTGAGCTCGCGCGTCGCCGCAGTGGGTGAACGGCTGCCAGCGGCTCGAGATCGGAGCAGCTCGGGGCCGCTCGGCGTCTCTCTGTTCGGGCTCGGACATCGTTTTAAACTCGCGGATCCGCCGGAGACTCGGTGGTGTTGTTTTGTTTTTAAACTGCAGCAAGAATGTGACTCTTTTATATGTCCATTTTTTATAGCCCCGCGTGTGGTCCCGACTCCGCTGATCGAGTAGAGGATTTGATCCGTTTTTCAATTTGTATTATTTCGTTCATCATCTGTCCTCCTGAGTGCGGAAAAAACAGCTGGACTGGTCCCATGGTAACCGCGCGGGCTTAGGAGGAGATTCCAGGTTTCTAACCGGGAGCAATAATATGTCCAGGCGAAAACAGACCAACCCCTTCAAAGTTGACTGTAGGTATTTCAGGTATTGGCTAATGCTTTTTCACCGTCCATCATGCGTGTTTTCTGTGCCTGTTTGACAGAAATGTGTTGCATTCTTCTCGTTGCCGGAGCGACTTTCATTAAAGAGCGTTTCCAAAGCTTGTTATAGATTTGTGTATCCGGGATGTATAAGAGCATATAATGACATCACATCACGTACTCTGGATACTCCGAGGATGTCATGTTTCAGCAGCTGCCATATATCTTTTTGTTGTTGTTGTTTTAATAGAGTTTACATACATTACATTTATGTTGTCAGAATGGCGATGATTGTGGTGCGGGACAAGACTTAATTGGCCGATAAATGATTTATTTCCTTTTCCTACAGAGTAGTTACTATTGACATTAGTTACACATACAAGTGAGTTGACAACACTTTTTCTTAAAATGTCCATTATGTCAGGACTTGTTGGTATCGTGTTGGGCTTCTGAGTTTTGTTTTGAGGAGTCTTGTCCTTTAGCAAAAGCCCGTCTCAGCCAGGTGTCTCGAGGAGCAAACCTGGAGAGTCGTCACACTACCGTGTTATGACGGTGTTTATTCAGTTTTCTTTGACATCTCGGACCCAGTACGAGATGAGAGGAAAGATATACAGCGCAATCGGTTAATTAAACAATTTGTGTATTGACAACAAACTGGCAGCTATTTTGATTGAGTGCATCATCTGCTTAAGTGAACTGGGCATTTTTTCACTGTTATCTTGTTCTTTTTTTTATAGACATATGGATTTAAAAAAATCAGTAGGCAAGTTAGTTGATAATAAACCCAATCGATATCAGCTTTTCAAAATGTCTGCACTTACCCTGAACGTTAGCAGGACTCCTGTTGTTACAATCAATGCATGTGTTGTCTTCTTTTCTCCCTTTATTTGGATGAGAGATCTACAGTGTTTCTCGTTGCAATGAGCCTTTTCGTACACGCTTCTTATACCGAGTGTTTGTCCGATAGAGGCACATTGTCCTCACGCTTTCCTACCAATCTTCGATGGCACTACCCGAGTATGAACTGTAGCCTCCCGTTTGGATCTCGTTCTAATGAAGCGTTCAAATACAATCGTGGTCTGGAATCCAAATGGAACGAGTTGTACACACCAACGGCCTCCGAGCAGACGTGTAATACAGGTCACATGAACCGTTTACCAACATTTAGCCAACGACTATCTTGTCTTTGGCTGTTGGCAGGTGCTAATTTCATTCCCTGCGTACATTACACAACATTAACTCAACAGAAACCAAAGAACACTGATGAGGCCCGTGGTGTGAATACGCTACATGGACTGTCCCTCGTTGTGCTTTTGGCCTCCGTCCCGTGGATCCTCCTTTTGGGGGGGGAGGGGCAGCAGCACACTGTCAGTCCACAGAAGTCCACAGGGTTCAGGCGCTGTGTGTTGGACATTGACTCTCCTCTGCTTGATCTTGATTTTGTTTTTAACTGGCTGTCCTCCCCCTGAGAGGGTTCGACCAGACAGACAGACATAGCGGGAGACACACAGACAGACAGACATGGAGGGGGACACACAGACAGACAGACCAAGTAGACAGGCAGGGAGACATTCTGACTGGCAGGCAAATTCCAGACAATAACACAACAGTGTTTTCTTTCCAGCTTTGTCTTCCTCCTTGATGTTGATGCTCGACAACGTTATTCTACTAAAGTTGATTAGAATTGGCTTCATGGTAAATAGACGTAAAGTATGTTCGATAATATGACTCGGCTAGAATACAGCGCAGGTTGTTTCAGAACTTTTCCGGTGTTTCAGAAAGTGCACACACGTTTATCCAGGTTAATTGAACCTAATTTACAGGTACTGATTTTTCAGGTCTCTTAATTTCAAGCTCGCGAAATTGAATTTAAAAGAGCTAAAACAAGTTTTCCCCAAAATACTCTCCAAGATTAGCCAAATGTTTCCAAATGTGGCCAACATCAAAGGCCCAATGAAAGCATGTCAATAAATGTGACTTCTAATTGAGATGATATGATCGATATGTTCATCTAAGCCGCAAACGGACCAGAAAGAAACTCCCTGACCGTGGTTACTGACCTCACCTTCTTCCTCCCAGCTCTACGTCAACAGTTAATCAGAGGGAGAATTGATCAGATGTCTGGCCCCGCTGTCCTCAGTCTCCTGTGTATGTTTGGGCCCCCAACGCTGTGTGTGTGTGTGTGTGTGTGTGTCTGCATGTGTGTGTTTGTGGAGGGCACGGCGGCTTAAAAGGAGAAAGAGGGCGCCTTGGATTCTCCGGGACCCCCGTTGCTTGGTGTTTGAGTAGAGTTTTGGCATTCTATCTTTTGTCTGTTCTTTGCTTTGCATGCTACCCCCCCCCCCCCCCCTCTCAGAGGTAATGGTGCAGACATGGAAGTAGTCCTCCCTGCGTGCGAGCAGGGAGGACGGAGGGCGAGCCAGGCTGTCGGGTGTGTGTGGGTGGTACCGACCGAGAGGAACGCGGCGAGGCAGCGAGCTGGAGGAAAGAGTGCAGGCTGCTTCCCCGTGGGACTGCAGCAGGCTGGTGAAACAGAGCTAGCATGTATCCGTGGAGATGTGTGTGTGGGAAAAGTGTGGGGGGTGAGGGGGGTTGGGATGCAAATGAAGTTAATGTGTGCGTGCACGTTCACGCATGGCAGTGTGCTTTTTTTCCCCCCTTGTTTTTCTTGCTGGCTTGGCATTCGTCACGTTTCGGCGGCGGATGGTTCAATACGCACCACTCGGCTGGTGTGGAGCACCAAAGTCTTTTTTTCACCTTTATTCATGTTGAAAATCTCCTGCGTTGGATGGATGACGAAATGTTCTCATATTGGAAGCCAGGTCACATCTTTCTTGTGTGGATAGAAATGTGTGTATGAATACAAACAGTATAACAGCGTTGAAATACCCTCTTATGTGACGGCAGTCACAAGTGTATTACGTCAGATTTAATTTACATTACATTGACATGTTTATTATTTTTATGAATGGACATATTTTAAAAACCATGTTCCTTGTAAAATCAATTCCTGTGTGTATTTTCCGGTTCATTTGCAAATTTGAATTGCGGTTCTCATTTATTGATGCCTTAGGCAATGTTTTTGCACCATCCAACTCTACTACATCATTGTATTATGAGTAGAATGTTAAATAATGAAATGTTGCTATGCATCGGGACTGAATATGTTTCCTGTCAAATCGAAACAGAAGGGAATGTCAATGTGACGCAAATAAAACACCTGACGGCCGTGGTACCCGGGTTATATCGTCATGTCATCCCCACATTCGCTCCCTGGAAACACTTTCATCTCACTGACTGCAGTTTTTTTTTACCACCAGGGCCATTCCACACTTCAGGCACCACAGGACTTCAGCACACTATTAACATGGACGGCAGGGACGAATTCACCGAAGACAATGAATGCTGCAGCAACAACTCCCAGGAAGTACAAGAGCAGGAGAGCTTCTCAGGTACGCAATGGGGGAGGAGGGGGGGGGGTCGAGCCCGGCCGTGTCTGCGTCTGCCCGTACTGATGGGGCTGTGTTTACCTCCATAGACGACAGTGACAGTGACCTCGACAACCACGGCGAAGACTCTTCATCCAACACCTCTGCCGACGACCACATGACCACCAAGAGGACGCAGTGCCGCCTGCAAGGAGCGGGGGTCAAAGAGGTGAGCGATTCGCGGGGGAAGGGAGGGGGGGGGGGGCTTACGTGAGACATACTGTAATGCAAACATTGTACCTGATACAGGAAAAGACGCGCCGAAGCGAGTTCATGCGTGTTTAATACCAACACTGTGATGGAAGTTGCCAGCCTTAAAAAAGACAGATGGCCCCGTGTTGCTTTGTGGGAGGTGTCTAAACTAGGATGTACGGTACGAGTGTATGTAGTGTAGGCAGTGGTACATTCATTCAATAAGTCAGTCAGTACGCCGGTCAATAATTACATTTATTATTAGAAATATGGGCACAAATTAGACAATATTAATTCATAAATAATAAATGAATGACAGGAATTAAAGGAATACATTTGTAAAGGCCAATCTAACTTCAAACTGACAGTATCAGGAGGTGTTTTTTAAATGTCATAAACAAGCTGTGTTCATGTTCGTTTATGTGGCAGAAGTTCAAGATTCTGTAATAAGGCGCTCCTAAACAAGATAGTGTCTTTAATTAGACTCTCGCAAGCTGTTGCAGCCTTCAGAGCAGTTTCCTCCTCTCAGTATCTACTAATAAGTCTTCAGCAGCACAGGCGTCGGTGCTTCTTATTAGCTCAGACGTACTTCTTTTCTGCAGACAGTCAAATAGATATCTGCTCATCTGCTATTAGGAACTCCGAGAGGACATTAGGTCAATATTCAACTGGGGTCGAGTCTTACAGTATTTGTCCACCACATGATATGATACTTAAGCCATATTGCAATATTGTGTGTTTGACAACATTCGCACTCCGTAGTGTCATTTCTGCACATCCACACACCCAACGCATCACCACCGCTCGCACAAATGCCGGAAACTCCACAAAGGCTTGACTTTGAAATTTGAATAAATAAAAAGTCACGCCGTCATTCCTTAACATGCATCATGTTATGTTTATTGGTTCTTCCTTGCATTGGTTTGTGATTTAGATACGATATATGAATGTTGCTCTGTTTCCCTCAGGAGAGCGAGGACGGGGCCGACCACGGCAACAACTTTGTTTGTCCTCTCTGCACGCTGGATTTCAGCAGCCCTGAGAAGCTCATCTCTCATGTGTACCAGGTGAGAAAGGGCGCGTGGGACCTGGTTTAAGCCTCCACGGAACCGTGACAACAGAGCAGCTCCTGCACCTCCTTTATTGCAGTCTGTTTTCTAGCGTGCTAGTAGGTCGTCACGTCTAAAGCCCTTAAGTAGCTTACGGCATCAGTAGGTGGGTGACATGCAGGTTGAGGGAGAAGGTGTTCACTTGGATGAAACTACAATGTAATCGATGATAAGACTAGTTCTTGGCATTAGTTTTCCATTTAAAGCAATAAACATGTTGTGATAAATGCTTTTTTAAAAGTTGATAAATCACTGGCCTCCATACAGTACTGTGCATTACACCCAAACAATGAAAGATGATTATTTGTATTAATTATAATTTAATAATGTATTCTTTTAGATTCTATTTTAATGATGAACACATGTTTTTGTGATTTTATCAATATATATTTCAATGTGGAGGGTGTAACTCGATCAGCTCTGCTCTTTCAGCTTCTTGTTCTTTTCTCGTTTTTCTGTCTTTAACAGCACACGACTATGATGAGCAACAGCAAGAGCTACGTGTGCCCGGTGTGTGGGCGAGCCCTCAGTTCGCCCGGTTCGCTCGGCCGGCATCTTCTCATCCACTCGGAGGACCGCCTCTCCAACTGTGCCGTCTGCGGCGCACGCTTCACCGACACCAACAACTTCAACAGGTTTGACTCGTCTGTGTCTCTAATGCACATCACTTTTATCTTTTAAAGGGATTCGAATAGATGGATATATTTTAGATGCAATGTTACAGATGTAGATGGCACCAAAGTGTTTCTGTTCTATCATTATAAATAATTAAGCAGTGGACAGATTTCCACTATATATGTCCACTAATTTCTATATATGTAGTAGAAAGTCAGCTTCCATGGTTTTCAAGTATATACATGACAAATACATTTTAGTAAATAAATAATTCAGTGTTGACCTCGTAGTATTATGCTGTTGTTCGCTGTTTTTTATTAATTCTTAAATATTTCTAAGGACAAAATGTCAGCAATTGCGGATCACACTCCAACAAGGTAGTAAAATCTAGGAAAAGGTTTGCCCTGTTTGTTCGAAGAATGATGTGATGATGTTTCTTGAATGCAGGACTCTTCAGCGGTACAGTGGTGGTCTCAAAGTATGAGATCAGGCAGGATGCAGCACACCAGGGACGAATCAAATTAGTACTGTATTGACGGATGTAATGGAAATAAAACGGCACGTTGCTTAGCAACTACCATTCCTTTTGAGATTTAAACAGGCCTGGCGATGTCAGGACACATACTAGAAGGTGAGAGTGAGAGGCTGTAATATAAAAGCAAAGAAAATACAACAAATGACAAGCTAAAATAGCGAGTCAGGTGTTCCTATAAGTAATTAGTACGTATACCTGTTGTTTCAGGGGTCTAATGCTTCCAACTTGTAGGCATAATCAAGGGGACGTATTATAACACACGTACATAGTATGACCAGCTATTTAACACTGTGTCTTTTCTTAGGGAGAAGCTTAAAGATGTCCTCGACACAACCAGGATGGACGTCTCCGACGGAGGGGACAGCTGTTCCATGTCCCTCTCCAGCAGCCCCATGACCAGCCCGGGCCACGCCACCTGTTCCTGCATCGGACCGGGCCCCGGTCCCGCTTTGTGTCAGGGCCCCCACCAATGTCACGCACCTGACCCCAGCCTCAGCCTGTGTCAAGCCCATCGTGCCTGTCAGGGACCGGGCCACGTCCCGAGCCAGTGTCAAGGTCCCAGGCCGTGTCACGGCACGGGGCCGTGCGCGGGCTCCGACCAGGGCCCCTCCTTTCCCTCGCTGGCAGACAGCCTCCTCTCCGAAGGGCCCTCACTGGCATCTATACCCGACGCGCTCAACTCCTCTTCCTCGGGCTTCCCCCCCATCCCCGACATCCTGAGCTCGATGCCGGTGTATCCCGCCGGGGTGCTGCTGGTGTGCAACAGCTGCGTGGCCTACCAGCAGTTGGTGGACGCCCAGTCGCCGATGCGCAAATGGGCGCTGCGGCGGAAGAACGAGCCGCTGGAGGCCCGCCTGCAGCGGCTGGAGCGCGAGCGCACGGCGAAGAAGAACAAGCGGGCGTGCGAGTCGGAGGACGAGCGGGAGATGAGGAGGCTGCGGGACCGCGAGGCCAAGCGCATGCAGAGGATGCAGGAGTCTGAGGAGCAGCGCGCCCGCAGGCTGCAGAGGGACAGGGAGGCCATGCGCAACAAGCGGGCCAACGAGACGCCGGAGAAGAGGCAGGCCAGGCTGGTCCGCGAGAGGGAGGCCAAGAGGATCAAGCGGCGGCTGGAGAAGATCGACCCCGCCCTGAGGACACAGATAGAGCACGATCCGGCGGCCATGGCGGCTCTCACCGCCGACATGAGCCTCTTTCAGTTCCCCTGCCCGATGCCCGTCCCCTCCATCGACAATGGTCTGTTCATGAAGCTGCCCTGAAGGGGGAGGAGCAACCGCCGGCCTCCAGCATTGACCCCTGCGCTGTGCCATCAGGCTGCCATGGTAACAGTGAACCACTCGTAGGTTTTACCTCCAGCTCCTTCTGTGTCGGACAGCCTTACAAACTGCCTCGTCACACACAGCAAAAACTACTTCAATTTCTAATTTATTACGGCCTAAAAAACCTTGGGACCAAGGAAAAAGAATGATGATGACATAAAAGCATGTTGTAAAGAGATTTATCTGTACGTCCCACGGTTCACTGCTAGGAGGAGCGGTTTTACTTCCTTTTGAGGAAATATTTTTGCACATGGACCATGGGGACTTTGTAGCCTCAGCCCCCCCCCCCCCCGTCCCCGTCCCCCCGCCCAGTGACTCGGGTTTACTGGTGGCTGCACCTCTCTCTTCAAGCTGCCGCCGTGGGAAGTTCATTTTCCGTCAAACTCTACTACCTCAGCTGTCTCGTGGCTCTCTGCCGCCTCACTGCAGGCTTCCGAAGCGGCCGTCAGAGGACGCAGGGCGCGTCCCCGCAGCCTGTGTCCACCGCTCAGGCACTTTAATAGGACACAAACATTCACAGCAGCAACTGATTTACAAAACACACCAGTTGTACTGCATGGAATTCATTGGCAGGTCCAAATAGGATGCTTCTTAGTTCTAAAACAGATGAGCTAAAGGAATGTTTTGTCCTATTGAACGCGCCCACTCACGATACATTTGCCTCATTATTCGTCTCTGCCAACGTTTGAATCTCTTTTCTTTTTCCTGCCTTGTTACACTCAGATATTCTGTCATTCCTTTTTTTTTCTTTGGCTCATAAAAAAGAAGTCTGTCTTTGCTGCTGTTATCGTACTGTACAATACATTAGTTACCTCATATCTTTTGGGCTGAAGCTACAGTATGTTCAATATATGTGACCTGCACCACTTAAGTCGAGGGGAAGTTCTATCACCGGTCTGTAGTATTGAGGAAAGATATTTATTGATTCAAATGAGGGGACTCTTTTTAAACTCTGGTTCCTGTTTTATTTGTAATTCCCTCCCTTTACTGAGCACTGGGGATAATCTCATGACACATACGGCCCATACTGGGAGAGATTTTCTTCATCTATATTCATTAACCTCATTCCCGCACATTTATGCAATATGATGTGAATATATTTTTCTTGTGAAAATGTTTTTGTGGTTATTTGTTACCAGGCGTCAGTGGTATAAAATTTTTTTCATGTTTAAATTCCAGGCCATGTCTGCGTTTCTCTTGTTTAACGTCCTGCCTGTGAGGCTCCTTTGCAGCTTTTCGTGACTTCGCTGGTCCAGATGTACAGTGTCAATAAGCAGTTTCACAAAATATTCCACAAATAGCGGAGACAAGGACCGGTACTGGTTCTGTTTGAGTCACTCCTAGATGAGTCAATCTGTCTGAAATAAAAAGCGAGAGGAGTTTTTGTTTACGTCCTCGGATACATTTCTAGGAGTGCATCAAAACTTTATGCAACAGATGTTATTTATTCACGGGAAATGAATTCACTTTTCACTGAAACTATGCAGAATGTGACTCTAACGGACTTCAATGCAAAGAGTTTGGCTTCTCAGGCAATCTAACTCCGAGCCGCGGGACAACACCCCGGTCCATGAGGATCACATCGCAGCGATGTGACAGACTTTCCCAGAGGCCCTTTTGTTTTTTAGGTGTGTTTTCTCTTGCTGGTTGAGCAGATGAAAGCGACAGGGCCTCATCACCGTCGTATTGATGACATTCTGTGACGGGGGCAGATCCGTGCTCTCAACGGGAGGCTTCAGGTGTCGCTTGTTTCTCTCAGAATATGAATACTGGGTATTCTCAGAGGTGGCTCTTTGAAGCTGCTGGGATTGTCCTGCAGTGGGCCGACGGGACACAGAGATGCGGCGGCGTCTGTGCTTCCGACGTACTATCGCAAAGGAAGTACTCTGAACTCTTGAAAGGGACGCTGGTCTTTCAGTACGTGGACCAGGGAGGCACTGCATGTCGTGAAACTGCACTTAGAATGGTTCGATACGTTCTTGTTAGTTTATGTCTGCCTGTTTTTTACAGTTCTATGGAAAAATGTTTTTAAAAATGAAAAGCATTGGCCTTTCTATTTAAATTCTATCAGGATTTTCTCTCAACATCCATGTTTACAGAAATAATCTCTCTGATCAAGGCCAAGTGAATGAACTGAACTGCTAATAACATTCATGCTTGCTGCGATATCAATGCATTCTGATTGGATGCCGTCCTGTTACTGGATTTACAAATGTACAGACCATGATGAAACCTGGTGTGCAAAGTGTGCAAATAAACATTGACTTTACCACGGCAACAGTGTGCTGAGTCACTTCCCCCGTTTTACAAACTTGGGGACACACGGTCACATTCCCTTTAATAGTCTCCTAAAATGACAAGTGTGTTCTTTATACCTCCGTTGCAGTAAAATGTTTTTAGCAAATAGCCATACAGATGTAAAAGTACATTTTATTGTGAAATTAATCACTTGGTGTTAAATGAAATGTCACTTATTCTACAGGATTTTAAATGCATTACTTTGAAAATCTAAATGTCACCACATTGAGGTCATGTGAAGTGATTCAATTTAACAAAACAGGGTTCACAAATTAAAGTCCTCATTCAATGTTTTTCTAAGTTGCTCTAAACTGTTCTGATTTCATTTTTGTAGTTGTATGCTACTTGATTTGTTTTGAATTTGGATTGAACATTGAGATAAGAATTTGACCAATCGATTTGAAGTGACTTACAAATATATTTACCAGCTTTACATACTAGTGACTAAGCGTAGACATTAAATCATGATTGTGCATATATAAACAAAATGAACATAGTAGCTTCCCCCTTAACTGTCCGAAATGTTGATCTCCAAACTGTTTTCCACCACTAAATGCCATTTAAGGAGAAAAATAAGATACATGAATTCAAATAAAGGAACAGAACACAAGTTGGATAATAGTTTATATTTTATATATATATTATATTGCGTTTACTTAACAAACATAATAAATGCAATGTCTCCAAGTTAGCTGTAACAATAAAAATACAATATCTTTGTGTCCTTAAAGTACATTAAAACAGCAAAACAAAAACAAAAGAAACACCCTAAGTAGTTCACAGAGAGGTACAAATATACAGTACAAATCTATTTTATTCAAAACCAGTAGAAATGAAAACGCAACAAAATAGAGATATTAATGCTTTGTTAAAGTCAGGTAGGTTTGGGGTATTCTAAGGGAGCACTTTCGGTCAACAACTAAGGCTTCTGATAAAGATCAATACATATTGGAACGGCCATACAATATTAAAACTCACTATACAAAGTTCATACAACCTGGATTATATCTGAGGATTGAATGTTACATTTACATCATTGCATATATTTTGCAGATTTAGGCATTTAAAACAAAAACTGCTGTTTTTTTGTTTTTCATTGGTTGCACGTCACATAGAAAAGCAGCGCCACAGCGAGGCCAAAGAGAAAAATGGAAAGTCTGAAAATACGGACTTCTTTAAAACTTTTAACCGTTCTCGGGATTTAACTGGACATCAGCGACACCAAAAAAAAAAAATCATCTAAATTCACTTTTGCAGTTCAATGCCTGGGTCAAACAACGGGAAGTAGTTCATACGGGGGAGTAGAAATCCCCACCGCCAATGTCACGAAACATAATAAACCGTCACGTCACCACCAGGGGAAAGCTATCCGATTACTGCAGCCAGTCCGTCTCCGCCTCCCCACACAGAGACTGTGACCAGGCACGAGACGCCAAACACATCCCATTCATTCCAGGGGGAAACTACTGATCTTGTGCAACGACAATTAAAGTGTGTGTGTGTGTGTGTGTGTGTGATTAATGGATTGCCCTCAGTTAGACACTCTTCTCATCGTCTTGAAAAAAGAGAAAAAAAAGTGCAGAAAAGTGCTTCCATTTACTTCACCAACACACATTAAAAAAAACTGAAATGAAAAGGCAAGTGTCAAAGAAAAGAATGTATTAAAAAATACCAAACACGCACGTTTCATGGTTAAAGCATCTGGGGGACAGAAATTTCACCACCACAATTCAGAAATATGAATATGAATTTCTGCTTGATTATTTCTCGCCTGAGGAGGGAATACAAGTCTATCAGGAGCATTCCATTATTTCACCTTCACACATTGAACAGAGCAGAATTTAAGGCAATATTAACAAGCATCATCAAAGTAATCTATACAAAAAAAAAATACAGCTATGTACAGAAACAGAACCTAAGATGTCTCCATGACTTTGAGTGCTTTACATTTTGGAACTCTTCAATTTACTGTTTACAGTTTAAGCTCAAAACACTGTAAAAGGAGGAAATTTAGTGCAATTACTTACAGCAACAGACTATCAGTGATGTGAATGAAACTCCCCGGACACGAAGCAGAGCTGCTCAAAGGCTCAGGGCAGCACAGGGTGGATTTGCAGGAAGTGCACACACACACACACAAAAGGTGGCACCGCTTGCCCCATTTACATCCCATCCAATGCATCTTGACCCAAGATACGGATCTGCGAGTCTCAACGAGATGAAATACGGGAGGAGGACGAGGACACATAGATAGAAAAAACTGAAAGTAGCTAAGCAAAATACTGGTTTGTATTCCTATAAAAAGGTCATTCAAAGCAAGAAATCCTATAACCAGACATCAGTTTAACGCGCCTGCGACTTCACAGAGCTTTACTTAAGACAACAAAGGGCACCACACCGAGTTTACTGCATAGAAAACGCCAAGACGACGTGAAATGTTTCAGCTGTTAAGTAAATTGCTTACAGCAAGACAATAACTTGTGGTGTATTAAAGCAAAGCACTTTAAAATGATAGAGCTCACAATAATATCTAATTAAAATAATGATTCCATGTGTAAATTGAGTTGTCACAAACATTCCTCCTGTCCATACAGAGAAACCATTAAAAGCATTAGGAAGGAAAATTTGTACAGCCAGTACGGACAGTGGGAAGGATTCCAGCACCCAATAACTTGTTAGGGGGCGTATGAGAATGACTAAGACTTGTATTAACATGAAGCTCTCCTTTAAAGCTGCTCATGACACCTGCTCCCACGTGACCTCGATACCTGCTGACGGAGCTTCAGGCTGTGTCGTCAGCGAGGCTCACACGGCTCTATCGAGACGCCGGGTACAAACGCACCGCAGTCTGGGCCTGCTGGGACAGCGCCGGCACATCGGTCAGAAGAATCACTACCACGTTTGTGGCGCCTGCCTGAGACCGTCCGATGAGAGGAAATATAACCGGCGATCTATGAGACATTCAAAACACATTTTTTGAACACGTTTTGACGGAGGTAAGTGAGAAGATCTATGGGAAACGAACCTGTGTGATTAACACTTTTAAATTGGAATGTCTTCATGAGGAATGCCATCTGATCGTGAAACTAAATGATTTGATGTGTGTTCTAATTGCACTTATTTTAAATTGAACCCCTGTTGTTTTGTTTTTTTCAGTGACAGAAATCTGTCAGAAGGAGAAAACTGCAGCATTCCTCTTGGCTAAATTGTAAACACGGTTGAAAATGCAAGTCAGCTTTTTTTCTCTCCCCCTGCCTACAAAACACCAACAATACTTCAACGATATTCCCTTCATAAAAAAGATATCCTGTGGTTCCTATTCCCACGGTCAGTGTGAAATCAACGAGTGAGGTTTTTCTATGTGCAACACAAAACAATCAGATACGCCAGAGAAGTAGATCCTCGTACAAAAGCAAAGGACAGTAGATGTTAAACAAAAGGCTGAAGAGAAAATGACCACTTAATTAGAGTGGGGATAAAACATGCAACGTCACCAGTAAAATCACAGAGAACCACTTTCACCGACAATGTTTTCTTGAGATTTGTTGTGCATTGCTTTGTGCAGAAATACTGAAGATTTCATTAAAATAAACACCAAAAAAATTAACCGCCTTTAAAAGGAGGGGATTAGATCTCACAACCTGGTACAGATATTAAAACATCTGGTGGGGGAGAGCAGTACAGCACGTACACATGCTGTAAACACAACTATTGCTTTAATTTGGTAAGTGAGCAAAGAGTAGCAAGGACAAAGATAAAACCGTTGCTCAGGACAGGAACGTAAGAAAGGGTGACTGATGTTACTGCAATAGAAGATCTCTAGAACAAAGCATCGCTGCAACATGCGGCATTCATACAAAAACACACCTACACATTCAGGCCCTCGGCCTTTTGCAGAGGGTGAGGTTTTGTTTTTGCGTGGACGCTGATTGATGAACAGACATACTGATTGACTAATCACTATTTTGATTGTAAGACAAGTGCAACGTGCCACGCTTGGCCTGAGAGAGGATCCCATTCATCGCAGAGCAGCCTTCTGAAATGGAAGGAGGGGACAGAGCGTCTCTGCAGAGCTTTCAGCATAAAGTAGCGTGCACTGACAGTAAGCGAGCTGCTGATGGTAGGCAACTCCTCGCTTTTTTGGGGGGGTGGGGGGCAAACGCCTTTGAAGGAAACCAGGCCTTAGGAAGTGGTGACAAAGGTGGGAAGGAGGGAGGAGAAGAAATGCAGTGCACAAGGACTATGGTAGGCATTTCATCCGCTACATACGTTCTACTCAGCTTGTGATGACTCGGTTGGACATCAGCTGGCCTAAAAACACCGGTGCGTATCCTTTGGCTGAGTGACAACCGATCCGAAGCGGAACATCTCATCAGAGACCTCTTTTTTTTATGTTGTAGGTGTGCAAAATCTCAAACAGTCTGAGGCTACATTCGCACTCTTGATTTCCTCTTTGTCTCCTCGTCCTTCGTGGCCGTCTCCTCTATAGTGCTACCAAAAAGTGATGCTACTTCCCTGCATTAGAGCGCCCCTCGATGGACAGTTTCACCTCCTGGGGGATGAAAGAGGGCCTCGTGTGGCCTGTGGTGCTTATCTGAGGGCGTGGCCCATCGTCTCCCTTTGTACTGTATCTTTGGAGGCCGGGTGAACCGGAGGACCAGCGCCTCTGAGAAGTCCCTACCGCAGCCTGCATTGCTCCCGTCCCTGCGCCTGCAAATGTAGAGCCCTCTGTGTGCAAGTGGTAGCTGCTCTGGCTCCTCGGGTGCTCTGCCGAGGTCCTACTTGGTCTGACGGGTGACTCAGAGTGCCCAACAACCCCAAAGTATGGGGTCTCTTCCCTGTCGACCACATCTTTTTCCCCGTCCCTCGGTCTTTCTCTGTGAATGCGGTCCGGTCTGAAATGAGATGGAGGCCGTGACTGTTGGGGGGCAGGAGGCCCCATGAGCTGGTGACTTGATGTGGCGTTGGTTTTGGTCAAAGTCCTGGACAGGTTCTGCTGTTTTTGTTGCTGCTGGGAATGATGGAGCTGCGCTTGTTTCTGCTGCTGAAGCTGCGGCTGCAGGGTGATGGACACACACACGTCCCCTACTTGCAGGTGGTGGCAGGCCAAGCCGTAGAGCTGGGCCGTGCGGTCAGGGTTGCAGGACGACCAGCCTTGCCCGAAAACAAAAAAAGGGTGCTCCGGAGGCACATCGATGGTCACTTTGCTCTGCTGCTCCCCCACGGTGAAGTGAAGCGACATGAGACCGGCTCTCTGCTGACTGGCACGGATGTCCACTACCATACTGGAATCGATCTTCAGTCCCCCGCTCACCTCGGCGCTCCGCACAAAGTCCTGAGTCTGGAGGTCCTCCACGCGCTTCAGCTCCCCAGTAGCCAGCTGGATGATGGCTCCCTTCATGAAGTGTGATGGGTTGGTGGCGGCCGCGGCAGGAGCGAGGCTGGACGCTACGGCCTGAGTCGCAACGGCCGCGGGCTGGACAGGAGGCTGCTGGGGCAGCTGCTGTTGAGCGGTGGTCAGCTCTGCCCTTTCGAGGAGGCACACTCTGGCTGAAGAGTCAGTGGCCTTGAAGCTTGCGTCCGGGGAGGCCATGGCGGGAGATGCATGGCTGGCTGAGGCTTCATTAGCCGGTCCTAGGTAGTGCTGTGGCGGCAGGGGGTGATGCTGCAGGTGATATTCCAAGGGTATAAGAACTGGTTGGCCATTGGCCAGCATGACAGCGTGGCCTGGTTGTCCCGTTTGCTGCTGGAGACCGGTCACTCTGGGATCGTTGTAACTCACAGTCTGAGTCGAAAAAGCAGTCTGCCCGGAAATCATGGCCGCGCCCTCCACGTCTCTGGCTCTCTGGGAACCCTGAGAGAGGTTCAAGGGGGCAAAGGAGACCTCTTTTCGCACTCCACACTGGCTAGAGGAGGTCAAGCGACCAACCACCTGCTGCACCTAAAAGTTGATTCAGGGAATTTAGTGTCAAAAAGTTGTACGTTGTAAAATGCGGAAACAAACATTACACAAAGACATTCAGATGTTTTTTCCCCCACAAAAACTAAATCTATTTAAATCATGTGGGGATTAAGATTATCAGAAGACATGAATTACATTAGTAATCCTTTTATGTGTCTCACCTCCAAGTCGCTGTCTGGAGTGCTGCGCTGGCCAGGTGAGCTCCTCTCATCCAGCCTCCGGTTTAGCGAGCCTCTGTCTTGGCTGTACTCTTGGGCTAAAGGCTTGGGCGCTCCCAGCAGCAGATGTGCACTTCTGGCAGCGTAGGCCGAGTCGAGCATAAGCTCCCTAGCTGCCTGCTCTTTGTCGCATCCATTCATCTCTGCCTCGTTCTCCTGCTGGGCACTGTGTGGGTCTCTGCTGGCAGTGGAAGCCCTGGCGCCCTGCGGGTGATAGAAGACTTGCAACCCTCGGGAGCTAAGCTCTGTCGTGGGCAGGACTCCGACATTACCGAGGTGCTGCTGGGCAGCTTGCTCTGAAGAGAGCATCAGGGGGACACCACTGGATCCTGCGGCTTTGGCAAAAGTATGGGCCTGGGGAGGTGGGGAAACAACACCATCCTGCATGATAGATGGATAGGGAACAAGGTGTGACACAGCATGGGGCTGAGGAATGGTGCCTGAGGGAGAGATCAATGATCCCGGGACAAAGCCAGGGGGTAGGGCATAGGGTACCGCTGCATATGAGGAACTAACAAACTGCAGAGAGGAATGGGGGATTTGGGCATAACCAAGAGGAGGATAGGAAAGGCCTGGATGCTGGAGGAGAGACGAGTGTACTGTGTACGCTGGAGAGATGTGGCTTAACACTGGGTGAAGACTAGTAGGCGAGTAGGTGACAGATGGAAGAGCCACTTTGTAGAGCATACCGTACTGGTCAACTGGCACTGCTGCTGGTATGCCATCAGAATGATCCACGCCATAATGAAGCCCTGGCTGAGCTCGCAGCCACTCTCCAGACGGGGTCCCTCTCCGAGTGTCACTGTTCGTGGCAGAGTTCTGGACGGAAACCACTTCATCTTCTACAACAGCAGCAGCGCCGCCGCCACCTCCGCCCACTGCAGCGCCACCTCCTCCAGTCCCTGCAGCGCCAACTCCTCCAGTCCCTGCAGCTCCACTGCTGTTACTGACGAGGAGGTCCCTCTTCTTCGGAGGCAGGCACTCCTGGTTGCGCTCCTGAGATTGTTTCATAGCAATCCCGTGACAAAGCAAGCGCGTCTATTGTACTGCACAGGTACTGAAACTTGCAAGCCAGTCGGCCTGCATAGGAACCAGTTCTGAAATCACCGGGCTGAGCTGGACTGCCAATTCACCTAGAAAAGGAGAAGAAGAAGGAAAGTCAAGATAATCGGCTCTTTTCGTGGTGCGTACTGCCCACCACATCTGGTGGGCAGTTTGTAGTTGCTTGTAGTTGCAGGATGGAAATAGTAGAGGGGAGAATGTTATCAGTATGTTTAGCTGAGTTTATTTAGAAAAATAAACCATCCGACTGGCCCAATATGAACTTCACCAGTTCAACATATGTAGGATCGTCGACCTTCTCATTGACTTATCGTTAAGGTTATTTTTTAAAGCATTTTTGAACATTGCACTGTTCTGCTTTTGAATCATCTTCGTAAACTGTGCATAGCGAAACAAACTCATTACCGGAACCAGATAGAAACCCCGTGTTATAGAAATGTAGTTACATGTCGGTTTTCGACAAGTTGCCGCTACACTTCACCATGTTTACCGTTAGCTAGCTCAGTGGCTGACTTAACGTTAGTTAGCTAAAGTTAGCTAGCGACGTGGAGTCATCATTTTCCCAGGAAACAGAGAAAAGTGAAAACATTACACTATAAATTAACGTTAGTCGCAGATGCTCCATTTAGATGATATAAAACGATAAAATATGACATTTAGTGTTCACTAGGAGCTATCAGTGGGCACCAGACTAAAGGTTGCGGCTAGTTAGCTGCACGGCTAACACAGCTACAACTTACGTTAGCTAACGTTAACGTTCCATTAACTGCCTTCAGTTCTGCTCAAGTCACATCTGCTCACAGCCAACATGGCACTGGACAGAATGCCCATCGAAGAGGTTTGTATTGTTGTGTGGACGTACCTCCAAATGTCATCGCGAACAGGCTTTTATTAAAAAAAAAAAAAGTTGATATGCGGAGGGACCATCGCTGTAATCAAGGCAGAGGAGTCGAGCCCATTTCGCAGGCCAGCAGAGGCGCTCACCGATGACGTGAGCGCCTCTGCTGGCCTGCGACGTTCACGGCAGTTTCCTGGTTTATTGCTGTTTTCACGTACACTAAAAGGAGCTGAGGAGAGTAGACCAATATACGTTTACACCAACTACGTCCATAGATCACAGTTAAATTGCGGTTTTCTGAGAAAGTCATTGTAAAATGTACAATAATAAACCGCCTGATGAAAGAAATGCATCAAATCTACATTGTGAAGTGTTAAAGACTTGGAGGAGCTGGGGCGACCTGCAATGAAGACATTGCAGCATTTTTCAAAAATCAGTAATTTAAGGTTTTAAATTCAAACAAGTTGCACATTGAATAGGAATGATGTACTCGTATATGAATGAAAGTATGAGGCTGTGAAAAAGGCCTTTATTTAACTCAACTCCAGGGCGTATGAATACTAGTGACAAAGACCCCTAAAATGCAAGCCAACGAGGCACATCAGAGACTGCATAACCAACAGTAGCTATAGGATGGGATCGTCTGGTCTAAATCTTAAATAAGATGAGGTTTCTAAATTAGCATAGTACGGTAATAATGTGATGTGTGAGTGCCCAGTTATAATGTATCAGGCTAGTAGACAAAATAAGTGAGCGCTTGGGCCAAAACCCAGTAAAATAAAAGACAGAACGCCAAATAATTTGAAAAATAATGTATTGATTTGTTACTGGTACACATTTTAAGACTTACTTTCTATCAGGAAAAACAGCTGCAATGCTGTACCACTGAATTGAACTACATTTAGATAATAGATAAATCTAGTTTTAGAAAACTAACCAGTCAACAGATTTATAATATTGTTACAAAAATGGTCAATTTTCCCGAAAAGGCACAGGGGACATACAGTAGCACATTAATCCCTCTTAGAGAACATTTGCATAACTGAATAAATACATCTGCTGCTCATCAATATCAAACTGTGCCATAGTGGAAGCACGGTCATCATGCAATTAAGCACAGTGCAAAATTTAGAAATAGTGGAAAAACACAGCATATAAATATATCTCCAGAAAATATAAAGACTAAAGGATTATGGTTATTTAGTACCATTAATCAAAATATGAATTGGACATCTTCAAGCATATACAGTATTCATAATATTTGCCTAGATTATATTTAACAACCACCATAAAACAAACTATCCTACATAATGAGTAAAATGTGCAATTAAAAGCATTTGGGAGGGGAGGTTCTACACTCGCACACATCTTTATAAAAAAAAACTAGTTATTGCCAGAGTTTATCTGAATATCATTAGATGGAAAATGGTCAATCGGATGTTGAGTCCGTCATACGGTATTGTAAATAAGAAAGGGCTTTGATATGAGGATGTGCTAGTTGACATGAGAATATTACAGTGCTAGATGTTATTGTAAAAAGTAAAAAAGTTACAGAAGTAGTTACATAAATTAAAAGGTCTCCAAATGACAACGTCTTTGCAGCACACTAGAAGTTCGGCTTAGATTTAACAGTGAAAACCTGTTGAAATAAAGCCGAACCATCACCGTTACTGAAAGTCCAGTAACTCTGCGGCTTGTTTTCTTCTACATTGTTCCTTTACGTTTTATATCTATGGATCAAACAAGAGAATTTGACAAACGTAGTTATTATTGTATTTGGGACACTTGCTGCCCAGAAGATTTATTGCTCATATTTTCTCGTGTGCTGCATTGAAATTGTCAATCGTCATTGACCATCAACATTTGGTTCGCTGGAGACGTAACTTTGGTTTCTGAAATTCAACACTACAAACAGGTTTGAGTTACAGCTCTCTTCTGTCCCTTTGCTTTTAAAGTTTAACCCATTCAGGTACTTTAAACAGTTTCTCCTTCGTGCCTTACCAGAAGGCCTAATAAAAGTTGAATAAAACCTCATCAAAAAGAGAAGAGGAATTATCTACCACAGATTGAAGTCATCACAGCTCCACTTTAAGTATCATCTGCTACATGATACGAAAAATAAAGTCCCCTTTCTCTGCTTCAAAAACAGGGTAAATCTACAAAACTGACCCTGAAATTACACCATTTGCTGCTTACAGTGAAACCTCAACAGCCATTAAAATATGGGTACTTGAAAAAAGAAAATAGCATTGAGTTTGTGCAAAAACAGAAAAAAACGACGCCCAATTACATTCACCACTGTGGCAAAGCAGGGGAACAGCTGAGCTGTTGGGGGAGGAGATCGCGGGGGCCACACCACATTAAAACACTATTTTCGGTTCCTTTTTCGAAAATATATTTTTTTTCTTCAATACAATATTGTCAATTACTTTTTCTGGAAGCTAGAACATAATTTGAATACTTTGAAATCGTTCATCGAAATCAATCATTGTTGCTGCAGTCGAACGAGCATTTTCTAATTCCCACCATAATTATTTGGATTCCACTTTTCTACTTTATTACAGTGGGAAAGTTTTACTGACCAATGGAGATTCAACTAAACTGATGGCAGTGCTACACACATTACATAGTTACATTTTGATTATTGCTTTAAAATGTTTATTGAATACCAAAGAGAGAAACGTCTCAACTCAATGTTAAAGTCTCCATAAGCCCTTAAAAAACAGCAGTTTCTTTGCTAAATGTTTTGATGGACCAAATCTACAGAAGACAAGAAAATAGATCCATTATAAAAAATGCAACAGTTAAGATGGTCTCCAATAGTCAGATGAGACCTCACAGTAACAACTCACTGACAAATAGAAGGATTTTCTTTCATTCATCTGAATTCCTAAACTGTAATAAGACAACGATAATCCAATCCTAAAGACACTTCGGTTTAGAAATTCCCTCAGATTTCAATGCATCATCAATGGTGCAAATTGTAGCTTATAAATAATTACAACGTCCAAAGTTGTTTTTCTATTTCTCATTATAATTATTTTCATCTAAGAAAGAGGACATTAGAAAGTAAGACTGTTAATGGACAGACCTGTACTGAGCTCAGAGAAAAGAGCCTTAACGCCCTACGTCTTCAGAGAGGGTCGTTATCAAGAGTCTCCGTAGAGAGCCAGATCCTTGCCCCGTTCAGAAATTTGCTAATAGGGGTCCCGTAGGTACTGCGGCGACACAGGTTTCCGCTTGGGGTGAAAGGAAAGGAGGAAGTAAGGAAGTCTGGAGGTGAAGGGGGGTCTTGTAGAGAGCTGGCCTTAAAATACATCCTCCTTTGGCTGGAGAAGGGCCCACTTAAGCCGGGGAGTTGCGTGCTGCCACTCTCCCTTGTACCCTTGTACTGCCTCAAGTGGCTCTGTAGAATCTCAATTTCATCCACCAGTTGGGAGAGCTTGTGGTAGGCTGTGATGGGGCCTCCTTTGAAAATGCAGGCTTCGGGAACCCAGCGTAGAAAGTAGAGCTTCCAGAGAGCCAGGTGTGAGGGTATGAGCAGGGGAATCAGGAGGCTCTGCTGGTCAGCGGGTCGAGAGAACCAGTCTCTGAAGAAGCGCTCCGACGGGCTTTCGTCTTTAACCAGTGAGAAATCGGGCTTCAGCTCCGACAACAAAGAGCCCCGTCGGGCCAATGAATCCTCGCCACCCTTCTGACCATTGCGCAGAGACGCATGCGTTCCGCGCACTGTGGCACTGTAGGTTTTCTGGTGGAGGAAAGACACACGTTATCATATTTAGAGAAATTAACCATTATTTAAGTTTGTTGATGTCTATTAGAGCATCTCCACCTGCGTTATGAAATCCTCAAGATGCTGACATTTACAACTTTAGAAAACAATGATTTATTTTCTGTGTAATGATTGACCGTTTCCTCACAATGCTGATTTCAGGAAAACAAAATAAAACCTCTGCAGCAACTTTTTAAACTGCTGAGGATGGTTGATTCATGTTAAGGGCGGGCATTGACCTTTCGCCTTTAATTCACCATGACGGAAGGCCATCAAACAAAGGCTCAAAGTCTACACTGGCAGAAGTGCTAAAGGTAGAGAAATAAGTGAACATACAGATAAAACAAAGTCCTAATTGTAGAAGTGTGTTGTGTACCTTTGTGCGTCTGAACGTTTTCACTTCTCCATTCTGAACGCAGGCGGCTCCTTTGCCGACGAACATGGGGTTGTTAAAAAGGGTTTGGTCTGCGGTGGAGTACTGCTGAGACCAGTCCCAAACAGGGGGGAAGTACACCAGCTGGTCTTCTCCTTGAGGGATTGCTTTATTCTTGGCAAAGTCCTGCAGAGTAAAGTTATATAGAGTAATGTTATTTATACTCTGGAATATTCTTCATAGTTGGGTTTTTTCAAACAGGCTAAAGGCGTTCTTATCTGTGTGCACTACGTTTTCCGTCTTTCCTGTCAATTATCTGACACACAAAAGGGAATTAAAGTGTTTTACATAACTTAATACTACAAAAACCTGTTGCTTCTAAGCAAGCACAAATACTAGTTATACTAGTTTGTTAGCTGACGCTTTTATCCAACGCGACTTACAATAAGTGCATTTCAACCATAAGGATACAAACTCAAAAGAACAAGAAACAACAAGTGCAATTTAATCAATTATATCAATATATCTGCTAACTCCACTAAATAAATGAATACACAATCACATATGTGCGAGTGTCTCTTACCATCAAGTACTGAGCACGCTGTTTGGGAGAATTGAAGAGGAAAGTACTGAAGAGGGGGATCCACATGCTATCACTCAGTACGGTCAGATAGGTCTCTGTGAACTCAAAGGCTGCTGGGTACTGGTTCATCACCTGCCACACGCAGTCCAGGAACAGCATGAACAGCGGGGACTTGAGTGGGAGAGAACAGGGAACAACAAACCAGAAGGATAAGTCTGTGCTGGCATTTCTTTAAGTATTGGGGAGGGTCTCATTTACTTTCAGGTACCTCGTCTTTGTCGTTCTTCTTTAAGTGGTTGCATCTGTCCAGGAAGCGATGGCCAGCCATCACCCACTCCTTCTGTACTAAACTCTGAAAGCCAACGAGGCTGCGATAATGAGGGTCCAACATGAGCTGAACCAAGGAGGACACCACGCAGTTCAAGTCTCGGTCTTCCTCTTCTGCACAGGTAGAAAAAAGGCAAACCAAAAAAAGATGGAGGAAATCACTTTCAACATCACTCAGCTCTGAGAGTACAGCTATAAATAAGTCTGTTTACAGTGAGCAGATGTGATCAAATCTCACTTCCCTGTTTTATGCGTTGTTGCGGTTGCGGAGCCATTAATGCAAATTCAATAGTGTTCAAGATCCTTGTCGTGCTACATGCACACTTAAGCGAGGATTTACTAGTTTGCCTGGATGAGAAGAATTATTAGAGTAGGGAAAGCTGCTCCCATAGAAGCCATTTGGATCAACTCTTTCAGCATGGAACTAAAACGTACACGCCTGTTTAATAGGTGGTCCTTGAATACAACCTGATGCCAAAAAAAAAGATATCGCCACATATTGTATGTGTCCAGGCCACCTCGGAACTTGGTCTTTGATGCTTTCACATTTGTAGACGCATGTTTATGCCAGCCATACAAATATGGCAATACTATATTTCAAATGTAATTCTGTGTGTTTGAAATATGACCTTGAAGCCAAACGTTGGTACAATAAAACAAATGACAGACAAAGAAACTCAAAGGTTGCTGGTTGTTGCTCTGCAACTCCCTGGCTTGAAATGTTACTTTGAAGTTTTACCTTGAAGAATGACTGAAGTGTTCTTTCCATCCAGGAGGTACACCATCTCAGCCGAGTGTTTCAGGAAAGCCCTGGAGTCAAACAGAACATGAACCTTAATGGATTTTAAAAGAATCCAGTGCTCGATCACAAAACGACAGTTTAGCACGCATAACTTTAAATGCACACTTTCTAAATTTTACCAGCAAACACTGTTTAGGTGTCATACCTGACGTACTCCAGCCATCGTGTGTTTTCAATAGATGAGAGCCATCTCTCCTCTGACTCCTCGAAGGAATCTGCAGTCAAAACAGTCAACGCTTGTCCGGCTAGCAAACTATTTACGCACATCTGGAAAATCTTTGATTTACAGTTGAAGGAAATGTGCATTCAAAAACATTTTACACTAAAGTTATACGGATAATTGCTGTGGTTTTCTACTGTAACTGTTAAAAGTAGAAATGAGGCTCACCTATGACACAAATGTGCCGTATTTTAATAAAGGCACTCTGGAGGTCCTGGATGTTAGGCAGACACTTGTCTAGATCTGACCTGATGACTTCACTGCGCTGTGGGTGGCTTTTTGTGATAGCTGGGATGAACCTACAACAACAGAAGACCAAATTTGATGACGGGGGTCTTAAAAGTGCAGCAATTCCTCATTTGTATATTGAAAACATTGGCATCCGCATTTTCTCCTTGCATGGCTGCAGTTGAACATCTTCCAGCTGCTTTTGCATTACAGTGTAAAGAAGAGTAGATAAATACATCCAATTCCTTAGGAGTCTGAAACTAGAGGGGTTAGCTGTACCTCTGATCAATCCTCCTCTGCTGCAACGGATCAGCGATGCTGGCCATCCGCACAAGAGCACTTCCATTTGGGTGATTCCAGCACCAGACCTACACGGACGAATGGAAATAAATCAGAGGGCAGAAAATATGCTCCAATCAATCAAATATTATGAATGAGTTCATTGGTAGCCCATGAATGAGCTCATAAAATAACATTCAAGGCCTAATTAAATATAACTGATAGGAAACGGAGTATTCCGAGACACCAGAAAACTCACAGGGATGCGCTGATTCATGAAGTATATGGAGTTCTGCTTCAGATCCTGATCAGCCAGAGAAACTGGGACCACGATGTGCTCTGGAAGACTTAAAAGAAAGACGGCTGTTACACAATCAATCCTTAAGAAGAAAATATGTCTAAGAAAATAAAAATCCCATGAATAACAAATAATAAAAGACAGACATCCTAAGGAAGAAAAGAAATATATATATATATATTCAGGCTCTCTATTCTTACTTTATCACTAAAAATGCACTACTTTTTAAATTGAAGTATAAGCGTGTTATTTTATGCATTGTATCGTACTATTGCTACTAAAAGCTAAAGAGGAATGTTTCAGCCCCATGTGACTGCACAGGTTGCTGCAAGCTACTACTAAGCAAAATTTGATTTTTTTTTCTCAAATTCCACAGTACAATCCTGATTTTGAAACCCTCCCTGATGTCAACACTGACCTCCGATAGCACATTTTGTCCAAAATAGACTTGCATGTTACACTGAGGACATTACCAAAGATTGTTTTTCTGAGTCGCTCATAGAGCGAGGAAAAAAGGGGGACGGTGTAAATATACAGTCCTGCCAAAACATACCAGGTATGAGTTAAGGCTGAATAATGAGTGACTGTTACAACCGTGAAGGAGCTAGAGAGATAATCTGCCTTTGACGCACATCACGATTTGTCTACAACAAATAACAGGGCTGGAAACCTCGGTGAGATGGCATAATTCTCGTTGATGGAGCACACTCTCCACTCAGATGCCCCTGTTCTCTTGATCTCCCGATCCCAGTCAGATGGACGATCAAATATGGGGGTTCGTAACCCGCCCCGATCATTGACTCGTTGCCCTACAAATACAGATAGAGATTTTTTTATGTTGCATAATACATGTCATTAAATGGGATAATCCAAAATGTTTTTTTAAAACATGTCCTGCTAAATGCGTACCTTTAGAGTCATGGTATCGCCGCCCTTGATACTCAAAGCCAAACAGAAGAGGGAGATCAGCTGGATGGGAATAGTGAGCAATAGCAAGGCATACCTGGAATAAACAGAAATGTCCTTGTATGGGTCACACAGTAGCCAATGAATAAATGAAAAAGCTTTATCAAGGCAGATTAGGTTTCATCAAAACTTCGGCGCATTCTTTAAACACATAAAGACAAAAACAGTAAAACCTGGGAAAGCAAATATTTAACCTAGGATTAAAGTGGCTCCTCTTAAGTTCCACACAGCAATTTATTCAGTAGCGAAGCTGAATAACATGAGGACACTGAAAGTGTGTTCGCGTGTGTGTGTGTGCGGTCCCAACTCTGTAATTTCCGATAGCAAAATAAGCTATTATAGGTCGGGTTAATTCCATATGTCCCAAAGAAGAAAAAAAAGAAAGGGACACAGCCCTGTTTTGGGTTCACATTGTAATTACATACATGATGTCCATAAATAAACTCACAATGCGTTGGGAAGGCAGGAATAATTTAGATTTGGCATGCTCTATGCACGATCACCCCTCCGAAGTCTGTTATAGCAGTAGAGTACAGAAATGAAGGGGAATACTTGTTGAAATAATTATACTGTAATGCTGTTGTCATTCAAATGCAAAACGTTTAGAACACAGCATCAGTACCAACGCAGCCAGAGTCGGCTAAATGTTTATTTAGTTGGTTTAATATACCCATCAAGCAATCACAAGTGTAAAGGTTCTGTCCAATCGACATCACAAGGCTTTACTTTCATTTTCAGTTTTGTGCAACCATCTTCTGAAAACACCAGCCATTTGTAAACTATCAAATCATTAAATCAATATATACTGCCATGATGCATTTGACTTGCTGGTTAAAAACATATCATCTTTTATAAATGGTACCATAAAAACCCCACTCCCTTATAGGTGTCTATATTGCGCTCTAGTTTAGGAATTGAAACATTTGTCTGCATAAGCCCTCTGTGCATTAGATGAGTCAGTCAGGCCGGAAGTTGCTCTTATGTTACAGATCTTTCGCAGTTGCCGTGCTTTGAATGTACATTGTTGTCTTTGTTCCTTATTCATCGTTTGGCTAATAGCCAGACCGTTGCATTCTGTTCTTCATTTCCACCCAGAATCGGGCTGAGAGAACGGCACAACAAAGTTTGTATGATAGAATTGCCCTTGTTGCTGAGGAAGTGGTCAGAGCACGAACACTGACTGAGAGTATGAGGTGAGCTCGCGCAGGAAAAACCAACAAAAAGAACAGGCAACAGTAAAGTGGACAAGGAACGCAGAAAAAAAAGGTTTTAGGGTATTTAGCTGCTCCACAAAAAACATTTTTTCCCCAGAGTATTTTTATTTACTGATTGCTGTCAAAATGTTAAACATAGCATTGACAAATATGACAGATAATGTTTCTAAAATGCATTACCGACTATGGCTTTAGGAGCTAAAGGCACAATTTGGGGGAAGCTTCATGAGACTCCTAAAAACGACGGAAGTGTGACGAAAGTGACGCAAAGTTTCCTGTTACACAAAAGTGAGCCATTGTGCTCTACTTGCTCCTCTCAGGCTCCTGATACACAGGAAATGTTCTTTGATGCTTCCACTTAGATGGTCTAATTTCTAGCTCTTGGCACCCCAAGTTTTGAATTGTTATATATTTTTTTTACTTATCTTATTTATTTGGCTCACATTTCACCTGAATCTAAAATTAAATGAGTTTGCCAGAAAATGTCATGTTTTCAAAGCCTTGGAAAAAATACTTAGGAGAATATAGGATGAAACAAAATGCCGCATCGCTTACCTTTTTGGCGCTCTCAGGACCAGCTTCAACAAAGCAGAAGCGTATGATGCGCAGGTCTTTGCAATAGAGGATGAGCTCGGTCGGGTTAAACTTCAGCTTCTGGTTTGACCCCAAAACTTTCTTCTTCCCCTTTGTATCATTTACTGAAAGGTATAAACACAAAATAGAACTTAACTTCAAAAATTCACAATGTGTTTGAGGGTTGGGGCAGTTTTTACATCCTCCAGCAACAGGAACTTGACAATCAATTATATGAAAACAGTATTACACATTTAAAAACAAATAAACGGCTTTTTGGCTCAAACCTTGAGCGCTTTATTTATCCATCATCACAAAATGTAGGAAAACTGAACAGCAGAAGAGCATCAATGACCGTGACCTAAAAGTATCCCATTAAGAATCATGTTTCAATTCCAGGTGCAAATTAGACATTGGTGGATTCCTTATTATCAATTGTTGTCAGTTAATAGTAGGATTCTGAAGCTAAATAGCATTTGGGGTTTTGACTATTAGGGCATTGAAACACCACCACCTGACCCTGGCGCAGATTACACATTCATTCCCAGTCCGTTTTACTTTACAGTAGGATCAAATCATACGGATTTAATTATTCCTACCCACCACTAGTGCCTCGTGTCATTGTCATACTCCTATGCATGTGCAAATCCCATGACAATAAAGCGAGCATGCTGGGTAGAACAAAGCCTCAGGTTTCATCGCTGCAGCACTACAAACCTCGCTCAGGGCTGTCGCCCTTGCAGTGTCAGCATCAGACAGCAATGAGATATACAAACAAGTCTAATCCTGGCCCGGCGGCACTGCCACTGAATGCTGCCTTGGCTGTGACATCACTTGCTATCAGATTTCGGAACAGGCGAGAGACCAACGACAAAAAGAGCAGGCAGCCAAGCTGTGGAAGATAGACGAGGCCAATCTAACCTGTATTCTTGTTTTAGTTTAGTCCGGTAAAATGAGGACGGTTTGTTGTGAAACAGCTCATTTTAAAATGCAAACATTAGCTTTCGTATCAATTAATAGCAATTCATAGTATTAGGGTTATCTGGACAGTGAAACATTTGGCTCTGATAAAAATAATTGTAAGTCAGTAGGTGAATGTAAGAGAGGGTAAAAAAGAGCAATGTTCGGCACAAATGTTATGAAACACCAGCTGTACCTGTTACTACTTGCTCCAGACAGGTGAGGGGGATGTCGTGTAGTCCAAGCAAGAGGTGCGACAAATGGGACTTCTGTAGTTAAGGCAAACAACAACAAATTGGATGAGTAACATCCAGTAGACATTATTACACCCAAACTAACTGAAATCTAAGTAGGCTAAGTAAGCTGCAGAGCTGGAAATGACGTCTGTTGCCTCCCTTCTTGTGCGTTATCACGGACAATGTCGTGCAGGAAAGTACAAAAGCTTTCCTTCCTCCTCACCAGCTGCAGTGTGCATACAATCATGGCTGAGGGAATGCAAGTTAAGTTACTCAGCAGTATTCTGGTGGCACCAATAGATGTTACAAATGTTAGGTTTTAACACTTTAAAGAACTCTATAAGAGGTAGTTTAAAAACAATGACCTCTGTGGTATCATGATGACACAGCAATCAAACCATCAACCTTTATAATATTCAGAACAACACAGTTTAGTGGTTTGAAGTCAGACAAAAAGAAAATACCTGTTCAGAGGGTGGATCTGTAGGGATGAAGGAGACCTTAAAGTTGGTGCAGATCAACTTCCCCCAAAGGCCCTCCTGGCTGCTGTCCGCACTGAGGCATTTTCTCACAAAGTTCACCTCGTTAACTACGATCTCCCCTGGTGAAAAAAACAATGAGAGAAAAAGATTAAAACCTAACCCAGCGCGGTTCAAGGAAGAATACATAAAGCGAATATAACAGGTCAATAACAAAGTTTTATTGGGTTAGCTTGGGCTGTCTGAACAAAGCACGACCTGGCTTTATGATTAAGTCTGTTATTATTAACTGGCATCCCTTTGGTATCCAATGAATACACACCCACAATAAATGGTACTAAATGTTGGCTGTAGGATTGTCGAAAGATGACAGCTGGGGCAGCAGGGTTGAGGCCTACAGACTTCCTCAGAGCAGCATGTTGCAATTAGACAGAAATATAAAAACAAGAAAACTCATCTAGAAACATGTTCATATGCCCGGCTCCAAAATCAAAATTGGAGAGGATCGACAACCCCTAAGTGGTAATAGCTGCCTGTGAATGAGAGGTCTGTTTTACCTGGAATCTAGCACTTAATTAACTGAAATTAAATTAAATTAAATTAAATGCAATGGATGTGTCGAGCAACCGGGGTGAGGTTCCCAAAATCAACTGGTTGAAGCCAATCAGAATAACTCTTTGAAATGAAGCCCGACTTTCTGCTCTTCCAGTTACTTATCTATATGCATTTAAGACTTTGGTGCAAAGTCTTGGTGTTCAGGGAAGAAGTCCCTTTTGGAAATACACTTTCATGACAGAGCTTTACAACTGTTGTTTCCATTAAAAACGTAACTAGCACAACTATGAGGAAGACAAATGGACAGAGAAGAACTGGGCGGCAGACGGCAGAACAGAGTTGTAGCCTAAAAGTGATGCTGACAAACACTCAACTATCATTTTTGTTATGTATCAAGGAGCAAGTATACATTCCTTTGTGATGCCAACTAGTCTTAGGATGGTGTGGAAAACAGACTTACCTTGAAGTAACTTGGGTTCCACCTTTTTAGGAGGTGATTCAATAGTTTTTTTCACATCGGTCTAGGGGAAAAAGCACAAGTCACCTGGTTGATGAATATCTTGACAGATATTAATGACTTTAAAAGGCTCAAGTGCTGACTTTCGACTAAGAGTCAGAATCAAAACCCGATCTACATTTAGGATTTTAGATTAAAATAAGGGGCTACAGTTTAGTTCAATCCAATGTGATGAGAGTACATAAATCATCATTTTTAACTGGCCAGAACATATTTTATGAAATACAAAGGACTTGACCTTAGATTCACCGGCGGGGAGTGTAAAAGTAATTTAAAAAAAAAAAAAAAAATGTAAAAACTGTTAACTGTGTACACAACACCGCCTTACACTAATCTTGACCTTGCAGAACAAACTGAATGAGTTTGGCTTTTCTGCACCAGCTTTGACTCGCTGTCTGGAAAAGAGCAAACACCTGTGGGTGAATACAAGATACCACACATCCAATGTCAACCTGGGACTTTAGTTGGGTACTTAATCTCCTTTAAAAATATATATATTTTAAACACATTGCACAGACAGGATTCAATTCTTTCAATAAAGCATGAATTGAGACAACTATACTGCTAACGTTACAGCAAAAGACAGTAAAAGCATTCTAGTTCAATGCTTCTACGTTGGTTGCACAGTTTGAAAGACTCTTTGTTGGTAAACTCAGTCTTTGGTGATTTCAATACACAGAGCTGCAAATGTCGAGAGTTGTTTCCGCAACACCAGTCAAGACAACGTCAGCCTAAATTCATTAAAACGAGTTGACACCGTCTCGTGACCTTTACTCATAAACAATAAACAAAACAATAAACTATGACATCGGTCCCAAGCAAACACGTACCTGCACCGGAGGAAGATAACTCCGGAACGTTGGTTTCGTGGGTTTGACAGAAAACATTGTTTATGTCCGCTCGCCGTTCCGAGACGGCGCTTAAATATCGCCTGCGGGGAAGGAAGGGAGGGAGGAAGGGAGGGTGGGCGACCCAAAAGCGAGCCTTCTGTAAAGTTACCGTCAGTCCTTAGCCGAGTAAATCCGACACGTCCGTGTGTAAAACACTCATCGAGGCAGCCCGGGCCGGCGGCCGCACTCCTCCATGACGATTAGCGGCTAAGTAGCAGATTACGCTCGCGGGCCGAGGAGTTGACAGAAGTTGCCGTTGAGACGTTGCTGTTAGCTTGGTTAGCCCGGCTAGCACGGAGTAACGTTATTATACCAAGTGTAGAAATACTGTTCCCACGCAAAGATGAAGAAAAATAAACGATTTTTTTTATAAAAGTGAGATATGTCCGAAACTTTTCTTTCCGCGTGTTACGGTGATAGTTGGTCTCGGTGACTTCCTGAATATCTGATTAATTCAGCCAAACGCACTACCTGATGCTGCGAAGGACTCAACGGCCATGTTTATAACAAGCAGCCGTCCAGCCCGACTTCCGGCCTCCGCTGCCGAGCTCCGTTTCAGTGCCGAGATGTTACTTTCATCCAACTTTCTATGAAGCCCTACAGAACACCGGGGTACTCTGTATTATTACAACAAAATGCCCCCCTACGACTATACGTTGTAGTAAATATTGATAACCTTGTCATTTGATGTTTAAAATACCGATTTTTGTGTTGACATGGATCGAGGGCACCACTCAAGGACTACAACTCCCATGAGACACTGCAGTTTACGGGCGTGAGTCGGTCGGCTTATATGTTTGTTTATTTATCTTTGGGGGAATAACTTAATTTCACAAGTATATAAGTATTACTGGTAGGACAAAAACGTAATATTATGCCTTCACGATGTATTTCATTTAACATGTTCTAAATAAAATACGATGTGAGTCAAATCCATTTATATACAGGTACAGGGATGCAAGCAAATCATTACAACCAGAGTAATAAATACAGGAAGTGTGCATGGGACATGGTTTATGACGTTTATTGAGAACGTTTATCGATCAATGTGTTTATCTATTTATCTTTGTCTAAATCTAGGCTTCTTCGAACAACATTAGTACCTACAATTAAAATATTACAATAAATAAATTATGTTTTCACTTTATGGTGATAGGCCTAAAAGGAACAGGATATTTTAAGTCCACCAGAAATACATTTATTCTGTCCACAGTGTGGCGCTATTGATCAATATAGGACATCTTTGGCCTGTATGTATGATCTGGAAAGTTTTTATCATGATCAATGAAAAATATGTTTAACTTTTGCATTAACGTGATTTGAAGGTGGTGAGATGATCTAGCAGAGGGCAACGGATGGCTTTACAGAATATATATTTTTTAATCCTAACATTTAAAAAGAATGAACTGTCTCTGAATCAGAATCATTTATTGCACCCCCACAAACAAGGAATTTGGTGATTGGCGCATAACAACAAAGACAGTAGAATACCCTGACACATCATTTAAAAATAGACAATGAAATAAATTGTAAACCAACAAACAAATATGTTAAATATATGTTAGTATGTTACAACACATATTTTATAAAGGTGAAGTGCCTATAGTTATCATAAGTGTCCGAGTCAGTGGGACCAGTGCATGTTATTATCTTACAACTAAAACCTTGGACTATGCTCACATGCCCGTTGAAACTGATTAAAAAATGTCCTCATTTCTGCGTTGTTCTATAGAGGCCACTGGGTGGAGACAATATACTGCAACAACCGGCTTAAAGGTTGATAAATCATACATCTTTTTTACAACAGCTCACCTGGTTTGCTGGTGTTGCTTGCCAGACTAGTTTGTCAATATTTGAAAACGCCATTACCGGGCAGTAGCAGGCCAGTTCAGGCCTCCACAACTGAGTCCAAATTATGTTCCGGTGAACATTTCACATTGTTTTCAATATTTATCTTACATGTAAGTACAATTTTTAAACTACATTTAGAATAGAATTCGGATAGGAATACAGGACACACACACTCACGCACGCACATACAATGTGTCTACTGCCTTCAGAGGCAGCCTGTTAGACAGGTTACACCCAGAGAGTGCCCCCCCCCCCTCCAACATAATTTCAAGGCAAGCCTCAGTCTGGCTGGAGAGCGGTTGTGAGAAGTGGATACCAGTGTCACACATACACTTCAAAAGAGCTGTCGCTTCAGAAGGCTTATGAGTTGCATTTTTGTTTTGTTTCAGCGGTTGTTAGGACTGAATTAGTGCACAAAATGTGTGGGCTACCTTTTGCAAAAAAATGTAATTCATCAAAAGAGCATTTAAAACCACATAGGAACGGACAGTCAAAGGACACAAACTGGATGAGAATGATACAGAGACACCGAGTCACTTGAATGCTTTCGTCTGTCAATTCAGTTTAAGTGATCAATCCACATGCACCATGTTAAAAGGATGTCAGTCTTCACAAACTGACATCATATTGCATGAACATCATGTCAGTTGCAACTAAACGTGATTTCTTAACCTTCACTGAACCTGGTGGTGGGCATCCCGTCATGCCTGTATTCATGTATCTACAGTTAGTGTATTTGTAGTGGTGGTGATCATATATAACATTTCATTTCACCTCAAATGTTATGGTGTTATATGAGGTGTTTACATGAAACAAATAATAACCCGTAACTGTGGTGTCATAATATGTGTTAATAGGTTATTCAACTGTAGTAAGACGGCAAAGAAGGCCCAGGTAGAAAATACGCTGCCCGTCACAGACTTAACCTCAAATAAATCATTGCTAGCATATAAATTACATTTGAGAGCACCAAAAAAAAGACATATGTGCAAGGATGCCATATAAACCTGAAATGGGTGGTTTATCATTGCACACGAGAGAAAGCCCTGTGGAACAACACAAACAATTAAAGGAAAGTGCTTTTATTGTTAGATTTGACAATGTTACCCACATTGATGCGCTTCATAATGGACCCCGTTCAGGTTAAAATGTGTTTTAGTCCGTTGTTGTGAAGTCCTAACGCCGCGCATGCGCAGTGGCTCCCCTCCCCTCCCACCACCTCATGAATATTTAATCGCCTCCGCGCGCAGTGTCGTCTGATTGGACGAGTGTCCGCGTGTTGTGTTTCTCGGTGTTTGAGCTCTGCTCCGCCGCTGTCAGCCTCAGATCCGTCTGGACAATGGACGGAGGACACCGCTGAGGACACATGCGTCCATACTTCCTGGAGTTTATCGGGAATATCGTCTTTTTAACTCTGGATTTTGTCCTCTGGATTTAGGTTTAAGAATTGGAGCGGTTTTCTTTTCTTTTTTAAACTGTGTGAACTTCAGTGAGGCCTTACGAGATCACGCAGAATACGACGGAGAAGACTGCGCCAGCGTTGAGTTGAAGGCAAGAGGATGGTGAGTTATATTTGCACCGGCTCATATTGTTTGATACCATGAGCTCATCCTTAAGTAGAATTTTCAATATGATATATATATAGGTATTTTATTCAGTTTCTATATATTTTTACTTTTTTTTTTTTTTTTAACGTTTACTTTAGTTTACGTATACTTCCCCCATGGCCCTGTTGATACATTAACCATTAACTCTATTTCTGTCGCTTTACGAGACAGTTTGGTTGATTGTTGTTTTGAGGAAAGCGTCATTTATTGTGTTTCGTTTAATTATTCACAATACATTCTTCCAGTTGTATTCCCGATTCCATCATCGATCCACAATCAGTAAAATTCTCCTCTGTCTGTCTCTGACTGTCTCCTCCTCTGTCTTCATCCCGCCGGTCCCTCTGATGGTAGACGTGTAATGGGGAACTGTGAAAGTAATTACACGACAATGACCCACGGCTTGTGATGGTGACACCCAGAGAGGATGCAGAGTCACCTGAAACATTTTTCATTAGGTGCAGCCTTTTCTTTAAAACTGGTTGGTGGATAGGTGGAGCGTGGGTTCTGCATGTGTGCAGCATTGTTGTTTTGTGTGTGTGTGTGTGACTGAGCATGACATGGAGACAGGTTTTTCCTGGTTACTGAATGCTGTCCCTGGAGCAGACGCCTAGAGCCAAGTTGTGTGTCTTTTGAGCTTGTGTTTCCTTGTTGTCGTATTTGACAACAACTCCTCAAGCGTCAGTCTTCTGCGACATAATTTCTGATGATGGCTGATGAACATAACAATACAGCTGTGATGAAGCCTTTTTTTTATAACATATTAATATGTGATAGACCATATGAATGCTTCTTTGTTATCAGAGACTTCCCTATTTACTAAACATATGAGTTTGCTTCAGGCTTTCATTTGCCTTAAGGAATATAAAGAACATTTGTTTGCATCATTGCAGCTTCCAATCTGTTTCTCTGGTCACGTACACACAAGCATTTTCTATTCAAAACAGGACCAAGACCTGCTAGCCTTCTGCTATCCATGGGCTTGTATTGAGCCCGTCGTTTGTGTTGGCTAGAGACAAACAAAAAGGACAAAGGTTGCATGCAGTCAGGAGAGCAAAATATTTGCACTTGAGCTGAGATGTAATGCTTTTCTGCCACATTCCCGCTTTAATTCTGCATTTTCTTTCCGTGAGATAACTTAAAACACTCTTCAGCTATGACATGAATGAAATGATTTTGAGAATGTCCTGTAAAAAAACGGTCAAACGTCTATTGCAGGATTTGAAACAAAGCGAGTGTCATCAGTCATAGAGAGTATCGGCCATTGCAGGGAGCAAAGAGGGAGAAAAGTGTCTGGTTGTCATCCTAACTGTCTGGAATAGCAGACACCAGCAATGCTCACTAGTTCTTTCTCTTCCAGCTGCTGAATAGCAAGTCGGCATGACGGCAGATGGTTTGCATTAGTTTCTCCTGCAGGGAGGTGCGTACTGAGTAACCCTTCATTTCAAAGCTGGCGCTCCATTTTCAAACCGATCACTGCTGTAGAGAGTCGCTCAGGAATTCAAGCCGTCTCTCTAAAAACAGGACGAACATTCCCACTGCGTGGACCTGGGGAACTCGTTAGGCTTGTTGCTGTGGTTCAGTCCACTCGCATGCTTTCGACCGGTTCCACATACGGTTGTTACAAAACTACATGATCAACAGTCGGCGGTTTGTGATGACGAACCTCACAGCTTTCATGTCGTGATGAAAGTCATAACCAGCTAAAGTGGAAACCAGAGTTAAATTCCATGTATGCGTACAAGCATACGTGTCCATAAAGCAGATTCTGATGTTGACTTCTTGTGTTTTTAACTTGTTATAAATCATTCTGGATATAAATTGCACACCGTGAATATCTGTTGTCAACTATAACATCAAATTGTGAGCCAGTTCTTGTTTTCTTTCTTCTTTTTGTGACTCTTGTTTTTCATATTTTATTATTTCATCTTTGACTTTATTGCAAGCAGATGTGTTTTTTCTTTTTCCCGCTTTAGATTTTGTTGCACATGAACACATCCAGTCCTAAAGAATGTTGACACAAAAACAAAAACCTTTATTGTCTTATGCTGTAGAGATGAACCCCACCCTCAGAATAATGGACTCCATTACTTAACTAATCTTCTAAACTGGCCAACACATCTTGTTTGTTCTCAAAAATCAGGCATGCTAAAGTGCTTAATTAATCTGTGCTGGATTACTGAGAACAGATAGTTTGAGTTATTTCTTAATGGGTTTATTGTTGTACTGTCGCTTTTAGCTGGGTCAATTCTAACATACATAAGATATCTTTGGCATTACACATTTGTGTTTTTTTTCATGCAAAATTAGTCAAACATAAAGGACGGCTGTGCATTGTTCTAAGTCATAATGTTGTCTCTTAGCAAAAAACATAAATATAATCATACTGTACTATATGTATGACTTTGTCTTGTTTTAAAACTTACCACCAACTGTGGGCGCCTCTCCTCTCCTCGTCTATTGCACTTCTGTAGTTCTGGTTCTGTTGTGTCATCCGCTGTGTTTTCACTATAAATGACGGGAAGAGGAGGCCCGCTGCAACGGAACAGAGCTCTTTTTCTCAGAGATTAACTGACCAATAATTACACAGTTGTAATATTTTTTGGAGTTATCTTTTTTTTTTTAAAGCTGTGGAGTTGAACTAAATTGCTGCTTGTATATCCCTCTCAATTCCTGAACAGTCTACTTTTATTCTAAATGAATGAAGATCACATCATACATTCTCTTATCTGGGTAAATATGATTATGTAAGCAGCTCCATGTCCTGTTACGCCTTTTTAGTTTGTTTTCCTTGTTCGCGACCATATAGTAAACAGCATCCTGTCATTTGTCAATTTGCATGTATGACTTTCCTCATTGTGGCCGGGAACAAGTTCAGACTCTCTGGTCATCTCGTACAGCTTCCCATCCTCACAGGCCAGCAGTTAAGCCTTATTTTATATCCTGCTCTTCCTGTTTGGCCTGATTGCTGTACACTGTACCGGTTCCGTTCCAGAAGTACCTTTGTTTATCTTAGGGCAAAATGAATATCTTAGAAATAACAACAAAATATCAAATTGTATTTATATATTTTTGGCAAAGGCCATGTGTAAAGAAACATGGTAGACAGAACAAGAACTGAGTCAAAGCTTTTAAAAGGTTTGTCAGACGTTCTGTTTTACTGTCTGGAAACAGAGTTAAAATTAGCTGGTTTGAATTAGTTGTCTTTTTTTGGCACAAGCCCGATAGCGGAGCTGAGTCAGTGAATTTCCCTCTGTGCACTTAAAGGACATGTTTGTCCTTAAACATGGTTTTACAGTGGACCATGATGCTATTTTCTCAAGTGCCAGCTAAATACATTACTGTGGTTGCTTAGAACTAGGTCAGTAACATATGTAAATCTAAAAATATTATAATATAAACACATTTTGAACCATATAGCATGACCTAAACAGGTATTGTCCAGCTTTATCTCCTGCGGATCTGATTGAAATGGGATTCTTGTCGTCAACTTCGGAAAAGTGTCCATCACAAAGATATTGTGGGATCTTCTGTTGTCCCCACAATAGATTTACACTTTTGAATTAGGTTTAAATATTGCACTTAGCATATATCGATTAACCGTATGTGAGGCTTTACTGTTCTCGGGTCAAACACATCTGTAGGCGCATTGTGTATTTTTTAAGCAATGCTCTTTAAGTAGGACAATTCCAGTAGGCATCATCAACTAGTGCCTGCTGGTGCTCCATTTACCAAATGCTGACACGTCGCTGCCTGCGTTAAACAGCAGAGTCATCCGATTAGGTACATCGCGATTTTATTCACATTGGTGGAGTTAAAAAATATCAAAGTCATTAAGCTCCCATTTGTCACATGCTGCTCTACACCCCCTTCACCCAATGAACCTGCTGCATAAAACATTAAAAAGAAAGCTGTTTATTAAGTGGCGGATTCTGTCACTTTCAGCTTAACTCAAATTTGACGAGCACATGATTTTCCCCTTGATTCTCCCCATCTGGTGAAATTATGGAGAAATCAAGATAATTTATGATGGGCAGGAAACACAGAAAGCCCTGGCATGTTTGGTGGCCTTCTAACAAACCACCGATTGACTCTTTTGAGCGTCTCCTTCCTGCTCAGATGTCTGCAACGAGGGTCTAACGTGTATTTGCATCTATTTGGATAAGACGCTGGTTTGAATTTTGTTGATTGAAACTTGAGACTGAAGCCCCGTTGTTGTACAACGCTATGAATGAATTTCCACTGAAGCAGGTTTGTTTACATTTAAGCACTACTGAGGCTGGAAAAGTACTTTGCGACTCGTCTCTGAGGACTTCAGCTGAACTAGTCCACATTGTCCACATCTTTAATATTTTGTTTTATTGGCCTTGTTGCAGTTGTCATCCATTTAAGAGATTGAGATTAAAGTTTAGAGTCGGCCACTCTCAAGTTTCAAAAGTTTTATTCTTCGCTGAAATGAAGAAATGCTGCCACACCACAAGCAGGGACTTCATGCAGTCCATTCTGAGATGTGTTCAAATCACCCAGTATCTGTTTGAACTTGATCATTGTGTCCTTTTTCTCTGGGAGGGACGCTGCTCGGCCCTACCCTGCAGGCACAGCATTATAAGCACTCAGTTACCAAATCCCAGTAGAAAGACGCACGTCTCTTAATTCTGCCCGTGTGTGTCCTCCAGCAGCTCAGATCTCAGACAATGAGAGAATTCTAGACTTGGACACAAAGTACAAAGGTTGTTGTTCTGCATTATTCATATTGTAGCAGTCCCGATAACATGCGAGTGAACAGTTCAACTGTTAAAGTAATGACATTAAAAAACGGTCCGTGCACCCTGCTAACCTCTATTGCATGTGAAGGTGCTCATCATTTACAAGGTAAAACAAGTCTATTTACTGTACACTATTTGCAGTGACCGGTATTTATAACAATTGACTGACACTGTCAAGGAAGATATAAGATGTTTAAAAAGGTGGAGGCCTTATATGGTGTGAGGCAGTCTGATCCTGTCTGGAATTCATAGGTATGGGAAGCTCATTAAGGTCACACTGGGCCCTGAACTCACAGACCCACACACCCTCACTCCACTTTGACTCTCGTCATTGTTTATCTTCTCCCTCTACCATGGAAAGGCCAAACATCTCAGTCAGCAGATTCATCTGCCTCTGCTCCGACAACACGCAGTGAGACAAAGCTCAAACGTAAGCAAGAGACACCAGGTGGAAATGCTGTCTTGAGAGTAATTCCTCTTTAAGCCTTTCTGTTTGGATCAAACCAGATATGTTTGGAATTCCAATTAGGAGTAGGCGAAAACATCTGTCAAATGAACCCACAAACTACTACCGTGAATGTGCATTAGAACAGACTTCTTTCACATTATTACGCTTTTAGTAGATTAAAATACTGTCCTGTAATAGCACCAGAAGAAAAATAATGACTATAATCTCAGATGGTATTAATTCTCAAAGGTCTGATTTCAGTGTCTTGCTTTTTTCACCTGCTGATTAAAGCGACGGGGGTTTGCCGCAAAGTTAGCAGGTCCACTTGGTCCACAAGGTGGACTGAACTTTAATGTGGACCAGCGAAGCTCAATTTAACGACAAGCCGCTCCTCCTCGTCATAGTTATCATATGATATTTTATAAGATTGCTCTTGTTTTGTTTCGGCGCGGCAATAAACTTGCAGAGGTTTCAGACTTCAGACAGGTAATCTATTAAAGCATACATTTGGGCGGCGTATGTGTTACAGTAGAACATTGGTGGCTGTGTGATAACACAGTTTTAATAGTGTCATTGTTGGTGCATTCAAGGAAGATCAGAAATCAAAGATTAACTGCAGAAATACACCGTCATGCACTTAGTGCATCTGTGTGCATGGTCTCTGTAATAAATTGATTAAGAAAACAGATCATTTTTTTCCAACACGATCACAAAAACGTTTACTGGACATTTTCAAGACTTTAGAAACCAGGTCAACTGGTTCATGGTGGAGCTGTTAATAAAATAACACTTGAGCGCTTATCAGACACGGGGTCTCTCCTAACGCGGCCCAACGCAGGCCAAAGTCATATACTCTAAAACGCTTTCGACTTGCATTTAGTGTAAGTCCAAAGTCCGGCATGTAGCCTCAGACGGCTGTGTAGTTAAGCCAGATTTAGCTTCAACCAACACAACCTGCAGTTTGTACTTCTTTTACATGAATTCAGCTTCATTCATTTATCCTCATTCATTGGCTTGTACGAAGGTTCTGCCATTTGTCGAGGTGACTAACAACTTGCTTCTTATTTTGGAACAGAGGAATATGTTCTTATGGCTTTTATCCAGATTTGCACGTATGTAGTCCTAACACATGTCGGACTGTGTGTGTGATCCCGGTGAGAGAAGGGAGAACGCCACAGAAGGGAGAAATGAGGGGAAAAGTGCTGCTTATGATACCGAATCAAACCCAGCCATTTCCTGTCCCCCGAGCCAGGGCTGCTCAGCACTCTCCATATATGGTGATGGTATTTTCATGAAAGGGAAACCACGGGCTTATGGATCAGGACTGGTATTGAAGTTCCTTTGTATTTAACTTCTGGGAAAAGGTCTGGTCCCATAGTTCGATTTTGGATGGTCTTTGATTTTCAAAAGGGAAACTAATGAAGTTAAAACTGTTGTGTTCTTCCTTCGAGAACTGCTGTTACAGTATCATACAGTTGTTACAGTATTTATCAGGATGTCATTTGTTATAATTCACCTGCCTCTGAACACTACTACTGTATATCAGTGATATGAGAGGTTCTTTACTGAATGTCGTCATGCTAAGAAGGAAGTCTCTGCTTCCATAGTGTTGATGTTGTTATGACCACAGTTGTGCCAGACGTCCCTTGTGTGTGTGTGTGTGTGTGTGCACTTGTGACAACTCCACCACAGGCTTTCAGTCACTCAGATTTCAATCTGAGGCAATTGCATTTCTTATCAAAACACCCATATAATACAACTAATTGTGCTTTGAGTTGCGTGTGTGTGTGTGTTGCTGTTAGTTCTGTTAGTGAGGATAACTTGTTTGAACGGATAGACTTTGTTTATTTTTGTAACCACTAACATGGACTTCATCACATTTCTTTGTGAAATGAACTTGTATACAACATCTGCACACTTCAGTAACGTCACAGTCTTACAGTAGGTGTATTTGAATGTAGGAGTTACATTGGGTAACGCTTTATCTATATCTGTTGTCAGATTGATATAAGTATGTTGTAAAAGAGCATTTTTAAGGGGAGTGATATATTCAGGCATCTTCCAGAAGTCTTTATATGTATGTTTTTATATATATATATATATATATAATATATAATTATATATATATATATATAATAATATTTGATGTCTATCCTACATTACCTCTCCCTTCTTCAATCTGCTCATGTTCCTTCCTGACAGCAGAGAGGTTACGTATAGCATTTTTAATTGTCTTCCCTCTGTGGCTGGCTACGCTCTGCATCTTAATGTCTGCTGGTGGTTTCATCTTTCAAAGGAGTACAAGTAGATGTCAGCCAGTAATGGCCTGAATTAAAAAAGTTAATGAGTTACACAAAGGGCGGTGAAAACAGGCTCAACTTCCCCATCCGCAATATCATTGCAAACTGTTTTTCATAAATCCAGCTTGAAACTCTCTTTTGCACTTCGCTATTTGCTTGATATTATATGTAATATCCTTGATGCTGCCTACCTTATGTCTCAATGTCGTAAAGATACCCCTGCTATGAATGAAAGACATCTATTCATTGCCCGTTCGGCTTAAAGGATGGATCTCTCCTTTGTGTCTCTTACTCAGATTTGTCCCTTTTTAGAAAGCTTTTCTTACGCAGAATAAAGGGTCTTAAAATATGGTTGAACAGACTGTCGATCCCATAAAAACACAATGTTCCATTCGGCATTACAAAGGCGAACTTGACTTTACCAGAAGGCTGGAGCGAGGTTTCTATGCACGTCTTCCTTCAAGACACCATGAATTTGCCTCTGGAACTCCCATCAAATGAGCTCCCTCTTCTTTCACTTATTGTCATAGAGGGCTTTTGTCTTTTGAGGGTGACATCAAGCTGTTGTTACTAAGGAATGGCGAAGGTACGAATCTCCCTCTGCCACACCTAAAACACATTAAAACATGTAACTGGGTGTGATCTGGAACATGCAGTCACGCTATAATTTGCTTCTTGCCACCTGAGGGGATAATACCTACTTAATTAACGTGGAGCGCTGTTAAAATTCCTCGTCATCTCCCATGCTATGGCCGAGTCTGTAAAGGGTTTTTAATTCAGCTGTTGTAAAGAATTAAGTCACCCTGAAGGACATTAAAAGCTTGCTTGTCTTCCTCTTTTGCTAAGTAATTAAGAGTTGATTACTAAATGCAAAATGACTTTCCACTGGTTTATTATGTATTTTGGTGTTATTTTGTGGATTAGGGTTTGGCTCCTGGCTGCTTTTGTTGAGTTTACTTACACAGTTTTGGGGGGTTTAAGTGTAAAAGTGTAAGTTCAGACAGTCGTGTTTACATTGTTCATTCTTGCATTGTGAGATATTCAATGGGGTTTATTATATTGAAGGACACTACATCCTCTGACCCTCTAACACTATATAGTTAAACGGTTAAAGTTTGTTCTTGACATTGTAAGCAGCAGTTAAAAAAAGGCTGAATCTTTGTGCTGTTCTGGATCATTTCACAAAAAATATCAAACACCAGTCGAAAATTTAAGGGACGTTATTAGGATTCACACTCTGGGCACCATGATTTAATCTTTCATGGTCATTTTCTCTGGTTGTTGAGACATTGTATTCTGGACTAAGATCCAGAGAGCCATCCCTCCAGCAGGGTTAATAATTTAGATACATATATGTTATCATGATAATATACTGTCTATCCTCTTCTGCTACATTAACAATGAACGTCTATTCATTCTGCTCCTTCCTCTTCCATCTCTTCCTCACTAAAGAGGGAGGAAGTCAAGAGATGACTTGTGTCTGGCTTAATGTTCTGGACGCTCTCTGCAGCTTTGAGTGGTTCTCTGTCCGGGAGGAACAGACTCACTCCTCACGGCGCATTGTGACCCCTCGTCCACAGTAGCCAGACAACACTGAGTCAAAGCGCCCGATGATCGACCTCTGCTCTCCGGAGACTCACTCGGCTAGCAGCAAAAACAAGAACGTAGGAACAAATCCACATTGAAAACATTTGGACAAAAGTCGAATAAACAGAGCATCTCCTACACTTGGACAAATAACACGTAGCACCCTGGGGAATCTGACCGTGCACTATTTGAGTAAACGTCAGCGAGCTGCTGCAGGCGCTTTTCGCCGCTGTGATAATTTCCCCCCCATCGGCTTTTATTTTGGTGACAGAACCACACTGCCTTTCGCTTTGAGCGTGCAGTAAATTCATCTATTCATCGGCGTGAGCGGTTACGTCAGTTTCTCTCTCGATGACTCCGCGCCGTCTCATTGTGTCTTTCTCAGTCAACTAACAATCGTAACATTGTGCGTGTTTTGTTGCAGGGGAGCCGGGGGCACCACCGGTACCACTGGCAGAGCCACAATGTCAAACTCAGCGGGGTGGATGACATGGTGCTGCTCAGCAAGATCACGGAGGACGCCATCGTGGACAACCTCAAGAAGAGATACATGGATGACTACATCTTTGTATCCTTCGCCCGCGATCTCAGCTCACACCCCGGCGAGAAATAGCCGAGTTCCCCGTTTCATCCTGGCTGTTCCCGGAACAGCTGAATGCTCGTTCATCGTGTTGTTGTAGCAGTGAGTAATAGTGTCAGTGTTGGGAGGTAACGCCTTCTTCCTGAGTCTGTGCCATTTGGGGGAGAGGGAGTGTGGGGGGGGCGGGGGGGGCAAAGGGCCTCTTTCTACGCACCTCCGCCAAGACCCTTTATCCCACACTCATAGACCAGTCAGATTTTATTTCACTTTGCTGCCAAAATGTTCACTTAAATACAGAGTATTTCATAATGTGGAAATTAAATCATTTGTTAAATCTTTTTTTGTATTTTTTTTGCTGTCGTGGGGATTTAAATTTGGAGAGTTGTCCTTTTCATACAGTGCACAAATGCTAGGTTTGGGTTTCTAAAGGGCAGCTGTGGCCACACACACACACATAAGCCATTCATGACGTCAAATGACTCAATGAATGAATGACTGAATAACCCCTTTTGAAAAGCAATGCAGCTCCTGACATAAACTTCATCCTCGCTCAGGATCATGACGTTCAGTCAATGTTGGAGCACGTGTCTGAGTCCGGCCTTTGATTGGGGTCAATAAATAGCCGTAACTGTGAGGTCTCCTTGCCAAGACTGTGGGTCACTGTGGACCACCAACAATAGCAGCTTTATTTGCCTCGCGCTGCGTTTTGATCCCGGATGGTGGTGGGGGGCCTAAAACCTCATGGTGTTACATGGCCGGCCTTTTCCCCATCATTTGTAAGAACTGGATTCTTATTTAGCTTATTTAGCTTATTCAGTCTTTAAATCATTTATTTTCTGTACAGTTTTATAATCTCTTTGTAAAAAACTCTTTTTGGCTTTTTGGCACTATGTTTTTTAATTTGTTGTTATTTGTTTTCTGCGGATTGTCTGTCTTCCTTGTATGATCTTTAATGGGTAACCTCCTCAGACATATATTGGTCCTGTGCTCATCTCCATCAACCCTTTCAAGCAGATGCCCTACTTTGGTGAAAAAGAAGTTGAGATGTACCAAGGCGCAGTAAGTAGGATACAATAGGACCTGGATATTTATTTGCTTCTGTTGTCTGAAACATTCAGGCCAGAAAAACTCACTTCATGATTAAAAGGCACTGATGTGTGGGTTTAAGTTGGCGACAGTGTGAAGGACGAAGGCTTTGATATAAAGTTAGTTAGTCGCAGTGCACATTTTCCAGTGGACTGGTGAAGATGTTGCTGTCTGAAACTTGACTCAACCATTTAGAAGACTTGGCAGTACATTCACAGAACAGCTTGTTCGACTCTGCCTCCTCTCTTCTCTCCTTGAACCGGGAGACACCCTGAAAGACTTCTAATATCCTCAGCACACATGCAAGATTTAGCAGTTTGGTTCTGATAGTCGTATCAGCCTGAACTACCGGAATCTACTATCAGAATCGTTTGAAACAAACTTACCAACGCTAGATGTGTTAATCAACGTTTAAATATTTCCCAATCTGCCGGTCTGGAAAAGGCTTGAAACAGCCTTTTTACAAACATTATTCAAACAGGAGCAAATACTGCAATTGCTGAGGATTCTTTTTGTCTGCGGATTAATACACATTTGTGGCTTTAGTGAGCATTTATCGCAGCATGATGCTGTGTATGCAGGGTCGAGTCAAAATAAAGATACAGACGTATTTGTATAGACAAAGTTACAGAAGTGGTTTGATCATTGATTTCAACACTATTCTTTTGTTAACGCTCAGGCTCAGTATGAGAACCCTCCTCACATCTACGCTCTGGCAGATAACATGTACAGGAACATGATGATCGACAGAGAGAACCAATGTGTCATCATCAGGTAAGATAATTCTCAGCCTTCATTACACATCCCAAACAAAGAGATTTTATCAACTCGCTCCTTGTGTCAGTGAGTGAAATATCTTTTTTAACAAAGCGTAGCTGCAACGGAGCCTCTGCAGATCGTGATAATGGTTGCGAGGAGAACAGGTTCCACAACATAATTTGGTACAATTGGTGGACTGACTGAGTGACATGTTTCCTTTTTTGGTGTTTTCCATCATATCACTTTCAGCTGAAATGCAAATAAAGGGGAAAAATGTTCATGTGTGTACCCAAATATGAAAACACTGCTTAGTTAACAGTTGGATGTGCCCTCAATTCAGGACGTGAGATTGGAACAAAGCAGCAGTAGCAGTGGCTATTTTCGAAGGACTTCCCGGTTTAGAAAAGAAAGCAAACCAAACAGGATGCGCGCCTGTGTGGACCTTGGCCCAGAAGCTCTCTTTCTCTGGATTTAGGGAGTTTTTAGGTACTTTTACGGCCTGTAAAGCTGCGGGGAGAAAAGTGTTTTGTCATGATGGGGGCTTTATCCCATTGGCCCAGTCACCTGAGCAGCGCGGTTGCTATAGTGCTTGCCTCATGATGAATGACCCCTGCTTCAGCATTTTGCGTGTTGTTTGGACAGCCAGCAGTTGCTGGTTCAGTTTACCACATAAAGGCACGGGGGTGGATTTTGTGATCGACTAAATCAGCAAAATGAAGCATGCAAGTGTTTTTTAGGATGAAACAGGTTCTGCCGTGAACAGCTGGCCGTGCAGTGTGGTCTGGACCACCGCTAACATTTACTAAGAAAATGTGTGAACTAAGTGAGGGGAACTCAGGAGGAAAATTGTGTTCCTTTTTTGCTGTTCTTGTGACTCGTTGAGTTTATCTTCATCTGCTATCTGCTCAGCGTGCAGCATGTGATGAATCGGAGCAGGTTGGTGTTCTCAGTCTGGCGCTCTCTCCCAAACTATTCGATGGAATCAGAGCCGTCATCTGATGACCAATCGCCTCACATCTGTTCCCACATACACACCTACTAAGTTTGTCCACAGTTTTAACAGAGATCTGTCTTTGGGCACAATCCTGCAAATGAGTTTGTTCAGTCATTGTTATCTTCTTTTCTTTTTGTCTTGTTTATGACCGCTCACATGTTGGATGAGGAGGATAATCTTGGTCTTTGGTGGCTCTCAGTTGATTCTGTACAAACGGCTCATGTCCTTTACTGTTCATTGAGTCTTTAGTCCAGAGGTCTTGCAAGTTCACGGACTTCCTGTCCAAGGAACTATGGGCAACTATTTTAGGCTAAAATTATCATTGATTGTGTTAATTTGTATGGTGATTTGAGACCCACTCAACAGCTCAGATATTGTATTTTAACAATCCGACGTCTTCCTGCTGCTGGTTTGACGCACAATTCTGTCTTTTTGTCGATACATTTTCCCATTTTCATCATCTTACACACTGCTTCTCTGCTAACTTTCTTTGAGGAATTTGTCGGTAATAAAAAAGCTCAATTAATCTGGCACACTTTTGGTAGATTGATTGTTATTTCAAGTTTGGTTGATCAATTTAAAATGAAATACGATGTCCAATTCCTTAAGACCTTCCTCCATCTTTTGGGCCTTAAAACAGATTAACTCAGGCTCCTTAATCCCAAGAATCTACTTGAACATACTTAACATACTACTAGTTTTGTTGGAATGCAGCGCGCCGCATTAAATTGAGAACCAGAACTCAGGGTTGACTCTGCATCCTTCTCATGCTGATGTCAGTAATGATTTATAAAAAAATATGTGCTTAAATTCCTGTGCAATGTGTTTTTTTAGCTCATCTCCTTGTTTGGTTAATACATCACAGTGGAAGTTAACAATGCCTTTAGCATTTCATAGCCACAACCGTGAGACTCACACTGCGACCTTACAGTAAGACTACAAGTCCAGCTGCAGCCGGTGTTGAGAAAAGCTCTTCAGAAAATAACTTTCATGAGAAAACAATGCTGTCAGATGGAGCTCTGGAGTTTGTTTTTGACATCAGAAGCAAAAACAACAGCTCGGCTCATTATTTCTTTGTTGTTAGTTGAGTAAGTAAGTGTGCGGGGAGGAAGCCCAGACAATGCTGGGGGATTTGGAAGAAATGTGGAGGTATTAGGGGGAGGGTCACGACCATATAGAGACTTCTGTGTAAGAGTGGCTCCCATGACTTCCTCTGGCAGCCTCTAACAGTCTGCAGCTGTGTTTCTCACAGAGGCATTACTAACCTGACGCTATACTTTAAGGAGCAGGGAGAAAAAAAACAGACTCCACCTTGATTCACGGCCAAACCACATAGATCAAAATAAATATGCCACTGGCAAAGCGAAAGGCAAAAGGGGGGAAAGTAGACAAGTGTATGACAGGGAAAGAAATGAGGGGAACATCTGTGAATGTGACGAAACAGAATGAAGGTCCTTTTTGCTGCAGAATAAATTTGCCCTAATGTGCTGTGGTCCAACAGACATTTAGCTTCTGAGTTGAAATTTCTTGCATGGAACACATTTGGACTTTTATAGTGAGTAGAGTGTGTACACATGAAATCAGGGGTTGGGATCTCCACCGTGGATCATCTTGGCTTATATGGACCCAACATGCATTTAGATACAGAAACCTGCAAATTGGTCAATTGCATTTTCCTCTTTGCAGTCATGCTCAATGTCATGCCTGTTTTTCAGTGGAGAGAGCGGAGCAGGGAAGACTGTGGCAGCCAAGTATATCATGAGTTACATCTCCAGGGTCTCAGGGGGCGGGCCCAGAGTACAGGTAAGAGGAGCTGCTTTTGATGATGGTATGTGTTGTGGCTTTATGCTACATGTATAATCACTGTTATAGTTGTATACTATATGTGGGTTATCTAAATCGATACAAATGCACGGAGACGAGGATGCAGTACCAGTTCGGACTTTTACTAGCAGCCAAATCACAGAACTCCCAGGCATGAACAAACAATCACAGAACTCCGTCGTAGTGACAGTCAAACACAATCGCGCACCGAGTGCTCGATCCAACAGTATGTTCAGATTTTTGAGGCGTTGAGCTGCACAGAAGACTTTTTGGATTTTAAAAGTCAATGTAAAAGGTTTGGCAAAGCATCCACACACTTTTTATCATTGGAATAATCATTAAAGCCTTTGAGTTGTTGGAGTTGTAGGAAGGTTGGAGTATAAAGATGCATTTTAGACACTTTGTATTGCTATAAAGTGGAGTGGAAATTCATTTCATTGTATAACATGTTCAAACAGAATGGTATCCTTCACATTGTTAACCTGCAGACCTTTATGAAAACAACAAACCTGTTGCTTCTTTTTTCCTGCACTCCCCCTTAGAGCCAAGTCATCCTCTTATCAGCCCATCTTTATACTCCATTATCAGCCCATCAGCAGCCCCTTATTTTCCCAGCCCCCTTTAAGCCATCTGGCAGCCCCCCAAACCAGCAGATGTCCGGACCCTAAGCTCGATGATGATCCAGTTTGATGAGGAAATGCCTGCACCATGATGGCAGTTTTTTTTTTTATATTTAATCCATTCAAAGCTGCTTCCACCAAGGCAACGTTAGAAATCACCTCCAGTCATTAGAGCTGGTAGCCTGACAACATTAGTGTGTTACACTTGTGCAGCATAATTCTTATTATTCTTAGAGTTACAGAATAGATATATTGACTTTAAAGCTGGTTATTGGTATTGTTTGTTCATACAAATTGGGCCTCTAGAGCGGACAGACACACACAAAATGTTTCATGCCTCCCCTTTGTCCTGCTGCAGTTTTGCATTACTTCCCGTCCACATTGTTCCCCTCAGCTCTTCACACGTTGTGCAATGTCGTCAGTACAGTCCATGCATTCTTATGCAATGTGTTTATGGCTTGCGTTCACATGTGTGTGAAAAGTTTTGAACAGAAAAACTCCCTCAAATCCACACAATGTTCATCCGTCTGAGTGAACACATCCATCAATATTCATACGTAATTATAACTAGAAATCAAAATATCTTGAATATAGAATATTAGACTAAGTTTATAACAACTCGAGACCCCGTTGGAAATGTGATTTCACTTTAAAATTGTCATCTTATGGATTTGGTCAAGAAGCTACATTCATGTAAAGAATTAATTAAAAGAATCTCCTCTGAGATGGATGAATAGAAAATGATGAAGATGTGAACTATTTGGTTCTCTAGGAGCTTTAGCTGTGATGTGCAGTGTTTGTTATTCCTTTCCATAGAGGACTTAATTTAGATACGTAAGATAGTCCAATAGTGGAAGTGGGAACAGAGCAGTCTGCTGTACCAATTTAAAACTCATGTGTTTCTGACATGCAGATGGCTCACAGGAAAAATAATGTCCTCTGGACTGGTCTGCTGATGCGCTTTTGTATGTACAGTATGTGTGTGTGTTTGTGTCTGTGTGTGTGTCTGTATGTGTGTGTGTGTGTGTGTGTGTTTATGTTTGAATGGAAAGTTCCAGAGGTGCACACACCAGCTTGTCAGCGAGTGTGTCAAGTGTGTGTGTGTTTTCGTACCTGCTGTCTGCTGAGGAGCTAACGACTCATTGCATCTGTCTCCTCGCAGCATGTCAAAGACATCATCCTTCAATCCAACCCGCTGCTAGAGGCTTTCGGCAATGCCAAGACCGTGAGAAACAACAACTCCAGCAGATTCGTAAGGCCTTCAGTTCTTAGTTGGTCCTCTTTTGAAAGAATTAGGATGCCCATCATTGCAGCACAATTCATAACTAATGGAAACTCATGACAATTTTCCAAGGGTGTAAACTTACAGGCCAGATTAAGTAAAAAGTTCTTCAAGGAAGAAGAACAACCAGGGGCCAATATTTCATATCTTACAGGTCTGGCTTTGAAGTTTATTTTAGCCCACTCCAATACTAAAAAACATGCGTTGATCCATCAGGGGAAATACTTTGAGATCCAGTTCAGCTCCGGTGGTGAACCAGATGGAGGGAAAATCTCCAACTTCCTTCTAGAGAAGTCACGTGTTGTTATGAGGAACCCTGGAGAGAGGAGTTTCCACATCTTCTACCAGGTGAGGCGTATTTCTTCAGCTAAAGAGTGAACAGGCTTTTGGCTTTTTAAGAGGGTCTACGAGGCAATCTGAGGACACGTTGGGTTTGACTTGCCATTTGTCTGCAGGAAAACGGTCAATTTGTTTTCACTGTGGATGACTCGAGGTCCTTGGAAGAGATCAATTAACGTGGTGCAGTTTGCTTCAAATTGGAGCAGAGCACATAAATATAAAGCCGAAGATGTATGAAAGGGACATTACGTACAGTCGTTGTGCAAGAACATGTGCTTTGCCAATGCGACAATCCGCTTTTCATTTCTGCTCCGCCTTCAGTTGATCGAAGGAGCCAGTGGAGAGCAGAAGAGCAGCCTGGGAATCACAAGCCTTGATTACTACACTTACCTCAATCAGTCCGGTTCCTACAAAGTGGACGACATAAACGACAAGAGCGACTTCCAGGAGACGACGGTAAGGTCAGATTCCTTCGGTTTTAACGGGCAATAGCTTAACACCCTCGGTGGTGTTGTGTGTCTATGAATCTCAATCCAGCGTTCATGTGGCTCGCAGGCTTCTCTTTGCATTCCTCTCACGCCCTACCAGTGCACTTTTGTTTTCTTTTCAAACGATCCCCTACTGGTTTTGTTTACCAGTGAGACCGCAACAGGAGTAATTATAGGACGCGAGCTAGGTACCACAAGAGTGCGTAAACCCACACTGCAGCCTGACCTTTTCCTTTGCTTGTTTCCCAGCATGCCATGGATGTGATCGGCATCTCTGCAGAGGACCGCTCCATGGTGCTTCAGATTGTGGCCGGAGTCCTGCACCTGGGAAATATCACCTTCAAGGAAGCAGGCAACTATGCTGCGGTGGAGAGTGAAGAGTGTAAGTAGCGACGCAGGGAACGACAAATGCTCATATTAATGGTTTGTTCACACCAAAAGCGTCCCATTCGCCCGAGTAGATTCCATGCAAAGTCGATGCACGGACGCGAATGGCACGAATAGTTGTGAACAAAGCAAATCCTCCAACGGGCGGCGCGAAGGACGCAAACAAAGTCAACTGTCATCAGAGAGGGACAAGACACAGAGATAAGCCACGCCCCCTTTCCGGGGTGAATTAAGCGTATAACTACAATAGTCGGGCGAGTAAAGCGTTGTGCAAATTCGCCTTGGTTTTGATGTAAATGTACCATTAGACTCTTTAGAAAATGTACTTTGTGATATTATCTGTCATTTTAGTGAAGAGGAGGAGATATAAAGTGTCCTTCTATGTTCATTCTGACCATTTTTGTGTGTTTTGGCGATCAAACGCTAACAGAGATGGTTAATGTTGGCTAGCGTCACTTAAGATATACGATATTTGACTCATACGTTTTATTAAATATTGTTCCACTATAGACTTAGTATACATCCTTTCTTCTCCTTATGTCTTTGCCCTTAGGAGTGTCCCTCCTCCCCTCTGTCCTGAGCTGCACTTTTCTGGTTGACTTTGGACGATATTTCTCCTGCAGCACTTTCACTCCTAAGAGTTTGAAAATGTTAATGCAGGGCTGCAGCCAACTGTCTGACAAAGGATGATTTGAATAATGACTCCCTGTGTCCTCTTATTTTTCGCCTTCTCTCGGCTCATTTTTATTCGTCTTTTTTTGCTTACTTTCCTTCACACTGCTCCTCATGCTGTCTCTTAATGATGCAGACGATAGTGCAGTTGCTCTTGTGCAGAGACTAGTCTGTTCTGTGCAGACGTAACAGCGGTTCTCCATAATCTCTGCTTCTCCTGTGTTCTACAGTCTCACTTACAGTGTGCTTAAACTGCAGCGTGTTGCACATATAAAAGTCCTGCCAAGTTCACTCGACTTATACTCAGCAGCAGGAGTCAGTGCGTCATCTGTTGTTGAAGGAAATGTTGAGCCTACTAATTTGGACATTATTTAGACTGGTTGGGCTATTATTTAAGTAACAGTAAGTTGATCCTGACAGCAAAGTGCTATTTTGTAACGATTCCTATTTTTGAATCTAAATCTTTTCAGCAGGAGAATTTTTTGTGGGTTTGGTTTAATGTGTCGTCTGCAAGAAGGTTTTTGACTTCACTTGATCCCTCACATCACAATACTGTGCCTGTAACAGTGCATCCCTCAGGCTGTAAACTGAGTATAATACAAAGGTCAAAGGTTTTTACAGCTGCATCATTTAACATGAACCTTCATACAGATACTTTTGGTCTTGTGCTTACCTTCAGCTAAGCGCTAAGACTATTACACAAATTGGAAACTGTGCCTGGCTTCAAAATATGCCTCCATGATAACACATTTCTCGCAGGGGAACTTATGCTTGTATAAGCATTGTTCCCGAAATCCCCATAGTGTACATTGTCCTTTGTATAATGCATACGTTTCTCTTCTTTCTGAATTCTGAACACAAACAGTGACTTTCCTCCTGATTTAAGCCGGCACATGGTCGGTCTTATGTCCCATAAGTGCAGCTACTGCAGTGATCTGAAGCACTCCCAGAAGAAGGGATTCTGCAGGCCTGAGAGCTATTTCCTTTTTGGGGAAGTGAGTCACTGTAATAAGGCAGGGAGGGGCTCTCATGGGAGAACACCAACGCCAGGTCGGGACAAAATATCTCTGGTGTTCTCAATGCTTTTTTTAGCAATTGTGTGGCTTTACACCACACTTTTTCTTTTTTCTGATTTGTGAGACATTATCACAGATTGATAACAGTGAAACAAGGAAAAAGGGGATATCGGATGGCTGAACATGCTGTGGTTCTTTCTACTATGCAAAGGTCACACAAAGCTGCCTTTGGAATCAATGCAATTCTGCCTTTTGATTTGCATAGTTGTTTCAAGAGAGATGTCACTTTTATTATTCAGAGCATAATCTTTTGACCTTGTTCTCATTTTATGAGCAAAAGGGCATCATATTCAAGTAGACATGATTAAATGGCCAAATTGACCAAAATGTATTACTGTTCTGTACTTCTATCTGTCTATTTATTGTTCTGTTTACTCATACCAGTGGAGTCTGAATCATTTACTAATTTCTTTGTAAATCCCCCCCTGCTGTGGGACTAATAACGGAATCATTTATCTCTTCTCCTCTCGTGTCTCCTCTGTCTTTTAACAGTTCTAGCCTTTCCTGCGTTTCTGCTTGGCATTGACCAGGATCGTCTGAAGGAGAAACTGACGAGCCGGAAGATGGACAGCAAGTGGGGAAGCAAAGTTGAGTCTATCGACGTGACGCTGAATGTGGAGCAGGCGTGTTACACGCGTGACGCCCTCTCCAAAGCGCTGCATTCACGAGTGTTTGACTTCCTGGTCGAGGTATGATTACATGTTTTCCCAGAATTAGACTTTAGTATATATAAGTAACAAAGCTGCCATAGCCTATAATGAAGATTCATTATGGGAAAACCGTGCTCTGATTTCAGTCCATCAACAAAGCCATGGTGAAAGATCATCAGGAGTTTAATATCGGAGTGTTGGACATTTACGGATTTGAAATTTTCCAAGTAAGTGCTTTTGGCTTTTTCACAGGCCAACGCATGGCTATTGGAATTTTATCCTCCAGCAACACATAAATTAGATTAACAGGTATTAACTTGGAGCATTTAAATGGATTAAACACAAAGGATAAAAGTAATTTATAAAGTATGTGGATTAAGCTCTATCTCCTTATGGAGACAGCAGACCTCAGCAGGATTATCTGATCTGATTACTGGTTTGTTTAGTTTGCTGTATGAGAAATATTGTAAATTGGACAAACTAAATGTTTTTGTATTATTTTAGTTAGCAAGAGATTTGGATTCAACATATCAAGGACAAAAACTTAGTGGATATCTGTATTGTTACTCAGCTCACTGTAGTTAACTCTCTTCATCAGAAAAATGGATTTGAACAGTTCTGCATCAACTTTGTGAACGAGAAGCTGCAGCAGATATTCATAGAGCTGACTCTGAAGGCGGAGCAGGTAAACTTCCTCCACCATATGTTCCTGTTTTTAGCCTCTTTGGTTTAAATGCGCTGCCTCATCAGATGTTTGATGTTTGCAGGAGGAGTACGTGCAAGAGGGCATCAAGTGGACTCAGATTGATTACTTCAACAACAAGATCGTCTGTGACCTCATCGAGAGCAAAGTAAACCATACATGAATAATAAAGTGCTTGGAGCGGAAAACACACATTAACAGGCAATTATGGATAGAGGTCAAATGAATCAATTAATTTATTGTCAATACATTAACCAGCAATTACTTGCTCATTTTTTTTTCCAAGCAAGATATTAAACATTTTCTTCGTAAATTTAAGAATTTGCTGGTTTCCTGTGTTATGATGTACCGGTTATTTTTGAGGTTTTAATCGCTGACTGAACAAAGCCAGGGACTTTTTAAGAAACTAATTATTCAGTGTATCAATTTCTTGAAGATTCAATATGACCTTTATGAACGTGCATCTATTTCGTTGGCTCCCGACTGAGTTGAAGTTTCTGCTCCGTGACTTGTAGCTTAATTTCCTAAAACGCACCGACACGCCTCTCAATTTTATTTGTCTGCCTCACTGAGAGGTCTAATCCATGAAATCTAGAACAAGAGAGAAGTGGGGGATCTGTATCAGTGCCTGTCACGTCAGCTCTTTACAACAGACCCACTTTAGTTTGTGCAGTGACAACTTAACATGTGTCCTTTTAACAGAGGCTTATATTCTCTGACTTATAGACTTGCTGCAGCTGTGCAAACTGAAGTTCCGCTGATCAACTCGGGAAATTATGGAGCCAAATAGGTCAGCAGCCTATTGAGGCTGCTCCACCTTTGGGTGTATATGCACAGTTTATACAGTTTATAGTTATTACTAAAAATCAGCAACTTCTAATAGCACATGATATCGCACAAAAATGCCTTGTTCATTCTGAACCTCAAAGGAAAAGGTAAAAAGAATACAAAAACAGATATAACTGAATAACAGACAAAAAGAAACTCTCGATTTCAAAAATATGAAGTCCTACATTGAGAGCCGGGACTGAGACATATGTGCAATGTTTTCTGTGGGATCGCAGAGTCCTCCCGGCATCATGTGCATCCTGGACGATGTGTGCGCCACCATGCACGCAGTGGGCGAGGGAGCAGACCAGACTATGCTGCAGAAGCTTCGAGTCCAGATCAACACTCACGAACACTTCAACAGCTGGAACCAGGGCTTCATCATCCACCACTACGCCGGCAAGGTCAGTCTGAGGCCGCTTGTCCGAAATGCTGCAACTTTAACTTACATCAACTTGTTTTTGACAAACAAACCATGCCATCTTCTTAAATACATCTTATAATTTATGTTTCTTACTTAAACATTTATGAACTCTTGCAATATTGTGACTTGATTATAGATTATTTATTGTCTTTGTTGATTCCATACTATTGTCAAGCACCTGCAAGCACAAGGGTTTGTGTGATCTATGTATGTTGTATGTGTGCATGTGGATTGTAACGCTCAGTTTCATTCGTGATGTAGCGGCTTGGAGCCTAAGTCAATTTGCAGAGGCTACAATCAAGTATATCTGGTCTTGTCTTAAAACGTTAGTTCTCAAAACTAAAAGATCACTGTACGACTGCAGCAACCTCAACACCTGCCTTTGCCTTGTTATAAACTATAATGTTTTATGCATAAAGTCCTCAGTAGGAAGCAGACAGCAACTTATAAAGTTATTAAAGTGTCCCTTTTTTATGGGGTCATATGATCTGTCGTAAATACCAGTTTTGCAGCTGGAACTTTAATTCTGAAGTCAGTGTCGTCATCTTCGCCCTTATAAGTTTTTCCCGTGCAAACTAACACCGCCTCTCTCCTCTCAATTCATAGTTACAGTCCCTTCTCTTAAGTAAAAGTGTTTCAAAGCTTCAGAAATGTTATCAACCTTATGCCATTCAGCTTTTTTTCCTTTTTTTCGGTTTGGTTTGGGACAAGGATTTCCCATGTCCTTCTCCAGATGTGTGATGGCTTCGGCCTGGCACACACATGCCGCAGGCTTAATGAGCTGTGCCATAAAGACTCGAGGGGCTCGCATGACCAGGCATAAAACATTTCCCCCGTCTCAGGCTACAGCGTAGCAGAAATAACACCGTTTCATTTACACACTGAAACCTCCGCAGGTTTTATAAGGAAGCTAATCCTCGGGAGGCGTAAAACTTGGGTCTGCTACCCTTCATTTTCCTTTCCCATAAAATTTAAGCCATTGATTTAAGCCAGAATGTCACTCACATTTTTTTTAATTTTCACACAGCGATCGTCTGTCATTTTGTTGGAGGTTTCAAACAGTTCAACCTCGTTCTCTGTGATAATTCTGAATCTTTAGAAATCCCCCTGCGTGTCTCTCCTCCAGGTGTCCTATGATGCAGAGGGTTTCTGCGAGAGGAATCGAGACGTCCTTTTCACTGACCTCATTGAGCTGATGCAGAGCAGTGAAAGGTGAGTAATTGCACCGACATGTGGTGAGGATTTCTATGGTTCGCACTTGAAGGGAGTCTTCTATTGTAATGCATTAGGTTGAATGCATCTGAATGAGGGTTTCAGATGTTCCAGGGCACCTGGAAGCTGGTGGGACAGCAGAAGTGTGCATGGGGGCGGGGGGGGGGGTTATGTTACTTTCGGGGTCTGCCCAATCTGGACATACACAAGCAGTCTCTCTGTTGGGCTGCATTGTGGAGTCTGGTCTCCCCTGTGTTTTGGTTTCTTGGGACGTCTTTGTGTAAAAGTGGCCATCTGTGCAAACGGCCGGCATTGTCTGTGTAACCCCTGCAGGCCTCAGCCACCACTGGCCCCCTTTGTGTGCACGTTACGTGAGCAATGAAAGGAGGTTACTTCAAAATCTCATTCAGACACATGCTGGAAAATATATACATGCAGTAACATAAAAGCACAAAAGCATGCATACACACATGGATAACAAAAGGCTACGGCGCAGTGACACACAAAGGAAGCCTAAAAAGGAAGGAAGCAGACTCCATTCTTCAGAGTACGTAGTATCATTGAAGATCCTAAATTTACTTTATTTTCATTAATCAAACAATGTAGGTACATTTTCTGAACGTGTAGCCTTTAAATACATTTTTTCATTTTAAATCAGAACTTTAGAGGAAAACAACAGCATATTCCATTCACTGCTCAAAGGGGGCCCCATTCAATCTCAAAGCAGAGCCTCAGTCTAGAAATGATGCTGGAAAGTGCTGATGCACAATCCTGTGAAAGTTGAGACATGATTGTAAATCGCTGCAGTTTTGGCTTAGTTAGTAACTGCAGGTCGCTTTAAATGTACCGTTGTGGCAATTAAACCCCCGTTTCCTCCCGTTTAGCACTAAACATAAGTTTCATGAGGGTGTTACAAATTGACGCTTAGTTTCCTAAAAGGAGATCAGAAGCACAAATGAGTTGAGGGTTCGTCTTCAGTTGAGAGAAAGTTGAGTCTAGTCATGATGCTAAAAAACACTACAAACTATCAACTGTATGTTGAGGATTAAACCAAAATATTATTCCTTGAAATCCGAGTGTGCTGAGAACCGGTAATCTTGCTGGGGGGAGTGTAAGAATAATAATAACAATGACATGTAATTACAGAGCACATCAAAACAAAGTATTAACTGCTTCACCGAGGAAAAGGAAAATAAAATACCAATAATAATAAGTGAATGATGAAATACATTAGGCAAGATTAGAAATAAGCCAGCACAAGGCAACTGAGATCAGGATACCCCTTCCTCGGTAAATCAGAGAGACTTAAAAGAAGACGCATAACATGCTTTTATTCTCCATAAATTCTGCATTAGAAACTTTCAGTAAAAAAAAGTGTTTTACTAACCATCAAATCAAAGCATATGTTCCTCTTTTGAGCAGTGCACCCCTTGGTGCATACACACACACACACACACACACACACACACACACACACACACACACACAGGCCTTATTTTCCCACCCAGCCACAACTCCTTTCCAAGTGGTTCAGGAATTTCAATCAGTGACCTCAGTCGAAGGTCTTTGGGCCTTTAATCATTAAACACATTTTTTGCTTTTGGCAGCCAGGAAACAAGGACACAAGGAATACACCTGCCTCCCTGTGTGTGTCCCTCCTAATCCCGTCTCCTCAACTGTGTTCTCCAACAGCGGCTTTATCAGAGCGCGGTTCCCAGAAAACCTCAACGCTGAAAAGAAGGGTCGACCCACAACCGCAGGCAGCAAAATAAAGGTGATTCTTCGGCGAAGTGCGCGTGTGTGTGTTTGTTTGTGTACAGTGTGCACCCTCTTCACTATCAGGGTTGCTTTAGGAAGGCCTCTGAATAGATAATGTGTGTTTGCCTTTCGATGGTGCGTCCTTCAGCAGTCTGTTATTCAGATACTGGCTTTGGGGTTTTCATAAGACATCTGTCTGTATCATCGTTACCTTTCTTGACCTTTGCTCTTCCTGCACCCTTTAGATACAAGCCAACGATTTGGTGGGCAAGCTGATGAAATGTACTCCGCACTACATCCGCTGCATCAAACCCAACGAAACCAAGAAGCCCAGAGACTGGGAGGAGAGCCGGTGAGTGACTGGCCCTCAGTCTGCCACGACACAAACCATCCACAGCCTGTATGTATCAAACGGATGGTAATAAAAGAGCCGCGGATCAGGTGGCTCAGTGGTCGGTGTGAGGGCAACGCTTCAAAAGGGAGCTCATGATTTCTCACACGTATGCTCCGAGCCGGAACAGATAAGTAGAGAGATAAGGATTACCCAACATCCGCCATGTTGTGCTGAACTGTAAAAATACAGATGTAGTTTGTGTGCAAAATTCTTAAACGTCCCAGTAGCAATTAACAGAAAAAAGCAATGAGAATATATATATATATATATATATATATATATATATATATATATAAATAAAGTATTAGGTTTAGGCAAATAATAGAAAATAGGATCTCACCAACAGTAAACACTTATGTATTCTGATACGTTTGACCTCCAGCCGCTTTATTGTTGTGATGTTTTCTCTCAGTCTGACTAAGACTAAGTCATATGAGAGCTTTTTTAGACGTTGCCCCCCTCTGTATCCCTTTGTTTCAGTTCCCCTGCTCTTTCCTCCTTGCTCACAGGCGTTGGGCACTACATGTTCAGATGCAGTATTGTTCAGCCTTCCTGTTGTAAGTCGGGTGCAGAGTTGCTCATTAATTAGCACCGGAAGTGCTGTTTTCCCAGGAAGCCTGAGTGTACTAAGTAGCGCTTACAGTCTTTGTTTGAGGAAAACGCTTTCAAAATGCAGCTACACAATGAAATGTGAAAAATAGCTTCCGCTGGTGGAGCAGGAAGCTCACGCGCAGAAGAACTGGGAAAATACATGAAAGAGCTAATATCTCAAAGCACTGATTGTAAAATGCAGCAGGTTGTGGTTACACTCTAAAAGTAAATCCCTTTAGGATGTTTCTTTTAAATCCTTTTTGAGTCTCAACATTTTATTTCTTGTGCTTTTATCTGATGGGGAAAGAAAAACCCAGCAAGTTTGAACTTTGATCAAAATCCACATTCTGATGGCTTATCGATCAGCATGTATGATAAACATATATTTCATATATCAACATGAAATTATGCTGCAGCCATTTAGATGAGAATAGAACATTTATTTTATTGTAACGTTGAGTGTTTTTCTGTCTTAAGTGTCAAGCACCAAGTGGAGTACCTGGGTCTGAAGGAAAACATCAGGGTGAGGCGTGCTGGCTACGCTTACCGCAGGGTCTTCAGGAAGTTCCTCAACAGGTAACTACACCTCGCACTGACTTTATTCACGTTCATTTTGTAGAGAGGAGGGAGAGTGATAGCTATCCACGCAGATAGAGACCTTTACACTGACAGAAGTTACCCCCTAAAATCCGTCCTGATTTCTGGCCTTGTGTTAACCTCCGAGCAGTGACTTACACAGACTTCTAATTTGTGAAAGAGAGCCTTGGTGTCTGATAAACACCCTTAATGGACTGGATGTTTTGGGTATTGCGACAACATCAACACTAAAGCTTGTCAGATTGTGTAAACGACCCTCTATCCAAAGCCACATAGTCTGAATTTTGTAAATTGCATTTATCTCAAATCCACTTCCTGGTCCTCAGGTACGCCATCCTGACCAAAGAGTCCTGGCCAACGTGGCAGGGAGACGAGAAACAAGGCGTCATTCACCTCTTGCGGTCCGTCAACATGGATCCGGATCAGTTCCAGCTCGGACGTACCAAGATCTTCGTTAAAGCCCCTGAGTCGGTATGTTTGACAACCGCCGTCGGACCCTTTTCTTGGCTATAAGTGTTACAGCCAAGAAAACAAGTGCACTTGTTTACCTCGCGCTTCGACAAACAAAAGCAATCTGGAAAAATGTACAACACAGCGAAAGGTTTTTCATATGTTATTTATGTTCCGACTCAAATCACATTAGAGTGCGCTGGCATGAAAAACGCCTTTTTATTTGCAGGGGAAAAACTGAACCCGCCGTTTTTTACAATAAACACCATAAAAGGGCAGTAGTGTCCAAAATCATGCTTGAATTGCTGGTGTAGGGGAGGAGATTGAACCCGACCCGGGTACCACGTCAGCACTGAGTCAACACCGCTGTGGAACTTAAACAGTAGTACAGACTGAGGTTGCAGAGTTTGGGGGGTGGGGGGGGGGAGACATTGTAAAGGCTTCTCTTTTTCCACCATTTCTTTCACGATTCCCATGAAAGCAGCACTTGTGTAATGCCTCACTCTTTAACATTTGTGCACGCGGTGCACGAAGGAGCATGCACATACACAGTGATGTACGTCTGTAAGCTAATACACAGAGATGTTAGTTTTAATTCAGGCCTTACAGCTGATCCTGAATGCTTCTACTCATTCATTGCAGCAGCGCATGCCAAGACTCCCCCATCCCCCACCCCGCCAGACTGAGCGTCCGAGTCATTGAGGTGTGCTTGTGAAACGCAAATATCACACGGGGCGGACCGCTGAAATGAGCTGCCAAGCTTCTCAAAGCAAGCCTCTCTGTCTGATAAGACACTGACACCAACTAATTAGTGGGATGACTGAAGCGTTTTCTTTCTGCTGGATGTAATAAGTCGAGTTTGTTTGACGCCACAGATGTTTTAGAAGAGTTTCTCCTTCAAAGCGGTGAAAGATGAGCATTATGGGGCTTAATGTCAGTCTTATTCATTCTAGACCTGTATTGAATATGTGCTTTGTGCTTTTAAATGTCAAATAGGGGCTTAAAGTAAATTATTGCAGACTCAAGTTTGGTTTATTTATAATTAAAATCCAATATTACTTGCAGTCTTGCACTCTTACTAATCTTCTTGAGCTAAATGCATTGCTTCGTTTAAAAACCTAAACCCCACCACCTGTAGATTTTTTACTTGGCAGGTTTAATCGCTCGTCTACTGCAAAGCATCGAAGACTCGACGACAGCGTGGTGTCACTGTCGATGCCCGGCCTGTGGCAGCAGGGGGCAGGATGTTTAGTCTGGGAGGGCAGAGTGTGATTGCGCGTCTAGAGGCCCATCAGGAAATGACATAGACCAGTGGTCGGCTGGTACAGAGCCAGCTCCTTGAGTAGGAAGTTTCGGAATCCCCTAAAAGCCCAAGAATACATCATTTCCTTTATGTGGATACCGGTAAGCCACGCATTGATCAAACCGAACAGGGCAAAACAAAGGGCTGAAGATTGGAAACAAATCAAAACATTTGGCAGTTTTCCGGTGAACCCAATCAAGTTTTCCGTCAATAAAGGACGGGTCAAGATGGTTTCAAGAACGTCTTGAAGCACTCCTCGTAATCATCGCTCCTGTTCAAAGAGGCTTACAGTAAACCCCTTCCTTGGTCAGTAGCAGATGACAACTCTGCCCGTTAAGTATTTAAATCCTCATCTTTTACTCTGAAAAGCCCCAAAAATCTTGATGTTTAGATTTGGCTTTGCGCGACTCTGCGGAGGAATGTTCAGTATGTGTGTGCAGTCATCGCTTCCACCCACTGTGTGTTTACATGCGGCTGTGTTTGCGTTTCTGTCCACAGCTCTTTCTGCTGGAAGAGACGAGGGAGCGCAAGTTCGATGGCTACGCCAGGACCATCCAAAAAGCCTGGAGGAAATACCTGGCCCGCAAGAAGTATGTCCAGATGAGGGAAGAAGGTGAGTGGCGCAACACATCACATCTCCCCTGTCCAAAGTCCCTCCGTCTCCATCTGCCATTGGCTTTCTCTTGGTTCCAGCCTCGGACCTGCTGTTGAACCGGAAGGAGAGGCGGCGGCACAGCCTCAACAGGAACTTCGTAGGTGACTACCTGGGAATGGATGACAGGCCGGAGCTCCGGCAGTTCCTGGCCAAGAGAGAAAAGATCGATTTTGCGGACAAAGTCACAAAATATGACCGCCGCTTTAAGGTTGGTCTCCGTCAGTGTGAAGCTTGCTCCTGCGTCTTAACAACGGAAAGAAAAGAAGAAAAAAAACATTCATGGACATATTTCCTGCTGTTCTTTAGGGAATCAAGAGGGACTTGATCCTGACCCCAAAGTCTGTGTACCTGATCGGAAGAGAAAAGGTGAAACAGGGACCAGAGAAAGGGCAGGTGACCGAGGTGCTGAAGAGGCGGATTGACGTGGAGAAGATCTTGGCAGTATCTCTCAGGTATTACTACAAATAGTACATCATCTGCATCAGATATCGACACAACAACTCCCTGTTAACAGTGAAATAACACAGCTTTTAACTATTGCTTTCGGTTACTTTTCTTTAGGCAGGATTCTGCTGCTTTCATCCCTTTAGGTGGTTTTATCTCACTTTAGTTCACGTTGTTCCCCGTACTGTTGTGCATTTATGACGCCCACATGTTCCAAATAAAACCATACGAACAAACAAATGTAGTGCTCATCCTATCTGCATATGTCAACATTAAGCCCTGCATCCGGCTGCATTTGCATTTCGGTTCATTTTCATATCACCTTCATGGACCGGCATCAAGTGTCACATTTGTCGACTGCAAAAGATAAACTGCAAATGTTTAAAACATTCAAAGGGGATACCGCCGGGATGAAACATTACATAAAATGAAAGGAAACCAAGAATGCTGCTCTAATAGCATAATGATATTTACCTGATGTGCAATGCACTTGAAAACTCAAACTTCAACACACTTTGCCACCACTGTGTGTAAATACCACAGACTTTATTCAGCCACGTAAACAAGGAAGAAGATTATCATGAAATAGAATGCTTTTGGAAGCATAACACCTTTGTGTACAGCAGTATGGAATTAGTTGTTTCCAAGACAAATCTGGATTTCCAATCTCATAAGCTCCAATGTTCCTGTAGGTGTCTCTCAAGGGACATCGATAACATGTGGATGTTCAATCTATCTCTTGTACATATGTCTGTGTTTAGGCCTGACTGACGGCCAACATCGCTGAATAATATGCAACAAAAGCATTCTCACTACTAAATGTAGTTAACTCCAAAAAACACAAGGAACTGAGGTCTCTCTGTTGCCTTTGATGTTGAGGGGAACGCTGTAGATCTTTAGAGTCGCTGGTGTAATGTGGACCAGGCGGTGCAGTGAGCAGCAGCAGCAGTTGTAAAAAGTTCATCAGAGAAAGACTCAAACTCAACAAAGTATCCTTGTGTCGGCTGTGGAGTCTTCAGATGTGAGCCGCTTTGTGCCCCCCCCTCTGTTTCTATGCAAATGTGAAAGATGATTCTGACTCGCCATCTTAGCTTCCATCAAACGGAACAGTTAGACAGCGCTCCGCATCTTCTTTCTTCAAACTATTATCTTGTGAATGCATTATTTTCTCCAGTGAGATTTGTGTCATGTTCATGTTTTTGCAGTACGATGCAGGACGATTTCATGATCATGCACGAGCAGGAGTACGACAGCCTGCTGGACTGTGTCTTTAAGACCGAGTTCATCAGCTTGCTGGCCCGCAGGTTTGAGGAGAGGACCCAGAGGAAGCTACCTCTCAAGTTTAGTAACACGTAAGTATGAGCACACGCCACATTTGTGACAATCAAAAGTTTAACTGGAGTTTATTTATCATATTAATTGATTAGACTTTGAATCAGTGGGAAATTCAAAAGCTGATGACTGAAATTAAATAATACACCATTTCCATTTCAAGAGGGCGTCATTTTGGCTTCTTTGCCCCTCAGACTGGAGCTAAAGTTGAAGAAGGAGAACTGGGGCTTCTTGAGTGGGGGGGGCTCCCGGCAGGTCCTGTTCGTTGGGGGTCAGGGAGACCAGCCAGTACTGAAGCCTTCGAGCAAATCTCTGCAGGTCAGCGTGGGCGCTGGGCTTCCAAAGAACACACGTGAGTGCTTACCGGAGTGGAGTCTCCTCGTCCTCTCAGTGAGACGTGATGCTGTCAAGCTGAGTGGTAGAATCACCCCTCGTCTGTATTTCTTTCATCCTCAGGCCCCACAAGGAAGAGCTTCTCGCAGGTTCGCTCCACCGCGACCAGAACTCCCCAGAACACCCCATGGAGGGCGGCGCCGGGACCTCCAGGTACATCGTCCCCTCTCACCGGATTTCAACAGGCTTCTCTTATATCCACGTGGACCGTCTCAAACAATCTCCTTCTTGTCCCCCCCACCGGGGATGCAGTTGCTCACCAGAACGGCGGCCCTAAAAACGCCGACCACGTAGCCAACCAGAGGAACTCGCAGCATCACAACCAGAGGAAGGCCCCGGCCGCCAACACCCCGCACCCCTTCCTGCCCAGCAACGCCAACCAGCTGAAGGAGCGAGGCAGCAGCCGGCCGCAGCCCAACCTGGACTGTCTGAAGGTGCCCGAACAAGGAGCCGCAGGGTGAGACGCTCCCACATTAAAACGCGCCAACCGCACGTAGACAAATGACCCCCCACTGACACGTAGATGACATGGCAGGAATATGTTCGTGCTGCTGTTCAAAGGTGGATGAATTTAGACTGAACGCAGCATCGGCCGACCATTCTCACTGGTTTTCGGACTACCAACCGACCCTGTTAGTTTCATCCCGTGTTAGTGTCTCACTGCCTGGAAATGGAAAATCTTAGTGTCTCACTACTAAAGAAACCTAAACGTGTGATTTGAGTGAATGATGCTGAAAAAATGCTGTGTAGTGATGTTGAGATTTGAATGGCATGAAAAGTGTTTTTTCCCCCCAAAAGCCAGACCCCCTTTTCTGTTTTCAATACAGGGAACACGACGAGTGTGACTAACACTGAATTATCATTCAGCCTAATATGACTCCACCATGTAGCATTTGAGTCACACGTGAAGCTCTCTCCCGTATTTAAGATCCTTGTGTCTAGTAAACATATTATTACTCAAGATCGTTTTCATATTTATTTGTAAAATGTGCATTTAACTGCTAAATGTGACACATTCAGCAGATGCACACACATATTACTTTGTGACGACAAACTCTAGTTCACTCACTTGTGTTTCTGTTGTTTGGCATAATTTGGATGATTTGTTCTTTTGTAGCAATGGAGACAGACGGCCAACTTCAAATGGAGGAATGTGAGTTGGAGTGTTTGCAGTGTTTTGGGTGGTGGTTAAAGACTGTGAAAAACTTTCAGCAGCAGGATTTGTTGATGCTTCTTCCCATGTACATTTTGTTTTTTTGGACTGCAGAGAAAGTTAAGTTAAATGAGCTGATAGTCGTCCACAACTAATATATATAATTCTGTGCTGCTGCTCAATTTGATATTAAATGGGAATTCAACAAGTATCTTTCATTTATAAATGAAAGAATTTGATATTATATTCATTTATAAATTAAAGATACTTAATAAAGAATTCATGCTGAGTGAGATGAACGTCAAGGATGGTTCAAAGTTTCTTTAATGAACACAGATCTCACTGGGACACCTAAATGTTTTGCCTTTATAAAAGCAAATATTCTATATGCAAAATCTAACGATTGACACCTCATTTCTTCTGATTTATTTGATCCTCAGTTGTTGAGTTTTTCACTCTTATTCTTACATTTGTCCATTTGGCATTGTGTTAAAAGTTGTACTGTATTTACAGTACACATGATTTAAAAAGCCGGTATAATAATAATAAGCAGGTACCACTGAATGTGGATCAACACTCTCTGCTCTGAAACCTTTTCAGTCTCAGTGCATTTGTGACAGAAAATGTGTACTCAGTTACCATCTTGTGGCTGATTTGTGAACAGCAACAGCTTGTTCAATTTGAGCATAAGGCATCATGAATTTACTGTCAGTCAGGTAGAAAACAAGAAAAAAAAACACACCTTGTTTTTATTTTGGTCACAATGTGGTTCCGACAGCTGCGGTCAAAATGTTTTCACATGACAAGATGGTGATTGTGCACACGAGAACCCCCCACGCCGACAAACAGCTTCTCCTGACTCAACTTCACGGCCAACCGCAGCACGCTGAACCGACCATTTCTCACCGCGGCTGCTGACCTTCCCGTGCTTTCCGTCTTTTCTTTCCTTGTATCGCCTCAGAGCCCACAGGCCGTCAGCCAGCAGGCCTGCACCGGGAGGGGGGCGACCCAAACCTGCACCCAAACCCAAACCCCAGGTGCCCCAGTGCAGAGCGCTATACGCCTACGACGCTCAGGACACGGACGAGCTCAGCTTCAATGCCGAGGAGCTCATCGATATCATCAAAGAGGGTGAGGTGGCTCGCTGCTCGATCCGCGCGGCGTCGCAGCGTTACTTGAACGTTTTCGCGTCCGATATCACCTTGAAACGGGCCTCTAATGCCGTCGTGTGTGTTGGACAGATGCATCCGGCTGGTGGACGGGGCGACTTCGTGGAAAACAGGGACTTTTCCCCAACAACTACGTCACCAAAGTCTAGAAGCTGCCGGTTTACAGCTGGAGGAGGAGAGGCTGCTGCATCCCCACTGACACTCTTAAGAGGACGTGATGGGGATCGACCGGGAGGAGGGAGGAGCACCGCCAAGACTCCTTGAGGAGAGAAACTCACACTCATTTATCCGCGGGTGACACCGAGAAGGGTGTTTGAGCCTGTGGTCCGTTCTCCTCCACGGCCCCTTTTCAGTACTGAACAAACACTATTTATTGTATTTATAGCCTTCTGTTTCCTTACTGTCATTTATACCTTGCTGAGGATTTGAGCTCCAACATTTTGGAAGCGTTGGAATGAAGTATACTTAATCTGTGGGATCAGGATGTGATTTATATTTTCAGAGGAAGGTTCGATTGCTGAATCGAAGGCGATCGCCTCAGTGGCAAAACTGAAGCAACTTCTGCTTTACCAGGAATATTTATTGTGGTGAAAATCTGTAACTTACGTACAGGGGACGGCGTCTAGGCAAATCATCACACTGTGATCTACAATGATTTTAAATACCAAAGCTGTAACAATTTTAGTAGGTCTGGAAAAACACCTGGTCAAGTGGTGAAATACCTGGAGAACCATCCTCACCTTTTGTTTTTTTTCTGTCACACCAGTATATTTTAGACAGACAGAGAAGGAGCGATGTAATCTGTAACCCAAGCATGCAGTCTGTGGTGTATTAGCACTTTATTGGTACAGGTACTACCTTGGACACTCGTTCATGCCACGGCCGGTAAGTCATGTCTATGAAGGAAAAGTTGTAAAGAGAAGAAAGATGAGTTACTGAGCAGAATAATTCGTTTACATGAAATTATAAAAAAAAGGCATTTTGAATCTGATTCTGTATATGTGTTCATTTTTTAAGAGTACGCCTATTGTTGTGGTTTTAAATGAATCGGTTTTTATATTTTCTTCGAAGGATCTTAGTATTCAAATTGTTTTGCTTTTCATACGGCTGCTTTATTTCTGGTTCAGCCACAGATTGAATATAATGGTTAACGGATTAGGGTGAATGAGTTTTTGTTCAAATACAAGTTTTGGTGGCACTACAAATAATTCCTTTTGCTTCTGCACATCTTTTGCACTGCTGTTGCATTACTTAAACATTCCTTCATATTTTCTTAAACAAATAACCACATAATGCTCGTCAGTAAAAACAGACACCTTGGACTTGGACTGTCAGATATGGTTTGATCTTGGATGATTGATATCATCCTTGTGCAATACAAAAAAGTGGATGAGTATTTTAATAAAGCATGTAATATTGTCTTTGAATGTTTTTTTAATTTGTCCAGAACACATCAAATGAATTATCAATAGGATATTTATGTATTTTACCATATTTACATACCATCCGGCCGTTACGGAGAGCATCAGTTCAGGCTACTCTAACAGACCAGAGCAGAGGAAAGAGAATTTTTATTTTATTTAGATACTTGTGTTTATAGGTGTTTTTTTTACACGTAATAAATTCATTTAACTGTTCAAATATACATTCTGAATAGTTAAATGTCCTTACTTAGATCCATGATAAACAATGGGATTTTCTTAAAGCCGGTTTCCCAACACGGTGAAAAAACTATTATTACATTGTTTTGTCCAGAATAGTGTTTCTATGCTTTTTTGGGACTAAACATCAAAGTAAAGACCAAAACTTCTGGGGGGAATGAATACGGCAGAATATATTTTTCTCACCAAGGTAAAGGCCTCACTAACAAAAAACACAGATGCCCCTTTTCATGGAAGACATTCCGTCACGCCACTGCAGGAAAACGCAGGTGTAAGTAATGAAAGTAACGGCCATGAGACCACCTGCTTTGCAGCCATCCTCAGTAATGATTTTGACACCTGTACTTTTTATTATACAAAAGCAATGTAATTATTATTCATTTGATGTCTGCGATTATAACCCAGCCTGCAGCAGGTTATCATCACATTTGTTTATATTTCCTAAACCTCACTAAATAATTGTTTAGTAGGAGGAGATAACATTACTTAGTCAGTAAAAAGAAACACGGTGCTTTTTGAGGGCAGAATATAGTTGTATATTTACGATGTTTTCGATTTTATGGTCCAGCTGCTCGAGTCCTCTGCGCTCCGCTGGAATCTAATGTCTGCAGGAGGTACTGCACCCGATCTTGTATTTTCCTTTTAGCTTAAGGACTTATTTGCATTCCTCAGTCAGTAAGACTCTGAACTCTTTCCATGAATCCTGTTTGAACATCTGAACTGGACTGTCACCTTCATTTCACCTCAAAAAGTGACGTTTGATGCAACCCTTGAATCCTTTCCTCTGTTCAGTGGTTGCTACAGATATAATTAAAAATTAACAGTTTTATTTGACCATTTTCAAAATTCATTTACATATTAAATCCTGCTTCCAAATGGATCATTTTATAATGAAAATACATACATGTTAACAAAGACTGGAACTGAAATTGAGTCTTAAAAAGTACAACTGAGAAAAAAGAATAATATTCTACAAAATAAGTGTAAACTCTATTTTTCTCTCTTAAAAATGTAATGACTCTGATCATTTACAGCCCTTATTTAGACAAAGCTCATTTGTATCTTTAAACTGATTCCAATGTGTTGAAGTGTTCTCATGATCGTCCATCAAGAACCCAACATTCACTCAAACAGGACACCAGAGAAAAGACTCAATTAAGAGTTATCCAAGTTTATTATTATCTTTTAAACTAATATAAATCCCACCGAATATGATCCTGGTGCTGTATTCCGGCATGGATACCTGCTTTAAGTACTGCATTTCAACACTCAATTCAAAATATCTGTTTTTGTCTTTTTAAATATTCATCAGAGTGGAAACACATGGACTCAGTTATATTCACAACTATTCTCCTGCCCTTTTCTCTCTTGTGCAAGTCTATGCGAGTAAGTTAATCAACAGTATTAGTGTTTTCCTTTCAGCAGCAGCAGCCAAAAAAGACGCCGCAGCTCAACTACGGAGAGACAAAAGGGAGGGAGGATAAAATGGTTTTAAGTGTGAGAACAAGCAGTAGAGAATTATTCCAAATTGAGCTGAGTATTTCCCCGCACGCGCGCGCACAGACACAAATTTAAATTCAACGCCACTGCCGGTATCAAATTGACCAAATGATCCCAAGGCTGCAGGCTCATGTGAAATGTCTTACACACATGTAGACCTGAGATCATCTTACAGAAACATAGTTAATCGTCACAGGCCAGTCGGCAGCCCCCCCCCACAAAAATAATCAGAAGAAAAGATTCACAGCCGCTCCCACAAGTCGCTCAGTTTAGAAGGAACAGTCAAGAAGGGATGTGACACACTTTTTCTTGTTCTCAAAAATACAGATAATGGTGATAACGATGTTTTGTCAAATGAAGGCGCTGGGGAGGGAGGTGTCATCGTAGCAAAGCATGTGCATATTCTGGGAAGTGAGGTGAACATCGGAGTTTATTTCCACTCTAGAAATACTGGGTGTGCACTAATACAGCAGCTGATCTGTTAACATATTTCCCTAGTTAGGAATGTCTTGATTTTACTTAAAAAACATCTTTCACTAACAATCCACATCTTCTAAACAAACTAATCAATACAATGATTGGTAAAAATGATTCCTGCAATGTTTTTTTGTTTTTTTTTACTGGAGGGTAACATTCTAGTAAAGCAAGGCATTAGGTTTACACAAATGCATCTTTACTAGAGCAGCTATCCTCACCTGCGAGTTGTCAGGCCGTGACGAGCCAACGTTTTGTCATGTGCAAAGAAATGCATTGCAAGGAAACATGCAGAGAAAAAAATAAATGACACTTGAGAAAACAATCAAAAGCTACATAAAAGCTTTATAAATACAATAAAATCTTAAACCCTTAATGGAAAATTCTAGCTCTTGTAGTAATATGTAATAGCTGGCACTCTATGCTCAATGCTTTTTTGTCAGGTGTTTTCTTTCATTTTCTCGTAGTAGAGCCGCGCAGGTCATTCATGCCATCTTTGGTTGACTGCAGTACTGAAGAGAAAATGAATATGATCTCAAAATAAATCTTCAACAAAAAAGGGTTGGTTAGAAAAACAGCATCAACTCTCAGCAGACAGCTGCGCCTCAATGTCCACTCTGCAGATGGGGCACTTCTTATTGGTGAGGAGCCACTGATCCACACACAGCTGATGGAAGAGGTGCATACATGGTAGGCGTCTGGAGGGGAAACAGCAGAAAACCAACAATGACTTCATCGCACTAACACATCATGCTTCTCTAAAGCGCTATTGTTGTCAAAAATGGACCCCAATAAAATGCTAATTTTTAATCAAAATTTGTCACAAACCTATGACAAAGAATGTATTCATGTACTTCTTTATATAGGAACAGAAACATTTTCTGTGATTTGTAGTCAACAAAGTAATAAATATTTCCAACCTCATCTTTTTTAGAAAAACTAAATCATTGAAATGCGATACGTGAAGGATAAAAGACGATATAAACGTGTCACATCCCTTTTCATACCAACAGGGGGCAGAAAGATCCCGAGTGTCCAGAGGCAGTTGCGTGAGGCTGGTAACGCGAGGCACTCAAGGTTTTTTTGTTGATTGCTATACCTTTAGCTTTGACAGAATAAATACCTCCAGAGACTGAGGCCGATTGGAGTAATTACACTTGCCATCCCACATGTCCCGCCCCTAAAAGCGTAATCAAACACACGAGGCGGAGAGCCGTTTACCTGACGTCCTCCCCTTCCTCCAGTATTGACAGACAGATGGTGCATTTCTCCTCCGTGTCTTCATCTGCCCCTTCATCTTCGTCTTGCTTAATATGCAGCTTTCTCTGTTTGTGAGGAACGTTTGGAAACGTGACTTTGAAGCATCAATCGGTAAAGATGCCTCAGCAGACACGTTATATATGGTTAATGATAATAATGATAGTAATGAATCCACTCTGACATTTAAACTGCTCAATATAAAGACTGGTCACATCACAAGTACATATTACGTTTTAATAAAACTATACTGGAGAACAAACATTTCATTTCAACAAAGAAACCAATTCCTTTAGAGACAGAGTTTGGTCATTTTGTCATGAAAACCAACATTTTTTTATCTGTGGTCTCTGTGCTAAACAAATATAAATCATCTAAATCAAAGTTACGCTAGAGCCGAATTCCCTGGCCCCCAAGACTAATACTGACATCTACTGTACATGTGAGCAGAGACATGTTTCCAAATTGATTTGTTCATTATTTCTCACCGATTCTGGGGTTGCGTGCATATTTTTCCCAATAGATGCCCAAGCTTCAGGGGTTAACTCTTGGTCAATGTCTCTCTCCAACACCTTCTGTATTGGGTGGCAGGGTGTTAGATTGCATTTGGAAACCTCTATGGGAACTTTTCCTCAACAATGTCTTCACAGCTGCAATCTAGAACACACTACAGTATTTTGCTTAAACAGCAGACGTTTGCAATGAGCACAAAAGACCACTGCGCACTCTGTCCCAGAATAAACTGTAACAGACAAGCACAACTATAGACAGTATCTGCAAAATCCAATACACAATATATATACACATCTACACAGTCATTGGTCCTCACCTTCTTGTACTTGTGTGGGTAAGTGCACCTCTCTATGGTTCCCTGAGAGGCTCCTCGGTTCACGGTCCCCAATCGTTCCTCTAAATGCAGCAGGTCCTGAATGGATGCAGTAGAAACAAACCGCTATGAAAAGGATGAACAGACGCACACGTTGGCTCGGTCGGTTACAATTCCTCCTCTGTAGGGCACGATGGTGCACGAAACAGCGGCACATGGCAGGCAGATTGGTTTCTTCGTTGATCTTTATTTTTGACTAAAAAGGTTGGCTTTACATTCAATAAACCCCATTAGATTGAGTGGTTGAACCCAGTGCCTGAGCGAGTTTAAATTGTTTGTTAAATAATAAATAAATCAATAAAAGGAGTCCTCACCTCATAGGTTCTTCCAAAGCCAGTCATTCTAGATGAGATGTACCGAATGTGCGGGTAGGTCACTTCAGATATGCCAGTGTGCTGTGAGGGATTAAAGAAAGAAATATGCATGCACAGACCTTACTTTTATTTACTCCCCTGGTGAGGGTTTAATATGTGTAATAATCCATTAGAGGCTGCGTTGTTTGACGCAATGCAATGCCGTAGCGAACAACACTAACGCTGCATTTAAAAAAGCTCACTTTACCACTTTGTCACGTCATCATCTTTTATGTTGATACGGTGAACTTGCTTCTTAAAGAGTTTTAGTTAAACATCCAGCAGAGCAACATCAACATTCATTTGGAGTTGTGATTCTAAACACCTGATTTACTGTCCGGTATTCTCCTTTTCCATCTTCTGGGGGAAATATATACGACTCTTTAGTTGCTAAATGCTCCACGATGATCTCCAGCTATTTGCTAATCATGTTCGTCTGCTTTTTGGTGCTAAATAGCTTGTGGTGTAAATTGATGCCATGAGAACGCGAAGGTGAACCAAAGCAGTAAAGCAGAGTGCTGGACAGCTAAACAACGAGCTGAAACTCACTATAAAGCTTGACAAGCCGGGGCCAGTTGCAGATTAGAACCGATATGAACGGACTGCCTTTTGATATAGTCTTACCATAACAACATAGATCATAGCATATTAAATAGAGACCAAACCATCCTTGAAATAACTGATATCATTAATAAAGGGGCCAACACCATTAATCCAAGACAGACTTTATATAAAAAGGGAATTATTTAAGTTAAACTACCCTGTCTGTGGCAGCGGCAGTTCTTAAAATTGTATTTCACTTTTAATCAGTTTCCAGTTTCTTTGAAAGTGCTCACATGGCAAACATACAATGATGAAGGTCATAGATGTACACAAATGAAAACTAATGAACTCTGCTGAGACTCTAAATCTAATTCAACTGCATATGCTTTTGGTTTCATGTTTCTATGCTTCCAAGTTTGCGCATGCGTGCTGTGATGAAGGGCGGACATGCTCAAAGCATTTGGAAAACCGCAGGCAGACTCAATGTGCACCTGCCTCGACCCTACAGAGGAGAACTGATTGTGGGAGAAAACTAGCGTTGCTTTATCCGAGGGTGACCAAGTTAAAAAAATACAATAACATCATGGAACTCTCTACTACATGCTCGTGGATTTGTTGAGTGTGCACTTGAAATGCCTGATGAGCTGCTATTAATTGCTACTGCATTATTCATGTGGTTAACCAAACCTTGAAATAACGGATGTTATGAACAAGCGGCCAACACCATTAATCTAAGACAGGGTTTATATAAAAGTGATTCTTTCTCAATTATGCAAATGTATGCATTTGTTGGGAAGCTTTGTCTCACCATGAAGGGGATGGGGAAGTGGTGCAGTCTGGGGGGAGGGTGGTAGTGGGGCAAGTGGGAGTGCAGGTGCCCTGAAGGGTACGGAGCCACAGTCACCCCGGCCTCGATGCCAAGCTCCCTGTTGACAAACACAAACACGTTACTCTTCATTACATCAAAACTTTCTCTGGGCGGACCAGACATAAAAACCAAGGAACAGAGTCAGAATTTAAAATGAGTCTTAAGCTTTGATTTGAGCTGGCATTAATCTAAAAACGAGCCATCTGCCAAATCCCGTTGCCTCTTACTGACCATGCTGTCCGCTGCTCAGGCTGGCGAGGGTGGGAAGACATGGTCTGTGGCACATGGATGTGGTGTCCATGTCCGTAGTTGGGGTGCATTCTGTGGGGGTGTGGGGGCGGCCGCTCGTGTGCTCGTCTGCATGGGCCGGAGAAAGTAAAGGTTAACGCGTGGCGGCCAATATGAAAACTGCAGCGGGAGAAACGGCGGCCGGGTGACGGCTGTACGCACGTCGGGTGCTGCATCATCCGGTGCCTCTGGACCTCCATCCTCTGCAGGATCTCGTGCTGATGGAGTCTCTGCACCGAGGCCCCCAGGGCCGGCATGTGGTGCGGCAGGGTCTGGTGGTCCGTAGGCAGGTGCTGGCCCAGTGGGGCACTCGAGCTGGAGAGGTGGTGGTTGGACAGAGGCGGGGGAGGGGCGGGGGGCACGGCAGGGTGGGAAGGCAGCGGCGGGTGGAAGGTGACGGTGTGGGGAATAACGTATTCGCCTTGCGCAGCGGGCTGAGGTGTAAGTTGGGGGTTTCCATGGGAATGAGGACAGGCGGAGGAGGGCTGATGATGCAGCGAGCGTGCCAGAGAGCCATCTGGGTTTGAGGAAAGAGAAAAGGAGAAAGAACAATACTTCATATTTTTGTTATTGTAAACGAAGACCAAATCCAATAACTTTCCCAGAATGTAGTACTGAGTCCATTCATGCTGAAGGAACAGAACAAAGGTGCATGTGGCATTGACTCGTAACAACACGGCACAACATGGGTAATATTCACTTTGATCAAGAAACAGTCCGAACAAGGTGGCTTGTTTTTTCTTGGACAATCAGACTACACATGTACTTGCTATTTAAGCAAATAAAAAATAAAAAAACATGAGTTATACATTTAACCTCATGCAAAAAGACCAACATCTCAGCTCATTGCATCGAGACGTTGCCTCTGTTCTCTTGCAACGACAAAAATTCACTAATAAGGCATCCACGTAATTCATATTAATTTCTATCTATTGTTGTAGCTCATCTTTCTGCAGCCTTCCGTGCGATTTATCAAAGCAGCGGTACAACGAGGAGGAGATGCAAGCATGAGAGAAGTGTGCGTGGAGCACCAGCAGCGTCTCACTCTCTTCCGACTCCCCCACCAGAGAGCCTCGTCACTCAGCTTCACTCTCCATGCTGAGCCGTTCTGAGTGGAATCATCAATTTACTCCTAGTGCAGCTCCCACAGCACGCGGCACATTAACCACCAGGCTCTGTTAATTATTATTAGCATTAGGTGTTAGAAGCGCAGTTGTCTTCCAAGCCCACTGGCATGGTCTCCGGTTTAGTGCATGTATGTTTATATGGTCCATATGTATGTATGTACGTATATACATACATACTTTCTTTTTTTTCACCTCTTTGTTTTACATTTATTAAGATTGACGCAAAGATTAATAGTCTGATTTTGGACTTTGTGCCCTGAAAAATGGGAAGAATATATATATTATATATATATATCTCTCTCTACTCACAGGAAGGGTGCATGTAATGCCTGCAGGGCTGCGGTTGTGTTTGGGGCTGAGGCTGAGCCACCATGGAGGAGCTGAAAGATTCCACCACAGCTGGCTGACTGGGCCCAGGGGTGGCCTGGGAAACGAAAGCAGGAGGCCGGGAGGTGGAGCCTGGGCAGCAAGGGTCAAAGGCCGAGGTGCTGCCATGGAAACTAGCCCCATTGTTTCCAGCGCCCCGAACACCGCTGTTACTCAGGTCCACTGGCAGTGTTTGCTGTGGAAGAAAAGGTGGGTGAGATGTAATAGAAAGAAGAGGGATGAACTTCTCTCGTGGTGTCACAGAAGTCAAATCATGAAGAACTCGCTGTGTTACAAATTGCTCTTCGAGTGAATACATTTGTGCAAAATGTGCAAATGCCATTTTTAATTGCCAGAAACTGCCAGATTCAATAATTAATTAAAAAGTAGTGTATTGTGCATTTTTATTTCATGCAAACACGTACGGTACAAATAAGGTGATTTTGAACAGCAGTGTTCCCGAAACCAAGTAGCAGTTAAAATATTTCTTGTGTCACGAGAATATGAAATATTTCAGTTCTGGCCATGCTAACGCATTAACATAACCAGCACTATAATACATATGTATATGGGGAACCCATATGTGAGCTCTCAGCTTCCTGCTAAATGCTCTTTCAAGATAGATCTTACATCTGACGGAGGATGATGGCAAAGTTTTAAAACCACGAAGACCATTTTAATAATTAAAATGTTAACTTTCCCATTTTATTAACATTATTCATGTTCGTCATAGTATGATAATATTTTGTGTTTAATACACTACTTAAATATTTGCTATAAAAAAGTTGAATATATTCATAATGGATGTAACGTACACAACGAGTACACACCTTTTTTTACCTTTATTAAGGCAACAACACCGCCGAGAGACGTCGCCCTCATCGGGGAGACAGTGTCCCAGCTCACCTTTACGATCGACAGCTAGTTGTTACTGAATGCAGCCGGGCGTACCTGGTCATGGTAGTGGGCTGTGTTGCTGCTGCTGCTGTTGTTGCTGCTGCTGCTCACTCCAGCACAGGATGCAGGCAGAGCCGTGGGTCGCTCCACGGGGCAGCTCGGCTCTTTGAAAGGCAGGGTTCCCGGGGGCTGTGGGGCCGGGTGATGGACGTGGTGGATGAAGTGGTGCGCGTTGCTGTGGCTGTGGCTGTGCTGCGAGCCACTGGTATGCTGGGAGGACGACACCTGCAGGCAGCTTGAATGGGAGTGGCTCAGGGACAGGTGACCCGGGGAGGGCCCTCCACACGGGGAGTGCTGCTGGCAGCAGGACGGCAGTCTGGGCATGGCCGTGCCAGTGTTTTCTCCCGCTGCACCAGTCAGACCCGGTCTGCCGTCATCTGATTAGAGTAAGATATAAAAAATAAAAAAAAGGTATAGAATGCAACTGCAGGATATAAGAAGAGAAATACAGGTGAACTAAAGGCACCACAGTACTAGAACATATAGACTATTTCACACTTTGATGTATAAACATTTCAGAAATATCCACAGCTGAAAAGGAGGTCATTTCAGACCCCAGCTTCCGCACAGCTGAAAAGTCTCGAGCAGCTAGTGTCAACGCACAGTGTCCCATCTTACCCTCTGCAGCAGTGCGGGCAGAGACGCTGGCCCTCTGTGTGTGCATACTTTCAGGTATTGAGCCTGGGCAGCTAGTGGAAGGTCCTGGGGCATCATGGAACTCTGAGGTAGAGGCATGATGAGAAGATGATGAAGAGGATGACCTGATTGTTTGTGGTTGAATGCTGCCAGAGGTTGTTGGCACAACGGAGAGATCTGTAGAGAAAAAGAGGAAGGCAATGGCTTAGAAAATGAGGTGCTACAGCGATCACTTCAGCAGCCAATGCAGTTAAGAGGTAGTCATTAAAGAGCGCTCAACCGCTTTCCATCACATTTAGCTTTCATTTTTCACTGGATGGAGAGGGGTCGGTATCTGGTTGCGTGCATATAGTGGTTTTCCATACGTCTTGCTATTAAAGCCGTATTAATTCCAAATGACACCATTTACAAGTACCAATTGTTGTGTGTAGTTTTAAAAGTGTGTGCACTGTAGCATGTGTACTTGTAGAGAGAAGCAGACTCGTTAGCATTCCACTGAGCACACTGGAACTGCTGTTCATATTACATTCAAATTAATTTCCTCTTACCCCTACAAAATGCAAATACTCACTGCTCTAACATTTCTAATATGTCATGGGCGTCGGGTGATAAAGGGAGTCACACAAGCCTTTGGTTTCATATAAATTAAAATAAGGTGATTAATGATGAACAAAATCTTAATTTGTATTCTTAGTGATTAATTGATGAACACGCAAGAGTATAAATTGAAAGTTATTCTCATCTTGAACTTTTATTTCTCACTGTTATTGTTGGCACAATTTTAGATCGAAGATGAATGAATACTTCATTCATCCCGGCGGTTAATGCTCATGTTACAGCAGCAGTATGCCAACAAAATTACACTGACAATAGTGTTGATGATTAAATATCACAAGAACCATAAAAAGAGTAAAAACAAATAAAGTACGTCCACATGCGCATGCGTGCATGTGCAAATTGCAAGCTGGAGAAAATGGATATTATGAGAACTGTATGAATTCAACGTCAATACCACAGATAACTTTGGAAGTAACAAAAGAAGAGTAAAATATAACGAGGCAACATGCCGGCAGATGGCTTGAAAACTGAGACCTGTGGTAAAACTGCATAGTTGTTGTTGGAACAGACACTAAAAAGGACAACGGTGAAGGATGGTTCACCATTTATAGCCTTACCATCTTCATCGACAGTGAGATCCACCACCTCCCCGGCATTCTGCCGCAGTGGCTGGATGACGGTGGAGAGTCGGTTGCGTCCACGTGGCTCCTGGAGACGATTCTGGGAGCAGCTATTAGCCCAAATCCTGCCGAGACCCCCGGCTGAGCGAGACCTGTGCACATTGTTGGAAAAACTGCAATAATGTCATGATCAGAAAGGGGCGTTGGACAAAACAACACAAGACTCAAGACAACACAATAAGTTGCGTGTATAAGATGACCACTCAGGATATGAAATCGGTGTGCCGCGTGTCCGGTGTCCAGAGGGCCACTCGGTGTCTCGGGACGATCAGATGCAGGTCTCAAGAGAAAGACCATGACGGCCCGCGTACATGCGCAAAGCCGCCCTGTTGAACCCAGTATACAAGTTGGTGATGGAAAAGAAAACCTTTGCGCAGCCTTGACGCATGACTTGTGTATGTGTGTGTGTGTGTGTGTGTCAACCCCGTCTCCTGTTAGCAAACATAAAACTGGAGAATTTTTCCATCAACATACAGACATGGAAACACAAGAAATGACTTTACATTACAGCCCACTGCAGTTGAGGAACTTGGAGTATTCCCGCTGCTCAATGAAGTATTTCCCAGACTGTCAAGCTCATTTACAGGACAAAGCCCGCTGTTACAAGGCACATGGAATTACTTGCATCCATGTTCAGTGATATGTGAATGTGGACATTTGAGAAAGCTTGTTTTTAGTTTTTATTTAGTTTGGGAAGCTTACTTGGGTATCAAACCATGTGTGATATTTTTGTACAAATTGCATATTTAGCATACCCAGATACAAATTTTAAGACCAACCTTTAAAACAGGAGCTCTCATGAGGGCTCAAAGGAATTCCTGCTCAGACTTACGGTACAGTTTGCTGAACACATCAAATACACCTGAAACTGAAACGCAAATCAAGCTTAGTTTGGATTTTTTAATCATGCATGTTTGTATATGAAGCTTCATCCACAACCTCCCCTTCCATCTAAATAAACATTACTTCCAACCACCTTCCGTCTCCTTGCATCTCGCCCAAAATCCTCTGCAACTCGATTTCTTTTTTTGCCCTTTTAATTTCCACTCTCAAAGGCTCCTATCACTCCACCCCTTGCTCCCTGAGACAGGAGTGCGAGCCCAGGGAATGTCCTCATGTGCCCCCGCGGTGCCGTAAAGCCAGGCGATCAGAGGCAGGAGGGGTGCGCCTGAGGGACAGGGGACTATTATTTGCGGGTGCCGTAAAGCCGGATGCCATGGAGCTTTGTGGCTTGGGGAATTCCTTGTTGTTCCCGGAGAGAACGCGGCGGGGCGGAAGGAAAATGCTGCATACAGAGTGACAAAATCCCAGACTTGTTAACCGCGGTCTTTATCGGAGCTACGGAGGCTCGTGTAGGTCAAACTGAACTGCAGTTGAGCTCAGTAACTTCATTAGAGTAAACACGGAAAAGATGAGAAAGGATCCAGTCATTCAATAAATTGTTATTTCCTGTGTTTGCGTGAGTTTCCTCCGGGCCAAAAACATGCAGGTCGGGTGAATTGGAAACGTTAAACTGGCTCTTGGTCTGATTAAATACGTAGTGTCGAGCCTTTGCACTTTGCACTTGATAAAGTGTTGCAATTTTAAAAACGGGAACTGAAAACAAATGTAGCGTGTGAAGAAAGTTTATTGGTGAAACGGCTAATGAAACGGGAATGTTTGTGTTCATGATTTTTATTTCAAAATATCTGAAAACCTCAATGAGTGGAATTATGGAAGCAAATCGAATCGGACGGTCCGATGATGCGTTTATTCCTCTTTATGCTGAGCGAGTGCGGCTTTGATCACGTCTCTGATGGTTTTAACACGGGAAATGCCTTTCTCACTGCGGTCTGTGATAAGGGGGAATCCCGTCCGCTCGTACCGTCCGCGTCCAGTTCAATTTCCTGCGAGACATGCCGCACAATGCAAGTAGAACAGAGCAAGAGGAAGCTCATTAACTTTCATATTTTAAAAATGGCTTAAGCGAACCCTTACGCATGCACACACACACGGCGCACAGACAAACACACACACAGCACGCAGGGTGGTATGCAGGAAGGGGCACATGGCGGTTGCGTTGGCGTTTAATTGGCCGGGCTCCTCGGCTCCGGGTTGATCCCAAAGAGCAGGACGAGTCACGAGGGAGGGGCGCCTAATTAAGTAGACCTGGGATTATTTTGTAAATATCTGTTTACCACCATGATCCCTCGAGGACAGGGGGGGGTGAGGCCAGGAGGAAAACAATACATTGTAAACATGAACACTGAGGGAATGGGTGGCTTGGCAAAGCACAGGCTGTGCCAAAACAAGGTGACGTGAGGCACGTGCCCCAGGGATCATAGGGGGGGGAGGGGCTGAGACATGCAGTAATATGGAGCAATCTACTGGTTTGGGAATTAAAATGAACGAGATCATAGAAGGTGAGAATAACACTGTACTAGTGGTAAACAATTTGCATTCACAACGGTTTGTCTTCGTTTTGAGGACACGGGGGATTTAGTTTTCTACCTCTCAGCACTGATAAGATATCTGGCTGATATTACAAGTACGAACCATCATTCGTACATATCATTTGAATTAGAAAAATACTTTGCAGGCCTTTCAGTTTGGAGTCCAGATCCCTATCAACAAGGAAATAACTATTTTAAAACTGTCCCTTCAACATGGATAAAATAACGTCTTGTATTTAAATAAGACTGAGGCTTTACGGAAAAAGTTCAGAAGTTTAACGTTAAAATCAGATCTATTTAATCTCCACTCCTGGTCAGTTCTTTAGTTCGATGGGTTGTTTTTGAGGATTAGTCATTCAATGCAAATGTGACTTTAAAACCAGTTTAGAGCTCATATACAGGCACAACAACCCTTGTCTCATAGATGGAAAGGATCTACTGATGGCACTGTGTTTTTGACACAGAAAGTCAAATGGCATTCCAAAAGGTTTTTATCTGCCAACAGTGTAACGTAAAACCTGTTACGTCTCGCATGGTGCATTGCTTTCCAAGTGAACTGTAGAGTGACACTAAAAAAACAACAACTAACTGCCATCAGTTCAAATGCAGCATAATCAAAGTGGGACGAGCAGGTTTGGAGAAAAATGGTGGTTTCGCCTTAATTATTTTGCTTCCTGTATTTTGCTTCCTTCCTCCCCTAAACGTGCTGCTATTGGTCTAAAACTGTCATTGAACATTCTGTAGCAATTGGGGAAGAAAGAAAGAAAGAAAGAAAGAAGACTGTCCGGCTCCAGCCCACCACAAGTTACAGACGGACACTCTGCTGCACACAAACATGGATAAAACCACTGGACAAACTACTATGCAGCTGTTTTACACAGGACAACATATGGTTGGCTTACTGACGAAGTCCAATACGACGCCTTCCACCTCCAGAAAAGTCTGAATGTTCCGTTTTTGTTGAAGCGGAGCTCAACATTATGATGCTATTGTTGAACTGTATTGTATGACCAAAAAGTTTAAATCCTAAAAAGGTTGAAACAAAAATGAAATACTCCCAATCCTCATGAACGTTTGGTAAACATCATATTTGACTTGGTTTTTCCACATAAATTCATCAAGGGGAACAGGTCTAAAATACATAGAGCCATCCTCAAAATACTACAAGAAAAAGAGCCATGGGAGCCGTGTGTTTGTGTTAATGCATCGCTCCGATAATGACAAACTGCTCACAAACACACATTCACAAATTGGACCACTGGCGGTGTCGACAAAGCATTCATTGCTCATTCTGTTGGCCTTTACTGCCCCCCCCGACCCCCCGCTCACTGCTGCCCATCCCCCTTCAGGGAAGCTCATCTCCGCATTCTCCGGGGAGCCGAGACATCTTTGACAGTCGGGGAAACAGCAACATTAAACGAGCCGTAGCATTCCAACCCAATGTGGTGCTCTCACACTGTAAATATTCTGCCTTTCTCAGAGAAACAGCCACTGTGTTTTAATCCTTACATTGTCCGTACTTTCTTCATGTTCAACTAAGTGCTATAAGGCGCATAAGCAGTCTGCTGCGGTACAGAACGTGTGTGAGTTACAGTTACAGATAGCGAGTGATGTTCGCGTGTTCAGAGATGTCCCAGTGAGCAAGTAGCTGCTCAGGCATATTCCTCTTTGAGCTCTCGTATCGTATGATTAATCCCCTCCAAAATCCCTCGCGTGTCAACTTAGAAATCGTACATGAGATCCACTGGCTAATTACGAACCTGCATTTACAGAAGCAGCTTTATTTGTAGTCTTTCAAATAGACTAGACTAGAGACTAGAAATGATTAAGAATAAAGAAACGACATGGTTATTGAGCGTGATGTGGCTCTGTTGCTATAAACACGGCACGCAACGTGGTCTCTCTGGGCAATACAAGCTACGGAATTCATGAGCAAAGCGCCGGAGGACCCGTCAAACCACCCACTCAGCTCTTTCATTCTGAGAACCATGAGCTCCTTTCACACACGCGCAGCAGCCCTGAACCCATCCAGACATTTCCCAGTGGAGCGCTGCGTGACAACGCAAAGGTCCGAATCGGTCGGCCCGCACGCTGGAACGTACTAAGTCGGGGTCATTTCTGATGGAGCCCACGTGTGAATGCAGCTGCTAATTGTCGGGAGGACTCAAGGTCGGTCGGCGAGTGGGCGTTTTGACGGCGTTTCCGTGCAAACCAGCCACGAAAAGAGGAACATGGCGAACATCAAGGGCAATGAACAGGGGGGCGTTTAAATGAATGAGACGACGCCAACATCGTCAAATTCAGAGAACGCCGAGAGCCTCGGTCACAATTAAAGACGGGTCGGTGTTTTAGCTTCATGTCCTGTCGCTGCATGCTATACTAAGGGGGGGGGGGGGCGGGTACAGAGTATTTACAGTGGGTTTAGAAAGCATCTGGCACGTGTGGTTTGCTACATGTGTGTGAAAAGAAAACTCCGACCCGGATTCTCTTCCAGTTTCGGAGCGCTCACCTGACGGGGCAGTTGAGCGGATGTAGAAAATGAACCGTAACCCCTATTTCGTCAATGCGTGCTGAAAAAGCCGGGGGGGGGGGGGGGCAGGGTGGGGGGTGCCTACCTGAAACCGTCTCCGACTGTGACGATCTCCACCTCGCTGTCTGTTGAGGATGGACGTTGATCTCCTCGCTTGCAGGTACAACAGGCACTGGAGGCTGGGAGTTGCCTCAATCACCACCACATCCCTCATCCAGGGCCCCTGAGCACAGACACACCACTCAGAATAGTAAGAGTAAGCAGCTAGATACAATTACAGTGACGGGAAATTCAGACTAGATTTGACTGCTCTTCATTGGATTATAACACGGTTCTTCAATTCATCTGGAATTTTGAACATTGAAGATGGTTTCAAGTAGAAAAAAAAAGAAGAAAGAAAAGACATTCAAGTCCGTGCATGCGGTCATCTACTCTCATGCAACTTAGACATGTACTTCCTACATTTTTTTTTTTTAATGCAGTGTTTTTTTTTGTTTGTTTCTAGTCTAAAACCCAGCTGGTTGTGTAAGTGGCCACATAGCGTTTCACCAGTTTCATGATGCTAAAGCAGTTTCATCAGGCCCAACAGTTTAACAGGAGAAATGTAGGTCATCAGAGCTCAGCTCTATTTGCGCTGGGATTGGCTCCGAAATCGACGCTGTGATTGGTTCACTGTGCACTAGATCTCACTTTATCTCTGCCTGGGCAAAATACCACGAGAGCCCCCTCAGGTGTGTTCACTCAGAGTACACGGCTCCAATAGGAGATCAGAATGCAGAGACTTGAGGGTGCTTGTCTTCTCAGTGGTAAATACACTTTAGTGTGAAACTACGATTTTCCAGGGACGAGCACTTAGAGGAAACGTGTATATATATAGACACACAGACACAGATGTTAACCATAAATATAATACTCATATTATAATACTTACCGATACCGATTAGTGTTTTAAACAATATTTTAAAAGGGGAATATATGCTAAAAACACCACATATTTTCTTTTAAGCAATCTTCAAATGTATCCCGAGACCAATGTCATCCATGTTTTTATGCATCAAATTACACCCCATACACCTGCACCAATATGTCATCTCCAGAGGACCTGCATGTATATTCATTTCACCCACAAGGAACCTCATTCATGTTTCTAGTTATCGTCACAAGTTCTCAGTGCAAGTGAGAATTGTTGACTTACGCACATAATGTTTAGTTACATTACATCACATGTCATTTAGCTGACGCTTTTATCCAAACCGACTTACAATAAGTGCATTCAACCATAGGGATACAAACTCACAAGAGCAAGAAACAACAAGTGCAATTTCCTCAAATAAGCCAATTTACAATTTGCTATAGATAAGTGGCGTTATAAGTACAATTTAAGTGCTACAATTTGTTAGTCTTTTAGTTTAGTTAGAGTTAAAACACCTCTGTGACTCTTAAAACGTCAACAGTAGATGTAAAACACGCACACACTAACCAACCAATAACTATTCTATGCTGCAGAAGAGTGTACTGTGTTTTCGTGCATCAGCAAGTGTCTTCCAAAAACTCCCCAGTGTGATTTATATTCCAATTGTCTCCAGGGAACTGCTGCTTAGCACCCTGTGCAAGACGATCAGCCCGGCACTCTGCTGAAGCCTCCGTGAGGTTACACATACAGCAACACCTCACTTAAAGCTTGTGCGTGCTACTTGAACTAGTACCAGACCCAAGACGACTGAATATCAAACTATGGATCAAAAATATCAAAAACATCCATGTAACAACCTGCTGAAGTCCCACTAGCTACCAGGTTTTGGGAAAGAAGACGGGCATTATGCTTGAGACTGAACAATTATACTTTGCAACTGACATCTTTAGGTATATCTGCAGCGTGACGAACGATTGGATCTGTGCAGGAGGACTAAAGTGCTCCATCACACACCTGCTGCAGCACTGAACCCCTGGAAGAGCGGTTTCATCACTCGCCTGCGCGTTCCACCGCCGTAAACAAATGCCTCGTTTTCCCTGCGAGACCTGCCGTTTCCATGCAAAGGCGAAACAGAGCCCCAGTTTTCTCCCAGTTGCCTCCCACCAACAACTAACTTTCTCTCCCCCCTCCCTCCCACCCCCAAGGGGGGACCACAGCAGCAGGAGTACTGCCGAGGCTCAACGGCTGCACGGGGAGAGACGTGAACACGGGTAAAGGTCGGGGCTTTTTAAAAGGGATGTTAGGCGTGTGTTCTGCACGCGGGGCGGTGCTTTGCTGAGAATGAGAGCAGAATTCTGTGGTTTGGGATTTAGGAGGTGTAGACAAAATAAAGTCTGATGAACGTTCAGCATATTTATGGGAAACGGCATGGCAAAGTTTGGATATTTCCCAAAAAGTAGGCTTTTTTTTTTTTTTAAACAAAGAATTGGGACTACAGCAGATGTGCAAACGTGTTGCCTTGAGACCAGCAAGAGCTATCATGATGTTTTCACGACAGGAAGCGAGGGGACTTCCCTTTCTCTGGTTGACAGTCACAATGAGAACGCTTGACTAAGTTCCAGTAAACAGACATACACTGAGTAGCATTCTCACCCTTCTGCTGCAGCAAATGCATGTCCGATTGTTCAGTAAAGGGAACTGGAAGTCTATGGTTTACAACTCTGATGAATGAAAATACACAACGCATTCATATTAACACAACAACAACCCTTTTTGGTGTGAAAAAGTCCAGCTGCAATTACGAGTTTCACAACGCACGTTGACCTCTTCTCCAACACAAGCCAGGTCACTTTCTCTGTTCTATTCTAGAGACATAGCTCGTGCCATTAAAACATGTCACCATCATGCCCGGCGATGAAAGAATGCTTTGAGCCTTTATATCATCTTAAGTTGCTTTCTTGACCGTTTATCAATAAATATTGATATATAAATACAATTAAAGAAATCCAACCCTCCCTACACATAATTGCGTGATTGTGTAGCCTATTATAGTCCAAAGCGGTATGAGTATAGTGATCCCGCTGTGCTAACGCAGTCCTTCTAAAGCAACAAGCAGCAAACAGATATGTTGGGTAGAACACATCGCTATAAATGCACAACGAGAGTGGTGGTTACCTGTGGCTACAGCCGCACTATTGGGCTGGCTGCTGGTGCTGCTGACATCGACGTACAGCTCATCTTCTGCTTCAGTAGAAGAGGGGGTGGAAGAGTCACTGCTCAACTCCTCGCTAGAGCTACTGGTGCTATGGAGAAGAGCGTACTTCCTACGTGCGATCACTTCACGTTTCTTCCTCTGCAGCAGCAGTCGCTCCTTTTGCTTCTGAGTCCGCTGACCCCCACCGGGGGTTGTTTTCACAAAGCGCTTCCTATGCAGGCTCCGCCGGCTGCTCAGACACGGCCGCTTCAGCAGCACCGGCTCCGCTTCAGACCGCACCCACTTGTGGGAGCGATTCCCCCGAGTTCGACCCAGAACAGGGTGCAGGCCAACTCCGGCGGCTCCTCCTGTTTTCAGGGCGGGAGCCTTGTGTTGGCCCCCCGTCGCTCCGGCCTCCGCGTCCTCCTCGGAGCTGAGAGTGTCCGAGTCCCCGAATCGCAGGCTAGAGGAAGGGGAGGAAGCACAGTCACTAAAGGAGGACTCGTGGTTGTGTTCATCCTCACTGGGGTGCTGTAAAAGTTCTACCCTGGCACGCTGGGGGGCCAGTGAACTCTCACTGATGTGGCCCTCCTTCAGCGAGCAGTCGGACGGCCCTGCCTGTTGGCCTTTTCTTTTCCTGCGTCCCGGTAGGGTCCGTTCCGAGTCCCTGTGTGCCTCCGTGTCCCTCAGGGGCCGATGCCTGGACTCGCACAGGCTCTCAAAGTCGCCGCCTGCCTTTCCGATCACCTCCATGTTGTCAGGGAAGCTCTTGGTTGCCTCCATGGGCTCTGGGTTCACCAGTGGGTCCTTCAGGTGCTCCTGTCTGCTGGGGGCCTCTGGCTGCACCTCACTCTTCATGGTGGCAGGTCCGTCCTCAAAGGGCAAACGGCGAGGGCACTCGCATCGGTTCCTAAGCGTCCATCCACTGCATCTCACAACAACTGAAAGATAAGAACCAAATGAATGAGAAATTAGGGAAGCAACGAGCCAGTGTGCTGCACGGCTTCCAAAGGGCAGATTGTCGTTTTAGTGACAGTATGAGCACCGTGGGCTTGATTAGTTAGTATTTGATTACTGAAAAACAAAGTGTGCCATTTATTTTTTAAATGGTCTATGGATTTCAGTTTTGTTTTTTTAAATGACATGATAATTTGTGTCTTTACTCAACGTTTCTAGATCAGTCCTTTAGAAAACAATTTACTGTGGAGAATATAAAATTATTAATGCAACTTGTAATACAGATATATTACTAGCATATCATTGATTAATCCACAGCACACAGAATTAAAAACAAAAAATGAAATGGCCATGACACCATTAAGACCATGTACTTAATGGTGGCCAATCCAGGGGGAAAACTTTTTTTTCTTCCAAACAGTCATTTGTTTGTTAGACCAAATTAAGACAGAGTGACCCGCTGTTGCTGATTAGACGTAGTTTGACCGATGGGTTTACCTAATTGTTGATTTCCTACAACCCGGCAATCAGACGGGACGGAAAAAGATCTCAAATGGGAGTTCCACCATCTCATGTTTACGTCTTGGCTCAATCACTTTTGGAAATTTCTGTCTTTATTTATGTGCGCGCCAACAAATAACTCCCCAAAGAAACAGACTCTTAAAGCATGTGGCAGAGGAGGAATGTTCACAGCGGTGTAAGGTCTCCCAGAGCAACGCCAGATTCCAGCATTGCTGAGAAGTTACTTTGTAAATACATCGGGTCAGGTTAGACGACATGTGTATTTTCAAATGGTACATGGCGTTCTGCGCCCGTGTTAGCCAAAAGTCAGCCATCAATAAACCCGAAGGCTTCTTCTAATGCGAAGAATACTTTTGATATATTACCAATCGCTGCTTTTAAGAAAATGGGAGTTTTGGGTATAAACTCTTTGATCTTGTTTTTTGGCAATATATCACATTTCAAGTCATCTCACTGTTAATGTAAGAAAGATATTGTGATAAAGCTACATGTTAGAAATAAATTCCACTGTTTTAACCTATAAAGTACCGTAGTTCAATACACCAAGGATTTGTAATAGTAGTTCAGCCTTTATAAAGCCAATACTAAATCAATTAGAGCATTGATTTGTCCAAATAACAATCCAGCAGACCAGAATGTGTATTTTTAGGCAAACACACAACCTCTCACGCACATGGTTGAAAACAATAAATATTATTTTATAAAAGTTAGGAAGAGACATTACATTGTTCCTACATGGAATGATGGAATGTTTTGGGGTGATCTCTATTGCAGCTTTGTGTCATCAATGCATGTTGCAGATCTGCAGTGGTGCCCACCAATTAACTGTTTTAACAACATTACGGAAAGTGAGGAGAGAAATCCAGGCTTATGCACCGTTGACACGTGGTGATGTTGCCCACAGCAACAAGCCGGCAGTCCTTAATATGACATAATCAGAAAACAAATTCACAAAGCGTCTATTCCAGCAGCTGACTTAGGAGGATATTGTGCTGAGCCCACCTATGTGGGCACAACTAAAGAAAAGAAACGCTTGGTTGGTCTCCAAGACATCACCATTCGCACCATTGACATTCCGATGGTCCGTCCACCTCCCAGTGGATTGTATCTTCATCAAAACATAAAAAGTAAACATGAAACGAATGTGTGTACTGTATTCTATATGGGGTAACAGTTCACAGCAAAGTCGAGACCTTTTAAGAAGACACAGCTAGACTCTCGGTTTAAGTCTCAGTGCAGAAATGTCCGTTTTGGACAGCCGTAGGTTGCACTGATTTTCACTATGTTCCATGGTATAATGAATGAGATATGCCATCAAGTGAAGCCGTACCAAGCAACGCATTAGCATCATTCATTCACAACTCCTTTCAGAATGACCTGAAGCTACAACTAACTTTGAAATACGTCTGATGAGGTTGGTGATTCTCGAAAGAAGCCACAACGCTGTGTGTGTTTTATAAACGGCGCTGATAAGTGGGAGTCCTTCAGATGCCACAGAAGAAAGCTGCGCAATGACATGCATGAAATCAGGGGCCTCGGAGGACAAGGAGCAAAATGCCCCTGCACCAAAGCTCAACGCCGATAATAAAGAACCCCACGCACTAATAGCAACAATAATAATAAATAGGAGCCGCTGCTGTGATCGCTTGCAGTCAGAAATGTACGGTGCACCAGGAACAGGGCCACAGTAAAAACCAACTGGAGATGCAACGACTGAGACGGGACTCACTGGGCTTTCCGTCTGCCAGACGACCACCGACAAGCCGACAGCCCCGAATAAAACACACGGCTCCGTGGACGCACTCGGCTTGACGGGATCGAGCGTGAAACGGAGGCGAAGCGTAGTTTCTACAACGCTTCACAATCACCATCAGCTCGGCTGCACACAGTGACCGGAGGGGGGAAGCAGACGAACCGGTGTGAATGGCCAAAGCACTCCGATGTAGAAGATATAAAGAGATCCAATGTATTAGCTTAACTTGTGTTACCAAGGTGACAAATCGGGTGAGAAGAAGAAAAAAAACCCAAAGTGGACAGCTAGCCAGCTAGCCAGACACACAGCGGATCCAGACAGAAGACAACAAAGACAGCACGTACCTGGGTCTAAGTCCTTTTTCAAAATGTGTCACCGTCCCCCCTTTGTAACATTTGAGGTTAAATCCTGTGGGAAACGACGATCACCGTTGAAACGGAGCATTGGTCGGGACGTTAATCCCAGCGGCAACCCGGCGGGCCTACGAGGAAAACGAGATCCGAGGACGTCGGTGGCTGAGATTGTGAAACTGACAACACAGTCCCGAGCAGAGCCGAGAAGCAAAATCGAAGGCAACGGGCCCTGGACGGCTACGAGCTAAGCTAACGCGGAGGCTAGTTCCACTTCACCCAGCGAACGCCCGATTCGACTCAGCCATTTTCACTCGCGGCGGAATCCCGTGGAATCGTGAAAAGTGGGTCGATCTCTCGATTGCGTTCCTATTTGACGAGGTGTAAATGTCTCGCTGTTGGCCCTCGACGAAGTTGCCATTCCTGCCTCTCGATGCATCCACCTCTTGTTTACCCAGCGGGTCGTCTGTTCGTTGGCCCCCGGATCCGGGAGTCGTTGCCCGCGCCGCCTCACCGGGGCGCCAGAGCGCCGCCAGCTGCTGTCACCTGCTTTGCGACACTTTACGACAGCTCGATTTAAGCACCTTCTACTTTTTTGAATCGGTACATGTTGTTTTAAAAAAAAAAATAGAATTATTCAGAGAGGACCGAGGGCCGCGCTTTCTTCGCCCCGGTTTGCGTCGACCGAAGAGCGGGAGCGTGTAGTTAGTGACGTGTGCAGACAGGTACGGACGCGAACAGAAAGGCTTCGGTGTGCGTCTCGCTTTGCGAAATCACAAATTGTCTATTCCAGATACCAGCGCGCCCACTGGTGGATATTTGTGACGCGTGGAGCTGTTTTGAACCCAAATACGAGGAAATCGAGAAAATCTAACTGCAAAAATGCAGCATGGAAGCAGGACGTTTGAACTGGTAGGCGAACTGCTTCAGGGGAAACATAATATGTTGATAAGTTAAATTTACAAAGAAAGTGTCTTTACAAAATGTCAGTAAACCGATAACCATAGGTTCACACGAACCTTAAACTGTGAGTAGTTCGTTTGGAGGGTCTCCCCTTCACAAATATTACATTTGAATAATTTTACCATGTATGGAGAGGTAAAATTGTGGAATATTTTGTGGGAAAAAAAGGTTCAATTAAGAAATGTAATAAATTAATTTAAATAGAGAATTAATACACTCCTTATTTATTAAGGTAATTATTAAGGTCATAATTAAGGCATGGAATTAAAATAGATTTGAATCTCTCACATTACAGGTCATTACAGTATGTCTTTGTCAAAATTGAATCAAGATTATGAGATATTTTATATTGCGTAAAGAGTAACAGGATTTTATTATCCTTTTAGAGAGATTATTCAATTCCATTACTGATTACTGATTTCTGGTGTCGGACTTACTCTTAAAAAGAAAAATGATACAGATTTCACTTCAAACATGGAAACGAAGAAGATTTGAGGAACCGGATTCTGTCTCAACTGAAAATAAATAGATAAACTGCTGGTGCTCCGTTTATATATGGTTAGGTGAATGGATTCTGACAATAGGAGTGTCAGTTTAACCAAGTAAAAACGCCCAAACACAAATGTTGACGTAGCTTAAAAAAGGATTAATCGTGTGGTTTTTAAGATCTAAAACCCACACGATTGACAATGTGCAGATGAAGGGCTACAAAAAAGCAAATACAGTTCAGAACAATTCATTGGAACTAACGTGCCTTTGAATTAAATGGACGGCAGACTATTCTGGCCCTGCAATACAAAACGTTTTCAATATGTCAATGCATCCACTGGCTCCCCCACTACAGTAGGCTGCTTTGCGGCGTTTTATGACGCAAACATAAAGACACGAAGAAGAAGCGCGGATTAACGGTCTTGCGTCTGCGCATGCGCCGGTGTCGGGGAGGTAAAATGGCGACGGGTGCCATTTCCATGGAATCGAAAAAAATAACAGAACTAAGAGTTGTGGATCTGAAATCCGAGCTCAAACGGAGGAATTTGGACACGTCTGGTGTTAAGAGCGTTCTTCTCGCACGATTAAGACAGGTAACCAGAAAAATAAGCCAATTTGTGCAAGGAAGGAAGGAAGGGGGGTTGCGGCGCTGCTAAAGCTAACGTTAGCTAGCATTAGCGTTGTGACCGATTTACAGCTAACTTAAGTCAGGTTAGTCCTTTTAAATAAATGTCCGCTGGCTGTTTAGTTCTGTCAGTGTGACTACAGCCCGGGTAAACATCTCTGTCAAAAAGGGAAATGTCAGCTAGCGCTAACTCCAGCTTGAATGGGTGCTATAAGGCTAACATTCAGCTGTGAGAGGAGGAGGCACAACAGACCTGCAAGGCCCGTGTAGGTTCCTCGGAAACAACCCGTGAGACCCGAAGAGTCTCAGTTTATCACTTTTACCACTAAGAGATTTCACTTGATAAACGTCAGCTGTTTGAATGAAGTGTCGTTAACTTAACGTTAATTGTTACGTTAGCAACGTGCAGGACCGTGCACATGCTCACTGCGCCTTTAAAAAAACGTCGGAAGACAAGCAGCTTAGTTTGTCAACTCTAATTTGTTAGGTTGATCCGGATGAAGTAGGGTTTTGTTGAATCTGTGGTATAAATACATATTTGCAATATTCATCCGATGACCCTTTTAATTTATTTAGATATATGATTGATTAATACCAACTTGATAAATATACATTTTTTCAAAACTCGCTTTGTTGTCAATTTAGAATGAACACATTTTTGGGCTTAACAGGTCTAAACTAACTTTATTACACTGTTTTGGATTATCAGAGCTTGAAAAGACTTTAATTTAGTTAGTTTAATTTAGGTTTAATCCTAAAATATTAGTCTATTACAGTCGAACTGAAGGTATCATAACCTTCACAATAGAGTTGAAATAGCGTTGGGTTTGGATAACATTTCATTGAATTGTTTGTATTAAATCTACATTTTTTTGGGGTAGGACAGACTGAGACCTGAAAATCTAACTTAATTCTATCCTTGAAGGAGCATGTTTTTTAGGATCCACCCTTCTCTTCAAAATAATTTGCGTCAAGATCTGTAGTTCAGTTTCTGCCTGATCAAAAGGCAGAAAGAGTTCATTACATTTTTGAGGGCTGCTGTTTTCTTATTGGTCATTACTTTTCTCCACAAGACTGTGATGAATAAACAAACTTAACCACGGTTAAATCCAATCTCGATTTAGTTTTTTATTTTCACACTTATTTGTGTCACAGTTCGGTCTTCCTGGCACATGAGTTTGCAATTAACTGGATGTTGTGTCTTGGTGAAAAACTGCTGAATCGTCATTTTGTTTGAATTCTATCGTTTTATAGGCTCTTGAGGATGAAAATGGTGACACAGAAAATATTGAAATCCAGCTTTCAACTGAAGCATCAAATCGCAAAAGTGGGAAAGCTAAAGGTAACCTTGCTTTTGATTCATTAAAGGCATCGGGTGGCTAAGCAATACCATATTCATTTTTTAAAATATATTTTTTCCCCGTCAGGGAGACGGGTGGATTCTGATGCGGACACAACGGGAGAAGAAGATGCGCTGTCCAAGGTGAATGACGTACATTTCTGTGGCATGGAGATTTCTCTATTTAGCTGTTTGTAGAGATGAACCAAGTTTTCCCGCCCGATTTCATTTGAACACAAAACGGTTAACTTACTTCAAAGATACGCTTGGCTATATTTAACCCTTAACTGATTTCAAAACTATGAGTTCAGTTCACACTGGTTGAAACTTCCGTAAATTATCAGGAAAGTAAATTAGCCACCGTATTGTCAAGCAATTTAAAACTACCGTGTGTATAGACAGTGAGTGAGCGTTAAAAATGAGAAGCGTTGGAAAGTGTTAACATTTCCATTATGGCCTGTTTGTTGAAGTAAGTACATATTTGTTGGCTTACCTCAGTGTTTTCTCTCCTAGGAAACTGAAGAATATGAATCTGAAAAGGGTATGTACAACATGCTGGTGTTCTTATTCGCAGCGCTAACATGAGGTCACCTCTTCTTTACAGCTTGCATTTATGATGAAATGACCTCCCGGTAGAATGCATCCCCCACATCTAGTGGTATTTCATGCTTCTGCTAGCAACTGTACTCTATAGGTCAGTTGTGCTTTGAAAAGAACAATGCATATATTTTTTTTACGTTCCGTTGGTTTAAATATGGCATTCAACTTCCCACATTGCCCACGGAGACTTAAGAGGTATGGTTCAGACAAGTTGAGATTTTATTATGTACATTGAATTGGAACAAGCTAGAACTCGAGGATCCTCGCACTTTCCTTCTGACATTTTGATGTCCAATTGGCCGGTTTGAATTCGTCACTACACTCGCCTCAGGAATCAGACGCCTCATTACACATTTTGTGAGGCCGCTGAATGAAGCCGGGATTTGGGTAGCTCAAGGACGACTAAACGCCGCCACTTTGTCAAGATGCTGAAGTCTCGAGTGAGGAGGCAACCGAAAGATCAAAAGACTTCATGCATTGCAGGCAACATCCAGGAAAATTGTATACGTTCCTGCCGGCTGACTGCAGCCCCTGCATGACGTGTGCAGTGAAGAGATACACACACACACACCGAGGCTCTGTACGGAAAGGACCGACGTTTGTGACCAAAGGGAGGACTTTTTCTGCACGGCTCTCCACAGTTGACCATCAACGAAGCCGGTTGCTCTTTATGATGAAAGATGCATTTTAAGAGCGCTCTGAAAATCTACTAATCAAACCCTGCTGATGATTTTTGAAGAAACCTCAGAAGACATGACTTTACGTGGACAGATCAGCCGCGGATGTATTTTGCACAAAGAAAACTCAAAGGATGAACTGATGAGTTGGTCTGCCTCATTTGAGCTTGGTCACGAGATTCCTACCAGGACATCTGCCACGCGTTGTAGGAAGCATCTGGAATTGACCGTTTAGTATGAATTAGGGCTGAAGTACTTAACATGTTTCAAGAAATGAAGAGCACTGAATCCTCCCCTCTCCTCGGAATCCGTGTTTTGTGTCGTCCTGTGGTGACTCTGCCCTCGATGACCATTAACACTAAATGTGCTTTCTATTCTACTTTTTTAGGTCAATTTACATGCGACATGTCAATGCTAAAAGTTGTGTTTTGCCATGTTTATCCTTGTTAAATCCCTCAGATGTAACTGATACAGATGATGGTACTCGTGAAAAGTCTAAGCCTGCACCCTGTGAGGACAGCCTTGCTCAGCCTGAGGCTGAGGCACTGGCTGAGGCTAAACCAGAGTCAGAAGCCGTGGCGGCTGAAGCAGATTCAGAGCCTGAGCCAGCGATGGATGCTGATCCTGAGGTGGATGCTGAACCTGAGCCAGAGGAGGATGCCGAGTCTGAGGCCGACCCAGAGGGCGATGCCGAGTCTGATGTTGACCCAGAGGAGGATGCCGAGTCTGAGGCCGACCCAGATGAGGGCACCAATCCCGAGATTGACGGAGAGGCCGAGCCCGAGCTGGAGACCGAACTGGCTGAGATGGATGCTGAAGCCATGAATTCCTCTAAAGAAGCAGAGGACGACCACCTATCCGTCTCAATCCCAAATGATGATGCCATCACCCTAGATGTTGATGGTGATGATCTCCTGGAAACAGGTAAACATGTGAAACTTCCAGATCCAGAGGCCGAGAGGGGCATTGATGAGCCAAACTCCTCTGCTGAGAGGACCCCAGATGATGACATGATGCTGGAAGAGACCGAGGGCCACAGAGATGATGGGTCCAGGAGCGATCCCTCGAAGAAAGACGGCAGAGAGGGCCTGAAGAAAGCCGAAATGGGAGACAAAGAAAAGGATTCTGGGAAGAAAGGCCCCTCCACTACTGGGGCATCAGGTCAAGCAAAGAGGTTTGTCTTTCTATGTCAGTTATTCAAGTCCAGCTCACTAAGAACGCAACATTGTGGGTAGCCTCAAGATTTTTCTGCCATAAGGAAAATGTTCACTGGTGTTCCAATTCCTGCCAATTACTACTGATTTATTTTTCTGAAGTTGGTTAAATTTTGATATCAACCAGCAGCTGAGAAAACACCTCTTGATTTGTTACTTTGGCCTTTGCAGCAGTTTTAAAGCCATTTCCAGTTTCTACAACATTGTAAAAGAGCGTTAGTACCCTCGATGGCAGTGTCTTTTTCTTTTCTTTTTTTTCTTATTTTTGATTCACTGAAGTTGAACAAACTTCCGAAGATTTCATTGGTCCAGGGGGAAAAAAATTGGCTGTCAACCTGACCCATCTCACCACTGGAAAAGCAATGAAGCCTTTGAGACTTCGGTTCGATCCATGCCTTGCCCACAGGATTTTTTTTACTGAACAGTATATAATATGGTGTTTTAATTCCACTAGATGTATTTGGTTTTATTTACACTCACTCATTTTACACTTGTTACAATATTTGCGTTTGTAGCTCTTCAAGAGACCGAGAGGGGAAAGCTGGCAAAGATGAGAAGGGTAAGAATTAGGTTCACGTCTTAAAAATACAGAATCCAAACTCATTTTATTCAACTTTGTGCAGTATTTGTTATAGCCAAATGTGTTTTGGAAAACGTCTATCAGGAGTCGTCAGCAGCAGCAACAGCTCTTCTCGTAACATATGGGTGAGCGGCCTGTCTTCAAACACCAAAGCAGCTGTCCTCAAGAACCTGTTTGGCAAATATGGAAAGGTAATCAACGTGTGCCCTTTTAATTTTAATAGACCCAAAACTGTGGCTTTTCCTGTGTTTTAATGTCCAGTGTCAAAGAAAATGTTTCAATTGCTTGCCAACAGGTTTTGAGTGCCAAAGTGGTTACAAATGCTCGCAGTCCTGGATCAAAGTGTTACGGCCTGGTGACCATGTCTTCCAGCACGGAGGTGACGCGGTGCGTCTCCCACCTCGACTGTACAGAGCTCCACGGACAGCAGATATTTGTTGAAAGGGTGAGTGAAGAAGCAGATGTACGGTCAAAATGCAACGCAATCCTTTTTCTTTATGGCAAAACATTTGGCCCCAAGTCATTTGTATTTCACTGCTTCCATTTTTTTTTCAGGCCAAAAATGATCCGTTCAAAAAGGAGAGCTCAAAGAAGGAAGCTGAGGACAAAGCAAGTTTCACCAAATCATGTGATAAGCGCAGCTCTACGGGGGTGAAACTGACCAACAAGTGGGTGACGGAAGAAGATGAATTATATGTTGATTAAATGCACATTTAACATTTTGTTCTCTTATGTTTAGAGCACAGCCATCTTACAAAAAAGAGGATAAGAAATTGGATAAACTCCCAGAAAAGGACAAAGACTTGTCCAAGAAACAGGATGCTAGAAGTGGGAAATCTGAGTCCGTTTCATCCAACTCTGGGCAAGATTCTTTCAAGAGAGATGACCGAAAATATGGCCGTAGGTTTTGCCACGCATTTCTGATTTAGAGTATATTTCCGTACATCTGTCCTTTGTGAATGTTATTGTTGTTTTTCTAGGGATGAAGAGTCCAGGCAAGATGGTCGTTCTACATCATCCCAAAGCAGACTATAATTTTGGCAAAATGAGACCTTTTAGGAGGGGACGGTATTTTGAAAAAGTAAGACCGTTTATTATTCTCACATTTTTTTTCTCACTTATTCTCATAAGTATTTTTTTAATTCCCTAAATAATAATACTACATATTTTTTCCTCAGCCGTTCGTCAACATGAATATTCAAAGGAGGCCAAAATGGTTGATTCCTCCTGAAGAGGTACAAACTCATGATGACTTTGCGGCTTTAAGAATCGGCTTTTAACACGTCTGACCTTTTTTAGAGCGTTTGAATTTTTATTTTCCCCTCTCCCAGTTAGAGATGATGAGATTCAAACCGCGACCTTTTATGAACAAGGGGGAAGAACAGGACATCCTCCCCTTTGAAAAGATGAAGGAGCAACGGATGCGTGAACGAGTGGCTCGTATTGAACGCGTTCGAAGAGCCGTGGAGTTGCGCAGGTAGACCGCTTAAGCTCACGACTTTGAAATTGTAGTTTGTTTTTAATGTAATGTCTAATAGTTAAATGAGTTTTTTTATTTGATTTTTAGACGGCGGGAAATTGCAGAACAAGAACGCAGGGAGCGGGAGAGCGTCCGGCTAATAAGGGAGCGGGAAGAACGGGAGAACCTGCTCCGGGAGCGTCAAAGGCTCGAGATGGAAAGACAGAAACTGGAGAGGGAGCGCTTGGAGAGGGAGAGGCTCGAGAGGGAGAGAATCCGTATAGAGCAGGTACAGAGAGGCTGCCCTGTACGGGGTCATGTGGGGGCGGGGCTTAAGTAGGATAACCGTGTACTACGCACTATGAGTAAAAGGTGTGCTGCATTAATTATCTTCTACACTTAAGTTTAATCAAGTTTGTTTTTTTAATTAAGTGTAGATTTGGAGAAATTATATGTATATTCATATATGAATCAAGATTTAAATGGTAGTTTAAATTGTCCATCTCGGGAATGAAGGATTATGTCTAACCGTCCTTTCAAGGACGAAGGTGATAGCAAGACCAGGTCAACTAGTGGCTTGTTTTTAAATGCATCTATTGCTTTCAGGAAGTATATGAAACCGCTCTTATTGATATTCTTACTCGTTCGAAAATGATGGTTTCTCGGTCATTGTTACGTTTATATATATATATATATATATATATATATATATATATATATTTTTTTTTTTTTACCTCATTCAGGAACGGCGCAAAGAGGCAGAGCGCATGGCGCGTGAACGCGAGGAGCTGCGAAGGCAGCAAGAGCAGCTCCGTTATGAGCAAGAAAAGAGAAACAACCTCAAAAGGGGTCGTGAAGCGGAACATGGGTATTTATAAGATTCAAAAATGTCTTTGTTTCCCTGCTAAATGGCAGCGATGGAGGTTTTTCCAGGAGAAATTCAGGCCAACTTATAAACCTTTTTTTAAAGCTCAGCCAATTTTCTAGTTAAAGGTTCTTCATGCTATGTTCAAAGTAATAATTAATTAATAATAAAGCAGCCAACAACAATTTGCTAAGTGAAAATATGGTGGAATAGTCGAGTAGAGAATGAAATCAAAGATCTCAACGAGGTATTTCATGTTTCAGCCGGAGAGACGATTCGTACTGGAATGGCAACAAGAAGATGCAGCCTGAGCCCGACGTCCGCTTGAACCAAGGCTCCAACTACAACCGGCAGCAGAACCGCTTTTCAAGCTTCACTCCCCGAGAGAGGGGCCGCTTTCCAGAGACTGCCGCCGAGCAGCCAAACACGTACGACAGGTACTGGTGACGCTAAAGGAAATGAGGGAGTCAGTCTTTTGACAATTACAAAAGAAACTACAATTACTTCACGTTTTTATGCATTCTCCCAAATAATAATGTTGCTCTTCATATCCATGCCTGGAATATTATAATGACGTGATGACATTTCCGACTTTTTGGTTTGTGTGTGTGATGTCACTGATCCCGTTCTGGTCCTCCCGTTTGCAAGGCGTAACCGGTTTGACGGTGAGCCCGAGGCAAAGAAGAGTCGCCCCGCTCCTCACAGAGAGACCTCTGGCTTCGAGCGCTACCCTAAGAGCTTTGAGACGGTCCGCCGGGCTGAGCCGGCTGCTCCTCCACGCGCCGAACTCCGGGACACCGACCGCAGGGACAGAGACGAGCGCCGGCCCGTGCCGATGCACGATCGGCCGATGGGAGCCAGGGCCGCGATGCACGGCATGTCGCACAACCGCTCGCCCAGGGACGGGGGCCATGGATGGAAGAACGACGGTGGCATGAATGCCAACAAGGGAGACATACGGTGAAAAATACAGTGCAGTTCGTCAGCGTCGTCTGTCGACCGTCGCCCAACAAACTGGGAAGCTAATTCATTATTTTTAAATCTCTCGCCTGCAGTAACGCTGCGTTGACCAGAGGACCTATGCGCATGCGTGCGGAGCGATCGGGCAGAGATGGTCCAGGCCCGGTTCTTAGAGGAGGCGCCTCGGCAAACCGCGGCAGGAGCAGCTTTAATGATCGGAGCGGAGGGAGGCCCATGGTGATGAGTGATCAGGTCAGATATAATATAGGCAGACTTTCAGTATTGTCTTTTTTGGGGGGGGGGAGAAAGTTAACTATTTTCAAGGCTTTAGCGAGTCAGCTAGTTCTGAAATCTGCTCCATCATCTGTTCAAGCTGGAGTTATTAAAAACTCCTATGTTGGTCCGGTAAATTCAGTCCCATACACCGTATTTGATATTTGCATTTAACACTTCAGATTCCGATCTTGTGTCTCTGCAGTCCTTCAGCTCTGGGCGGCAGGTCGTGGTGGAGCGTCACAGCAGGGATCAGGGACTGAGGAAGGAGTGGCACGGTGCATCGAGCTCCCAGGGTGGGGCCTTCCCTGATAATCGCAGAATGGGAGACAGCCGAGGCAGCATGATGGCTCCTGCGAGGTAAGCCAAACTTAAAATGAAGTGATGGCCAGTGAATAGTATGTGTGTCCCTCCCTCTTTTCTCAGCCTTCTTACATTAGTGCTGTGTTTCTTTTTGTGCAGTCACTCTTCGTCTGGAATGAACCGCATTGTACAGATCAGCAGCAACTCCATCCCCGGTGGTGGCAACGTGGGTGGATTCAAGCCCTTCAAAGGAACGCCGCGTCAGTTTTAGCTGCATCCAAATTCTGCCACTTTAAAGCACCTGGAAATGGAAAGACTTTTGGGAACTCTTTATTTTTAGAATATCACCTGTTTTAGGTGGCACATTTGTAGCCATGAGGTTGATAACGCTATTTTATCTTGTATAGAAAGTGTTTACCCTGATGTAAGTTTTTCCTGGCAGTTCCGTTGTTACTGTTAAACAACCCGGAGTACGTTTTACTTAACATTTAGGAGAATATTGTACAGCCCCAGGTCTTTAACAAGTTTTGAAGTAATGTTATGAACTTCTCCTCTGAGTGTTATATGTATATTTTCAACGGCATAGTTTCCCTCTCAGTGGTCCTGTGATGTCTTTGTTTTAGTGTGTTCGAGTGCATTGAAATGATCATTCACTCATTTGGATTTTTTTCTCTGTGAGGAAACGGATGACAGAGTATTTTCTTTTTTTTGAGGGGGGGGAAGAAAGTCGTACTTTGTGGATGTTTTGTAAAAAGTAGATTTGCTAAAACAATGTCAAACTGTAGAAAACTCTTACAGGTCATAGGTCGACTTGCATACAGGTCCGTGTCCGAAATAAAATTTGACTTTCAAATCAGTTTACTGCTGAGCTGTGTGCCTTCTTCAACGCGCCGTCACACTTCACTGCTAATTCTAGTACACTCGGTTTACCCAATCAGTTCAGTTATGTGATTTCGTAAATCACATGTGCCAAATATATCTTGATTCACACAGGCAGTAAATTGACCAATGTATATTTCAGGAACTGTTCATTGTTTTGTCCTTGTTACTGTTGGACCAACACGTCCCGGTCTGCCCTGCATGGATTATTGCACATACTTACCTACACACCTGTAAGGGAGTGGTGGTTGAAGCCTGAGTCAATTAAAACAACTGATGAGCAGCCTCGTTGCCTCCCCTCCAACCCCGGCCAGATTGATCCGTGGGAAGGATGTCGACGTTGTTCATCCTCTGTTCATTTCTTGGACTCATCTGATTAAACATGTTTATCATTTTTGGTTGTCCTCAGTGCTCATTACAAACAACAAGGCAACTGTTGATCTTAAGTATTTTATTATCTGGTACTTATAATCAAGTTAAATGTCCCTCGTCTATAAGGCATTGTTAATTTATATATATATATATCACCATATATATTATGTGATTGTGCTGTGAAAGGCTACATACATTATTTGGTCATTTCTGTAAATAGATGAACATTGAAATTAACACAATGGGGTAATGTCGCATATTCACACCTTCCTTCTGCTTGTATGTTTCATGTGGGCCATACAGTCGAAATGGTGTTCTCGGGGTAGTTACTCTGCCTAACTTTTCAGTTCACACTATACATGCACCACAAAGTACAAACTGGGAGTTTGCCATTACATTAAAGAAAATGTCTCCCTTTAGATTGTTCAGCATTGTGCGTCTCATACAGCAAGAATGAACATTTCCCTCTGCCACATAGACGACACACACACACGCAGCCTTTCCCGCTTCCTGTTTTTGTCAACGTTTGCTTGTTTGTGGAAAGGTTTGCAATAAAATGATGGATTTGGGACTTAAAAAGAATCTACCTGAATTATGAGTGTGCACACACACATTTTCTGCTGATTGAGTCTGGTACCATTATTTCCGTAAATTGTAGAAAAACTGCTTCTGTTCCACTCAAATGCCATCAATCTATGATTTTGTTGCAACTCTTCCTTGTCATATATGAGCTGGTACTTTAGTCTGGTATAGATTTACCCTTTATATATCAAATTGCAGCAAGTTTTATAGAAGCGATACTATATTTTACCAAAAGTAATTTGAACTTTAAAGCTCCAAAATGTTTACAGCCCCTTTTTCAGGATTAAAAAATGATTATTATTTCAGCTGGGTTTAACATACCCGCCTACCATGGCTGAAAATACGTATTTGGGCTATTTTCCTTTCCTTTTTTTTTTTAAAGGTACCCAAAGGACAATAGCACTCTTGCACAATTTATGTTCTGTATAAAATGAGGTATGTTTCTCTTCTGTTAGTGCATATCAATGTAACAGTGCAAAACCAATTACAACGACTATTTGTTAAACGACCACCTTGTCAAAACACCACTTTTAACAGTTTTTACCCCACCGTCACTTTTACAAGGCATACGATAAAACACACTTTGAGACACTGAACACGCAACATCCTTCTGATCCGTTCGTCTCAGGAACGAGGGTGAAACTATTACATTACAACAAAATATATAATTCTGATAGTAATGAGTAGGGATAGCAAGCAAATGCAGTGGTAAATCCGAAATAATATATGGCATTTCAGTCTTCACTCATACCAACACACACACACCAACCAACTTAAAATGTTTTATCTTCAAACAGTCAGAAGTGAAGTTAGATTTCTTAAACGTTCACTGCAATGTTTAATCAGCATGTTCACTTAACGGGCCAACATATAAATGAGGTGAAACAAAAACAAAAAATAGCACAATGCTGCCCAAAGCTTCCCCTCTGCCGTCATGCGTTCACCTCATGAGTAAGTGTGGTATTTACTTAAGCTGCATGAAAACAAAACAAAAAATCAATAAAAAGTCTACATGATTAACAATATTTCTTGACCCCGTCCTAGGTTTTTATTCCTACCAGGTAGTCCACGTTAGAGGAGCAGCTTGATTCCTATTTTAAGTGTTAAGTTAAACAATGAGGGTCTTAAATAACATAAGTTCCTTCAAGGTTTCAGAGTAGTTGTGTTGACACATAAGCAGACGCTGAGAAAGGAACTGCCATTACATGAAAGACACTGGAGGACACGTCCCTTCGCTAAAGGCCTGAGCGCACATCCGGTGGTGAAAGATGCGTGGATTGTCTTGGTCTGCTAACACGCCGGTTTTGCTTTTGTTCTATAAAATAGGTTGAAATGTTGTAAGGCTTTTTATATGTACAAAACATAGACTTGTTCGGGCCACAAACAAACATGAAGACCCTTGAGAGAGGGTTCCCACACAGCGGGGGGGGGGGGGGCTGCTGCCTCCATGTTGTCGTCCTGTACGGCTTGTTGTCTCCAAACAACATCGTACAGACAGCTTAACAAGCACTGCAAAGACCTCCTAGGACAACGGTCCCACTCATTCTGTAACCGAAGGCTTTGAGTCAAGGCATCCACTTGGAATGTGTAGATAGAAAAGTTTGTCTGCAGTCCCACGGTACAATAATGGCACAAACCACTCGCTAAATCCATCAGAAGAATGCAACAGGCAAATATATACATCACGTGTTTGCACACTGCAGTGAAATGTACACAGAAGGTAATACAATTCTGAATATATACCCTACGGCCCGGGACAGTTCAACGTGTGAACTGTTATTACTGGGCCTCATTTCCAACAAATAACAAATCAGAATTTGACATTTGTGAACTTCTACTCCAAGAGGCTCGAGGAGGAGGCTTAACAGAGTGAACTGAGATTAAAGAGGGCGAAAATATCTGCTGAGAGCAGGAGCATGAAATCAGTCAGATGACCTACATCATCAAGTGGAGTAGTTATGTGGATCTCCCTGTCAGAGATTTGAGGGGTTGGATTCAGGATTGTGGATCTGTTAATGTTCCCAAATATTAATTGAACTTTCACAGATTTGAGGAATAATACATGCAATTACAGAATACTGCTGTATATCTTTTCAAACCCGGACTGTAGTGGAACTTCTACATCCAGAACAGAGGAGATCGTGATTGTGCACGCACGCATAGAAGCACACTGCAGCTTTTCACGAAGCTTTAGGAAGAGAGTGAGACGGAAAAGGCCCTTCAGGACTACCAGATCTAATGTGCTAAAAGATGGTTGTGTCCCACACAGAAACCTCTTCTACCGTATTCTCAGTTTTCTAAAACGTAGCTTTTGTGGAGTAGAACCTCAACATAAAAGACAGCAGACACAGCAGAAAAAATGTGTCCTTTTCCAAATTGAGACTTACATCGCCGTTGCTCAGTAAATGAGACACGTATATAACACATCGATTTATACCCCACCTGTACACTACACACTACACACACACACACACACACACACACACACACACACACACACACACACACACACACACACACACACACACACACACACACACACGAAAACAACCACACATTCACATTCAAACAGACCAGAACACAACACCACCACACTCTGGTAAGGCAAATCTGAACAGGACAGCAGCGATGAGAATTGTTCCGTAGCTACAGTATCTGGCATTAATTCACCTTCACGTATGTACCGGTAGTGTTTTGTAGGGGCCACAGATAGTGTATAATGCAAAATAATAGGTAAAACTATCTCAGCTTAAAGACGCAGAGAAGCTACCTACTACATGCACGCATAAATAAAATGAGAATATTGGCATAACTTAAAAAAATGCACATCTGTCTAGAAAGGTTTTGGAAATATTGATATACACACACAAAAAAAGAAAAATGGTGAGAGGGAACTTTCTCTCTTTGACCCCCCACATCACAAATAAGAGTGCACTGTGCAACTTGTAACAAAGTGTAGCGGACTATGAAAGATAGCGGTGGTTGTCATGGTAGTGTCCCTTCCTCGGATGTACGGGTTCCACTGAGGAGAGCGGATAGCAGGCACCAGCGGCTTGGGAACAGCAAACCCTCCCGTAGTCTTTTTGCGTGCCTCCTCCAAATGTCTCCTTACCTTGTTTGCGGGGGGGGGTGTTGTGAGTCCAGTCCGTGGAGAAAAAAATGCTATCCCCTTTCTCACAGATAAGCAAATGCACAAAACGCACAGGTACACAGTATATGTTACAAAATAACACATTTGTCTTTATCCTTGGATTCTTTCTTGGCTTTGCGCTCCCCGCCCGAGGACTGTTTTCCCGGGCTGGGTGCGGCTCCGGCAGCTGCTGCCGCCGTCCCAGCGCTGGCCGGTGCTCCGCCTGCTCCTGCGCCTCCTCTGTCCGGCTCGACTCCCTCGGCCGGCCCCTGCTGGCCCTGCTGCACAAACGGGACAGTTATGTCCTCCTGCATGTACGCGGATGTCTGCATATAACAGGCACAGCTACCAATCCTTCTCAACTCGAACATGGTGATCAGACAAATATGGCAGCTTGTGGCCATTAGAAACAAATTACTTCACCTGGAGAAATGTTTATGGTGCCATTCAATCATGATTGAAGACACAAGAATGTTGGGAATCTCCTCATAAACAAGGTATTGGGTAGTGTTTGAATATAAATGTATAAGCATACCTTAATATAGAACCACCCCAGTCCGACTCTTCCCTCTATGCTACATTAAATGCCACACATTGTCCCACTTCTCCTCCTTCGCTCACTTGCTTTCACCCCTCTCAACCCCTCCCTGTCCACCTGTACCTGTGCTGCTGCAGCCGCCGCCGCCGCCGCTTGCTCCTGCTCTTGCTCCTGGTAGTACTGGGAGGCTCGTCTGTCCTCCTCCTCCTGAAGTTTTTTTGCCAGCTCGAGGTCGCTGATGCCCTCGGGAAGCTGCTCCCACTGCAGGTCCTGACTTTGCTGCTCCTGCTGCAGCGACAGCGCCATCAGGTAGTCCTGACATGAACGTGCAGAAAGGGGGACAGGGGCTTGATGATTTAGGAGCAAAGCTTTTAATGTGACATACTGTGATCTGATCCCTGAGCCTATAATGTAAACCAAGCCACACGCCAGCATTCTTCCAATCCACAACTCATTTGGGCCATTTGGGTCGGACTTCATTCATTTTCATTTTCATTTCATTTCATTGTACTTTCATTGTATCTTCATTATTATTTTGGTAGTAATTAGATGAGCTGCAATGTATAAAACCTCCCTTTATGCTGTTGCTATCTATTATATTAGACTCAGTATCTTTTAATATGTAATTTACTTTTTCAATGACAAAAAGATCCAATTTCCAAACTGGGGTCATGACAAGTTTTCTTCAGTCTAACAGCATTGATTACAAATGCAGAAAATTGCCTGAATGGATCTTTCTCACCAACCCCATCTTGGAGATAAAGGAGGTGCTGGGCCTGAGCAAGCAAGGAGAATAAAAAGTAATAGCCTCCGTGCACGTGTCCAGGCTAATCTAGTGTAGTGTGGATTGGTACAAAGGCAGACGATTCATCAGCGAGCTCTGCTGGACCCTCTGGCTGACTAGTCAGAGGCGATTTTCATGTGCGTTGAAAAAGCAGGTAAGAGGAGCTATAAAACACTATTGAGCAACTTTCTTTTCTTTAACGAAGGATGAAGTGAATTTTTTTTATATCAGGTTTCTTTTAGCCTCTCCTTTCCTTCAGTGTTTCTCCGATTAGCACAGTAAAGACCAGTATGACCTTACTGGTCTGGAATGTTGTCTCTGCCTTTGTGGTACACTGATGGCGTGAAAAAGCACATTGTATTAAAGCGCACTTGTGGTTTTGGAGTGGATATGTTGCTGCTTCTGCCAGTCTTGCCTGCATCAGTGCTCAGACCTGGTCTATCTGATCCTGCTGGCCGCGGTAAACAGTCTCTGGATCGGAAGGAGGCCGCAACCGGAACTCAGAGTCACAGAAGTTGCCGTCTCCGTCGACATTGTGCAGACTTTCCCAGACGACCTTCTCCTCCGTAAGGAAACCTTGGTCTGTAACTAGGAGGTACAGCTGGCCCTAGGAAACCAGCACACACACACACATATTTCATCAAGTGTCCCACTGTATGCAGACTTACAGGAATTCATGTACTTCTAAGACGCAAACCCCAAAATGACTGAATGGCCTGTCATCCCGTGTGATGGGTGTGCATCTGACAGGGCAGCCGGGTCATTTCAAGAGAACGTGACGCTTTGTCTGAAGGGTTATAGGTGATACGCACTACTTCGCTTGCCAAACGATGATAATACTATTCAAAATTAGACAAAGCAGCCTCCGCTTCCTCTCCTGCAGATAACAGGAAAGGTCTGTCCAGGCCACACGGACACGGAAAGCCAGCTGTGGGCAGGCACTGTTTGAGATGGGATGCAAACCTAATAAAGGGTCATCATCGTGGGTCTAAATCTGTTACGCGGAGACGCAGCTTTGAAGGACATGTTATGGCAAAGTCTGGGCGGTGAACAAAGCAGGAGAAAAACAGAAGCTCTTAAGCTCTGTTTGGAAGAGAAACAGAAAATGTAGATGGCAAAACCTGATTGTAAGTTATTGTTGTTAACCTACTGCGGTTAATAGCAAAAGTAAAACCTCAATTAAATATTATTCAAGGCGTTTCTTTTAAAATGAACTTGTTGTCAAAGTATAAGTATACTGAATAGCCTGAAGAGAAACATTTAATTAAAGCAAATGTATGATGTAAGTGTTTACCTTGTATTTGATCATGGTGCTGAAGTGGTTATTCCTGAAGAAGACACAGAGCTCTCCCTCCTGCACGGTGGACGTGAGCTCACACAAGCCGTGGTACGTGAGCTGAGTGGCCGTGCTGTTCAGAAACTGCTCCGCCACGATGCCTGCGGGGGGGGGGCGAGAAGAGGAAGAGACACATACAGGAACACCAGAGAAGGAGAGATTGTGATTGATGAACTAATGAGGAAACATGGAGCCATCATGTAAATGTGCGTATTTCGCAGTGATCTTGTGTCCACGTTGCATGTGAGCGGGGGAAGTAGGTCATTTGATGAGCGGTTACGTCACGTGTCTCATACTTAGTCTGTGGCTTTGTACAGAATGTCTTTGCACTGGACAATCCCCTAAATATATGACAAGTAATGAATGTCCCACTGAACTACTGCTTCCACTACCCACCGAGCATGACTTTGTTTCTGCTTTTCTCCACCTCCAAGAAGACAGAAGGGGAGCGGGGATGAGGGGAGAGGGGAGGGGGGGGTTGAGGAAGGGGGGAGGTGGGTCACGCAGGCCACAGGGAGTGAAGAGAAAGGACTCACCTTCCCCTGCCAGCTCGCTGTTGTCTGACTGTTTGCATGATATTATCTTCTCCACCAGCTGGTTGTAGCTGCAGTTGCCCACTGCCTTGACAGTGTCATCCATCTGCAAACAAGAACAACAAAGAATATTGCGGATGCGTCCAACTGGTTCACTAAAAGCAAAGGAAGACAAAACCACAACTGGAAGGGCAAAAAGGAGCAGGAGCAGCGTGAGAGTGACCTGCAGCAGCTGGGTAGAATACTTGATAACTCGTAGTGAATTTAAGACGCGTGCAGGAGAGGGAGAAGGGCTATAAAACACATTTGTTCCATCTCACCTGCGGGTCAACCAGCCAGCCGTGGTAGAGAGGGATGTCGAGCAGGTCAAACACAATGCATTCTGGGGTGTACTCGAAGACTCGCACCCCTGTGAACTTCACGTTCACATCCAGACCTGTCTGCAGCTTGTGCAACACTGCCATGGCATCACTCATGTTCTGGGAAAGAAGGAGAACAGCGGTTCAGACCTTCGCTCAGAAAGTTGGACAAACAATGCAGCAGAAGGATTAAACAACGGGAACATAAGATGCACACAATCAAATCTCTTACAAACAGCCGGCGTTGACTGTTAAATGATTTGTGGTTGTCTGCACGCAGTCAGCATAGCTGAAGCTATCAGCGATTGCTTTTTCTACCAATCAAGAAGCCATTAGCTGCCATTTATTCCTGTACAATACAAAAACAGCTTCCTTACACTCGCACCTTGATTGGTTTTAAAATTAAGATTTCCTATTTATGTTTACTTCAATGGGCCTTAGTTGACTGCTTTCATATTTCCTGCACTTTGTTTTGTTTTGCTTAATAAACCTACAACCACAAGAAGGATTGAAGGTCGCTGCCAGGAAACTTTTTCATATTACATTTCTGAGTGAGCTCTTAGGCTCATCGCTATGAGACATGATATTAATATCACGAAGGGAGGACAAAATATAAGGAGAAATGGCAGAATAATGCAATCCACTGGCCCCACAATAAACCCAATGTTTGTTTTCTTTTCGGCTTTAATAGCTGACAGGAGACACATGACAGGAAATTGAGGGAGAAAGGAGGGATGACCAGCAAAGCAATAGTTATACATTAAAGATTTAGCTGCACAATAGATTTAATTCAGCAGTCTTTTTTTTCTTATAATTTTTTTTTCTGTAGGAGAAAGGGTTTAAATAAATACATGTATAAACAATTTATGTAATTTCAATGAATGAATGACGGAATGATTCAAGAGACTGTTTCCACTATTCATCTTCAAATGATCCGAGAATATTTGATCACGGCACGGTGATAACCTTGAATACACACGCATCATGTATATGCCATATAAGTCACATGCACAGATCCACACAACGGTGAACCCCACAAAATAAACTAATTGTTGCATCACGTCTTAGAGCAATGTTCCCCAGCTGGCTCTAAACCTCCGGTGCAAATTAAGTCTGGGATCAGGGTAAGTGACACAGCTGAGCCCTACAACTCTTTCATGTGGCTGTGAGGGATTTCCATTTGATTTCAAAGCTTTCACAATCAACTACTAGAGCATGTAGACAGCCGTGAAGGACTTGAAAGCAATTACTTTAGAGATGTCCAAACAATGTAAACCCGATTCTACAAACTGCAGATTTATTTGCAGTTGACCAGCTTTGAAACAGGGAAGAAAAATAATAATAATTCATGTCAATAAACAAATATAAAATAATAAATATAGAAATAAAAAGTGTTTATTTCATTAGGTACAAAAGGTCCGGTTTAAATTACAACATTGGAACAAAATTCCATGCACTACACAATCGGTTTGACTATTTTCACAGGTGACATTGCTAATATTCTAAATAACATTCAACTATATTGTTGACCAGCTCACCTTAACGCTGTAAAAAAAACAACACAATTTTTAGGGGTGATTTTTTTCAATTGCCATGATGTATTGCAATCCCCAAAGATGTATAGTTAAATTACTAATGTTTTACATTTTTATTTGCTAATGTCCAGCCTTCAAATGCAAAAAGAAATGAGCGAAAGGTCAGAGAACAGTGAACACACTCTATTTTCCATTATTTTTCCACGAGCTGTGAGATCCAGCCGGCCCATCGGAGTGTGTGGATTAGGATGCTCATGAGCAGAAGTGACGTGGGGATTAGCGGGGCTGTGTAATGGACCGTGCCTCTTTGTTTCAGGGCAGAGGGATGCAACAACAGATGAGCACTTGGAGATGATTAGCATAGCATCACCTGCATTCATCCGTGCTTGTGTTGCACTTCCACAGGACAATATGAGCGTAGTGCTTCGCAGAGGACTTTCTGCATTCTTACATTCACTCTTTAACCTGGAGGTTTACGGGAAGCCTGTTTGCTTGACTCGCTGTGTTGACTTACACCCAAAATGTACCTGAAAACATGAACCTGAGTAGATATATTTAACTGGTAGTTGACTGAAAATGGCATTCCAGTACCAAGATGAGGAATTTGGTTGGTTCTCTCATCTATTAACATTAGAGTCCACTAGTTGATAATGGGTGTGTGGCAGTTAAAACTTGCCAACTAGCTGCCAAGAAAAATAAAATGTGTCTACAAAAAAGCATTTCCCGAAAAATGAGCCGTTTTTTCAGTTCGCTGAATGTAAAGGTTATAATACAAAATTCATGCGAAGCAAGAAAATAAAAAAACGGTTTTACGACATTGTTAAATTAAGCCATTTTCAGGGAATGCAACTGTTAGATATTTTCAATTTTCCATTGTTAACTTAAAGAGCAACCTATCAACCACGGTACGAAAGTAAAACATTACATAATGCTGTGACCCACCAGCAGAAGCTGTAAATAATGAACACTTTACAAGTCTGTAATGTCCCACAATGTGGGTCATACTTTCATGGATCCTTCCACTAATCAGCAGCTGTCAGTGTTCTACATTTCTGCAGGATGCCTCATCGCTCTAAACTACAGTTTCTAACGTTTGTCAGCACTCCTTCACACACATATGGTAAGTAATTATGAGCTTGAATGGAATCCCTCTCCAACAACCTGTTCAGATAGAAAGCACAGTCTCTCCATTTACTCCCGTTATGAGCTTTTAGGATTGAAAAACATTTCTTTCTTTCTGGCATCACCATCAGCGCTTTCTCATCATGCGGTCGCCTCACTTAATGTCTCCGTTTACTCAATTACAGATTGATTACTATTCAGAAAGCTTTCAGTTTGATTACCGGGGAGGCCACACAGCATTCACTCATCAGCAAACAGGCGAGGGGTTAATGGACATATGCAACATCTGAGAGAGATGCTTTTGAATGCCAAGCTGGGATTTTATCAGCTTTATTAAGAACAAAGGGTAAAGCTTTGATACGATTTTCGTGAACAAATCCCCATTACTGTAAACGACATCAAATTAAAACAAGAGGCTTCTTTAACAGGATAACCCATTTCCTTTAATGTCCGAACCGTCATCCTGCATGAATTGACTTGAGCTGAACACCAAACGAGACCAAAACCGAGAAGGAAAATAAAGGTCCCATTTCTTCAAGTAAATATTTAACAATAGCTAAAGAGCAGCCGTGCAACTGCTATTTTAATCCTCCATACGCTCGTATGGCCAATGCCGTTTTTTAAGCTCAATTTATAAATAGAACCACTCCTGTTGTGAACTCCTGCAGCTCTTTTTTTTTTAGAGTGGGTTCAGTTGTATTTTCTAACAATCCGATAAGCAATGAAAGCACATTTCTCCAAGGTACAAACAAGAGGACACCTTTTGTTTGACATGCACATAAACACTTTCAGACTGGCGCTCTCTAAGCTCCCGAGACCTCTGCCCACCGCGGCCTCCGAAAACTGTGTCAACCACAGCACACGGACGCGAGGACACCCACGCGCTAAAGAGCTCTCAGGCCCGGGTCTAGGATTAGACTGCCATAATAACTGTGCAACACAACGTCTTACCACTACTCTACTTCAACAGCGCATGCTAAGGCCACCACTGATTTATTCAGGAGGTGTATTTCAGGCAAACTTAAATTTAGAGCGGCATTTGCGTCCGTGAGGAGCCTGCGCATTCTTTCTTTTTACTCTTTGAATGTAGGGACAAGTGTGCCTTCAAATCATTTACAGATGTGCTGGTGTTCTGCCAGAGGAGGCCGGGCCTCTCCCACACCATCAGCGGTCAGTGGAGATGGCAGGAAGCAGGGGAACACACACACACACACACACACACACACACACACACACACACACACACACACACACACACACAATAATAGCCCGGCACAGAACCCAGCCATGCGTCTCTAAGCATTCACAGCCGTGTTAACCAACATAATCTGACGCTCTTGACCCATGTTACTTACTCCCTGGGCCTTGCAAGGCACATCTTATGTAAACTATAGAGCGGCGGGGGAAAATGCTAAGCTGTGGTTTGTAATGAAACATCCACTGACCTTCTCTGCTAATTCAATGCAACTTGACAAAGTCTTGTTTCAGTGAAGGCACCGAGCTACCGAATGCCCGTCGGAGCAGCGTGCGCGCACGTTGAATACTGTGGGGAAAATACATCAGCGATGACGGTGAAAACAGCTGAGAGTGTGTTGACGAGACAAAGTGAGAGCTCATGTTCAACTTGTCCAGCTCTGGTTTCCAAACAGGGAGGGAGTTATTCCCAAAAGCGCTGCGCTCCTAAAGCACTATAAACAGTCAGCAGCTTACTAACGCGCACACACACACACACACACACACACACACACACACACACACACACACACACACACACACACAATAAGCAAAAACACATGCTTGTTCAATGATAGCATTCAGCAGTGATGATGCAGGACTTACCTGCTCATAGTTTAGCCGCTGAGCCTCTGTTATTTCTTTAGGCTTGGTTTCAAGAATGTAGTCACCTGCCGTGTGACAGAGGGAAAGATATGTTGACTCACGTTCCACATACATAACAAAACAATCCCTGCCTGGACTGATCACAGCAAAGGCTTCGTAGCTCAAGCCTTTCATACGAGTCGGATCTTGTGAGGGGTTTTTATGAGATGCATCGGGGGTAGATGGGTGTTGGGTGTTTAGCACTGGCCAGCTGTTTTCTCAGTCAGTCCACCTTGTTGCCACCTGAGAGCTTGTACGACTCGGCTCTGCAGCGGCCCGACCACAACGCCTGGACCGGACCTGTTGTAGTTTGCTGTACTCTTAAAGTAAATCAAGGGGGGAATAATTTGGACTTTATAATTGTAATGATCTATGAGCATGATGGAACAAATGAGTGTTCTGCATGAACTGAACTTAAAATGATACACCAGTCAGGTTAATATACTGTTTGTAGTGGAGTTCTGCAGCACGTCTTTAGCAGGTGGTGGACCTCAATGACCACCACCCACTAAACGCCACATCTCAACCACATCACCAATTATCAGTCTTGGTGTGTTTGTCTGTTAAACACGGGACAAGAACAGAATCATTGTTGTTGTTGTTGTTGTTGTTGTACACAGGCAAAATTCTCCCAAATCCACAACAAGTTTTTTTAGAGAGAAATCTGTTTGAAACTGAAATTCCAGCATTATTAAGAGGTAATTTATAGAGACAAGAGCACAGTTTGAGCAATGGATGGAAACAATTTCAACTATTACTGTGAGGGGAAAATCCCATAGCTGTAATGTGGATTATTTGAGTCTACTTATGGCAGTGGATGCTAAAAGCCCTGGCAGGAGACACTAGTGAAGACCAGCCTCTGAGGAACCCCTGCTGTAACCACGCACTCTGCTTTGATACTGTCAAGTCATTTTTAGATATAAAGGGGCAGGATACAGCCAGAGAGAGAAGATAGCTTCGGTTTCCTTTGGAACAGAAGCAGACTTAATCATGGGGGAATCCTCTGTTCTAGTCGCTTCCTCTGTTGACTGGAACATATACACACACATACAGATCTGACCTCTCAAATTTGAGAGGACGTAAAACACTAGAATGTTTACAAGCCGGTTGAAACTCAGTGCCAGTGGATTTATGTTCCACATGTGTTTTAAAAGAGTGGACTTATGGGTTATACTATCTGAAAGCAGGTCAACATATTATTAGTGTTAAAGTATGCTACGATGCGGCATTAACTTGTTTCTGAGTAATATGTTTAATAGCTAAAACAAAACTCACCAAGATACTCCATCAGTTGCTCAACAGTTATAATTTCCATCATAGGCGGCATCTTAACCTGCAGCAGTGAGACATGGACACCCATCGTTCATTCATTGGTTAGGTATTTATCAAACAAAGCACTGCAACACAAGTTAACTAAAAAAGGTTTTAAAAATATGTGTATTTCAATATGCACTAACATGTCATTATAGAATAATAACTAGTGGCAACATGTGGCGATAAATCGGGACTGATGAGGGTTAGAGATGCCCTTGTACTCATAGATGTAGTGTAGGATGTGTATATTAACCATAAGCAAAAACGAGTCTTACAAGAAATGGTCCTTAGCCCATCTAGCAAAATGAGGGACAATATGGCCTTTTTGAAGGTAGTATCCATGTAATCGATCTGGTCTCTGAACCTTTACCTTCCACGCAAGCAGAAGCACATTCATGATTGCCAGTAGTGGACAGGGGCCGTTCTCGTTTTGGGTGATGATCGCAGTGCTCTCCTCCCTCCACTTGATCCACTTGATGTGGTACATGGGCTGGCCGGCGGCTCGGTCCTTTGCGCTCGCGCTCTTTGTCCCGTCAGCCGGGTGCTCGCCCTGCAGGGCCAGAGCCAGTCCTCGGTCCTCCGGCCCCTCGCTGTTCAGGTCGGAGCTGGGGCAAGAGTTGAGGTTGGAGAAGGACTCGAGCGAGTCTATGCTCCTGGACTCCCCGCCGAGGCTAGGGTCGGGGTCGCTCCCGCTCGGCAGTCCCTCCGATGAGGTGCGATCGCCGGACAGCCCAGGTTTGACGCCCGCGCCGATCGCTCGGTCCGGACACGGCTGGGTCGGTTCGGCAAGTTGCGTCGGTTCACTTTCTCCACGGGCCAGAACATCGTCCCGTGCACGCGCGCCTTCCTCGGCAAGACGCGTGCACGGGCTGTCCGCTTCGGTGTTTACTAACTCCGAGGCACCACCCTCGCTATCTTCTGCAGGCAGCATCGAGTCGTGCCCCATCCCGTTACTGATCTCATCCCCGAACCCCGAGCCGCGCGTCTCCGAGTCGTTCCTCTTACCCTCCGGGAGCGGGAGCGCTTCGGAAACGCCAGACTTCGCAGCACTGGACGTGACATTAACGTGGCTGGGAGCGCTGACATCAGCGGTGCTGTTATTGCAACTAACGTTGACCAAAGTGCAGAGAGGAGCGTCACTATTCTTGCATTTCTCGGACGTTCCCTTCACTACGCCGACAGTCGTAACATCGCCCATCTCTCCCGCAATCGGGGCACACAAAGAGCTCCCGCCGGTGTCTCGATGCGGGTTTGCATTTTTCTCCATTTCGAATGACAGACTGTCGACAGATTTTTTTTTTAGCTCAATTGCAGCAGAAGCTTCGGTCCCGAAGACGCCATGACAACTCTGCAAGTGACGTCATCAGAGTGAATCGCTTTCAGGCCGAGCAAAAGGGGGCGGGAGAAAAAACAACGGCTAGGCGGAGATGCATTTGGGGGGGCTCGCATTCGTCACATTATTAGGTTTATCACTTTTATTTAATGTATGTGGCGTTTCCGAGATATTAATTATAAATGGGTATTTATAGAAACGAATATGGAATTATCCGTGTTTATATTAGATATCTTCCCGATTTCCTTTACAAGTGTTGTGTAATTAATTATCACGTTGTAAATGTACGTGCATTTACCGCTATTGAGAGTATTTACTTACGAGTCTTATCGTAAGCATAATTGAATCCTCAGTAAGGTAGCCAAATAAATATTTAATTACAACCGGAGTGTGTATGGATGTATTCAACATGCAGCTACAAATGCCAATGTAACGTTAGTTGTCTGTCTGTCCAAACGGTTGAAAAGTGCCTACTTTTACCAGTATTCCTGAACGCAGCTGAACAGAACCCTGCCGTGCCCTGAATCATCCTCACGCATTGTGAAGCGATACAAATCTCGCGTTGTCAGCCCGCTGTATTACCAAAGAGCCTACAATAACAATAATTATTATAAATAATGTATAGTTATCACCAATATCGTTATTATTGATATACTTCATTGCTTGCACTGTCCAGATAGACGATATTTTTAGAGAACAGTGCCAGCTGAGTTTGAACTTCATTCATTGTTTGGACCCACAGTAATATGTTTTTCTATGGTGGCGTGCAAAAACCCAATCGCCGTTAATTCAAATTTAATATAAATAACTGTATCTATCAATAGCTTATACTTCGGTATACTTAATCTGTAATATTTTACCCACCATGTTTCATAAAGTCTTCTGTCCATCCACATGCAGCAAATATTTATAGCCGCTAGGTGACAGCAATGACTAAACTACGAGTCCCAAATCATTGATTGATGGATAGATACTTTATACTTTAATCATCGCCAGGGGATACGTGTGTGTGTGTGCGTGTGTGTGTGTGTGTGTGTGTGTGTGTGTGTGTGTGTGTGTGTGTGTGTGTGTGTGTAGCAGCAGTAAGTCAGGTTAAATAGACGTATGGCATACAGTAAGTATTGCTAATGCAATTGAAAATGCACAATATAGACAATATAATAAAATAACAGAGCAGAACATGTTACATTAAATTTGAGAATTCAATTAAATATAAGAAATACTCGTATATACAGCGTATGTGAGTAACGTTATGTTTTGTATACTAAGTGTAATACAATTAAATTAGAACAGTAGTACAATGGTTATTGGTATTAAATCAAATCGAGACAGCAGTGTATTGGTTATTGGTAATGGTATTAATAACGTTATATATGTTTGCCACTGTGTACACATGCATTAGTACATTTAGTTTATTTGGTTAGTTTCTTGATGATCCTTCATTTGAGTTGTCATGCTTGTTCGCAGATCGCATTGTTTTGTTGTCGTGGTCTCAAACCGAGTGGCGTTCTAGACTTGATACGCTGTTGTTTTTAGACCTGTGACCACAGTAATGCAGGAATGGGTGTGTCCGGGACCTCTCGGGCGAAAACACTCCGGAAGGGAGGAGGAGGACCGACCTGTCTGTCTGTCGACCCATCCGTCTGTTGAGCCGTCTGTCTGACGCCGGGCTGCGGAAGTGTGATGTGATCTAACGTCAGCCAACTAGGAAGTGCGACTACACCTTTAAGCGAAAGGAAACGAAACAAGGAGCAATCAGCGGTATCGCCGCTGGGTCACGTAGTTAGCTAGTTCACTGGGCGTACATGGGATGTCGAAATGGTGTTTTTTAAACTAATCCTCGTGTTTTGCTGCCTCCGAGACATTACAGGTAAGTTCGCTGTCGAGCCACGCGGAAAAGGGAGAGTGTTCGGTGCTCGTCATTTGGAGCTAGCGCTAATCCGGTCAGGCACTTGTACTCCGGCGGTCTTAACTCGCTAGCTACCGTTAGCTGTTAGCGGGCTAATGCTCATGCTGAACGGACGCGTTTGCTAACTTGGTGTTTACTCGTTACTTCAGAGCGCGTTAGCCCGCTCGGACCTTTCGGGTGTCGCGTGTAGGTGATGAGGGACTCTCACGGACAAGCAGTCGGTGTTTTTGACAGTTTCTGGTGGGGGGGTCGGAGAGAGGGAGGGGGAGAGAGGGGGGGACGACAGTTAAACTACCGTTGAAGTCTTAACGTCTACAAACGGCTCAAATTGAGAGGAAGAGGCAAACGTTTATACACTCTTATGATGCATAGCTACATGTTACATGCATGTTACATGTTTACTAGTTTGAGACTCAAACAACTTAAGTTAGTTTAACGTTACTGGAAACGTTTACTTGATCATGTTCTTGTTTTCTTGTCTCAGCAGGAATGAGTAACACGCTGTGGGCTTGTGTGGGGAATCAAATGTATTTTGTTGAAATGGTGTTTTTCACCTTACAATTATTCAATATAACCGATAACGTTAGTTCATTCTTTAAGGAATACAGCATCATATCCCTTTGACTTTTAACTGTTGGGATGTTGATACAAATATTTATGTAATTTCACGTAATTTGGACCTGACCTGTTAATTAGTTAATTTCCATCATGAGCATAATACTGAATGCTGAGGAATTATCTTCAGTTTTCAGACAACCAAAAGCCTTTTAACAAGACATCTAAAGGAACATATCGAAACAAGGGCTTTGTCTTTCTTATTGAAAGCTCAATCACTTCCAATAAAAACATGCTTGGGAGATATCAGTGTTTATAAGTCATATTTTCTTCTAGGAAAAGGTGGGTTTTGTCCTGTTGTTGGAATGGAACACTCATTACTAACCATTTCACTATTTGACTAACTTTAAAGCTTGTATCACATATTTTTCACGGTGCTTATCTTTTTGTCCATTTGCTTTGTGTGTTTCAAAATGTTCACTATGTGATTTGAGACACAGGGCTACAACATTATTTCTGCCTTCTCACTGACATATTAGCCCAAAGCAATGGGAGCAGCATTGTGCCCGAGGTGTTTGCACGGTGGGAATGTTGGGAACATTTCTGAGGAAGTCAGTGTTTCACATAAACCAGTATTTGCCACACCTCCGGCATGATGGTATGGATCCGATTTGTATAACTTCTGTTATGACTTCTAGAATGACAGTCTTGGTGGGAGTGAATGCTCGCAGGTTACAAACAGCCCTCTTCCTGTTATTTTACCAGTTCTTGGTGACACTCTTGTTGAGGGCATAGAGCCATTTGAGTTTCCCTGAGCTTCGGGGGGTGTTTGATGGGTCGTGGTTGCCTCTCTGCCATCACCCGGCATGCGTTGTAATGTGACGATGGGATGTGATGTCCGATCAGTTGTGATGCATGCTGTTACCCGCTGTTCCTGTCAGCGCTTTCTTCTCTGCCAAGATCTGCTCTTGAGCCTCTTGAGGCTGAGGCAGATTGCACGGAAACACTGATGACATTTCCTTTACAGGGAAATAGACTGCCACAGGCCGCTTTCGTTAAGACACTTCCTCTTATTGCGGTAATGTATTTAGGCCCAATTAAATTAGCATTGTTCTGTCAAGTCATAGCAGAAGAATTTAAAATGCATTATATTTATATTATTTGTTCAAAACATTTAACAAATCCATTTGGGTGAATATTTAGTCATGTTGCAATTGCAGATTATAAAAGTATTTACGTTATTATAGAAATAAATAAACCCCACTTTTTACATCTAAGTCCTACACGATAGTTGGATCTTTAGATGGGAAATTTTTTTGTATGATTTTAAACACAACTGTTGCAGCTGCAAGTCACTAGTATCCCAGTTTTGTTATATTCATGGTTAGATATTTACAGATGCCCGAGGAGATAACCATTATCCAAGTTGCAAAGTGTCTGCCCCCGTCCAGGTGTGTCTTTGTGATTTGGTTATCTGAGTCCAGGATAGGAGGGCAACAAACAGGTTACCTCAGTGCTCCCGATTATAACCAGGGTGCTTGTGCACATATAGAACTATACTGTATTGTTATGTGTTTGCCTGTGCACATTATCTTTTTTTATTTTTTTATTTTCTGTTTTATTTTATTTTATATACTATTGTTAATTTACCAGGAAATTATTCTCTTTCTTCCATGTGTGTACCACCCACCATGACATTTTCCTTGTATGTCCAACATACTATTACTACTACTTCTATAGTTTCTAGACTTCTTTATATATATATTTTTTCTTTTCAACATGCTTTGATGATGAGCAATATCCCAGAAATGTCAGACTTCCTGCTTAGTTGTTTTGCAATCCATCATCTGCTCCTAAATCCCCCTTGTGCTCTCCCATTATTACATAATGAAGTTGTCACATCCTACTCAGAAAGCAGATAGTGGCAATCTGAGCTGGCAGGGTTTGTTTTTGTAAAAAAAAAACATTTTTCCTGATTAATGGCAGCCTTGTTTTATCGGTTGGTTTCCAGGCTTTCCTAGTCTTATTTGCTGTCTTTATTTTCATTCGTTTCGTTGAAAAGGAGCTGAAGAAGAATCTGATGGTTGGAATATTTTTGTGCTGCATTCATGGACAAGTTTCTTCTAGCCTTTTACAGCCACTCCCTGCTTGGGGAGGTGGGATTCCTACTCCACAGAAGCCCTCATTTAATAAACAAAATAGTGCTTGAATATTTATGTTATTCCAAAAGAGGCATTTCTGACTAAGAACGGCAGACTGACATTTAGTTAGTAGCCTTCTGTGTTGCGCCATTAATGTAGATTATCATTTCAAATAGCCTGCAGCCAGTTACACAATGGTAAACCGCAGCACTGGAACAGATCCCCAGTCACCTGATGGGCATCATGTGCTCCTCATTTGTCACAAAAGAAAGTTTAGTTTCTTTGTCACTCTGAAAATAATCAAAAGGATGGGCGGATTAGTTCTCTGGGGTGACATCAATAAACAGAATAAGCTTTTAAGCGCGTCTAGTGACTAACAGCTTGCAGCTATCGTACAAATTCATCCCTGTTTCACCAATCTTTTTTTTTTTTTCCATGAACGGCCTAACAGGCAAAAAGTAAGATCAGTGATTGCTGATTTACCGTCTTCCGCTTCAGGGTCCTGATGTTGAACAGGTTGGCTGCTTGTCATGGTGCACAGGGAAACTGAGCTATTGTGAATATTTCTTTAGTAAAACCTGCGCCTAAAAGAGATGGACGATTATGGATCTTGTCACAGATGTTCCCTTGTGTTTGTAGTTGCATAATTCCAATGTGTTGATCCAAGCTCTAATATCTGTGTCAGTCAAATGCCAAAAATACATACATGATGTTGTGTCATAACTGAACCAGGAAGTCGAGTAAAATGTTACTGTTGCAGCACATGTTTGTTGCTAAATGATGAGCCACTCTCTTTCAGGTCAGTTTGGAAACCCCTTGGACAAATATATTCGCCATTATGAGGGTTTATCGTACGACACAGAAGCTCTGCACAACAGTCACCAGAGAGCCAAGCGGGCACTGTCCCCTCAAGACAAGACTGTGCACTTGGACTTCCATGCACATGGAAGGTCAGTTAAATTACACACACACACACACACGGTCCTCATTTATGGATACTCTCCTTCTATCTTTCAACTCAATATCATATTATCTGAATCTTTATCATTTATTTGTGTTTAGTATTTTTTATGCAGTTGTGAACAAATGCTGTAAGACATGTATTGATGTAAGATCAATGTGAAGTACCTTTCAAATAAAGGTAGTATAAGAAGAAGATTCAACTTTTTGTCATTGTGCAGACTGCAGGTACTGAGACAACAAAATGCTTCTCTGCATTTAACCCAAATGGGACCAGTGTGCTGCTGGAAAGGAGCCCGGGGAGCAATTAGGGGTTAGGTGTCTGGCTCAGGGACACTTCGGCACGGGACATGAAGCAGCTGGGGTTTCCCCAGGGCCATTAGATGCAACATGACATGTTATTTATGACTTCTCTCTTCAGAAACACATCTGTGTGTGTGTATAAAAAATGGAAAATTGAACTTGGTTATACCATTTCTTTATTCCTTATATGGTCATAGAAAAAAACTACAGCAAAAGACAAGATAAATGTCCCTATAAATCTAGGCTTTTGCATTCAAAGTGAAAGCCAGAGCTTCATCGTTCCTGTGTGGGGAAAGCACCTGTCTTCTTTCTCTACATTGGACAAGACATGTGAATCATTGAACATCATCATTGAACTTGTATGGAGTGGGTTTTGGTACCAGGTGTAAAAGAAACCCGTCTCAGTGGGCAGGCTTCTCTGGCATTTCTGGCAAAACAAGACTTTATTACAAGCTGTAATTCAATTATGGTTTAAATGACATTTTATCCGAAAGAGGATGTCGATGCCAAGTAGTGCGAGTCCGCTGGTGCCCTCCTTGCTGGTGTGTGAAACATTGGGAAATGAATGGCTGCCAGTGGTACAAGAATATGAACACGTTATAGTTCATATGGCTCAACGTTTTCTTGATGTTTGTCTTGGTGCAATGATCTGCTACAACTCAAACATGGAGTCATGCCTTTTTTTAAATATTGCAAAAATTGACCTAAGCAGCAGTGGGAGTTTTTCAGCATGCTCCCCCTGCTTTCCTCTTCGCCCTGTTTCGGGGTTATCAAGGCCCAGTCAGACCGATCCTTTTTGCTGTTGCTGTCCTGGTACAAACATCTGGTACTCCTGTAATGTACAATGTGGCGTATGAAGAGGATACTAACACGATTTCATAGTAGAATTGGAGATGCTTTTTAAGTACGACAGAGTTTTCATAACTGGGGGCAAATATTTAGGAGCGGTGAACAAACTGCATGCTCTCTTCTCAGTGAAAACCCGAGGCAGGACGGCGTGGTTCTGAGCAGGCTTGTAGTAACAAGAGAAAAGCTTTCTGTGTATGCCCGCTCACATGAGTATTCGTCACTGCATCGGGTGATGGAACAGGACTGGGCAGATAGCTGACCAGAAAAAGTACTATATTATTGGTTATAATGCAATGCTGGCGAAGTGACCCAATTAATAGTTTGGTTTCGTGTCCAACTTTGCAAGAATAAGTCTGTGATTTGTGAAATATGTTTCCCCCCCATGGAAATGTATCAACGTGTTGATGATTTGCAGTAAGAGAAGGCCAGCAGTGTTCAGACGCATGCGCTCATACAGCATAATACGTAATATTCTCAATGAGTTTGAAATGAAATGACTCACTTCATTTTGAATCACACATTCATTTTATCTTCTGCTCTCTAGTTATGATCAGTTCATAACTATACAAACCGTACCTATTCAAGTCCGGGTTAACTTGTGCTTACTTTAGTAGTGAAAGTGTGTATAATGACCCAAAGCCCCAACATAGATATATGGTTTATACTTTGTGAGGTGTAGTTGATTGTTAAAAGATAAAATACTGTTTTACTGTTTGGATATTGGCCTCTTTGTTGGCAGACCGTCTCGATACTCCATTTCTTTCTTACAGAGCAAAGTGTAGGACAGCTGGATTGAGTCAGTATGTTCAGCATCTGGGATACGTCTGAATAATTGATCAATCGGCTGCTTCTGTCTGATAAGAAGCACTGGCTTGATTCACAGACTTCCCTCTTCCTGTCTGTTGCAAGCCATGTTTATTTGTTAGGTTATTTTGTCTCGGACATACTTCAGAGATAGATTTCTTCCCCTTATTTGTTTTATACTTTGGTAAAAACATGAACCATTCGGGGTCTATTTTTAACTGCTGAGTGATTTCTTCTGTTATAAATTCCTAACTTTATTTTAATCTCCTAATTTCATTCCTTTTCTCTCATGATTGTTGTTGATTGCTTTGTTAGTTTATACATAATTCATTTCCCTTTAGACCTTTTGTCTTAATTATTCAAACGGTTTTGCATTCCCTCTGATCCATAGAGAGGATGACCTGTATTAGGATTTAGTATCGAGTGCTGTGACTGCGGAGTAGCTGTGGTTATAACTAAAGCTGTGGCATGATGTGGATGAATAAATGTGTCACAGCCCAGATCATGAGTGCTACACAAACTACAACATCCGTAGCATCATCATTTAAACGACTCTCACCGTAGTTTGAGCCGTATCGACAGCCACAGCTTCAGCCACCATGGGCGGGCGGAGCAGCTGCAGCTGTTCTGCCTGCCAAAGGCTGTATAGTGTTTGAGCCCTTTAAGAGGACTGAGGAGCAATAAATGCACAATGTAAGGGTTTCATGTCATCGCTCCTTTCTTTAGTATCTGCAGGGCGTTTACCGCGCATGTATAACTCGGCAGGACCAACGCAACACATGCGCACGGTGTCTGCGAGTAAAACAATATTCGCATAGTTGCCACAATTTTATCATGAGAAGTCACGAGGTCATATTGATTGTTGCAGGGGTCACTGATAAGGGAGAAAGAGGCCAAGAACTGTAATGGGTGTCCGAGGTTGAATAACGAGCAAAGAAATTCCTACTAGTCTAAATCTGTTTCCAGATGTGTCACCATTCTGTCTTCCAGATATAGTATTATGTTCTCTGTCACAATTCTGATCTTTAGACTGAAACGTTTTAGTTCTTTAGCAAACGTTTAATTTACGTCCACAAAATGTATAAGAAACCAGGTTGCTTTGTCTATTGAAGTCTGCTTCCTGTGTGTGTGTGTGTGTGTGTGTGTGTGTGTGTATGTATGTGTATATATATATATATACACATACATATATATATATATAATGTGTGTGTGTGCTGTGGAACATTGCTTCAACAATGGTTAAATAAATCTTTGCACTAATGTTTTTACTATTTTTCTGTAGATGCATAACACTTTAACCAATGAGAAAGGAAACCAGATCAGGTGTGACTGTATGTATTTTTAGACACCTAGAAGACCTCATAATTGTAAATAAAATAAATGGAGTAAAAGGAATTCTTCTGAGAACTGAATGCTGGGGCAGGTCCGTCATCCTTCACTGCGTAACGGTAGCTTTTTATTTCTACGGATTGAATTCACGCTTCAAAAATCACAAGGTAATTTATAAGGATCATAGATCTTGCTGAATGTAAGTACCCTAAACTCTTAAAGCAGGTTGAGGTCGTCAATCAAAATGAGCTCTTTTTGGTTGTGGGTAATGTGGGATCCAGTATTTGCTCCCGCTTTGAGAACAACCCCTGTAATAACTTGTGAGAGTCCTGATGAGGAATAGGCCTCTGAAAGGCTCCCTGCATGGCCTCGGGTTTCTGGGAAGCTAATGGCTCATGTGCACCTCATGTGATCCCTTTGAAATCTTGGTTTTATGTTAACAAGAGGATTATTGAAAAAATGTGTGCTTTCTCTCGTGATAAAATGATCCTTCTAACGCAGTGAGCAACATTGTGAATCTCATAAAGAAATGTGTAAATTCTGCTGCTTCTTCTGCTCTGTATGTTCTCCGTATGCTGTCACAGTTTTATGGTGTCATCCCTTTATACTTTGGTGTAAAGGAGAAAATTGACAGTACACGATACATCTGTTTTTTAATTGCTATGCTGGTTACACATTTTCGCCTTTTTCTTCTCTTCAGACATTTTAACTTGAAGATGAAGAGAGATACATCTATATTTTCTCCAGACCTCATCATTGAGATGTCGGGAGAGGAGACGCCTATAGAAACGTCACATATCTACAGTGGAGAACTCTTTGGTAAGTCCAGCTGTTTTCACACATTACATCCTCATCATTTCCATTTTATCACCCCTAGGTTATCCCTATAGTCTCTTAAGTGACTTGAGGTTGACGTCAAACTGAGGGACAATGCTCTCCTCTGCAGCTTAGTGAGAGAAAAACGTGGTTAGTTTTCGCCCAGGATTCACATTCACAGGAGGGTCGAGGGCGAATGCAGGGAGGGGATGCGTAAAGTGCGCCTAATTAGGTCTATGATTTTGGATGTTACATGTGATGATGTGATAATGACATGAATGAATTAAATGATATCTAATTTGCGATATTACAGTATTACAATTCACTGCATTGAGTTGTAGCGCGTTTCATGATACATACTTTCTTGCCAGATTCTGCAATATTCCCTTTATTTACCGCATTCACTACTTCACTAATCATTATCACTAACTATTCCTAAAATTGCAAAAAATGCAAGAGTTGTTGGACCGCAAATGCCTCTGCTGCCAAGATTTATTTTCTTCATCTGCTTGAATCTAATATAGACGGTATTGGGTGTTACTTTGACCTCGTTTTGTCTGCCTTTGCTCATCCTTGTCCTATTCCGTGCTTCAGGGGAAAAGGGCACACTGACCCACGGCTCTGTGGTCGATGGCCGCTTTGAGGGCTTCATTAAAACTCACCAAGGAACATACTATGTCGAACCCTCCGAGAGGTACCTAAAGAACACAAACGTGCCGTTCCACTCCGTCATCTATCATGAGGATGACATCAGTAAGTATTTGACAGTAGAGATACTTCATGTCCAGATAATATTTACACTAGATACAAGATTCCTTTTAGATGTATTCCTTTGCACCGTTTTCCCTACCATTTATATAGGTGTGCAGAAACCCGTTCTAGTGAATATACGCATGATTCAAGCAGGCACCGTCTAAAACTAACTGCACATCTAAAATTTAAGCAAAATAAACTTGCAAGTTTGTTCCCAAATCCTCCTTAAAGGAGCAATGTATGACATCCAGATTAATAATGAAGCCGCAAACAGCGATTTGTTATGTAAAGCTCTAGTGGAGTCATTTCCACCACAGCAGAGAATGACATTGCTCTCCCTCTGTTTTGTTTTCCTGTTATCCGAGCCCGTCCTTGCCCTGTTCCAGCGGATAATCCTCCGGTTCTCCCTCACCCGTTGGCTCTGTCAGAACGTTTGCTTTAGTCTCGTACAGAACAAGACACATCCCAGCGAAATGAAAGTAAACAATATCTGAAAAATGCATTAATCAGCATAAAGACGTATTCTCTAAGCCTGCTATGAAGAATATTCAGGTTTTTAAGATGATTAAAATGTACCGACTATGGTTGAAAAATGTTGGCAATATTCAAAGTTGAAAACTTTCCATAGGAATTGAGAGGAATATATGGGAATTGGACATTTTAGGGTAATTGATCTGTATTTACATAGTGTTATGGATGTATTAAATGGGTGTGTTCTTGGAGAGGGCTCTACACAGAAAACGAAAATGAAATGTTTGAACAGAGAAGAATGAGAACCTTTTACTGCTGAGTGAGGGAAGAGAGAGATATATAACGCTGACTTGTCAGTTAGGATCCATAGAGGGAAAAGCAATACGGTTCAGGCTTTAAAAAAGAAAAAAAAAAAATATATATATATATATATATATATATATATATATATATTTTTTTTTTCTTCTATATATATATATATATATATATATATTTTTTTTTTTTTAAGCGGCTATTCTCAACACCCGACCCACCCCACTTTCTCCGGCCCATCGCACATGGTTGGAAAGAGATCCATGATGGCAGTGTAACCGTCCTCTAATGTTCCCTGTATCTACCAGATTATCCTCATAAGTATGGCTCAGAAGGCGGCTGCGCTGACAACTCAGTGTTGGAGAGAATGAGGAAGTACCAGAACACTGCCGTACAAGACCCAGTGAAAGTAAGTGGCAGCATCACCACGAAGCCCCTCCCCCCTCCTTCCAGCTCATAGTTAAACACACAGATGGACGGCGCTCGTGAGATTAAAAATAACCTGTTTCCTCTCTAAACTACCAGGCACCATCTGGGCATTTTAGCACAGTTGTACACAGTTTCAATTTAAAAGTCAATTATTTAACTAATTTAATTCAAGCCATCCTAACATTTTGCAAACTTTTTATTGCTGTTTTTGAGAACCAGGGTCTTCCTCAGGCTTCCTGAGCCCCGGTGCTTGAAACGTCACACAGCGATGAGAAAATATTCTAACATGAGCTCCTTGGTGTGAAAATCTCTGTGTGTTCATTCTGCTAGTTATAGCTTTGATCCAGCACTCTTCTTATCAGACTCTGGATGTGCGTCTTTTCTTATCGTTCCATGTCAAACTTTTAAAAATGTGTCCCCCACTCAATCTTTCATCATGTGATCCTGGCGTTTCTCTGGTACAGGATGGGTACAGCGTGTCGAGTGAGGCGGAGCGCTCCGACGGTCCTGTTATTCTGAGGAGAAAAAGGGCAGCGGCGAAAGAGAAGAACACTTGCCAACTCTTCATCCAGACGGACCACCTCTTCTTCAAATACTACGGCACGAGAGAAGCGGTCATTGCCCAAGTATGCATTCACTGTGTACACCTGGTGTTCTTTGACTGGCACTTATAAATTCAATCACATACCCGTGAAATCATGAAATCACTTAAAAGACTGACTGATTGATTTGCAGATGTGTCTCAATGTTTTTATTTTTGGGGAAATTGCTTCCCTGGTATGTGACGACAAAGCTTTTTTTGGTGTGTCAAGGAAGTGGAGAGCTCCCGTGGAGTAAAAATAACCGAGACTAGCTTTCTAATTTCAATTTTTGGCTCGCTTCTTATCTCATTGATCACCTTCTCCACAGATATCCAGCCACGTAAAGGCCATTGACTCGATTTACCAGGCCACAGACTTCCTCGGCATTCGAAATATCAGCTTCATGGTTAAAAGGATCAGGGTGAGTTTTCTCTCCGTACTGGTACGGTTTATATAACAAATGACCTTAAAGGAATCCTCTCTCCTCCCACAGTGCTCTTGTGTAATTGTTCAACCTTCCTGTATTCAGATAAACTCCACCACCGATGAAAAAGACTCAAGCAATCCTTTCCGCTTTGCCAACATCGGAGTGGAGAAGTTTTTGGAGCTTAACTCTGAGCAGAACCACGATGACTACTGCCTCGCCTACGTCTTCTCTGACAGGGACTTTGATGATGGGGTGCTCGGCTTGGCTTGGGTCGGGGCTCCTTCAGGTACACAACACAAACTCACACAAATTCCCCTGTAATTACTGTTTTTCTTTCTCGAGTTTCAGCTGGGTGGGTGGGTTCCGGTTGAACAGCATTCTTTTTAGCATTCTCATCTATTACCTCATCTTTATCTCATCTCATCAGGAGCATCTTCAATGTGACTGTGTACAAATATAACCTCTACTAGTGCCTTCCAGAGATGTTTGTTTAGCAACACAAGCTTAAAGAGATGACAGCTAAAACCTGGTCGTCAAGTAGCTAGTTTACGCTAGTAACACAACTTATTAATGCAGATGAATAAAACAAGTTCATTTAAAGCTGAACTTTGTCAGGCGATGGCCTGTTGTTTCCAGGATTGTGTTTCAGATGAGTTTTGCCCGTTTTGCAGTCTGCATTAAAGCTGCTCCAAACGTGATCGCTCCACACTACTTAATCTACAAATGGAGAGCTGGAAATATCTGATTCCAAAATCTTGTTGTGTTGCTTACAGATTGTGCTTTCATGTAGATACACGTCTGTTTATAAAGAACACTCTTACGGCGGCTTCTCCATCCTATTTCTTTCTTTCTTTCTTTATAAGTTGAAATACCACCAGACAATCAATACAAGCAAATTGCCCCTGCTGTAAGCTGAAAGTATTGATTGAGGAAAAGACAGAGTAAAATGGGCTGCTGTGGGGTAATTATTGTAACAAAGGGAGGCTACAAAGAACAGCCATCGGGGATACAGGTCGAGCAGTCTAACTAAAGTGTTTTTGATTTGATTTGAACAGGTGTCTTGTAGCTTCAGTGGATGAGTTGCACAAGAACACACACAATCACACATTGCTATGCACTAATCCATTTTGAAATACGCCAAACACAACTTTAACCAATGTAGTAAGAGTAATATTGCTCTCAGGCAAACCATGCCGATATGAGAGTACAAACACCACAAAGCCATCGCAGTGGATGAGTTAGAAATGTCTCATACCAAAACAACCAGCTTCACATGGTTTGAGGCATTAGAGGCAATAACAATGCATTGTTACTTTTATCTCCATTGGCCTCAGCCTCCACTGAGAATTCATTTGCTAATTATGACAATCTTGCACAAATGCCAAACAGATGTAAACTTTAACTTGACTGGTTGTTGGAGGTGTGCAAGGTGATAATTCCTGTTATTCTCCCTCCACAGGAAGCTCTGGGGGCATCTGTGAAAAGAGCAAACTTTACTCTGATGGGAAGAGAAAGTCTCTGAACACTGGTATCATCACTGTGCAGAACTACGCCTCCCATGTCCCTCCCAAGGTGTCCCACATTACTTTTGCTCATGAGGTTGGGCATAACTTTGGCTCTCCTGTAAGTAGGCTACTACCATTTAAAACACTGACCTTTTTGCTACTCCTATTCTTTATTTTTGCAATCTGTGGAATATATTGTTTGCATCCCTCTCCTAATTCTCCTCGCTGTTCTCTGCCCTTTGTGCGCCTACTGTTTTACAGCATGACTCTGGCATCGAATGCACCCCTGGAGAGTCTAAGATGCAGAACAACAAGGAGCAGGGCAACTACATCATGTACGCCAGAGCCACATCAGGGGACAAACTCAACAATAACAAGTTCTCTATCTGCAGCATCCGCAATATTAGCGCTGTTCTGACAAAGAAGAGAAATGACTGTTTTGTTGGTAAATACGCTCTCAGGAAAGCATCTGTTTCTGACTGAGTGTGTGTGTGAGAGATATTCTTCATGCTGTTGTGTCTTTGTGTACAGAGTCTGGTCAGCCTATCTGTGGCAATGGACTAGTGGAAGAAGGAGAAGAGTGTGACTGCGGCTACAGTGATCAGTGTAAAGACCCCTGCTGCTACAATGCCAATGAAGGGGAGGGCAAAAAGTGCAAGCTCCAACCGGGCAAAATCTGCAGGTCAGATGTCATTAGCATGCTTTTGTTAAGTCCTTTCAGAAGTAATTAAATTTGTTGTTAATAGCATTTGTTTGACTGTATATATTTGTATTTCTTGTTGTGTAGTCCCAGCCAAGGCCCATGTTGCACACCACAGTGTGGTTACAAGGGAAGGAGTGAAAAATGCAGAACGGAGTCCGAGTGCGCCCAGGAGGGCAGGTGCAACGGCGCTACTGCTCAATGTCCTACCTCAGAACCAAAGGCAAACTTTACCTCCTGCCACAGCGAAACACAAGTCTGCCTCAATGGGGTATGTTAGTGTTTACTAACCTCATTCTTATTGTGTCTGGTATGAGCAGTTTAAAACCAGTTTGTTTTTTATTTGAACCTTTTGAACAAAAAACTAAAGACAAACCATTCTGCATACTTGTTTGGAAAAGGTATGCTCTGGTTCCATTTGTGAAAAATATGGTCTGGAGGTATGCACCTGTGCCAGCCGAGAAGGCCAGGATGAGGCAGCTGAACTGTGCCACGTGTGCTGCATGAATAAAAGTAAGTGACAAGCTGCAAAACCGCTCATTGGTCAAAAAATGCGGTGAAATCATTTGCAATAGTCGTGTCATCTTCAGGCTAAAGATCTGAGTTGCTGTGGGCATACAATACGTCACTCCTTCCCTCTCTCTCTCTCTCTCTCTCTCTCTCTCTGCTCTTAGTGAGTCCCACCACCTGCAGCAGTACAGGCTCTGACAAATGGGTCCAATTCTTCAACAAGACAACCACAACGCTGCAGCCCGGTTCCCCCTGCAATGACTTTAAGGGCTACTGTGACGTGTTCACGAGGTGTCGTCTGGTGGACGCTGACGGGCCTCTTGCCAGACTGAAGAAAGCCATTTTCAATGCAGAGCTCTATGAAGATATTGCAGAGTGGATAGTGGTGAGAACCCCGAGACGACGGATGCATCTAAGACTCGTCAAGACAATGGCACACATGTGTATAGAAACTATTTCTATAATGCCTTTATTTCAATGTGCTTTTAATGTACCCCCTCTTATCCAGGCTCACTGGTGGGCAGTGCTGTTGATGGGCATTGCTCTTATTATGCTGATGGCTGGCTTCATCAAAATCTGCAGCGTTCACACCCCCAGCAGCAACCCCAAACTGCCCCCGCCAAAGCCACTGCCAGGTACAGTACGCCACATGTGTTTATAATTACACGTATGTTCACATTGATCCACTTTAGATGCATTTCGTTGTCATTTTCTTTGACCTTCACTGAGATGTTTGTGTTCTGTAGGTACCCTGAAGAGGAGAAGGCAGCAACAGGCAAACCAACAGGCACAACGGCCCCAACGTCAGCAGAGAGAGAACTATCAAATGGGACAGATGAGACGCTGAGTCGCTGAGACTCCGGTCGGCTCTTTGCCTTGTTTCTTCCGTGTGCCTACAGTATGAGCACTGCAGTCCAAAGAGTTACCTTTTACCACCTATTGCAGAATTCAAAGAACTTGCAACTGGATCTATTTCACTGGACAAAGCCCAACATGTCTGGTTGGGCTTAGCAAACTCACTCAGCTTTTTTTATAGGAAATAAATAACTACCTTTTCCAAGGAGAGACAGTAGGATGAATTCACTGACCTTTGTTATGTGGTTTTAAACTTTGGATGCTTTTTTTTTTTACCAGTAAAGTCAAGCAGCTTTGTTCTAGAGTCCCTCCACTGTTCATCTATGCCACCTTTCCTCATCCCGTTCTTCCTCTCCGCTAAGTGCTGCCTTCATCGGTCCGATGGCAGCACTGCAAGTCGCTTTGGTATTTACTGCTAACGAAAACAGCATTCGGTTGGGAGAAAACTTTTTTGCCAGTCTAATTTGAGCTTTATATTTCAAAAACATTTTCCTACATTGTGCAATTGTACAGGTGTTGCAGTAGTTTTTTTTAAAGATTATTTACTGTTTTAATTCCCTTTCTCAGGATGAATACAACAACAGCATACAAGTGTATTGAGTGGAAAAGACTACTGCATGCTTATTTCAGGGTACAATCCCTCCTGGCTGAAGCCTGCACCGAAGGGTTCATGTTGGCGGCTGTGGGATCCAGAGGCCATCTTCTATGAAAAGAATTAAGATAAATGAGTTTAATATAATTAAAGTGTCCCTGTTATCTTATGGGGGGGGGGGGGATTATCTGGATGTGTATATGAATAGTTATGGAGCTGCGTTTACATAAAACTCTAGTCTTTGTTCCACAGAGTATGTCTTCATTCAGATGGGTGGTGTTCCAACAAAACAGAGAATGACTTTAAACTTTGAGGACAAAAAAAAGCCTGTGCAAGTTATTAGAATAATTGTCCTGCCCATATTTCCACTTGTTCTGTCCACTTTATGAAATGACAGAATCCGTAAAAACCACTGGACAGCGGTTTGAATCCTCTCAGCCTCTGTTGCCAGATGTGTAACCTGTCTGGTTAAAATGTGATTTTAGCTTTTATTGATTACACTTGCAGTTCAGATTATTTGTGTATTTGGGGGAATTGAATCAATTAAGGAAAAATATATAGCTTCGGATTTTATTGTTGCTGCTGTTAGCAAACAATCATTATTTGTCTGCGATCCACTGACTTTTCCTACTGACAGAGATTTTCTCTTAAGAACATTGTTTCCCTTGTTTCACCTGCTTGGTTTATGTAATTGCGTTAAAATGTGCCTACTATGAGAAGTCTGACTGAAGTTGGTGAACTAGTGCTCTTTACCAAGGCTGTAATCATATATGCACTGTTATCAGTCTGCACTGCTTGGCAATGTGTAATGATAATTATAAATGTAAGTGACGATTGATATACATAAGAATCGAATGTTGCAAAAACACATTTTCATATTCTACTCAATTTATGGTTTTACATTTTTATAGATACTCGCAGACTATAAAACATGTCTGTAGTTTCTTCAAATTATTTGGGTTTTCTTTTATTATTTTCTGATTGAGCAAGGACGCTTTTTTTGTTTTGGTAACCTGAGCACAGCTGTGTTTTTTTGCAAGATGTAAAGAAGTTGCGTTATTTATCAGATCGATTCTATGCAGAGTATCACAGAGCTGTGAACAAGTTAGCCTCTTCACAAAGAAATGCCTTCAATGTTTTCTTCTAAATGGGCACATTAATTATTCAGTTTGTTTGTTTCATATGAAACTAGTTACTTGTGTTTTATGTGCTGCAGCAACGTTTTTGAACAAAGAAACATGCAATCCGTTGTTGCTTCTTTTACCGATTTTGTTTGTATTTCTGGTGCTATTGGTAATGCTTGTTCTTGGGTTGGCGCTTGAACTATATTTTTTGTTTTTGGCAAGTTTTAAAGCTTTTTGGGTGTGTGTATGTGAGAGAGAGTTAAAGAGTGAGTTTATTTGCTAAATCATCCTTATCCAATTTATTGACAATATTGAGTATTGGGGTTTAATACTCTGGGATTCTTTCTTTTGTGATGCTATGATGTTGAGAAAATGTGCACTGAAGTGTAATTGGTATAAAGGAATAGTCCCAATCGGTATAGATTCAGTACTACTGTCTGATTTTAATGTATCCTGTGTCTTATACAGTTTCTTTGCTGGTCTTTTAGTTTTTCTTTTACATCTGTTAAGTCTGTTTCCCGTTGTGCTTATTTTGAAAATTGTACTTAATTCGCAAAGTGCAAAAGTATGATAATTTGAATTACTTGAAATGCATTAATAAACAGAGTTGATAAAATGTTTTGCAACTAAGTTTTGTTCAGCCAACAGTAGTTTCATGATGTTTTAACAGGTTAAAGCACTTTGTTGAAGTCTCATTACATCATAGCAGTTGACCTGTGAGATCTTGGAGCTGCTTGACGTCTCAGGAGCGTCTGACATGAGCTTGTTTTTACGTCAGTGATGTTTTAACCTGCTCATCAATTTCCCTAAGAAAAGAAGAAAAAACCCACAAAGGAGAATAGAAAAGACGGGTTCAATTTATATTGATCAAGACTAACATAGTTGGTAAACAATGACATAAGTTGTTTTAGATGGTAACACATGGAAAAATACATTTCCAATCTTGGGAAGTCATTTAATGTAAAACTGTTCACTGTCTGGTAATATTTGAATTGGCAGCCTATGTAAACATAGGCTGGTTCTTAAAAGTACACCGTGCATTTCTTAGTTTATTAATAATTTAACACATCTGTCACACAATTAACCATTTTGAATTAACTCCCCAAATCTGCACAGCATCACTGTTGGGGCTTTACGGACTTTTATGCAACAAACTGCCGTTGCATCCATGGGAGACCTCTGTTGAACACATCTGGAATCCCACACGAGTCTGTGGGCCTAGTTGTGCGTTCTTTGGCTCCGTTTCCGTTTGTGATCTTTGCAGCGCACAAACAATTTATCTTGCGACACTTCAATGTGCTGTCCGTCATTTGTCATGGCACAAAACGGCGTCCTGCAGAAACAGAAAAGATGTGGTTGACATGGTGTAAAACAAAGTGCGCATTGCTCGTAGTAGTAAAAAATATTCCAATTCTTAGTGTGTGTAAGAGTCCACTGGGTGGCGTTAAAGGTCTGGAGGTGTAAATGTAGAGGATTTGTCTCCAGTGAGGAGGGACAGTGGGACACTGTAAACTTTATTTATTGAATCTGAGAGTAAATTTAATCTTTATTGAATGGGTTTATATGTCTTGTGTCTAACAATTTTGATTAATAGCTTGGACCAGTTTATTCAAATGGTAAATGATTTGTGACGTCTACCTTAAATATGAATTTAATACTGAAATAATAACAATCATCTGAGATGAGTGAGTGCAGTTTATTTACGCATCTTCTGTTAAAGTAAACTTTTAATGCACTATTTCCATGATGTAGCACTGGACATTTAAACTAAATTTTATAGTCCATTTTCTTCCACTACATTGATATGACAACTGTTGTTTGAAATGATTTTCCATGATCACCCGCTTCTTAAATATGACCCACAACCATCTTAACCAGCCTCCTCTTTACCACACTACCTGTAAAACCATCTTTGCAAGGTTGGTTGTGATGCAGCTTATACATTTGGTGTTTGTAGTATTTATAAGTCAGATGACTAATTTATGATCGTATGAAATTGAAATAGAAACAACCTCACATATCACGACAAATAGATAACAGAGACCTGTGTTGATAAAAAAATGTATGCTTCTACTGCGATCACCTTCGCTGCGTGTGCATTTAAAAAAACAATGAAAATCTAAAAGGGGCCCTTGTACAAATCTGAGGTATCTGAGCTGTACCTCTCCTGGCTCTCGCCTGCTTTGACGTTGATCTTGCCCACAGTCAGCAGTGGCTTCCTCTCCCGTCCGCCCCAGGGGATGATGTTCTGCACCTGGTTCCACATGTTCCTCCACAGAGCCGATCTCTCCCAGGTCAATTTCAGCAACATCAGTTCCCCTAAGTCTCTGTCCAGGGTGATCAGGAAGGTGTGGGTCTTATTCCCAGAAATACTTCCAGTGCTGTTAGAGTTGAAAAATGAAAACACAAAAACAAGGCGGACAGAGTGAGATTTACTACAGCAGGTAACATCTTTACTACAAAACAAAGGGACGGGCACCATTTAAAGCAGGCCAGCACAGGATATTTCCTTCCTCCTTCTTACACTGGTTTGCCTAAGGCTCTCTGATACAGACCATGAACACAGTTAGGAAATAGCATCTTGAGTAAATTATTCACTCCACCTTCCCCTTTTATAGTTGACTTTCATGTAGCAGCTCCAGTTGTCTCCATGTGTGTCGGCTGCTCCCCTTAACATGCCCCCTTTTCTTTATAAGGTCGGGAGCACAGCTGCATATTGCATGTGTCACAGACAGAGTGCACCAAGCGTATGCGATGCACTGTAAGCCCGATGGGAAGTAGTACTGTACTCACACAATGATGGGGACGTCTCCACTCTCCTCCTTTGTCCCAGTGAGCGAGATGGTGAGAGAGGGCTCGATCGCCAATATCTGGTTGACAAACTGGATCCTAAACTGGTAATGGTAAACTGTATGGAAAGAAGAAGAAGAGGACGAAGATGGAAAGAAAGAAGTAGGTAAAGAAGAACGAGAAGGAAAACAAAGAAGTAGATTTATTGTTAAATTACTGGATTCCCATGAAAGACTCAGCAGCAATTTATGGCTTGTGATGAATAAATGTATCTTAAGCTTGTGCGGTTGAGCTGTCGATGACGACCACGTACGTTTGTAGGGCATCTGAGAGCGTGTGTTCAGGTAGAGCCGCTTGCTGGTACCCTGACGGACCTTCTTGATGCCGTAGCCCAGTGTGTTGCAGCGGTTCCTCCGACAGTCCAGGCAGACGCCTTTGTCGAAAGCCCTTTTATCCCTGCAACTGTAAGCCACGCTCTGCTGGTCTCTGTTCAGCACAGAGTCAATGAATAGATGGACGGACCGCTCGTGAGCACATTTCACTGTCTGCTCAAAACCTGCGGGAGGAAATGAAAGTACAGAGTGGATTTCAACACGTCACTCCTGACCAAACTATTCTCTGCTGAGTACATTCATCATAATGTCTGACCATTAGTAGCGGATTGACTTCATCATCACCAAACGTCTGACATCCCTCAGACTGTCCTTCTGTCACATCCCCCTAAAGTGTCTCATTATGTCTGAATCTGATCTGCTCCTCGGGCCTTTTCTCTGAGCATGCTCTAGCCTGGAGGCAGCTCAGCTTGAAGGGATGGAGAGAGCCGAGGAAGGCACATGTTGCTAATTAACTTGCAAGGATGACAGATGCTGTTATGGGACCCTGACTACCATGTTCCACGGGTGTCTTTTTGGCTGAGAAGCACCATAGATCCCAGAGAGTTTGACTGGAGGAAATTAAACTCATCTGTCTGAGCACAGATCAAGCAACTGTCAACAATAAAATGAATTGATGGCCAAGATATTCCTCCCAAGCCAGTGTTTTGAGGTGGCAAGACCAATTAAGAAACACAAATGTTATCATAGAGCAGAGGAAGAGACAAACCAGTCAGCGGTTAAGCAACAAAACACACTGCTTCAATTAGAGTTCTGCACTTTATCCACAAATGGGAACCAGAAAGATGCATGTCAGGTCTTTTCAGAGCCCTTAAAACTCAAAACAATCACCAGACCTTAAAATCCCCCAAAAGTGTCCCTGAGAACTAACTGTAGTGGTCTTCAATGTGTTTTTTAGAGTCTAGTCGTATCACAATGTTCTCCTTATGTTGGAGTGCTGAGAGGGTTTTGGTTTTTTAGGGTGTTTTCCACATTACAGCCTTGATAGGCTCCTTGCAGGGCAAAACATATTGTGCTTATTTATGTTCCAAAGAGGTGCAGTGTGTTCTCTACCGTACCGAGGAGCCCGTATTGGGATATGTGGTCGTAAATGCTGTGCAGCTCACAGCCAGGTTGGAATTCTCCCCCGTTGGGGTAAAAGTCATAATGCGCCACAGCTTGCTTGATGCCCACACTGAGTCCCAAATGCTTCTGGGTGAAGGTGTGAATAGCATCCACAAACTCAGCATCGTCAGGGGAGAGTCTGTCCGTGGGAGACATTCCTTCAAACAGTGGCCCCGCCGGATCGAGACCTGAGCAGACATCATGCAATCAAGAGCCATTTAGTTAAAGAACATGATGCACATTATATTTATTTTAGCCAGTGGATTTCTGAGAGAACCTACATTACCTCAACCTTGTAAGAAATCCTCACCTGTAATTCTTCCAATCTTCTCTGAACCTTCCAGATAGCTTCCTGCAAATCCAGCGATGTGAGCACCGAGGCTGTAGCCGATCAAATGCACCTTTCTAACCGGGTACTGGTAGTGTGCCTGGTGGGGGTTGTGAGTTATATGTAATAGTTATTTTACCTCACTTATTTATGTTAAACGGCAAAGGTGGAACTCTAAGTAGAAACTCAACGGCGCTATTTATTCTGAAAATAAAGTGGCTTCAGCAGAAACGTTTCCGCTGACCTGAAGTGACTGCAGCAGATGAGCTATGTCTTTTCCAACAGTGCGCGTGCTCTGTGCAGCCGTGGGGTAGTGCGCGTGAGCCAGGGACAACCAGTCGGTAATCACCACATTGATGTCCATTAGATTTCTCTTCAGGGTTGTAGCTAACCTGGGCACCCAGCTCTCCATCACGCCATCAAACTTAGGACAGAAACGATAGAGTAACTCCTATTGCATCAATAAAATAAAAGTGAGATATTTCAGCATTCCAGAGAGTCTCTGCTTTGGGGATTTCTATGGAACATTTACATGTGAGACAACGGCAGCAACAAGTCGTCCATGCTGGCCTGAGTTCCATGTTTTGTATGCAGTGTTTTCAAGTCGGCCAAGTGGAAGAAAAGGTGACCTTACCGACCACCCGTGAGTGATGATGATGATGGGATTACTGCTGTTGAAGCCGCAGGAGGTGAGCGTGTGCAGCTGCAGAGGATCCAGTGTGCAGTGGTCCTCACCTTCTGCAAACATCCTGAAGACGGAACTGCTGATGTACGGCGCCTTCACCTTGAGGACTTCCCTCTGCTCTCTGTCAACTGCACCTCGGAAATCGAACCGCAGAAGAGTCATTTGTTTGTTCTTGGTAACTCTGCATTTCCGTACATGCTGAGGTAATGGACGTGTTTACTTTTGGATTAATGATTACAAATAACGCATGAAAATGGAGCTTAACGGTCGACTCGAGAGCAGAAGGAACGTTTTAACGAATTGCCAGACTCGTTTGTTGAGTAAACTCCTCCTCGCTTAACATGTTTAAAAAACGCAGCCACAGTCACTGACGCACTTTATAGATCCCTTTGCAAAGAAATCTATTATTACATTTCCTTCATGGTTCATCGTTGAATCAAGTCCAGCACTTCAATTTAATTATTGTAGCAGTTTAATGTCAGAAGCCGAGGCGCCTAAACGCTTGATGACACAGTTGCCTTCTGATGAGCTCTGGCTGCTGAATCGATGAAAACATTTTCACAATGAAATGAATGAAAGTAATATTCCATTTAAAACATAAGCTCAGCTCAATACACCGTTCTGTGTTGGTACAGTACATTTCAGGCAGAAGATTTTACAAGTTGTTTGATAACTTATTTTGAACCATTTGTCTTCAGATATCACAAAAAACACAATAAAATACACTTTCATATTAAATTTAAATCAACTTCCAGTTTTAAGGTTAACCAGGAGCTTAATATTAATGACCTGATATGTGGCTTAGAATATATGAGCTGAGAGAATGATGGCTGAATGGGAGTGGTACAATAATGTGTAGCGTGTCCATTGATAAAGGAACCTGTATTTTATCCAATTCTTTCAAGAATAATTTCAAAACATCTTACTCACCTGCTTTATTTTCTTTGATTTTCCTCCCATCGCTAACATGATACATAAACAGCAAACAGCACAGGAGTTTGACCACAGACATGTTGTCACACGGACACGTTGGTAATCAATTAAACCAACAATGGTGGTCACTTCGGGGGAATATTTAGCAGTTATGCGGAGTCTGTTGATAAGATCCCTTTGCTTGCCGGAGTAGAATTATTTCAAAGACTTGTCGTTGGTGTGAGGTGGGAAACACTCTGGGCTGCACAGCACAAAACGAGAGGGCACTTCTGGAGTAACGGTTATGGATAAGGAGGCATCTGGTCCTGCGCTGATTGGCCGCGGGTCAGGCCATGTTACGGAACACATTGTGAAAGAGCAAAGGGATGAACGCGGGAGAGGGAGGGGGGATCTGGTACGACACGATGTTGACTGAGAGGTGGAAATGATCTCAGGTCCTCCTCATGTCCCACCTTTAAGTGCCAGAGATGTTTTTCCTTGTGTCGGTCATACAGGACTAAAACTTCCAAGCCAAAGTCTGCGTTTGAGACAGTTTTGACGAGACGTGGAAACTTTCCTGAGTTTGAACAGGTGAGAAGTCGGCCTTCATGTATCCAGTGTTCTCAAGCTAACGGGAGATGTTGTTTATGTTTACTGATCCAACAAAATCACATTTTCACTACACTGTGTTTGTGTACCGGTCTGTCGTAGGTGTACGATGTGGGTAAGTAAATATAGTATACAAACAATGTTAATGGTCCCACAGTGGTCATGGGGACCCTCACACACTGAGGCAAGGGTAGACCTTACACACGTTATGTTTAAACCTTTTGATCAAAAAAATAAATAATTAAATCTTCAATATTCTTACTTTGTAAATGATACTCTGACACTAAGATTGGTCTTCATTGGGCTGCACTAAAACGTTTTACTTATAATAATAAATATTTGTGAAATTAGCATTGTGTCGGATGTTCAAGTGGGAAGGGCCCTTGATTATTCAATAACACTTGCTCTCTGTGTGTGTCTGTCTGCTTGTTTTGATAATATTCTGCCTTCAAACCTATGTAACATTGTAACTGCCTGGATTTACTTTCCATTTAGAAATAAGCCAGACGCCAGAAATCATATTTTGAGTTAGGAATAAATGTCCCATTATTACAGTAACAGAAAATAACTGACCTGTATCAGATCACTAGTCCCACAGATAAAACTAGTACACTTTTTTTTGTAAAGCAGATGCCAAAGAGTTAAAGTCACAGTTTGACTTGTGTTATGTCACATCTGCGGGGAAACGGGTTGGGAGAGCAAACATGATGAACCTTTGCTTTTCTAAGTACTTAGGGTAAATATATGTATATATATGTGTGTGGGTGTGTGTGTGTGTGTGTGTGTGTGTGTGTGTGTGTGTGTGTGTGCCTTTTCGTACATCTATCTTTGTGAGGACACTTTTAAAAGTCAGGACATATTCGCCTGTCCCCACCTTTTTAAATGTTCATTTGTGAAAAGAACATCACATATTTAATGAACATTTTGAAGAAAACAGCTAAGGATGAATTTATATGTCTCAATCCAATTTGTCCACTTTCCAATAGGCACAACGTGCATTGTTGATTAAAAAATGAAATCTTACCCACATGAATTCGATTCATTTTACAAAGACACACATATTTTCCTTTTGGTTCTTTTCTATTGCCAGTAAGTCATAGTCACAATGTGACAGTGAGCCAGTTTGCCAAATACCAGAACCCTGAAACTGAAGCAGCTTAGTGGACGTCGGCCCCCATTCATGTTATAACCCTAACCCTAACCCTGTGGAAAGGCCTTTTTATCCCCTATTGGATTATAGCTGTGCTGGCTGATCATATTTTCATCAATATAAAGAACAAATGTCAAAATTTGATAATAATATTAGATGTCCAATTCTCAATCAAAACAACTAAACCCAATTAAAATTACTGACATTACGGTGCATTGTCTTTCAGGGTAATTGATTTTAATGATTATTTTGATGATTATAAAACATTTTCCACAGTTAAACTGATAAAATGTGTTTAAGATAAAAGGAATCCATTGCACAATAGTCTCTTAAAATAAAAAAATATGTGATGGTGTTTACTGGGAAATTACTTTTGACAAACAATGCTAGGATTTCTTACTTTTCAATGACCACTGTAATGACTAGTGTAATGGTGCCTTTTATGACATTTTTGTGACATATTATACTAGGGCGGATCATTTTTTATATTTATTTTATGACTTGACTTGACATTATTTATGACATGCTATATACTGTCTTATTATGAAATGTAACATAACATGCTGTGCTATGGTATTTTTATGACTTTTCTACTGCCAACATTTTATGGCATAATATGGAATTACCTTTTTAAATATTATTAAATATAATTATTATACAATATAGCATGTTGACACACTATGATGACATACCTATACAACTATTTTCAAGGACATTTTCTATACTGTGACGTTTTCCTTACACACTATATTGGGACAGTTATATGACATACATCACTGTTTGATGATATTTTTATGGCATACCATTCAATGAGTTTTCGATGACATTTTCATATTTTTAAAGCTATACTAATTGAATTTACTATCAGACTATAATAATTAAAAATATGGAATGGGACCCTATCCTAGGACTTTTTA